AGATGGCAAGAGTGTATAAGATATGTATATAGTATTTAGGAAATTGACTGATGCGCTCAAGTACTTGAACTTCCTGTAGTGATGGGATATTTATATTGGTGAAGCAATTAGTTAAAATGCAAAGAAATTAGGTAAAGTGGAGAGGATAGGGGGGAAATGGGTTAGAATTTGATTAGGCAAAGGGCTCGACTCCCTTATGGAATAACAAGAAAAAGAAGGTAAGAAATCTAAAACACATTGAAAAATGTATCTTGTCTCTTTTGTTGAGTAAGCGAAAAAATAAATTTTGGTGGATTGTGTTTTATGAATTTCTAAAAGAGTTATGATTTAGATAAGAGTTTGATTTCCTCCCATTGTAACAATAAGAAATTTAATACGGAGAAAAATTCATGTTTTCCCTTTGGGTAAGTAAGCAAAAAATGCATCTTGTTGGATTGTGTTGTAGGGATTGCTAAATGAATTAGCTAAAAAGGTCATAAATCTAAACCTCGGGGTCAAACCAAGTGGTGAAGGTAGGTGGCAACATGTGTTAGATCAAAAGTTTGATTTCCTCCCATTGTAACAATAAGAAATTTAGTATAGAGAAAAATTCATGTTTTCTTTTTCGGTAAGTAAGCAAAAAATGCATCTTGTTGGATTGTGTTGCTAATGGAATATCTAAAGGGGTACGTGTTGACTCGTTTTGATTTAGATCCTGTGGTGGTAGGGGAAAATTCCCCATTGGCTTGAGGACCATTTATGGCAATAAGTCTACTTTCTTTCGTGTTGCGAGCGTGCCACTGTTAGCGGTTAAACCTTAACAGGCTTAGAAAAACGAAATTACTTGCGCCTCAAGTTGCTGACTTCAAACAAGTGATTGTGAATTTGGGTGAGGAATATCTCCCAAGTAAGTTCTTCTCTTGCCTCAGACAGATGAGGACTTTGTAATTTTTCACAATAAAAATTGTTAGTTTTAACAACAAAAAAAAAAGAATTCTGCAAATGAACTAAACTTAATTGAAAGAAAACTGTTTGTTACACAATTTAAACAAAAAAGGGGTGCCACGTCTAGAAGACCATCAAAACATTGGACTTCGATTTCTGCTTGGATTTTTTGTCTGTAACTTAGGTTGGACTGGATGTATTTGTGCTGGAATTGCACGTCAACACCTTCAACTGTTAGGGTTCAGCTGGAAATTGATACCAATGTTGAGATTGGCAGAGCTTTAATCAATTTTAGCAAGGGAAAGGCTTGCAAGATGGGCAGAAGTGAGATTTCTCCAGTCTAGACTGGATTGGAAATGTCTAGTAAAATAATTAATTACTATTTATTAAGTAATTTATGAAAATAGTAAAATATTTAAAAACTAATTATTCATTAAAAAAATAAAGATAATTATTAATTAAAGTAATGAAAAAAAGGCTAAGATATTACTTAATGACAAAGAAGAAAACCATTTTGGGCTATACTTTTAAAATATTAAAATCTATAAAACGAGCATATCCGCTTTAAATGTATACAAATATTTTAACAGTATAGCCGCGCAGCTATACTTGTTAAATATTAACATATTTTCAAAGTACCGCCTCGCGGCCATAAGTGTTAAATATTAATATATTTTAAAAGTAAAGCCATGTGGCTAGACTTTTAAATATTAACATCATTTTGTTATCATCACGAATTAGGTTATCCTGTGAGAGGCATAGTTGAAAAAGAAAGTCAATAACAAATCACTTAGTTCAAATTCAACCTCACGATTTTCGGAATCCGAAGCATGTTTTTCAATGTTTGACTAACCAAATGCATTCGGTAAACAAGAGCTTGCTGGATCAAGACGCATCAATTTCTTCTGCATGTATCTCCAGACCTACCATGCCAACACATTTGAGTTTCCCATTTGAGTTATAAACTTACCAACTTATTCTTAATTCCTTTTCATGATATTTTTGCCAGTTTCGATCCATTTGCATGAGATAGTTGCTAATTTAGAATACATAACGTTTTGATAGAGACCACATTTTGGGTTTTAACTTTCGAGTTTTGATCGGACCTAGGATAACCTAACACTCGAGAGTTGAAGCCCACATTTAACAGATATATCTAGTGTTATTATCGCAAAAGTAAATAACGAGGATGAGATATCTTACCACATGCAATAACCAAGAGTGCAGACAAAAAAGCCATTTGTTATCATCACGAATTAGGTTATCCTGTGAGAGGCAAAGTTGAAAAAGATAGTCAATAACAAATCACTTAGTTGAAATTCAACCTCACTATTTTCAGAATCCGAAGCATGTTTTTCAATGTTTGACTCTGGCATTAGAAATAACTAACACACAAATTAAACCCTATAAATTATGCAATCGTAGTACTTGTAAGTAGGGATCATTCTGTTCCGGGGATTAGGAGGGATGCTAATCAACACAAATTAAACTTATTAAACTGAAAACTAAGTTAAGGGAACAATGATTGGGGGGAATTTGGACAATTTAGACTAAAGTAATACTGACAGTAGCAAACAACTAAGTTGTGAATGAAATATGGATGAGGGGATAGCTAGAGGATTCCTCTCCACACATGGAACATATGCACACAAATCGATCTCAAGTTACTCTTTCTATAAAATATGAATGACAATGCCCCAAATTAATTGTGAATGCACTAATTAACTCTCAGATTTTCCTAAGATCCTTGAATTGGACTCAGCGACGCAATCAAATTATCCTTATCAAGTTCCCTATATGAACAACATGATAGAGATACATATCAAAGATCATTAAGTTCTATGAAAATCATAAGCCTTGACAAGGCAATTGTAACTATGAAAAGCATGATACTCCTGCCAGGAATTTACTTAACGTAATCATGACTAGTGACTTTTACTACTTGTGAATATAAGTTCATAATGATTAGGTGAAATTCCCTTATATTCTAGCATCAAATCCCTGCATACAAACTAAGTATGCATCCTTAATAAACATGCAAGAATAAGTCCTCAATAAAACAGAAAAGTAAATCACATTCATACTTTATGAAACCATAACTGGAAGTAATCAATTCATATAAAACATATGTCCATGGCTTCGAATTCACCTCTAACTAAGAAGAAATTCAGTCACACATGTTCATAATAATTGAAAAGCAATCTAGAATAAACATTTAAACTAATCAAGGGAAGAACTCTGAAAACCCCAATGGATGCAGCAGGTTCCGGCTCCAAGTTCTTCTTCTCTCTTTCTCCTTCTTGCTACGGCAACAAAAAACTCATTTCTCCTGCGGCAACCCCTCCTTTGTATATGTGGTAGATCTATGATAAAAGGGCCTAGCAGAAACCTTAGAAATTAGGGTTTTGTTTGGCAGATTTCTTTAGGAACAAGGATAGGGCCCATGCGCCACCTTTTTAGGAAAGAGGTGCGGCCCAATGCTTTCTTCTAGAACCAGGTTTTTAGGTTTCCTAATCTAAAATTAATCCCCCCCTTTCATGCTGGAATTTAGGTAGAATAGGATTATGATAAGGTAAAATAAAATAAAATCAGTTAGGGTTGTTTCTTCCCAGAAGCTGATTCTTGAATTAATTTCCCCATCTTTTTAGCACATTCCTAGCCTCTTTGAACTTCAAAAACGTCCATCCATCTTGCCCCATGCACATGCTATCCATTCCAAGTCCAAAACTACTCTAAAATGCTCCAAAATGCCCTTTCTTGCCAATCTTGCCATCTGGACCTACAATAGTACGAAAATAAGCTAAATCACTCTAATAAATGGGAATTAACTAAGTAAATGCAAATAAATAAGATAGCAAAGTCGCATAAATATGCTCCTATCAGACTCACCCAATGCATTCGGTAAAAATGAACTTGTTGGATCGAGACACATCAATTGCTTCTGCATATAGCTCCAGACCTACCATGCCAACACATTTGAGTTTCCCATTTGAGTTATAAATTTACCAACTTATTATTTATGCATTTTCATGATATTTTTGCTAGTTTCGATCCATTCGCACGAGAGGGTTGCTAATTTAGAATACATAATGTTTTGATAGAGGCCACATTTTGGGTTTTAACTTTCAAGTTTTGGTTGGACTTAGGGTTCCTAACACTCGAGAGTTGAAGCCTAAATTTAACCAATATATCTAGTATTATTATCGAAAAGTAAATAATGAGGATGAGATATCTTACCATATGCAATAACCAAGAGTGCAGCTAAAAAAGCCATTTGTTTTATACAAACTTGTCCGTGTATTTTTTTAGTTAGCAATTAGATAGCAAGGCAAGAATGTATAATATTGGTAATGGTGTTTATTGTTTGTTGCACTCAAGTACTTGCTTTGAATCCCACATAGTATATATTCATATAGGTGAAAAAATTAGCTAAAGAGGTTAACAAATTTAATACAGTCAAAAATGCATATTTTTCTTTCGTAAGAAAGTAAAAATTGCATCTTTTTTTTTTGGGTAAGAAAGCAAAAATGCATTACACTACCCAAATTAATTACGTACTTGTCTCACTTGGAATGGATTGATATATATTTTTGTTCGTGGGGTTTGTCACCCATAATTGGGCCGAGCTTAAGTCCACATAGAAGTCACAAACGGGAGAGGCCCAAAGTCTTTGCCTATTTTCACTTTCACTTTTTCACAAAGGCCCTAATGCCTATTGTTACATGTGTAATTAGCCCGATTCATTCATGTTTCAAAGTGCCTTATGAGTTTGAATGAAAGATTAAAATGAATTACTAAGATAAATTTCAAGTATTTCCTATTATTGTTTGTTTTAAAAAGAAATAAATTAATGCAAGGCATTTGTAGCTCTAGTGGTTAAGAGCATTTACCATTCCACCTTAGGTTCGATCTCCCCATCCCAGATATCGCTTGTATCATAAAAAATAAATTAGTAAGAGAAATATAGCAGCTATATTTGTATTAATTATTCATAATCTCTGTAAACTATGGTTTACAATTTTATTGAGCAAACTAGGCAACAACACCATGTCATTTGTGCCTGAAATTAATTAACTTCAGTTCATGGCCATGGTGGAAAGGGGAGGTGAAATAGTGTGATGCGCCTCTACTTTCTGGGTCGCACAGCAAAAATTCGCACATTCTGGATCATAGGGGCAAGCAGGATCTATGACTCCAAAGTTTCTTGCTTCAGCACATAGCTCAACACCTGCCAACAATTAATTAATTATTTACTTATATAATGAGTAGAATATTGTGATATTAGTTGATATTGAATCTTGTGAGTTATCCAAATTTAACTTAATTTTAGACACCAAGCTTGGCAAAACGAGAATGAGAGATTTTACCAGATGCAATGACCATAAGCACAACCAGAAGAGCCAATTTTGATGAAGACTTGTCCATATCTTTTTGAGTTAGCAATTAGATAGCAGGAATGTATAAGATATGTATATAGTATATAGGAAATTGATTGATGCGTTCAAGTACTTGAAGTTCCTGTAGTGATAGGATATTTATATAGGTGAAGCAATTAGTTAAAAAGCTAGGAAATTAGGTAAAGTGGAGAGGATAGGTTGGGGAATGGGTTAGAATTTGATTAGGCAAAGGGCTAGACTCTCTTATGGAATAACGAAAAAAAGAAGATAAGAAATCTAAAATACACATAAAAATATATCTTGTTTCTTTTGTTGAGTAAGCGAAAAAAGAAACTTTGGTGGATTGTGCTTTACGAATTTCTAAAAGAGTAATTTGTCAAATAAAAGTTTGATTTCCTCCCATTGTAACAATAAGAAATTTAATATGGAGAAAAATTCATGTGTTCTCTTTTGGTAAGTAAGTGAAAAATGCATCTTGTTGGATTGTATTGTACGGATTGCTAAAGGAATTAGCTAAAAAGGTCAGAAATATAAACCTCGGGGTCAAACCAAGTGGTGAAGGTAGGTGGCGACATGTGTTAGATCAAAAGTTTAATTTCCTCCCATTTTAACAATAAGAAATTTAATATAGAGAAAAATTCATGTTTTCTCTTATGGTAAGTAAGCGAAAAATGCATCTTGTTGGATTGTGTTGCTAAAGGACTAGCTAAAAGGGTAAGAAATCTAAACCTCAGGGTCAAACCAAGTGGTGAAAGTAAGTGACGACATGTATTATATCAAAAGTTTGATTCCCTTCCATTGTAACAATAAGAAATTTAATATAGAGGAAAATGCATCTCTTTTTTTGGCAAAGCATGTAAAAAATGCATCTTGATGGATTATGTTGCAGCTACACACATTAGTTGCACCTGTCTGACTTGGAATGGATGAAAAGAAGAATAATTAATACATAAATACTAATTATTCATTATATGAAGAATAATTAAAACATAAATAATAGTTATTATTATTAAATAATGCAAAGATATTACTTAATTGAAAATATTAAACTAAAAAAATGTAATTTTTTATAATAAAAATGTAAAAACAAAGTCCACAAAAAATCTAAAATAAGTAATTACTATTTATTAAGTAATTTATGAAATTACTAAAATATTTAAATACTAATTATTCACTAAAGAAATAAAAATAATTACTAATTAAAGTAATTTAAAAAAGGTTACGATATTACTTAATTACAAAAAAGAAAACCATTTTGGGCTATACTTTTAAAATATTAAAATATATTTAACGAGTATATCCTCTTTAAATATAGGCTTATTTACTGTAGTACCCCCTGAAACTTCAGTCAAATCTCACTTTACCTCACCAAAGTTAAAGTGACCCATTTAATCCCCTTGACCGTGATTTTGTGTTCCACTTTACCCCTAACCGTTATCTACATTAATAACTTTGTCAGTTTTGATGACCTGACATTGGTATTTTAGTCTTTTTATCACAAGTGATGATGTGTCGTGTAAATGCCCCACTTTTTTTGTTTAAATTGAATTAAATATAAAATAATTTAATTAAAAATATATATATAAAAATTGTCATAAATTAACAAAACAAATGAAAACAAAAGAATAAAAGATTAAAAAAACAAAAAACATAACTAATAAATAAATAAAATAAAAACATTAAGCAAACAAGGCAGCCTCACCCTTTGTCCAGAAACCACCATCTTCCTTATTGCACCACCCACACCAGCACACCCCACCAACCCAGCCACCAAACCATCACCTAGCCAACCACACTCTTCTCCCCCCCAATCATCTAAGCCCCGAGCCACAACCCACCAACCGAGCCACCAAACCATCACCCAAGCCATCCACACTCCCCCGACCCCCAATCATTTGAAACCAATACCATACACCTAGCTGCCCCCTGAACTTCCTCGACCCCAATAGCCACCCTACCCCAAATCCCCACCCCAACAGAGAGAGAACCTCTGAAATTAAAAAAGTTTTTAATTTTTTAGTTAGTCAATTCCCCCAATTCCTCTATATAGAGGAATGACACCAATTGCAATGGATGCCGAATTCATGGTCATAATCTTAGGGGATTAGGTGGGTATGGCCGGTGGAGGGTGTGGGTGGGTATGGTTGGTGGTGGGTTTGGATGGTTATGGATGATGGTGTGGTGGTTTGTTGCAGAGAGAGGAGAAAGGAGAAAGGATGAGGCCATTTTTGGGGAGGATATGGATCTTTGGCCAGAGTTGGATTTGGGTAGGTTTTATTTTTTTTCTTTGTAATATTTTTTTTATTTTATTTTCAAAGATTAGAGAAGCAATATTTTAAATTTTAAATTTTCTCTTTTTTCAATATAATTTTATAATTAAACAAGTAATTACATTTGGTAAAAAGACTAAATTAGCCATGCCACGTCATCAAAACTAATAGAGTTATTAATGGAGATAACGGTGGGGGTAGTGGAACATGAAATCATAGTCAAGGAGGTTAAGTGGACCACTTTAACTTTTTTTGGGGGGGGGGGGGGGGGGTAAATGAGATTTTGATTGAAGTTTCAAGGGGCACTACAGTAATTAAGCCTTAAATGCATACGAATATTTTAACAGTATAGCCGCGCTGGTTTACTTGTTAAATATTAACATATTTTCAAAGTACAACCGCACTGCCATAATAGTTAAATATTAATATATTTTAACAGTACAGCCGCACGACTATACTCTTTAAATATTAATATCATTTTGTTTTCATCACAAATTAGGTTATTGTTTGTGCCTAATAAATCACGGTCATAGACTGATTGAAGGGACTTCCTCTCGGTCATGGCGCCTACCGTTTCGTTAAGCATTTCGCCTTCCTGAAAACAAAAGAAAAGCTGCAAAGGCAAAATCCTCTCGGCCTCGCGACCGCAGTATTGAAGGCCGCCATAAAAGACACGGCCGAAGAAACTGTGGTTAATTCGCCACGTGGCCTCAGGGTCCCACGCCCCATTTAATGAAGTAATGCCTCTGACTTTCGCAGCAAACCCACTAGTCCCAAGAAGCCTTTAATGCACAAGGGAAGAAGGGAAGTGACTGAAGTCAGGATTTGGTGATGGAAATCAAGGTGGTTAGGCGCATACATTCTCACAAGTAATCTTACGACTTGAGGTCAGATCACCAACCACCAGACCAGGGCATTAAATGCGTTCCTACGACCAAGGGGGCAGAACCCATGATCAGGGCGGTGGCCGAGATTTACCGGGATTTATGGAAGTCATACCACCATGCTTCACGATCCCAAACCACCATGCTTCACGATCCCAAATGCTGATTTAACTACCCACTTGCCCCGATTAAGCTCCACCACGCAGGTCTTTTCAGCCTCGATTGTCCCTCCAGGACTCCTCCTATAAATACTAAGCTCAAGACTACATTTAAGGGGTTCAAACACCAAACCAAAAGCCTCCCACGGAGCAAATTATATTTTTCCTGTAATGCACTTTCAATACCTTTATTTGCTTTCCTAGGAGTAGTGGTAGATTGTAAGGAAAATTCATTCATCAATATATCATACGACCCTTGATTTTCAAGGCGCCGGAGCACCATCTCTGTTATCATCTCATTCACCCCATATATCATACGACCGTCGCTCTCCAAGCAACATGCCGGAGCACCGCCTAAAACCCGCCACCAACACCACCACTAAAACGGCCTTGTAACTCAAGCCGTGAACCTGACGACCGAGATCAGTTCCTCTATCGGCCACAATCGTTTGATTAGGAGTCGAACGCAAAACAGGCGCATCATTTAACCATCTTCTACCCAAACCTCATCACCATCTCGACGCACGGTAGACCGTGCTGGCATGCCCGCGCACAACTGCACCGCACCCAAAAGAAGGACGTCATATGTTGACGCACATCCCCTCGGCTCGGAGCACCAGGCCGCAAGATTCGCAACAGCCAAATGTTATCTTATGTGAGGCAGAGTTGAAAAATGAAAAAAAGAAGGTAAGAAATGTAAAATACATAGAAAAAAATGTATCTTGTATCTTTTGATGAGCAAGAGAAAAAAATACATTTTGGTGGATTGTGTTTTATGAATTTCTAAAAGAGTTATGATTCAGATAAATGTTTCATTTCTTCCTATTGTAACAATAAGAAATTTAATATAGAGAAAAATTCATGTTCTCTCTTTTGATAAGTAAGCAAAAAATGCATCTTGTTGGATTGCGTTGTATGGATTGGTAAAGGAATGAGTTAAAAGGGTTAGAAATTAGGAGTGTACATCGGTTTGAAACCAATGAATTTTGATCAATCTAATCCAATCCAATTTTTTATTGGATTTGGGATTTTACAATCCCATCTAATGTGTTTGGATGTCAGGATGCAATCCAATCGAATCCAATGTACACATTGGATTCGATTGGATTGGATGATCACTTTGTATGAAAATATGATAATCACAAAGATAATCATATAAAATTCAATCATATAGAAAATACCATTAAGTATGTATTAAATAGGCACAAATAAATTTTATAAAAAAGCAATACAACACAAAGTTCAACATTTAGAGTTCAAGTTACATCCATTCCTTCAAAAAAGAAACACTAAACTAAAGTCAACATAAAAACTTAGACAACTCTTCAAGGTTCCAGGTCCAACAATCCTGTAATTTATTTCGTATGCGTATATTATATCATGTAATCAACAACCATGTATATATATATATATATATATATATATTTAATACTCTTAACTTAAGAGTGTTGAGATATAATGAATGTCAAGATAACAATATTAGATAGAATGAATGAAACAAACTTATGTACAGAGCATGCAACCATATTCCACATCAAGTTTCATTCAAAGTAAGTTTTGTTGTAGTACCCAAAATTTCTACAAACAAAAATAGTATTAATTAATTTCAACTATGAAACTTATCTTCAAATAATATTTACCTGATTCAATTTCTTCCATTTCATCTACAATCTCAAGAACATCACTTTTTGGTGAAGAACATAACCAATTTTGAGTGCAAATGAGTACCTCCACTGTTCTTTGGGATAATGAACTCCAAAAAGGATCTAGAATGTGACTACCAGTACTAAATGTTGATTCAGATGCCATAGTAGAGACAGGTATTGCCAACACATCTCGTGCAATATAAGACAAATTCTTATATATTTTTCAAAATTCATCTTCCACCAACTCAGGAGGTCAAAGTTCTCATTTTTTGGATTCTCACATGTTTCAATTAAATACCTATCAACTTCTGTTTTGGACTCTTCACCATAAGTTTTCTCCACAAGTTTCATGAATCCAGTTGTGAAAGCAGTAGCAAAATTTACTTCATTACTATCAATCTCCATCTCACTTGGATTATGAGTCTCATCCTTATGTGCAACATTTTCTTGGTAAAGCAATTTATATTGATCATACAATTCATTCAACTTGCTTCTCACTTTACTTGTCATCTCACTAGCTTTATCTTCACCACATAACAAAGAAAAACAATACTGCAAATAACGTTCCTTGTAACGAGGATCAAGTAAAACAACAACAAACAAATACATGATAATTTTTTGGTAGCTTCCCCAATATATTTCATACTTCTTCAGCATATTCTCAGCCATAATCTTAAGAAAAACATCTTTACTATGACTCCAACTTTGCAATTGCACATGAATCATACATAGTTGTTTCAGAAACAGATTTGAGGTTACATACAAAGTACCATAAAAGACTTTCAAAAACTTAATAAAGTGGCGGGCATTATTCCAATCCAATGAGGTGGGAGCCCTTTTCCTTTCATCCACACAAAACTCACGAACATATAGTGTATCTTGTTCCTCTAATCATTCAAAAGCTTTTTGATATTTTTCTGCAACTTCTAACATTAAATAAGTAGAATTCCACCTTGTCGAAACATCTTGACATATAGCTTTATGTGAAGAAATTTTCACTCGCTCCACACAAGCCTAGGTTCAAAAACACGTAACATATCGCTAAAACCCTCACCCTCTACAACTCTAAAGGGTTGTTCATCAAGTATAATATATCTAACAATTGCTTCCCTACATTTCTCTGGACTATAACTTGTAGCAATCAGTTTGCCTTCCTCCTTGCTTTCCTTTGGTTGGAAAGACAAAGTTTTTTGCTTCTTAATATCTCGACCTAGATATTCTTAACATTGATTTGCCAAATGACTCAAAAAGTTTGATGTCCCATTTCTTTTGCTACCACATGCATATACTTTGTTGCAATATTTACATTTTGCCTTGGGATTTTTTTGGATCATCTTGCATTTTAATAAAGTGCTCCCAAACAATTGAAAGAGGTCTAGCAATTTTTTTCTTACCTTCTTCTATGGGAGTAGAATCATTGGCTTTGGTTTCTTGTGGCAATGCTTCAGCATTTGAAGGCTTGACAGTATCGAGCCCATTAGAAATTAAAGGTGTATAAGTTGGTGGGTGATTTGTATTTCCAGTTTGATTTTCATTGGAAGTTGAAGTTGGAGTAGTCACCTGTTTCATAAATACTCCACCAATATTTTCATGCTTGAGAAGATGCAAAATGAATAATTGAATCATTGAGTTCTTGAATCCAAAATAATGAAAACTTACCAAGCAAGAAGATGCAGATGAAGCCATGGTGTTAGGTTATGAAATGTGAAAGTGAAACTAAAAGTTTGAACTCTAGAACGTGAAAGGTCTTTTCTTTTTTTGGAACGTGAAAGTTGCTACGTTAGAGGTGTTTTATTTGTACTAGAATTGGAACTGGAACGTCAAAGGTCACTAAATTGAAAAGTCTTAGCATTTAAATTTTAAAACTAGGGTTTTGGATTTGCACATAGAAATCTAGAATTGTTATGCTATATTAATATAGTTTTTCAAAAGAATATCAATAAAGCTGTGTTGGTGTGTTGGTTTTTAAATATGTTGTACCTGGTTCAGGTTCAAATACTAGGAAATGCAAATATTTGCATATATTTTTTAAAAGGTTGGATCGGTTCAGTTTGTATTAGATTTCAAATTCTGGATTCGCTAACCAAATCAATCTAATCGGTTTTTCATTTTTTGAATCCAATCCAATCCGCCAATATTATTGAAACCAATAAAATTGGATTGAATTGGTCAGTTTTGATAGATTGATTTGGATCCTGTACAGCCTTATGGATTACATACCTTATGGAGAAAATGACAAGGAATTTAAAGGAGGCACATTTTTAGAATTTCAATGGTTTACATTATATTCGTTGACAGCCCAAAATAATACCAAATTCAGGTGCCAATTTAACATTTTTGTTCAAGCCACCAACTTCCCAAAATAACATTATAATTTTTATTCAAGCCACCAACTTGCCAAATTAACATTTTTGTTCAAGCCACCAACTTCCCAAAATAATATTATAATTTTTGTTTTAATCTTTGTTTTATTTACTTTTAGATTATATAACAAAATTGAAACAACCAAAAACATTAAAAAGATAATCCAACATTAGTGAGAAAAATCAGCTGAACTCATGACATTTGGAAATGTTTTCATGAAATGGCAGTCATGCAAGCAATAAGACTATTTGTTCATTAATCATGTTTAGATTTTCTCAACCAATAATAATAATAAAGAAAATTTAAAATTACCTTAAGCAAATATTATCCTAATCGGGAGGGCCACTTGTAGAGAAAAAATGAGGAAGTTCTGTGCACCTACAGGCGCCATTAACAGGTAACGGCAAAACATGGCAGGTTTGGTTGTTGCATGGACGCCAAATATGCCATGCTTGCCTGTCCTCCTCAGGAAGGATCAAAATTCAGAACTCTGATCCCCTGCAGACGCGCCCCACTACACCCGCGCCCATCAGAAAACATCAGACCCAATCAGATTGCAAAACCTCACAATCAATCGTTGTCAAAACCCTAAACTCCCTTTTGACTCTGGTGCGAGCGACCGCAGGCCACAATTCCTCCTCGTATCGTCTTCGTTGTCACTGAAATGGCTCTGACTCACACTCGCTCACTCGTATATATACTGGATGTCCTTATCTTTCAACACTTTCTCTGCCTCTCTCTCTCGTTTGCTCTCGTTTGTTCTCTCTGTTCTCTCTTTCTCGTTTGCTCTCTCTGTTTCTCTCTGTCTCATTTGCTCTCTCTTTCTCTCTTACTCTTTGTGTTGCTTCAATGGCTTCCGAGCACTGCTTCTTCTGCAAGGCTGAGATTGCTGAGTTCATTACTGGCTGGCCGTTGAAAGATGGCTCTTTCGCTAAGCTCTGCGGGAAATGCGGGTAAGCCAATTTTCCTTTTACATTTTTGTTTCTCTGAAGGATTTGTCTCTTTTTTTTTGGCTGGTGTGTGACATGTTTGCATGCTCTATTTGATTTAAATTAGAGTGCTTTTTTTTTCCCTTCCTTTTTGAAGAGAAAATGTATGGCTTGGATTGTTTTGCTGGTATATGTATTGCTCTGTGCTCTTTGGGACTGAATTGAAAGTGTTTCTATGTGTGTTTTTCTGTGATGTAGTAGGTGGTCCAGGTTGATAATGATTTAATGCCCTTTTGGGATGTCAAGTGTCATGATTTTCTTTGCTTTTAATTTCTAAAATTTGTTGATTTTTTGTGGTGATTCTGAGTTATTGATTCTAATCGATTGACTTAAAACAGCTAATGTTATCCGTTAAGATTTTCGGTTCAGCCTTGGTGGATATGACTTCACTCCCTTTAGCATAAAACAGAAGGGACTAGGTTGAAATCGTGACATTTTTTCCTTGTGGGCCTCTCCCTGTTGAGGGAGCTCACACTAGCATGGGATAAGGTTAATGGTAATATAACATAACAAAACACTACAGGGGATATGCTCCTGCATGCAATGACTGTATTTTCTAGTAGCAATATACTTTAATATATGGTGCTAGTTACTACTAGGATGTTGATGGGTTGATTGAAGGAACATATAAATGGCTATTGATTGGGTAATGTATTTTCTTCGTCAACATTTTGGTTTGAATGTTGTGTGGGCTTTTCTAGACTCAAATTTGATTAAATGAACTCTTCTATTATTTAAGCTGGGCCTTTAGTGATCCTGAGAAAATGAATTGGTGCATAAAACGGGCATTTATACCCTGTCTTAAGGTTACATATGAAAATTTGGATTCGAATAAAGAGATTCATTACTTTATGCAATAACTGTCCTGTGAAGCAAACCAAAATTCGAATTTCGGTTGATGCATGGATTTAGCGAGTCGAAGTTGTTTATCAGCCAATTTTGCAGATGTTGCATTAGTATTCATTGGAAAAGGAGCAGAACTTGGGTTTTGTTTGCCTCAACATATGGAAGAAGTGAGCAAAATCATGTAAATCTGATGGGACTTAATGCTGTAAATGTTCATGCCAGTTTTGTTTCATTGTCTCTTAGGTAGCGTTGGTCTTGCAGATTTGGCACTTGGGAATGTGAATGTGATTTATTTTCCATATTTGGCAAGTTCCAACATGGGAAAGGAAGTGGTGTAGATCAGTAGTGATTTGATGCAGGAGCATCTACAAGGCTCTCCAAGAGTATGCGGACCCTCTAGCAAATTAGGACAGGGTTCTAGCTATTTGGGAATTTTAGTTTTTTTTTTGTCATGTTTTTCTTTCATGTTTATTCCTGTTAGGATTAGGATTTATTAAGTAGTCTTAGTAGGAATAGATTTGTTAGGTAAGAACTAGTAGGATTAGGTTTTCTTAATAAACAAGGAATAGGAATGCTAGACTGCTTTACTCTAGTATAAATAGGCTCTTAAGACTCTTGCATTCAGTTTGTTATGAATATTATCCCATAATTCGATTTATAGAGTTTCTTTTGGGATTCTTGCCCTAGAACTCAATTATCTTCATTCCAACTTCAATTCTATGGCTTAATCTCTCTATTTTCTTTTTCTTTTTTTAAATCTGTTTCTACTGTGTTTTGGCCTTATTCTACCTGCTAGACAGCAACTTATTGTTACTGCCACGCACCAGGAAGGGTTGGGTTTTCGATACCCATGGGTATCCAAGACCCCCAAAATAGGTGCTTTGCTTTCCCAAATGATGAGGTGGGCTACCCATCCCTATTCGTTAGGTTTGATTTAAAATAAATGATAATGAACCTAAACCCTTAAATTTATGCTTTCAAAAAATAATATACCATTGGGTCTCTAAGAAATCCTTCAAATGGGAATGGGTAAGGGTTCCTAGGATCCCATCGCATGAAACAAGTGCTCCTTAGATTTTTGGATATAAGGAAGACATGAATCTTGAAACCTTGGAATTGTTGGTGTTTCTATATAAATTCTTGGGACTCTCCTTGCAAGTTACAACTACTAGCTTCAAGGCTTTTACGTGTTCGTTGGAAGGCAGCTAGCTCCAAGGCTTAATGTTAAGGCTTAGAAAGCTTACATACAAGACGGTGACTTACTACAAGGGATATTCTCTAGAATGTTGCTACTTGCATGTGTTGTTTTTCGGGTACAAGTTCTTTTGTTGAAGGTCGCTCGAGCTTTTCCTAGTAGTATGGCATGCTTTACTTCATAGCCCGTGGACGCTTTTCAAGAAGTTTCATTTTCCTTCCCCGTCAACATAGCAAAGGAGTTTTTCTAGAAAGCACCTCAGTCATTCATCAGAAGATCAATTCCCCTTTGTGCACCCCAAAATAATTATAAATGTGGATGCTTTTGTAAAGAAGATTATGGGATGTCTCTCTTCAAACATTTTGATTAATCTATATTTTCCTAATTTGTCACTCTAATAAATTCCATAAATTAGGGTGTCTTTTATTGCTCCAATATGATCTCCTTAAGTTGTAAAAGGATTAAAGGTGATGTGCATGACTCACTAGTAATGACTAACGATGAAGAGCTATGTAGTAGTTACTATCTTTTTTGTAAACTTTTTCCTAATGCTTCACAACTTACTTTTATTGTTGTTTGTTCACCGTGGTTAACTTTTAGAAAGTCATTATTATGACCTAAAGAACATGTTTCTTTTCCTTGCCTTTACTTGTATCTACAATAGTAAAGCCAAGTGAAGATAGTTTGATGATCAACTTGAACATTTCTCAAAATCCAAGGATACTAATATTTGGTATGGTCATGACTGTAAAATTCATAACATACTATGAAAAAAATGTTGCTTTTTTGAAATATGAATGGTGTCTTTGTCCATGATCATTAGCACAAATTAATTCAACAAAGAAACTCCACGCGTTTTGTTTTTGAAAATGTGATTTGTGGGCAAAATTTCAAAATAGTTTGATGGCAGATCTTTCTTAGAATAAAGGTCTTCCTTGAATCCCTCCACTACCTAAATAACAATGCCTCATTTGATAATGAATTTGAGGACTCCTCCTTTGTACGCAGTTGTTCTGAGCTTCAAGTACGAATCTCATGGAGAATTCAGTCCTGGCTCACGGTATCTAATGCCATTTGATCCTCTAGTTCTTGTCTCCCAATGTCAATGTTGGTCCAACATCGAGCCTCGTCATTGGTGTTCTTTCCAATCTCTACGCATTCACCACTCCACCAAAAATTCTCTCTGCCCCTACCGCACTTCATGAGAAAAATATGACCAATAAACAAGCAACAAAACTACTTGCTCCAAATAACTTCTTCTTGTTGCATCGAAACATACAAATGTTGAATAGTCTGGGGTCGACAATTCTTTCCCCTTCTTCAAACTCAGACTCATATTCGTATTGGACTTGGAGAAATCTATTACACAATTTATGAAGAAAAACATTGTAGGAGAAAAACAATGTAGTTGACTCATTTGGAAGACACAAGTAAGTGCAAGAATTACTTGCCTTGATATGGGTTTATTAAGGTTTAAAATAGGTAACTAGTGAATCTTACAATGAAAGTTAATGTTTGTTTACTTACCATCTTTTACCATATTTTCGTGGGCCAAATATCAATGATAATAATGATGGGGACAAGGGTCTTGATCCCACTACAGTGTAGTAAATCCGAAGAACACATTCTCAATCTACGTTGCTGGGTATAACTAGCTTGCGAAGGCATGGTCACGAGGGTTTGTTGGCATACCACCAGAAATAAGCGTATGTTCCATCCAGAGTCTTCTCTTAAACATAGATAGGTGAGTTCATTATAGAAGAACTTCCTAGAATACAGTCCTAGCCCTTTGTTTTTGACTTCTACTACGTGAAGCCATTCTTGGACAATGTTGGTGGTTTAGGGTTTCCTAATGTTGCAACTTGGGACAATGATGCGGAAAGTGGTCCTGATCTTGTAAGAGAAATTTAGGGCAAGTCCACGAGTGGAGGGAGCTAAGGCTCGAGACAGGCAGGTGCCCTTCTCCACCCCTCCCTCAAATTTCTTTTTTTAAAAAAAAGAAAATGATTACATGTATATTTTTCTCAATAAAATATGAAATTGCTCTCAAATTTCCAAGTGTCCCCTTCCCCTCTTTGTCTTTTCTTTCTCTACCTCTCTTCTCTCATGTCTACCTCTTTCAAATCTTTCCCTCTCTTACTTTGAGTCTGATTATGCCTTCTCTCTGGTTACCGCTTGCTCGTTGACTCAGAGTTTGAATTTAAACATAGACTAGGGTATCAATTTCTTGTAGTGCTTTCATGGACTTTTTAGCTACATATGTTAGCACATATGTAGTTGAATGAAATTTATTATTGTGTAAATTCATGTATTTTTCTTTATTGAATTTGAGTCTAATATAGTTTGTTGGTATGCATAACTATTAGATTTTTAATGTTACAAATTAAAAAGCATGAGAGAGAGCACATAATTAGAGATTTATAAATAGTAAAACCTTTAGCTTAAATTGTCAGAATTTTGAATTGTTTGAGGTGCCCCTCTCTTAAAAATTTCCTTGCTCCACCCCTTGAGACATTCTCAATCAAATTTCAGGCTACAATCCTATGCTTGTGTGAAACCAGCTTCATACATAGTTGGCAGTTAACTAGGTCTGGTCTTGAGAGATGTAATTAATGTTAATGTTCATAGGACAAAAAAGAAGAATAATTGTATAAGAAAATAGGAAATATAAGAGTTACATTAAAGATCCTAAAAGACTCAAGTGGGTAACATATTTGGAAATAATATTTTCATTTACCTCTGTATTTATTTACCAATATTTGCACTTCGTTAAGCTAGATGAGATTAAGGGCCGGAGTTGTGATGTGTGCCTACTCACTTATGTGCGACGTTGACGTAGGTGTAGCTTCATAGTTTAGGATTTTCAATTTTCTGGTTGACATATTGAAGTATCTTGAGCCTTCATATTGGATTTGTTACCGCCTTTAGGGTAATTCTAAGGTTTCCTTATTTGGATTTGTTCAGCTCCATAAACTGACTTGGGGCATTGTCATTCTGTTAGACAGCATTGAGCACTGAAAAAAATTACAGAGAATTAATGTTCATTTTGGTTTTATCCTTCGGTCTCTATTATCTTCAACTTAGCCTCTTGCGATCTTTTGCTTCCTGGGTTTTACACCAGTAAGGATGTCAACAGTTGGGAAAAAAAGTCTTGATCCTACGTAAGCAAGTCATATTCAAAGACACATCCTTAGTCCAAATTAGTGGCAATAAATAGCTTGCATGAAGCTAGAGTCACAAGAATTTCCTTATCAGATAGATAAGGTATAATTAATGGTGTAAAACTTACTTTGTGTTTGTGTTTAGATTTTTTATTTATTTATTTTTTATTTTTTATTTTTTGGGGGTCTGAGTGTTTAGTTTTCTTAGTGTTATCATTATCTGCTTCTCTAGTTAGGTTTTCTAGATGAATTGTCGTCTTTGAATATTATAACGGTATGCTATCTAGACCAGCCATTTAATTGTTTAATGGGTATGTGGGTTACTTTGATCACATGATCAATATCCTTTCATTGTCATATTTGATATGCATTAACTTGGTTATTCAGTAAGTCTGCAAGTGAAAATTGATACATTGTCGCACTATTCTTCAGAGTTTCTGGTAACTGACTTGATTATTTGCAAATTTAGTTATGCTTATATACATGATCAATTCTGTGAAAATTTTCATTCCAAGTCTGATGGATGGAGACACTGTGATGGCTGCAAGAAGGTGAGCTGGCAACTTCACCCTTTGTTTGTTTTTGGCTTTTTGGATCTATATTCGGATCAACAAAATTTCTGAACTCCAGATTTTGTTTTATATACCAAAAATTTTGTTTTATTTACCATTAATTTTAACTAATAATTGGCAGCGACTCCACTGTGGATGCATTATGTCATGCCACATGTACACGGAACTGGACTATGGAGGTGTAGGTTGCAGTAAATGCTTATTGCGAAGTAAAAAATCTATGGAGTCAGGTGAAGTGATAAGTGATGTTTGTGTTTTTATGACTTGTATACCTTATCTGTGGAAATTTGAAAATTAATATGTTCTAAAGCATTTTTATATAAACTCAGATGCCTTGTTTCAATATATGGTTTGTGTGGTGTTTCCCTTGTTAAAAAAGAGTGTGTGCTGGAATTCTTGAGGGGACAACATGTGTATCCACCCGCATCTGATGCTCATTTGGAAACTTATGAAATAACTCAACTACTTTACCTTAGAAGTCTTGAAGTTGGACTGTGTCATTCTTTTTCTTAATCGCTATAGATTGTTATTTTTAGTATGTTTGGTTTGCTGCATGCTAAAAGCCATACATTGTCAACTTTCAAATATATGCATGTGTGTATCTAGATTCTCAGAATTGTGTTTATTAGACACCTCATTCCCATGTTAAGTTTTGCACTTAATGTTTGTGTCCTCAACTATACGCTTGAGTTGAAAATGTCTCCAAGAACTTAAAAGAAAAAAAGAACACTCAGTTTTGTCATTTAAACTTAAAGGGGAGAAAGAAAAAAAACAATGGAGTGCAAGAAATGCAGTGAACTGAAGAAAAATGTCCTTTTCTTTTCCTCAATTTTCGTAGGCAAGGAAAGTTGGAGGAGAAATTAAATGAAGAAATCCTGGTTACAAACTTACAGCATAATTGTTTTTGTGGTGAAATTTTTCCCAAACTTGTTTTCTTAGTTTTTCTTTTTAAGTATGTCATGATCCTCAAAGAAAGACTTAACATAACTTTTCTTAGTGATTTCTTTTCTTCTCTTATCACTTTTAATCTATGTAATTTATCTTCCCTATTCTTCTCCCTCGCCAAAAATAGTTATGGGTTGCAATTCTTTGCTGTTATAGTGGTTATCATTATTGATTCAGAAAAATCACTGGAATGAGGTAGTGATTACTGAATCTAGCCAGTCCTCTACTTTTTCAGCTGCCAATGAAGGGATGTATTTAACAACATTATCTGATTCTGATACCCATTCTGTGGCATCTAACGAGATAATTGCTGAATGCTGTTCTCCTGGATCATCTAAAGGAAAAGCTTCTGCACATGTTGGAGAAAACTCTAATGTGGATTCTAGTGGACATACAGGTTGTGAAGAAGGAGTAGAGAGTGAAACGCCACGAGTGGATGCCTCTACTCAAAACCCTTTGTATCCTCAAAGTCTGCTTAAGATGACAAGTCATGAGCAGCTCCAGAAAATCTCTGGAAAGTATCCACTAATTTTTTTTGTGTCATAGGTCTTAGAAGTTGAAAGAAGGAATTTGTTATTTTATAATTTTTCATAGTAATAGAAGTGATTTTTTTAATGCATTGAGTTCATTTCGATTGTGATAAAATATGGGCACTGCTTCTATGCTACCACTCTTTATTTTATATTTTATATTTGTTTTGATGTTTATATTTTTGAATCCGTGAGTCCTTGACCCAATCTGAGATCGAACATTGATGCTATACCTCTGTTTGAGAAGTCATTAACCGCAAGTGATACTTTCCTGAATACAGCACGTCTAGTGATACCAAAGAAATGTGCAGAGGTAAGTCCCAATGCTCATTTACTATTTGATTAATCTCAGTACATTAACATAATTGCTCTTCATGGTTTTCCCTGTTCTTCAATTTGAAATTGGGAATGGCTGCTGGTGCAATATGAACAGTGGCACCCCAAGTCCAACAAAAGTTTTGAGGGACTTGATTTTTCCTTCAGAAAACTTTTTGAGAAGGGGGTGCCTCATATCATGCCTTGTGAATTGTTATTGCTATGTTGTCCTGTTCCTAGTCATCTCATTTGTCATCTTTTTAATCTTGAAAATTTCCTTTGTTATATCGTTTTATACTTGTGAACTGACAAAATATATTTAAGTCTGAGCAATCATTTTGGCTATTGAGTCAATTGACTGCTTTAATCTATAAGGTAAATATTTGTAACCCCAGTCTCAAGCATGATGGTCTTACCTCTTTCTCTCTCACTCTCTCACTCTCTCTCACACACACACAATTATACACCAACAAACACCCAATTGCGATTTTAAAGTAGAACAGTTGTGTCAAACTATTGATTCTTGTAGCAGAGCCAAATCCTTCCCGGCAAAAAAATAAAGCAGTCACCTTTACATGAGAAGGGATCTTAGGGAGGGGAAATAAAACTATTCTTTATGCATTTGTCTTTTGTTTACTGAATCAGCTAGGTTAAATTAGTTTTTTTTTCAGAATATATATTTCTGACTCATCTAAACAAGCAGGAAACGTCTTTGTCCTTACTCTTGAAGTTTTGTGTGTTGCTCACAATGAAACAGGCCCATTTTCCAAAAATTTCTGAAACACAAGGATTCCCCATCGCAATTCAGGATTACACAGGCAGGGACTGGAAATTTCAATATCGTTGCTGGCAAAATAGTAACAGCAAAAAGATGTATGTATTAGAAGGGCTCAAGGATTACATGATCTTAAATCAGTGGCAAGTTGGGGACACAGGTATCATATAACTCAGTTAACAAAGTCTGGACATCCTGTTATTTAATTCATTTAAGTTTTTTTGTGACAAGTTGTTCTCTATGGGTTGTTGATGATTCTCTCTCTCTCTTTCTCTCTCTCTCTCTCTCTCTTAGTTTCATTGTTCAGGAGTTTGATAGTGCCTACTTTTTAGCTAACCTCAAATCCTGATTTGAAGTAGAGCTACACTCAACTAAATGCCTTGACCTTTTTATTACTTTTTCTACCACTGATATCATATGTATGAATTATGTACTCAATGATATTGACGTCAATCCCATTATAAAATAAATAAACACAATTATATTGGCATCAATGATTTAACTATCTTGAATACTTTTTCATTTTTATGCAGGGAATTTCCTGAAAGTTTGTGTGAGTTTTAAACATGTTCACTTATGAGCTATATATCCTATGCATCGAAGATGTCCTAATTTTGTGACCAACATGGTGCATTTTTTCAGTGACGTTTCATCGAACAGAACAAGAAGGAAAACTGATTATTGGAACAAAAAAGACGCCAGCTTCTGTTGCTTCTATTCAAGCTCTTAAGGTACTGCATGCTACAATATTCTTTTCATGTGACTATACAGCTTTAATGTCCTCTAAAATACGAAACATTTTCTAAGCTACATACTTCGTCTTCTGTCTTAGTGTTTTCATATGATGTCCAATGCAAGAATTTTCAACTCTGAATGATTGAAACTTTTCTCTTCATCTTCGTCTTCCGAGAAACTGATGTAACATATGGATGTGACTGATGTTGCCATGATACTTCTTAGATCCTTAGTTTTTATAGCAGGAGCTACTTAACTGAATTGAATAGCAACAAGTGATATCTTTTCTTCTGACAGGAAAAAATTTGGAAACTACTAGGCTGAAGGGAGACCAGGTAAACAGCTTCTTTTCAAGTAGTCACCTTTCTTTACAAAAGCATATGTTTCTATAATTTCCATGTATAATTTGATTTTGCAATTTTAGTTTTTCATTGAAAATTTTTCCATCTTCCTTAAATCTTAAATCTCTTTTCCAGATACTATACTGATGTTCTAAAACAAGTTCTTATCCTCTCCCAGGACCAATTGAACCTTGTGCTTTGTTGGATGCTTGAAGGTCTTTATGCTCATTCAGTCAAGAACCTAGTGTGTCAGTGTCACGGAGACCTTCCTTCTCTCTTAGGCTTATCAAACTCTCTGAGCTTACAAAGCCAAAAAGAAGTAACTTTCTTCATTGTTCCCATAACAATATTTCAATACTGGTTTTTTTTTTTTTTTTTTTTTTTTTTTTTTTTTTTTTTTAAAATTCAAATTTTTTTTTTTCTTTTTTTTTATAAGGTAATTTGAAAAGATAGGGTCAGAAGAAGAGAGGATTTCTCTAAGAGTTCCAGCAATATATACTTGTGATTGTTTCAGGATAAAATATTGTCTAAACAATGCAAATGCAATCTTTACCAAAACAAAAAAAGAAGCAAGAAAATTGGGAACTTGTGTGCTTCATAATGCTCTTAAGGACAATGATGCATTACTCTAAGAAAATCAAGTCTTTTGTACAAGAACCTTGATGTTATGGAGTAACCTTTTACTAAGGATGTCCGTGGTCAAGGTTAGGTCAGTAACAAATATTTCTGATGAATTTGAGAACTACCCCAGTTCAAAAATTGTTTATTAGGTCAAACTAAACAAGTCTTGCTCATTTGATTGATCTATGGATATGTTTTTTTTATTTTAATCCTTGCCTTAAAGAGATGAAAATACATTTTCTTTATAAAACAAAGAGGTTTCATGTCTCTACCTTCCTTATAGATTAAGTTAACAAGAAATTGCTATAATGCACGTTTTGCTGAAGAACTGAAAAGCTCATTAAGTTTGAAATTTGAAGATCCAACAGTTTTCAAGCATTCAGATTTTGTATAGCTGTTGCTAGTGAAATCATTACTAGAAAATTATCCCTTAATATAGCATTACAGCTTCCTGCCTTGCCAACATTGTGAAGAGTCTGTGGTTACCAAAAACAGCAATTTAAATAAAACTTGTAATACATCTCAGAAACTAAAATTAAACTTTACCAATTGTAGTGTACTCTTGAATAGTTAAAAAGAATCCAGCAACACTGGCTTGACAACAGACAAGTATTTCCAAATTAGGTTACTATAGAGTATGAGGTATTTTGGTTATAAAAAAAACGCATTAAGAAAGAGATTCTTGAATTTTTCATGTTAAGTTTTACCTAAGTACACAGCCTACTAGGTGACTGATTAAAGTCCTCACTAAAAATGAACTTCTTAGATATTGGAGTATTCCATTTTACCATTTGGAGGTCCATGATACATTTGAACTCTTTCTGTGGCGACCATTCTGGATTATGAATAACTTGTATTAGTTGATAACCCTACTCTGGATTATATGCTTATTCCAATGAAGATATTCAAATTACTCACCGAACGGCGCGGCCATAAGAGTACCAATTTTGAATCTTCCCCTTTATGCCTATCCTTTGCCTTCATTATCCATCCAGTAACTCATATAATATGAAAGGATCTAATGAATTTCTGCCTGTCAAGTGTGGGGCTCTTGTCTGTGACATTCTTCCCCACATATAAACCCCCTACCTACCTGTTCCATCCTACCCCTGTGAGTCTCATTATTTACGAGGACATCATTATGTGGGCGCTTATACCACATATTAGGTGCCTTAGATCAAACTCATTCCATTCTGATGGGGGTTCCTTGTTCATCACAGATTGACGATTGTGTCCCTTCAGGGACATCCAATAAACTTGGAATGAGATAGAGTGACTAAGTTTTAATACTGGTGGTCTTTTTTTAAATACATATCCAGTTTTCGCATCCCCCCGCCCCCTTTTTGAAAACAAAAGAAAAAAGAAAAGAAGAAGAAAGAATTCCTTGTAGACCTGAAAAATCCTTGCTGCCTGTCCTTTCTTGGAGGCCTAAGTGAAAAGCTGTATGACCAGGCCAACATATCATTTGAAGATTTCACATTCTACAGCAATATTTCTTTGAGTTGACCAAGCCATCCTTCAATGGTGGTATAAAGAGGGTTTACAATTCTATACTGGATATTCGTTGGCTGCTTTTGTAGCACTTTAAACACTGAATTTTGTCAACCATTGATAGAGTCAGTTTCCTCTCTCTTTTGCTTGTATCCGTATGTGTGATCTGATTTTCTTAGATTTGGTAAGTTAGTTTCTGAAAAAGAAAATAATTATGAATAAAATGAGTTAATGATATTAGCTTATGCTTAAGTCCCGGCTATACAAAGTAAGCTGCAAACCAGAAAATTCAAAAGCATAATTGTTGAAAGCAAAGAATCTGAAATTTGATGGAAATAAAAAGGGTGAATAGGCATGACAGAGCACAGCTTTTGCTTCTTTGTTTTTAAATTATTGAAAACTAAACTTTCATCAATGGCTGGCATTGCGTAAATTTAACTATGTTTTTGCTAGAATCATTGATGTCATGCAAAAGGATTGCTCCTACTGCTGATGGTCAAGCATATTTTCTAAATTTTGATGGCTGGATAACTTAATCCTTTCTCTTCTGTGTTACCCATCTCCTTAGTTTTTACATATGCATGAAAGACCTGCTACATCCGATAAGCTCTTATCCAGACATTGAATGCATCGCTCTCCGGAGCTTACCTTGTAAGTAGTACTTAACCATGTTTCTGACATCATTGCTTTCACAAGCAAGATGGCATTCACGCACTCTAGCTCTTTGATTGCCTCAGTGCATGAGTAGCCATAAGATAGTGTTCTGGTAGTCCTCCCCACTCTTTAGGATGGGAAGACATCAGGCTAAAAGTGTTGTTCTCCAATTTTAGTTAAATATTATCAGAATGTTACTTTGGAAGCTTTGAAAAGTGACTAACAATTGAGATTCAAGGGGTTCTTTCACGCTGGGGGTTTAGCTATGCTTCAAGCTATGTAGTACCAACTTATTATTATCCTTGTAGTACCAAGTGGTGCAGCTCTTAAATTGGAAAAGATGATGAATTTTTCCTGGGCTGGTTTAGAGGGTGGGCAAAAAGGCCATCTAGTGAAATGGGAATTGGTGACTCAAAGCGCGGAAAGATGGGGCTTAAACATTGGCAATTTGTTGATGAAGAACATCGCTCTTTTGGGTAAGTGCCTTTGGACATTTCCTTTAGTAGGGGAGTCATTGTGGCATGCTGTCATAAGAAGTAAATATGGGTTTGAAGAGAATGGGCGGGATGAAAATCCAGCTCAGAGGGGTTCTAGCTGGAGTCCTTGGAAAGACATTTTGTCAAGGGTATGATTTGTTCCTACCAGGTTGTGGGTAATGGGGCTAGGGTGAGATTTTGGTATGACAGTTGGGTGGAAGAATTTTCCTTGAAAGAAAAGTTCCCTGCTGTTTAACTTATCATATTATAATAAGAAAACAGTAGCAAGATTAGTAGAATTCTCATCTGATTCACTCAACTGCACTTTTGGTTTGAGTTTAAATGATTTCGAGAACGAGGACCTTTCTTCATTGCAGGCTATACTGAAGATTCAGGTTGGTGCTTGATAATTTGGATGCAAGGAAGGTGAAGGGAACCGTTCTTGTAAGTCGTACTTACTTATGTAGTAATGCCACTACCTTTGATTTTCAGTTGTATAGTATGATCTGGAAAGCCAAGGCTACTCTGAAGGTCGATCATGGAAAAGTGAGCAACCATGGGCATGCATTTCTCCTCACTGGTGTATCAAAGAGGATGGGGAGAAGGTTTATCATGTGTTTCTGCACTACACAGTTGCATTAAGTCTGTTCCTTAAACTGTTCAGGGAGGCTGAAGTGAGCTGGGCAATCCCAAAGGGGTGTCACGCCTTGTGTGAAAAGCATGTAGAGTTTGGTGGTAAGAAAAGGGCCAAAGAGAGAAATAGAAGACTTTTTGAAGACAATGGTGGGATGGAGGTGGAGGATCTTTGGTATTAACTCAGATTTTGGTTATTGCGAAGCTTTCGTGAAGCTTTCTTTTCTTTTCTCTGCAGCATTCATGAAGCTTTCTTTTTCTGTTATTGTACTTGGAATTTGATATGTTTCATTTCTGGTAGTTAGATTTGAGATTGTATCTCCGTGGTAGACTACTTGAGCTTGCACTCTTTCTGTCGTTAATATAATGTTTCCTTGGAAGAAAAAAAAAAATTAAAGGTTTACAGTGAGGCAGGGAATTGAAAAAAGAATAAGAAATTGAGCTGCTTTTTCTGGAGGTATAGAAAAATCCATTTCTGCTACTGAAGTACCTAGTCCTGCCAGTGTTGTATGGAGGATGAGTTATAGCTTCTTTTCTAATCAAAAGTTACTGTAACAAAAAGTTCTTGAACGTTGAGGTAGCATTCTTGGATGTCTAAATGTGTAGGTGCCTTGGGAAAAATATAGAACTTTTAATTGTGCATGGACCTATATAGGCCCTTTAGTTATACTTAATAGAGCATCCACTTGGTTACCAAGAATTCATCAGCTTTGAAAGTAAGCTATGGCAGATTCTATTTTCAATCTCTAAATAATTCTCTGATTTTGTGGTAATCCTTTTGTTGTAGACCAACTGTTTAAACAAATTTATTTAATTTATTTGCTCTGTAGATATTAAATTTGTCAATGATATTTTGTTGACAATTTTCTAAGCATAGATAGCCGTAGTATTCTCTATCAACAAATTTTCTCATCCTCTGATCAGATTATTTCCCTTTTTATTTCAATTGATATTTAAAATTTAAACTGTGGCTTTCTGGAGTGAATCAAAATGAATCACTCTTGCGATTTTTTCCACCCGTGGCATTTTCATCCTGCTGATTCTTACATTGTGTTTCTGACTTCAGTTATAGAAGACCAGATTCTATGAACTTATCTTACATGGGTGCTTATCTTCTCAAGATGGAACTGTGTAAAAGACCCTTGGTATCTGGAATCTTTTCTAGTATAACATTTTGCTGAAGCTGTCTGCAACGGTCTGCTGCTTTTTGATTTCACGCCCGTCTCTACCTCAGAAAAGCTTGCAGTGTGACATTTTGCGGTTTGGAGATTGAGTAAGTTTGTTTCTGCTCATGGGCTGTACTGCACTTAAAAGTAACTGTAATACTAAAAATTGTATAAAAACAATATTAATTTATTTTTTTTCTTCTCTTGCTTACCTGCTGTTTATTTCTAGTCCTGTAAGACCAAAAGGAACCTGCAGATGATATCATTTTTACAGGATGCAAGACCAAAGAAGCCCACATTCATGGTGTATATCGTGTACTTGCTAAGCTTGTCTGCGTCAGATACGTATTTGAGGATACAAGTTTGCCCAGAAAAATGGTTGGCAAATTTTCAACCATGTCATGCATAACCTTGTTTGCCTCTAAAGCTATTCTTGGAATGTTAGAATTACATAAGGAATCCCCAGAAGTCCAAATATTGCTTCTGGTTCATGCCATAGCCATTCGGAGAAATGAACCATCCCAGTAGAAGAAGAAAAATAAACTAAAGCAGATGGGTTTAGAAACTTAGCCTGTATTTTTTATGTGTTTTGACGAAATGGAAATTAGGAAATCTGGGTTACTGTATTCTAGTGGTTTCGTGTAATGCTACATTGCCCAGATTGACTTGTAGTCGCAACCCCTCTTTTGTTCTCCTTTTACTTATCTATTACATTTGATCAGGTCTATTGAGGATTGGAATGAAATATTTTTAGGATTGCATGGCATTGTTTCCTTATATTGTTAACAATTACATATGTCAGTGTAAGAATCTCCTATTATTAAGGGAGTTATTTTATCCATGGTCATAAAGTAATGTCAATGTATTTTTTATCCACGGGAAATGCCGAATAGGGAAAATTCAAACTTGACCATCTTCTAATATTGGATGTAAACTCATGCCGAAAACGGATGTCGTCAACCAATCTGAGAATTTGGCAAAAAGCAAATAAATAAAAAGGAAAACTAATTTGGAAGGGTCCTAGATCCCAAGTTGTAAATTCAGAACATCAAAACCGTCATTGGGCCTCAAGTTGTCTCTTGCATTGCCCCCATGGCCTTGTTTGATAGTATGCTCTATTGCGGGCGCTACTACAATAAGGAGTTTAGATTAAGTAGCTTATTTTATTTGAGGGGTTCAATCCCATCTTCAAATTATTTGAAATGTTTAAGTCCATTGATTTTCTCACATTTGCTGATGGTGGTTAGATTGAACCCCTCAAATAAGCTCACCACTCTAAACTCCTCGTTATAACCTTTCGGCTCTACTGCCTGCTGCGAGCCCAATAAACCCATATGCATGGCCTTGAGATGACAAGAGCCCACTAAAGCCCGTATCTCCCTTTGGTATTTCGACAAGCATGCCTTTGACCATTGACGTTATCTTGGTTAACAATGATCCACCATTGACGTTATCTCACTCGCTGCCATCGCTTGCTTGCTTGCTTGCTTTCGCTGCTGCTCTGCGAAGCAAATCCAAAAAATTTGAGGTAAACCTTGTAGTTTTCTCGGCTCCAAGCCACTCACTTGTGGAAATAAAGCTAAAAGATTTTCCCAGGGGCCAAACGTATCATTCAATGTTTCATTTTTGTGTTCTATTTTTTGAGATTTTCTATGATAATTGTGCAGATGAGTTTGGCTATCAACCATTGCGGCAGCTATGGAATTAATTCTTTCACAATTTCAAGCTGCAAGGGTGGCCGGAAAAGTAGTCACGGTGAGTAAATTGTGGTTCTTTCGTTTTTTTTTATTTTTTATATATAAATATTTATGTTGGCCTGAAGATTAAACTCTCTTATGATTCATCAGAGTGGTATACATGTGGGTGTTACTAATATATAATATTGTAACACAATTGTTTCTCAAATTTCTATCTTCAAGGTAAATATATGGTACCCATCAGAATGCTAAAGGGACCTTATACTTCTACACCTCAGGATCTTAGCCAAGATTTGGCATCATTGGCCAAGAGTGATACAAGCAGCAGCTTCCCATTTAAGACAGTCGTAAATTCCATGGCAGGTAACAGGCTAACAGCCTTTGTCTTGTGCTTAAAAACCTGTACGTTCTGTTTTCACTGCCTCTTTCTTTCTTTATTTTCCCCAAAGAAGTAAACTTTCATATCTCTATTCTACAATGAATAGGTGTAACTTCAAAGATTGAGACATATAAGGGGAACTTTTCCGATTCCTTTGTATTGTGGATGTATTTAGTTTTGAAAAATGTAAGGAAATCTTCCATGTATAGTTGTGGTTCTGGCAATTGATCATACCATTTAAATATGATTGACTTGCATATTTAGATAATATACATGTACATAGTTGCATTAACAGCTCTCAGTTTCTCTCTGTAACTTGTGATTCTCAGTTTATTTAGGGTGATTACATGAACTCTATAAACTTGCTTGTTACTATGATAATCTTTTATTTTTTTATGTTTCAGTGGCAAATTTGGTCTTCGCAGACATGGCGAAGGCTGTAAGCACGGGAAAATTTTTGGTGAGAATTTGTTTTGTGTTTAAGTACCGATGGCTTCTTACCTTTTCAGTAATTAATTTTTTTTCAAAATTCAATTCCATTATGCTATTTAGTTCTTATAGTTTTTGTAGTACTGCTGCTTGATGATAATGCTTTAGATTTAGGGTCCAAAAATTAACTATTTGTGCGTATGGGTCAAGCTACTTTTAAAATCTGTATCCAAATTATACTTCTCATATACAATCTCAGGAACTAGAATTCTTTTCCGAGTCAGGAAGGTGCTGTTTCAGTTTATACCTTGGCTGATGGTGGCCCTGGAGAATGGTTTGGAGGTTTCCTATTTTCTGCTGGACAAGAAGCTAATGAGGCTGTTCAAGACCAGTTATCTGCCCTCAGTTTCTCTAGGTTCAGTCCCGTATTCTTGTCTTCATTCACATTTGTATTTTTTATTATTCAGCATCTTGGAATATACGCTGCTTCTCATTGCTTATTCGTCTTAACAGTTTGGCAGTTATTTTTGGGGCTGGGCTTGTGACCAGCCTTTCTCCTTGTACTCTTAGCGTTCTGCCACTGACACTAGGTTACATAGGTAAAAATTTATATCTTTTATCTTGTGGCTTTGGGGAGAAATGGGTGAAGGGAGTTGTATTTGGGTGATGACTTTCACTCTTTTGTATACATCATGTGTAATGCTGATTTGAATTTATTAAAATCATACAGGAGCATTTGGCTCAGGGCAAAGCAAGGCAGAGGTGATAACTTGCTAAACCAGTTCTCTTATTTCCATTGTTCACCTTTTTTCTGTAAAGTCCTAGGTGTTGTTTATGTGTCAAACTTACCTCAGAAGTACGGGAGTAATTAAATCATTAGTTTAGGCGCTTTGATTATTAATAGTAAAAAATATTTTGAAGCTTTGAATGCATTGGCATTTTAAATATCAAAATGCTGAAAAATAGTTTGGAACAACTTTCACTGGCTTGTCCATTTTTTTTGTTCTTTTCCCATGTTCATTATATTTGAAACAGACTGTTAGTAACATCAGTTTAGTCACTTATCTAAACAAGGCTTCAGTTTTTTCTTGTATGCTTAGTTATCTTAGTATTATGTGGTTCCTTGTATTTTTTTTCATTACGTGCAACTTTTGATTGCTTTTGTAAGCTACTTGTGTAGTTATATGATCGGTTCTCTCTCTCTCTCTCTCTCTCTCTCTCTCTCTCTCTCTCAATGACACATGCATGAGGTTAATGTGCCTTTTTTGGTCAGGTTGTTGGGAATTCAATTGCATTCTCATTAGGATTGGCAACTACACTTGCACTCTTAGGCATAGGAGCCTCATTTGCTGGAAAGGCATATGGACAGACAGGGCAGGGGTTACCTTTGGCTGCTTCAGGTTTAGCTATTGTTATGGGCTTGAATCTCCTTGAGGTATTTATTTTTGTTCTAACATCATTTTCTCCCCAGCGTGTGCTTCTTTTATTTGATAGTATCTATCACCAGTCAATGTTTATCATTTCCATTTTGTATCTGTGAGATATGCCTCCGAAGTCTGATTGTTTAGTTTAACCTTTTAGAAGACTTTGATTGACTAGTTCTTTCTGATTTAATGTTATTCCTCATTTTTATGCTATCATCTTATGGGTTGAAATTGTAGGTAATTGAACTACAGCTCCCCTCATTTTTTAACAATTTTGATCCCCGGGCTGCTGCTGCTAATTTCCCATCAAGTAACTACCCACCCTAATTTTTGAGTTTTTGTGGTTTAGATAAAAGCTGTTTGTCTGAATGATCTTATGAGTTTCAACTTTGATAAACTTTCACATGCTAGGTGTGCAAGCATATCTAGCTGGGCTTACATTTGCTTTAGCTGCCTCACCATGCAGTACGCCAGTGTTGGCCACTCTGCTAGGATATGTAGCTACATCGAAGGTGAACTCAAATTTTTGATATTCTTGAATTCATTTTGAGCTTTTAGTTTTCTTCAGATTTCTGACAGAAAAAGCTGTAGTTTGACATTTGTGGATGTTGTAATGGCTCTCTCTCTCTCTCTCTTCCCTTTATTTCTTGCTTATTGATCTCAGTTAAATCATCTCCGGTATTTCATATATAGAAATTTTTTTGAATCATCCATGTTGTATCATAACATGCAAGCACTCAAAACAGTAGAGGAAAAAAAAAAGAGCAGAGAATTTACTCAAACTGCATGTGTATGGATGCTTTGGGAGTCATTTATCAAAGTTGATGCTCTGAGTGTTCTTTCCAGCTCAAGTTTTCCCTTTCCCTAATTGGTTTACATAGGCATCGAATAATGTTTAATGCAAGAGAACAAATTTTATTACAGAATCCAGTTATAGGAGGCAGCTTACTTTTGACATACACAACTGGTTATGTTGCTCCTCTACTTCTTGCTGCTTCTTTTGCTGGAGCATTGCAGGTATGTAATCTATCACTTTTCAGTTAGTTGTAAGTTATTCTGTTAGAACAGAACAGCAAGTGAAAGCTTCCACCATATTTCTTTGTTATTGTGCGGTTCTCTGCTTGCCTGTGACTGGCCTCATAGTAAACGATTTCAAGACTTTAACAGTGCTGGCAACTTTAAATCATACTTGTGTACTCGTGTCTGTGGATGCGATTGTTTCAAAGTCTTGATTAATTAGAGGAATAATACTAGTCTTACCACATTTCTATACCACATGATGTGGCAGCTAATATGTACGTACCACATCAACTAATTGATGTGATTATTAACACCTTTTTATTTATTTATTAAAATATACCTCATTGATTTAATTGATGTGGCATATGATATGGATAATGGACATGCCACATGACGTGGTATAGAAATGTGGGATAAAAATGTGGTAAGTGTAGCATTACCCTAATTAGAGTGAACTCTGCTTTAAAGTTTTTCTTTTTCTTTTTGCTGAGCAAAACCCATATATATACGCAGAGCCTACTTTCATTTCGCAAATTTTCGGCGTGGATCAACCCGATCAGGTTATACTTAAATCCCTTTCTTTCTCCTTTTCAAATCTTTGAAACTTCTTAGTACATGTAAGTTACCCACATGACAGGTTCCTACATGGCTTTCAATAACATGTTTCATTTTGTTGTTTTAACAGTGGTGCACTTCTGTTAGGAGGGGGTGTGTATACTTTCTTGGATAGGCTTTTCCCAGTTACAATGGCAATGTAGGCATTTGCTTAATGACATAAAATCGAACCACGTTGAGACAGTACCGTGATATACTTATTTCAATTGCTTTTACTCACAGTTTCACATGTACAGAATGTAATAGATCTAAATTAATATCATAGTATGTATTTAATGCGTTCTCTATATAACGCAATGCTTTCTCAAATTGTAATAGTTATGTGTTAAATCTGAAAAACTAAAGTACAAAAGTTGTCGAGGGCGAATATGTGAAAGGACATGAATCCTTGTAAAGCATTCTGATTAGTTAGGAGCAAAATTTTTTACTTCCACTCAAGCTGAGAGAGCAATAGAAACGTTGTTCATCCTCTTGTGCCCTAAATATTTTGGTTCTGAAAAATTAGGCACATCTGTCAAAAGTAAAATGGTTTACCTAATTATAAGAAAGACCATCAACGAGTGATTCATCCTTGACCCAATTATGTTAACCAACATTAAGGTAAGTATTATAGTTGCCTGTGCTTTCAGTTTTTGAGGATTAATATGGTGATGTTTGTGTAAATAAAGAACCATTTTGCTATTGATTTCGTTTTATAACCCTTCACTTTCGTTTTGAGTTCGAATTAGTCCGTCCCATGCAGAAAAAGAAAGAGGTAATTAATTGACCCAACATAAAAAAAAAGACTTTGAAATCTTGAAGCAAAAATCGACGAGGATAACATAAGGTTACGAAGCCCTAACTCTCTGTTTGGTAAGGACTTGGAAATGACATCATTTAACAGAAACGAGGTGTCTTCTAAGATAATGGCAATAAGAGGTATACACATGGACGATTTCTGTACGATACGAGTATTAAATATGACAATGCTAAATTCTTTATACGGGTAATAACTCTAGAAAAGTAAAAACTCAAAAGCAGACAATAGAGAATCAGGTTATGACCTAATAGTAATGGATAATGCTCAAAACTACTCTTATCGATAAACAAAAATCGGGGCAAAGCAATTTTAAAATAAAGATCACAGTATCAATGTAAAGCTTATCGCCGTGCGGCTATACTATTTATTTTATAAATAATTATAAATAAAAATAAAAAAAACACTATCGCCGCACGGCTATGCTATTTATAAAAAAAAGGACCCTTCTAGTTACATTAGTTTATATATTAATTTGCTAGTTTCGATATATATAATTTATAGATTTAAATTTTTTAATATATATTATTATTATTCAATAATATACAAAAATTATGCATATAATACGTGAATTTTGTGTGTATTATTGAAAATTTTGTAAAAAAATCAAGTGTATTAAACATAAACAAAATACATATGTGCGTGTACAATATGAGTATTAAATGTGAAAATGCTAAATTCTTTATACATGTAATAACTCTAGAAAAGTAAAAAATAAAAAAGGTACAATAGAGACTCGAGTAATGGTCTAATAGTAATGGATAATGCTCTAAACTATGGATAAAGAAAAATCGGAGGAAAAAAAATATCACACTATTTATGTGAAGCGTATAGCCGGGCGGCTATACACCTTTTTAGAAAAAAAATCTAGAATATAGCCGCGCGGCTGTACTATGTATAAATAAAGATTGAAAAAACCAGGAGGACCAGCCTAGCGCCCAACTTGCGATTCGGCTCCCACGTGTGAAAAATGCATAGCCGGTCGGCTATACTGGTTTTTTATAATAAAAAATTATAGTCTCGCTGCTATACCTTTTAATAATTATAATAATAATAATAATAATAAGGCTGCCGTAAAGCGGCCGGCTATACTCTTTTTATAATTTAAAAAAAACTCTAGAGTATAGCCGGGCTGCTTTAAAAATTAAAAAAACAAGTTCCCAGTAAATCCGCGCGGCTATACTATTTAAAAAAAAATCTAGAGTATAGCCGCGCGGCGGTACGATTTTAAAAAAATCTAGAGTATAGCTGCGCGGCTATACTGTCTATAATTTGAAAAATAGGACCAGCCTCGCGCCCAACTCGCGATTCGTTGCCCGCGTATAAAAACGATATAGCCGCGCTGCTATATTATTTTTGTAATAAAAAACTGTAGTATAGCCGCCCGGCTAGACTGTTTATTAAAAAAAATTACAAAAAAAGGACCCTCCTAATTGCATTAGTTTATACTTTATATACATTAATTTGCTAATTTCGATATATATACTTTATAGATTTAAATTTTTTTAATATATATTATTATTATTCAATAATATGCCAAAATTATGTGTATAATACCTGAATTTTGTGTGTATTATTAAATTTTTTATAAAGAACCAAGTATAATTTAAACATGAAAAATACGTATATATGTACATGCGAAACACATAGTACATCAACGGTCAGATTCAATTTGCGTGAGCTACGATACCAAATTTCTAACAATAAAGTATAATGCAAGCCCATCGGATCGGTAGATATTGGCTTTAGGGCTATTGGCACTATATGAGATACTGCCAGAGCCGAATAAATAAGGACATGTCTTTAGCTCCATGAATCAATCGTTTAGAGCTGCAGGGTGATGTGATCTTATAGTTGGAGTCTGGACTGATCTCTTGCAAGTATGACAAGGGACTCAGGTAGACGACAGGCCTTGCAGTCTTAAAATGGATGATTTTCTAGGCAGCCAAATTTCCAACTTTTTTTTTGTTTTTGTTTTTCAAGTGGTGAACACTTCACAAAAGATATAGCCACAACAAGTACTTGAAGGTGTGCCTACTTTTTTCTTGAGTGCTTATCCAGAAGCAGAAAAAAGAAAACATTTTTCCAAGGCTTTTGGCCACATCTGCGTGATCCTAAAGCTTTCCTGCACATCTCCTCTGTGCCTTACATTATGAAATTGCTTGGCTGGTTGGTGAAAGGATTAGAGAAGTGTAAAGGAAATGGTTTTAGTTGAACTAAACAAACTGAGGTGAGGAATTTATAGCTTTGATGTGGCTATACTGAAACCAGTTGACACACATTCTTACATCTATGAATGAACTCTCAAACACGTAAACACCACATATTAAATAAAGTGGGAGCTCTTAGAACAAACACGTGATGTGAATCGCTCTAATTTGAACTGATTATCGAAACGAATCTAGTACAGGGAGTCAACTTTTTGATCTGATATTGGTAATTCCGCAATGAACATAAATTAGCTCGCTATAAACATCATTTGTGACCCAACAAAAATTGGGTGCACTATCCCTGTATTTTTCACCACCCTTTTACAGGTTTTTTTTTCACCCAACAAACATATGGCAATTGCCTATTGCCCGCCGAATCCTCTGTTTGCTTTGTTTAAAATTATAAACAAAAACAGAAAAAAGAAAAAAAGAGATAAATAACTGAAACTGAAACTAATGAGCCAATGGAGCCCGGGCCCCACTTCTAATCATCTCCTGGTACTGATTCAACGACTCCTGCCGCTGCAGCCTCATCTCCTCGTTGAACTTCTTGATGAACGCCTCCACTCGGCGGTTCAAATCGTCCTGACTCAGCGACGGTTCCTTCCTGAGCCGAGCCGAGCCGGTCGACGGACTCAGCAGCGACGGCGAGTTAACGGTTGCGCTGCTCTGGTCCGGGAACGTCTCGGACTTGTTCATCTTGGACTTGGGAGGCGTGTTCTGGTCCATACTCCGCACGTGCGTGTCCCACGTGTCGGACTTCTTCAGGTGCCTCGTTAACGGCATCGAACGCCCCTCCGTTATCGTCTTCCACGTGCTCTCAAGCGTATCCTGCCGCTTCGGCTTCGCCACTCCCAACGATTTCCCTCCTGCATTTCCCACAAAACGAAACAAAAAAATTCACTTATTAATTTACCATTTTGACCTCGTCTTTTAAAATTGCTCTCCTGCCCCCCTCATAAGCCGAGGCCAATCTCGACTTTTCGCACTATCAAGCAAATTTGAATTTAAACGATAATAACGAAAATTTAAAAATAAAACATACAGGTGGTGCTCCGACCAGTCGGTTTTCTCAGTTCCTTTTCCTATCCGAAAAATTCAAAAAGTTTTGGACCTAATAGAACGATTCGAAGGAATAATCATACGACATGTCGTACGCAGAGAGAAGGGTACCTTCAGGGCTAGCTCTGGCGGATTTTCTATGACCAAATCTAGAAGAAACGGGAGGTTTCTCGTTCTCGTTCAACCAAAACTCCATAGAGTCTTTCCTCTGCAAACGCGTCCGTACAGGCGTCGACACCCGTACGGCCTCATCGCCGCCGTCCACCGCCGCTCGATCATTGCTCTTCTCCTTCTTCTCATTCTCCGCCGCCTCCGAAATCCTGGCTTCCACCACCACTCCACCGGCCGATTCGTATGAATCTGGAACCTTCGGCAACACATTCGCATCGTAACCGTACTCGTTCAAAACGACGGCGTCGTACGCCGCGTAGTCGGTCCTCACGACTTCTCCGGAGATCTTCACCGGAGTCACAGGCGCGGGGACAGCGATCATCTCTGGCGACGAATCTTCGGGTCTCGGATGGAGCTTGGAGGAGGCGACGATTGTGATGATGATGCAGTTGATGAGGATGTAGAGGTAGGGAGGTCTGAGCCAGGAGAGTGCTGAGCTCCAGAGAGAAGGGACTTGAGAAGCGACGATGTCCGAAACCACTGGAGCTGAGAGCTTTAGCGCCACGGCCATGGACACCAAACCGGTGGAGATGAGAACGACCTTGAGAGAGAGTAACCAGGTGTTGCTCGAGCTCATCGACATTTTTCCGGCGTTTGAGTTTGGGGCTTGGTCGGAATATTACCTTTTCCGGCGAGAGTTTTATTTGAGAGCTGTGAGAAATGAAGAAGTTAGTGAATGGTGAAACGGTGAGGAGGGAGCTTATATATAGGGGAGAAGAAGGAGCGGGTTTTGAGATGAAATGCGAGCCGTCGGATGAAGAGGTAGTGTGACCGTTTTAGAAGAAGAAAAAATGGTGGGGATAAGAGGTAACGCGTCAGCATGTAATGGGTTTTCTCCACGTGGCATGGGGGTTTTTGGCGTATGGAAGAGGGGATCATTGAAATGTTTTTGCAGAAATTCATTGGATTCTAGAATCCGTACAAATAAATAATTTTTTATTATATATAATTAAGTTAAATTAAAGGAAATCATGAATACAAGTTATTTAATGTATTCAACATAATATTATTCGAGTTATTTCTAGTCGAAAGAGAAAAACTTACATGTCACGAGTTCAATATCCGCTTCTTATCTTATACACCGACATAAAGAAGATAAAATTTTTCCGGTTTAGATTAGAGGTTGAGAACTGAAATTCTAGTCTTAAATATTACTTCCTTTTAATATAAATACTTGTTATTATGGTAGCTGAGCTGAGGAAAAACCATCATTGTAACAATCTTCAAGTTGTTGTGTCATTTTAGTAATCTCACATTAACCTATTTTATCAATTTGTGTATAAAATTTGAGAAAATGTTTTATTCCAGCTTAATTAATTGAGTGGGCACTTGGATTGACCCTTTTAAAAAAAAAAGTGGGCAGTGGGCAGTAGATTTGAGCTGTCATTTCTTGGATTAAGAGCCCCTCCCTTTCCCTAACAAAAACCCATCGAAGTGGCAGTGCCCATAAATAAATATCCAGTCTCTTGTCTACTCTCTCTCTCTCGATGATTCTGGAGGTGGGGCTTTGCTCTGATTAAATTATCTAAAAAGGAAAAAAAAAACGCAAAAGTAAATCGGAAATGTGATTAATTTTTTAATCTTGCTTAACATTGATAATCTTCCTAGAGAACTTTTCATGTGGTAGTTTAATATTTAATCTGGTAGGGGAAGGCAGCAGATGATAGATGAGAACTGTCAGGAAGAATTGAATATTTAAAAGGGTACCACATCTCAACGGCTATATTTTATGTGACCGTTACCTCCGGTCTCTGTCTTGTCCTTGAGAGGAGGATCCTAAATCCGCGGTCCATGGGGTATGCTATGCTACGAATATGAATGAATTGGACTATGAAGTCATATTAAACATTGCCCATTGGATTGGATGGTCTAGCCCTACCAATACTTAATTAACCGACCACGTTTTGGAGCTAATTAAAGTGTATTAATACTAATTAAGTGTTGCTCACTTGCTCAGTGACATTGTGGTAATAAAGGGAATGTCAAATGTGGTAGCATAGCATCTAATGTGAGAGCTCATTGTCTTTTTTTCTTCTAATGTAATATTGTTACGTGATGTTATTCTTATTCATAAAGTATAATATGAGCGATAGTTTTAATAAATATGCACATGTTATAACATGAGTATATCAATAACACAAAACGACAATCTTACGGTCAAACTAAAAAATTACTCCCAAAATAAAGTCATATATTGAATGTACATACATCGCGAAAGCGCCAACTCCAAAATTACTCTAATGTTCTACATAGAGAGCATGTATGAACATGAAGAACAATATTCAGAGTCAAAGACCGAGTAATAACGATGAACATGTGATATGGGCTGCCAAAGCCAGAAAAATAAAAAGGAAATAGTAATAAATAAATATGTGGGTTGGCCATGCCATGTTCTTGAATCTTGTCAGTAAACCCAAATGCCCTAAGTTGGTTATTTATAATTAAAATTTATAATAAATTTCATGTGTTCTGCCGACCAACCAATAAGCAACACCTATTAAGTAATCTTCTTCATTTTTGTTTTCGCATTGGCCAAGTATAAAAGTCAGAGAGCAAATCATTAGCTGGTTAATTTTATACGCAATGTGTGGACGAAATGAGTCTAAAATATGACTGATACGTGTGTGTGTGTGTGTGTGCGGGTGGTCAATATAAGCAGGCATATGCATTGCTACTAATTTCCTACCAGAAGCGGGCAAAGACTGCGGCTTGAAATTTCCCCCTAATGAGACAATTGATCAAGTTGTTTTCAAGTTGACATGCCTACAAAGGCTACGTGAAATATGCATCCAAGAAATGCCAAGCAAAGTCAATGAAATGGTCAGGATCAGAGAGATTGATGTCCAAAGTCTTTAAATGTGTTTGTTTTGCAAACAAACTTCATTGAAAATGTGAACCAGGAGGACATTAACAAATATAAGACGGAGTAGACTAGTTATAGGTGATCCAAAATGATTGCGAATGCATACATACGTGTTTAGGATAATTTTGGCAAGTTATGTTGTTAGATTGTCAATCAGATTAATATGACCTAAATATACGGTTTTATTTAATCAAATGGTGTTGATGGATAGTCCGTCAACATTATATACGTGAAACTATGCGACACAAGAGAGCACTATCAATCCAATATAAATCTAATTGTTAGCTGCAAACTTTTAACTAGGGTGAGAAAATAAGCTTATAGAGTTGTTTATGTACGAACAGCTTGATATATGCTTGTAGCTAGACAATACCTTAAATCATGAAGATGAGATTATTAGGACAGGAGAGAATGGAAGAGTTGTGGTTCCGTGGGTGGTCTCGTGACATCTAATTTTTACTTTGTTGAATGAGGTCTTTAGTTCAAAAATCATAACCGATAGAGACTTGTACATCCGAATTAAAAAGATTTAAACCGATCAAGTTAAAGTTACATGAAGCCTATATAAGTTCCATAATTTTTTTTTTAAATTTATAAAATTCCCTCGACTCATTTTTGGTGCCATTGATGGTCCTGCATTCAGAGAGGTGTTTTTTATAAAATGTCCCATTCCTCTGATTAAGCCCCACAGAAGCAGAAACAAAATTCGCACAGCAGGGTCCAGGAGCTTACATCACCATTTCCACAACAAAAAAATATAAAGAAAAAATTAGAATTATTAAGATCATCATTAAGACAACAAGCCAGTATGGAGACCATCTATGCATATCATTCAGCTCATCCTCTTCAGTGGGCACCTTAGAGCCCATGCTTGCAGCCAACACGCGGTTCTTTCCTATTGGTCGGTGATGACCTAATATACGTAAGACTAGTTGGTATATGTGAGTCAAAGATAAAGATTTTGGAGGCTTTGGAGCAGCTGTAGCTTATGGCCTTGTGCTACATTCTGATTCATATATATTCTCGTGCCACCGTCCAGTTGTTAGATGAGTGACACGTGTTGGCCATCCACCGACCGGCACAGCATTTCTGGTGGGTTATCCGGCTACTTCAATTTGGTATTTTTTTCCAAGTCCAAAGGTCTTGCCTACTTTTGGTGTGGAAATTTCAAGAAGTATACCACTTGGCCTTATGATCAGATCATAAAAAGCACACTAAAGCTGTGCTGATTGATTGGCAGGGAACAAGACATGTTGGCAAGTGTTTTGATTTTTCTTGCTCCTTTTTAGCAAGGCTAGTGTGTGTTGATTAGACACTGTAGAAGAGAAGCCTGTACAAGTTACCTTAAGAATTAATGAAAGTGACTTCGTACCAATAATTGATGATGAGACAAAGTGGCTCTTTTTCATACTAAAATGACAGGATAAAGACTTGACATAAAGAATGGAAATGCAAATCTTTTATAGTAAAATCACAAGAGAGAGACTCAAATTGCAATATGAGTCATGTTTATAGAGATGAGTTATGCCGGGAAACAGCTGCTCATTAGTGCATGGGTGACTATTAATTGTCGATAAGTATGATGACTCCCTCATGAGATCCACATAAATCAGCGCATGAGTGATTATTAACCGTTGATAAGTATGACTCCCTCATAATATCCACATAAATCTACCGTTAACAGTCATTCGTGAATACCCAAACCATACCGCGCATTATTGAGATGGAGACATCTTTCTCTGCTGATAGTTTGGTTAACCTTGACTGGGAATTTAAATTGTGGTGTGAGATATTTGGCTCTCCTCTATCTGTGTTACATTTCCTATCTGAAGATCTTGCTGATATGGCATTGTTATTGGACCATTAGATAAATGATAATTGAAAATTAAAAAGAAGAGAAGAAACCAAAGGACTTGTGATAATTCTGGCATTCCAAAGATCATGCATATACAGGCATTGTTCTTGAGGTGTTTTTAGGTTCTTCCAAATAACACAATTGAAGCGGAAAGAAATCATTCTGATCAATCTAAACCCATCTTATTACTCAAATAGCACCTAATCATACAAATGAAGTAATCACCCAGAGAAAAGCTAAAAAGTGGTACTGCCTCTACAAATAGTTTACAACCTCAGTACAGGTGGAAATGAAGACGGAAAAAAAGGTAATTTTTTTCTGTAATTCAACTGTTTTTGTATGGTATAACAAGGCCGGGATTATCACCCCCCAAGGCTCCTCACTGTTTTGCAAACATTCCTTGTGTTAAAGAAGAGAAATCATAATCTTTTGCCGATTGTGCAGAAGTCGCAGATGATACGGGAGACGGAGATTGAGTCTTATTCGCTCCATCATTTTTTGCGCCATTAACTGGGTTAACTTGGGCCATATTATAAAAGCTGCGAAAGAGAAGCAGTAGCATGATGATGTAAGCACAGATCAACAATTGGTTATCAACCCATTCCCATTCAAAGAAAATAACAATGATAAAAGTTTTAATCCTTGACGTTTATAGTATAGAATCCAAATAGAAACTCTGAAAACCTTCTCTGGAACCAGGTAAGAGATGAATTATTTTGCTAACTAAGCAACTAGCATTATCATGAAATTATGGATACTTGATGCTTCACATTCCACTGTCTCCTGTGGAAGCTTGTCCAATAGGGAAAATAATAATTGAAGCCAATATATTGTAGGACAGTGTTCGCAAAGAAATGCATCTACTATGTTCCCCACAGAAAAGGTACAGCTCCCAGATTCACAACGGAAATTGAGAAAAACTCAGGGCAATTGCTTGAGATTTTGATCTCTTGCTATGCCACCTGAATAACAATTTAAGTGCATAAAATTGATTGCAATGTTCACATTGTATTCTCCCCTTTATTTTATTTGTGGCTGCTGGATTTTTGGGGGTTGGAGGATGACATGGCAGTCAACGACTAACCAATTACGTTAGAGAGGTGCCTATTGTAGAATAACAGCAATCCAAGTTATTAGGATCTTTTTTGCTTAGGATCTTCACAGGCCTTAGCCATTTCAAATGATATTAAAAACTGCCTTAATAACATATCCAAAAATCCCATCACATACTTGGCAACACAAACTAGGGCAGGCAGAGATGCATGACATACCTAGATGTTGAATATGGAACAGAGCTCCCCAGTGGATGTGCTGGTCCCATGATCTGTGTCTGACTCTGACCCAAAAGAGAAACATAACAAAATGAGAAATTCAAAAGATGCAAATAAATGAAACAACATTACATAATTAAGCCTTACGGACCCTACCTGTGTAACTTTCTGTAGCTCAGCCTGTCCATCTACAGGCATCATCAATCCCGGAATTTGATAGCCAACATTTGGCCAACTTTGGGAGGGTAAATTGCTTCCATTGGACACAGGTTGTTGAATAATACCAGGAAACTTTTGATCCATGCCAGCAGATTTAGCTGCAGCAGCCATGAGAAGAGACTGCTGCTGAGCCAGCATTGCAAGTTGCTGCTGATGCATAGCGAAGGGTGACACCATGCTGGACTGCAAATATTCAAATCGTTTCGTAATATAACATGCATCTACATACCATGTTATGCAATAGAACAAGAAGATGATAATTCAATTCACTTAAAACCAAAGGAGGTTTTTTAAAGGCTTGATTTTTAATTAAACAAATCAAACTTGAATATCGAGCAAACGTGAGAACCACTTTTTCCAACTAGCAAAAAGAAATTTATTATCACACTATCAAACTAATAAAATATTTTTCAAACAAATTCTGATTGGACGTCATAATGAAGCACATACCTTTTCGAAAAGACTCATAATATCATTTTTTAAGTCTTTCTGGGGTTTCTCTGAAACAGGTGTTAGTGAAGGTACATCTTTAAATAGATCCTCAATTCCTGATGAAGATTGACTATGGCTCCCTGCTTCACTTGATGGAGCAGTTTTCTCAGCTGTTGATACCTTTTCAGCAGCTGTCGATGCCTTTTCAGCAGCTGCAGATTAAACGTAACCATATTTTTTAACCCCAGCAGAATGGCAAAAGCCTGAACCAAACAGATAGCAGGATCCCAGTAAAGTAAAACTCAGAGTGATGGGGAGGGGAATAAAGACGTACACTGAAAACCTGCCCAATCATTATCTTCAGCAGATGCTGCATCTGAACCGTTCTCACTTGGACCATCATCCACTGAAAGCATGTTGAAAAGGTCAATAGCATAATCAACTTTTGGAGGGGCAGGAGGAGCAGTGTCAACAACTTGCTTTGTTGCAGTAGCTGGCGGAACTGCTGGTTCTATTTTCTGAACATCTTGTGGTCTTGGGACATGTACAACCTGTTGAAATATAGATAAACCATGCATCAAAACTTTTAGAAGGTCTACTACAATTTCTTAAATAAACGAGGTAACAAAGGAGGGTATGGAAACCAAAAAAAAAGAGGCAGTGAGGATTATAGAAACAAGTGGACCAACAGCAATAAAATATGAAATGAGCCAATAAAATCAAACTTAAGTATGCAATTTGATTTTTATAGGACATGAAATACATTTGGAGAGAGTCAACAGAGACAAAATAAACTAGCAAATACACTTTTAGGCAGAAACAAGGAAAGCAACGAGCAACGAAAAGAAGCCAAGTAAAACATGTTGCCCGAACAGATAGCAGCTTCCCATTCCAAGTTTAGAATGAAGAAAGGACATTTTCAGAATTCAGAAGACATTAAATGCAGAGTGAGGCCCAGAATTTAGCCTTGTCTGGAAAACTTTCTTTCAGACCAAGCCTCCCAAAAATTTCTAGCACACTACACCTCTACAACACCTTTCACCCAACCTCCAAAGGCACAAAACCTCTCAACGATGGCACCACCCAACTCAATCTAACCCTCTGGAAAAGCTTTATACCAGAATTTCAACATCGCAGAAAAAAGGAAAAGGCGGTTGATACTGTCAGCTGCTCCGTTGCACATAGTACACCAATGATGGAAAAACAAGCAATTTGCATTGGAAGCATGTTAGCTTTCCATATAATTAAGGACGTGAATAAAAGTGAGGACAGTGTGATCATAAAAAATAAAATAAAAATAAAAAAATAAAAAACTGCAGAGAAGAGATTTACACGAAAAGGTGCCTGATGACTCAAGGAGCCAATCCTTCCTGTCTATTCTCGAAGGGAAAAGGGAAATGTTTTCAATCAGAAAGAAAAGAGCAGAAATCTCCACACATGATCTCTCATATTCCAATAGAAATTGAAGTTCCACCACAAAATATGAAGAAGAGGCAACATGCAAACTAGCTATTGAAGCATTATGACACAAGGGAAGCCAGTAAACTCAGCAGTAAGTGATCCAAAAAGAGGACTCCCCATACCATAAATCCTCCCGATAACAGATTTTCTCCCCATTACCCGAACTGAAATGAAAGTTAAAAGAGAACTCAACAAGACCCTGAGAAATGTCTCTCTAGGACACCTACTTCAACCTCTAATTACTACTTTGGTGTCCCACCAATTGACATGTAGACCATATTCACTCCAAATGACCAAATGCCAAAGACATTTCAATATTGCTACGACACCATTGATACTTGATTTTAGTATGCTTTGTGCCTGCAAACAATGTTAGGCTGAATTGCTAATGCATTAATGTCCAACATATAACATAAGTTGGTTCCAAAAGATTCTTTTGAAGGAAGATGATTTCAGTAGAAAACAGGGTATCTCAGTGTCGCACCCTCTTAGAAAATATAGTTCATACAAATGAACTATCAGTAAATCTGACATATAAACAAGTAACAAGCAGAGTTTGATAACAACCACAAGTCATCTATGATGCAAAAACGAAAATAAAGAAACCGAAAAAAAAACAGAGGTTAACAGGGAAACACCGTATGACATACCTGTTCAGGACCTTTTGGAGGAACAGGAAGACTGATTCTTGCAGCAGGAACACTTTGTTGTGTACTAGTTGATTGAATGTTCTTCCTTTCCTCAAAAGTTTTTTCAGAATTTCCTACATACCCATGCCCACTTCTTTCTCCAGGTCTCTGCCAATGTGTGGAAGTCTTTTCTTCCCATCCTCTAGAAGGTGGTTTTGGTTGTCCGTCCCTAGAAACCCATCTCTTATCTTCATACCTGAAGAGAATATCAATAATTACCAGAAGCAGAAATCAACATAACAAAGACTGATGATAGACGGTAACTGTATCTTAAAAAATAGGTGCTAGGTCTTAGGGATACCGTCAGACACGCACTTTGCACGAATAAAATTCTCAATTCCAACTCTGTCATAGTTTGGAGGTAGCTCTGCTTCCCAGTAACTATTTGCCTTCTCATTTCCCATTGCTGTATGAAATAATAAAATGTTGCCAAAATCATAAGAAAATCAACATCAATCAAAGAAAAACTAAGCTAGCAGCCCAAAGACAAGCTTACATTGGATAAAAGCAACCTGCTCTGGAAGCCATGTGTCCAAAGTAGCAGATCGCACCTGCAGAAAAATCCAATAATACTCAGATCAGCCCATTGCAACTGTATGGATAACAGTGTTCTTGTAGCTACTAATTTGTAAGTGGGGAATGAAGCAGTTAAAAATTAGAAGGGAAAGAAAAAGTTATATAAGTCTCCAGGAAATGAAAATGTAGATGAACATGAGGTAGCCACATTCCTATGGCTGCATATGATGTTAAATAAAATAAAATAAAAAGAATATAGGAGGTGTGGAAACCTATATAATTGTCGCCATTGAATAAAGGAGATGGTAGGTTATTTTAGAATATAAAAAACCATAAGATCATTCATATATATATATATATATATATAGAGAGAGAGAGAGAGAGAGAGAGAGAGAGCCATTAGACTTTTTTTGGGGGCCTATAAACTGTTCTGACCTGTAATAGCTATAAGAATGCTAGTTAGAACAGGATTAGTTGTTAGGCAAGGCATGGAAAGACAGTATGGTGCTGTTGGCCACCACCAAGGGGCAGTTAGTGATATAGAATTTCAGGATATCTTCACGAAACCAAGAGCTAATGCTTTGTGGGTCTACCCTTCATTGTAATTTACTGGACCTTAATATTACTGTCAAAAAGCATTCAAAGAGAAACCAAGAGAAATCTAAATGGCCCTAATCTTCAGTTCAGAAAATATTACTGCAAATAAGCCACATAAAATATTAAAATGTCACCTTCGATATGTGTACCCCAAGACTTCTGTGGATCCCAGAACACTGCATGCATACAAAGATACCCAAATTCACGCTAGCCCATCTTGGACCCCTGCAAAGAAATCAAATCATTATTCAAAACTCATAAGTGTTCACCTATTAAAGTTCGCTTGATTATGAAACTTTTTTTATAAAAACAACTCTTATGCATAGATTTTGAAGCACAGCTGTTAAAACTTCAATCAATTTTCATTCTCTATAATTGGTTGTTCACTATCATGATATGTGCATCATCTCTTTTGGATTCATCCTGATACGTACTTAGCTTTGCAGTCAGCACATTCCCTATTCTCTGGCAATTTAAGAAGCCCTTCCAGTATCTGCATATGTTTAAAGAAAAAAAAAGTAAAAAAATATAAAGAATGTAACCTCTAAATATAATCAAAGAGGGACAAAGGTAAATACAAGATACTGATTCAGGAACCTTGAACTTGGAGGCCACTAAATTGTGGAGATGATATAAAGAGAGTGTAACTATTTAAAGAGATATCAATAACTTGTAGCACAAATACAGCAGGGTAATTAACATTCAGTAGGATCACAATCAGACCTTAAACCGCTTACATGGAATGCCAATAAGGCCATTGGATCTTCATAGTTCACAAACTCAAAGCAGAAAATGATCTTAAAATCACACATAAACAGAATGGACAATAGATGCCTTGAAAGGATCCTCTTCAAGACTCCTCCAAGCTTCGCAGATTATATATTTTAAGAGAACACTTAACATGACCGATAAAAGCAAACGGGTATTAATTAATAATCACATACTCTGATAATTATAGATAACTGTTAAGCATGGTTTGAACTAAACACCATTCCATCACTACATTATGATGCATCCATTTCCGTATTTCATCATCCAAAACTAGACCAAACGCCCCAAAAAAAATTAAAAGATTAAAAAACAAAAACCCAAAACACAGATTTCACACACATTCGCAAAAGAAGTGTAAAATATGTAGCACCAACAAAAGCTATCATCGGAATCGATACAAATTCAAATAAAACCAATCATGGCCCAGAGCTCTAGATCAAATCTCACCAAATCCAACACTTCAATAATTACATTTCATTTGCATAAATCCAGATTGAAATATACAAATCTAATTAAAGCCAATCGGAACTCCAATCATTCACAAAATTCCACAATTCCACAATCCTCTCACTTCTCTCCATTTCTCTCAGAAACCAAATAAAGAAACAAAAGGGAGAGATATAAACCAAGACCGAAATCCAATTCCGAAATCGACAGTCAAGGATCCAAAGAAATTTGTACGAAAAATATGCAAGTTGGTGAAAATTTTCTCATTTTGAAAATACAGGGCCGATACATGACAAATTATCAAATTTAAGCAGAAAAAGAAGAACCTTTCTGTGCTTGGCGTTGAGCTCCTTGGTAACGTTGGCCTTCTCGTTCATGGTGACCGTACAGCAAAAACTAGCAGACGCGAGAAAAGACGAAGAAGAAAAAGGAGCTCCGCGGACGAAGGTCAAATTCGTCTTTTTACGCTCTTTCTCTCTTTCTCTCTTTCTCTCTTTCTCTCGTCTCTCTGATTATTATGCGACCAAAAGAAAAGAAAGAGAGAAGGAGACAGATCGAGGCAGAGTCGCTCTTGACTTTATTTTTGCTTTTCCTATTATCTCCGCGTGTTTTTTTTTTCTTTCACTTTTCTTTTTCTTTTCTTTTTTTCTTAGAGATGGAAGAAAAAAAAACATTGTGATTATTACATGTGCAAAAATAATGACCCAATTAAAACTAGATCACATTCAACAGTTTTCCTTGTTTATTATTTGCAAATTCTCGAGAAAAAGTTTTTATGATCAATAAATATTTAAGTTTGTTAAAAAAAAAAACGTTGTTAGAATTTTTGATTGTCATAAAAACACTTTTATAATATAAATAAATTTAACATGAGTTGTTCGTAAATGTTGAGTTAGGTCAGTTGACTAGAGTAGTGCGTCAGTTAATATCGCTTTGTGAAAAGAAAAAAAAAATCCTACATAATGCGTTCAATTATTCTTGGTTAAAATATTAACATGGCATGCTCATCTAATCTTTGGAGGTTGTATTCGGAATTTTCATAGTATTACCAATAAATAACGACAAACACAAAACAAATAGATTAATGTTGATTTATTAGTTTTCAATTATAAGTTCTTCAATTTGGAGATTAAAAACTATGTAATAGTCTTACAAATCAAGCTTAAAACAACGAGTTAAGTTCGAATTTGTTATAATAAAAAATTCAAATGCTCACGAATTTTAGCCCGAAAAATCCACCAATTCACCAAATTTCATAACCTTAGTAAAAACTGTAAAATAACAGATCAATCAGCATAATCACAGTTTCATGGTTAATTAGGCTTTAATGGGGTTTCCACTTCTTGGTATTAAATCAAAGTTTTGAACAACTTTTTGACTAATCTTTGAACAACTATATGTATTAGGTGGATGACATTATTGAAATGGAAGCTAGATGGTGGGAAGTTTTTGTCTCCTCTAGTGCTAATCTAGCGGGGGAAGAAAAAATGCGGTTGATTTTGGCTCAAATTATGAAATTAAGTCCATGACATTGTCGTTGTCAATGATCAATCATACAGTACAATCAAGGGGATTTGATTTGAAAACAAGAAGAGAAGAAAAATTATAAATCTTCCCTTCAAGGCGATGCTTGTTGTGCAGTTCACACATTTCAACAAACAATAACAACACCACAACACCTACAACTGTTTTTTTTTTTCCTTTTAAAAAAGAAAAAGACAATTCTAGCTCGTTGTAAACTTGGTATAAATTCCTAGCTCATTTTTGGACAGTTTAAGTTTATTAAATTCCTAGCTCATTTTTGGACAGTTTAAGTTTATTATTAGTGGTTGTCTGATATGGCATCAGAGCATTTCTTTGCAACTCATTATGAGTTAGTGTGACTCTCGTTCCTCACTTTTTTGTCGGTTTATAGAGTGTAGGGATGCCTCTTCATTTTCAAAATTAACATACATGTGAGGAAAGTATAAACTTACATTGCTACGCCATTATCAAAGAATGACATAATATTCATGAGGGAGTGAAGTTGTTGGCAGACAATAATAACAAATCAAGAGTGCAAAATTAAATTGTTATTTTTAGGTGGGGGGGTGGTTTTGAGTCTTGAAGGTCATAAGTTGTGGTGGATGATCACAAAAAGTGGAAGAATTATTATGGTGGGAATCTATCTTTCTATCCCACTTAATAACAAGTGGTATAAAGTTTTAGAGTTGGCCTCGTCATGATATCCACATGGCTGGATTCCTTATTGGCTTTCCTAAGCAGGAAATAATTAAATATCCTATTCATTTCTGTTAAGATGTCTTCATCATTGATTTTTATTTCTATTAATCTTGGTAATCAAATTTGTATGATTGGTTAATAGAATAATTTAAGCTAATCACTTTTTGAACTCGGATGTCGAGTGGCAAAAATTTCTACCGAGGCGGGTTCTCATATGGTCTCCGACTCTAATGGGGAAATTTCGGGGGGAAATTAGGGGCAGATATGGGGATACTTGAATTTTAAAAATCTCCGATCAAAAATAGGTCTTGAGTGGTATTGTTATCCCCATCCTCGAGCCCACCTCAATAAATAATATATTTATAACATAATATAACAAGTTAATACAGGAAAAAGATAACAATCAAAAAACAAGTAGATGTTTTTTTCGATGAAAAAAGGTTTAGGGGAAGGGAGGGGAAGCTACCCATCCTAGGGGCTATGGCGTACCAATATTTCTTTGAGGACTTACATAGGAGGTTTTAGCTTCTTTTTTAATTTTTATAGATTACCCACTAAAAGAGATTGTTGGCAACGGGACTTAAACCTAGATCTGAATAGCGAAGACAACGATCCTTACAAACTCAACCAACTATCGTTGATAACAAGGAGATGTTCTTCGTCTCTCAATCTTCTCTTCAATTAAAACTTGATACATGTGGACACACACTCGCAGTTTTCCAGTACTTCATTTCTTTCTTGGTATCCAACTGATATATATATATATACATATATATATATATATATATATATAACAGCACTCAAGAATGAAAGAAAATAATTGTAGTAGCTAGTTGAAATTCATATGCTTATTATTGTTGTAGTTAGTTTCTAGAAGCAATTGTTTTCATAATTCATTATGGAGATTATGGCGGGGAGAAATATATGCAGGGCTGGTCATGAGATTTTGAGGGCCCTGTACGAGACTTTAATTGGAGTCCTTACATAATCTAATATGAAATACTAAAAAAAAATTCATGACTTAATGTCATAAAAATAATTTTTTTATAACTAAAATTCATCATCAATTAGCATGTAATAACAATCACAAATCAAATCACAAATTTTTCAATGTTTTCATTTGATAAATTTAAATGTTAGTATGTACGGTAAAAAATAAAATAAAAGGAGTTCAAGAGAAAGAAGAAGACATTAGTTTTTTGTTGTTGTTATTGTTGTTGTTTTAAGTGGAAGAAAGTTTTATTTTTTATTTTTGAAGGAGAAAGTGTATGGGTGTGATATATATACTTTCCCCTTGTATTTTTCACGTGCTTATTTTTTAAAACTATTTAAAATTTTGTTCTTATAATAAATAGAGAATAAAATTATGAATATATTCACATCACTAGGACTCAAACCTAGACCTTATACCAAAGGATACGTGCTAGAAACCAACTCCACGAAATACACTTTTGTGTTAATGTTTTGCTTATTGGAGTATATATACAGTTATATTAATATATATTATATAAAGTAAAAAAATTTCGGGGGCCCTCAAATATCAAGGGCCCTGTGCAGTGGCACCACTTGCACCATGCCAGGGGCGCCCCTGAATATATGATTTATGTTTTTGGCCACCTATGCAATTATGGTTTAGTTAAAAAAATTCAAAACAAAAGCTTTCATTTAGGAATATAACACCCGACACACATACACATGGACAATTAGTCCTAACTAATTTAAATTTAAGAAGATTTCATTTTTCAAATGGCAAAGAAAATTGGAGTCGAGGCGGGTTTGGGAGACCATCTCCGACAAGGACGGGAACGGGAATTTATGCAAAAATTCTTATTGGGATGAAGGCAGGGCAAGAATAGTGTCATATTTTGCCCCAAACCAGTCCGTTGTCATCCCTACTCCCAAAAAAAACCAATTTAATTACTCACTGCACCCACAAAAATTAAATCTCTTTTTCCTTTTTTGGAATAAATTGAGAAAGGTAAATCACGAAGACTCTCCGATAAAACTGTACATGCAATGTAGTAAATTCTGATCTTTACCATCGCAAAAACACCCAAATTTTAGAAACAAAAGTAATTTGTAAAATAATTTACACCCTTTACATATTCGGAGTTCATGGGGAAAAAACCAAATTGACATGGTATCGGCTAAAATGCGTAATTTGAACTAAAACGTGCGTTTGCTGGAAACTAACAACGACAACGCGTTTAGTTAAAATCAATCCGCGCGGGGAACAGGACACAGGGTTCCCTCTCTCAAATTGCTTCGTCGTGGCCGTTGTGTTGGCGAACAACGGGAACCTGTAACTGTAAGTCTCTGTCAGCTCCTTCCTTCGTTTCGTTTTTTAGGGTTAGGCTTAGCGTCTATTTCTATTTGTTGTTCTACAGTGAAATTGGGGGTTTACAATTCACTTCTGTCCCAAACCCTAGATTGATTACCCAATACTCGCAATTGTTTTTCTTTCTTGAAAATGGATTCAATTGATCCTTCTAAGGGCATGAGCACGCTTGACGCGACCATGGAAGATAGCTGCGGTGACCGACCTAAAGCACCGCGGAAGAAAATGGGGCCCGTAGAGAAGGAGGCATCTGTGCACGAAGAAATGAAGAGGATGCAGAAGCTGCCTACAAACAGTACTTATGTCACTCATCGGTTGCGGGTTCTCAACAAAATTCTGCAGCTTTTGTCCATTCAGGTACACAAAAATTGGATTTTTATTTGCTATATAAAGCATGGTTTGGCTATTAACCTTAGATTGCTCGTAATATGCAATGGGTTTGTTGCTTAAGTGAATTATAATCTATTGGTATTGAAGACCCACAAGATAAAGTTGTTTAATTTTGCAGTTTTGTTTTTGTTAATTACCAGTTTGCTCTGCTGTGATGTAGAGCATGATATGCTGTGTTTTGTGTATGATTCTGATTAGAAGTAGAAGAGAAATGAATTTTATACCAGTATTTGACACTATTTTGCTGTTCCTCTTGCTCCCTTGTATATCAGAGAACTGCATCACAAGAACAGGAGTTGGAGTTGCTTTTTGCTGGGCTTTCTATGTGAACCCAACCAACCTTTTTCAGGCAGTGGTCAGTTCCAGTTGAAATTTTATTTTGTGGAGTTAGATATACGTAACTACTATTTTAGTGCTCTGTTTCAACCGGCTGACAAATAGTTTAATTATTTGTTGTGTTTGATATATGTATATACTGTTAAAACATGAAACAAAATAGCTCATGGTATGGGGAAAGTTTATTTTATTATCTGTTCACTTGGATCCTCATTTTCTTCCCAAAAGAAGGAAGGGGAGTAATCTGCGTACAATGGAAAATGCAAGTGCGGTTTCATGTAAAGACAGATAGAGAAATGTATTGGTTTTGGCTGAAAATCAGATGCATAAATTTGTTGTTTTTTGTAGGCACAAAACCTTGCTCTGCCAATTTTCTTTCTCTAGGATCTTATGTTGGTTAGAAGACACTGTTCTTGTTATGAAACCTTCATTGTCTTTTTTAATCACCGAGTACTGTCCAGTTTTTTCGTCGAATAGGTGTCCATTATTGCTATACAAATTTCATTTTTTCTCAACCTCATGCAGATCCTGGGTAAGATACTACACTTTGCAGTATTTGTTCTGATTTGTTAATCAAATGCATTGCAGAATCTCCCGTCATGGATATCTGTATTTTTGGAAACCTGGGTTCAGATCTGTTCCGTTACGCACTGAAGATTGTATGTTTTTGGCAAGCTAAACATCTCACTCTTGTGTCTCTCAGAAGAAAAAAAACATCTCACTCTTGTGACTATCTTTTGTATATACCTTTTCAAAGTTTCTAAGCTTTAAGTTGACCAACATTGTGAATATTTTTGTTTTTGTTTTTCTTGTATCCTTGCCTGTTGAGTCTTGACATGGTTGAACTGTACGCCATTGTGGTATATGGAGGAGAATAGTATACTATCAATTTGGCATTTTCATTTCCCATTTTATTGGATGGGTCATTCTTGGTTTGGGTTTTATATGGATGTAATTTTCAGTTATTTGATTAAGAATATTCATCCAAGAAGAGATGATAGAGGATCTAAACTTATTTATTTTTTGTTTTGTGATCATATACAGTTATACTCCTCACATCTTAATTCATGTACAACCCCTCGCAAATAAGTGTATTCACCAGTTTGAGACTTACCATTGTACTTCTCAATCCTCAAATTGCTGTTCTTCTTAATGGCTTAAAGAGGGTTAAACTAGGCTATTTGACCCTTAAATTTGGCTTGAAATGATCATCTTATTCAGGCCAGTGATGTGTGAGATGGGATTCGAATACATGACTCGAGATGGGATTCGAATACATGACTCGATTACAATATAACATGAATAACCTTAACATATGACCCAACTCCTATAATGATTCGTGCAATATCACTTGTTAAAAAAAATTCGTATTTTTATTTATTTAAAAATGAAACGTTTCAAAAATTCACTTAATATTTCTTTTCCCAATGTTGCTGCTAATTTATCCTCTTTTGTAACTCTAACCTTCCATTTGGATGAAAAAATTGAAAATTACATAGAATCCTAAAAAGAAGGAATTTAGATTTCTATCATTTCAATTTTTAGCAATTAAGTGTTTGAATTTATGTATGTCGAATTTTGTAAATGACATTATGAGAATTGTCGCATATTTCAATAGAAAATAACCTTGGGAATTTGATGCCCTAACTTTCATGATTTTTTCCTCACATCATTTAATAAATTCCACGCTTAAGTTGCCAAACAAATGAATTGTTAATTTATCCTCTTAAATTTCCAATTTTTAGTTAAATTTCGAGTTATTTTTCCTCTTGAGGTAAATAAGGGGTTTAGGGAGAAAGAAAAGGAAGAGAAAAAGAGAAAAAGCACGCATTGAACTTTGCTAAAAAAAGATTTTTAAATAAAAAAAAAAAAAAAAAAAAAAAAAAAAAAACACAAACACTTCAAACCTCAGCTTTGATCCACTGAGAAAAATGGGGATACGGGATTTCATTTCCGGGACGACCGATTCACTGCAACGCAACGCTCCGGATCTAACGGCCGTGAAGAACTGGTGCCCCACACCCGGTTCCCTCAAACGGATCGTACCAGATGTAACGGCTGCGAAGAACGTGTGCTCCACCGCTTACGGTTATGGGTCAGCCACCGTTACCCATATCGATAGCGCCGTCAGGGTTAACCTGAACGACTACCTTCAGGACGAGGAAGCCCGGTCCAAGATCCTCCAGTTGGGCAAGAGCATCGTTACACGCGCCACCATCGAGGGCCTCAAAACCATCCCAGGTTTAGCTACTTCCTTGTATTACTTGTTACATTACTTTTAGTTAAAAAATAAAAATAAATTATATTCGTGTTTTTCTGGTATAATTTTCAATATTTTCTTTGAAATTAGGACAACTTAAACTGAAAATTTTTCCTTTTGGAAAATTAATTGTGCCAATTTAATTGTCTTTAAATTGTACGTTGTTAGGACTCGAGATCCCACTTTGGAAAAATAGCATATTTTAGGATGGTTTAAGATCCCATCCTTACAAATTAGTTTATAAGGGCAACCTCTACCCATAGAGCCCAAGTTTCACCATGCAACTCACGAAAGGGGCGACGTATTGGCGGGATTAAGATGATACGTATGATGCATGGCATAATATCGAGTCATTGAATACTGGTAGATTAGTGAAGCCAGTCAAAGGAAGGAAAAGGCTATCACCGGGCCATTGAGTGGGACGACAAGAGCCTGGTGGAATGCTAGGACTTTAGATCACACATTGGAAAAATAGCATATCTTATACCTTAGGATGGTTTATGAGCTCTTGGACACCCTTCCTTACAAGCCGATTTTCAGGGGCAATTTCTACCCTTGGACTCTTTAACAGTTTCTTAGAAAATTGCTTGTATTATATTGTATGTTTTGTATCTGGTCAATTTGATTGGACCACACGTTCAAACATGATTCTACTTGATAAACAATCTTGATTGATAACCTGGTGACTGGTGACATAACTTGCGAGTGTCTATTAAGAGAGCATGGGCATGGCTCATATATAGCTGCTTGTTGAAATCATATATAGTGGTTTGCTTAAGAAGGCTCCAGTAAGAAATTTCCAACAGAAAATTTCTCTTAGTAATGTATTTTCCTTGAAACAAATAGACCAAAATATATTAATTGGCCGATGTAGTTATGCAAGTCCCAAATTTGTGGATCTTCTTACATTTCTAAGTTAGTGTTGTTGTTATGTTACATTGTTAATTTTTGAACACGCTCAATTTATAGCTTGTCTTGAGCATGTTGGATGTAAATGCGGGCCATAATTCATTGGTTTGATTAACTTTTTCATTCACAAATTTGTCTGGATAATGGTTCACAAAACTAATTGTGCCATTTGATTGACCTGAGTTTTCACGCGGGTCCTGGAGTGCCTGCTAAGGGCGCGAGATCTCGCCTTGGTTTTTTATTATTATTATTTATTTATGGGAAAGCTGGTGGCTGCCTATTTTTGCCCTGAAAAGAATGAAATATCAATTTTATAAAAAGTATAGTTTTGTACAAAGATTATTGTTGCTCTAACTTTACGAAGTCTGGGTTCCATGAATCTTCAAAGTGCTGGTATAATGCGTTCATGCGGAATTCTTGACTAGTCTAGCTGCAGTTGTTTTCTACTAATTTTTAGGCGGACTTGTAGGTTACAAAATTGTTGCTAAATCAATCCGAGACGTGAAGGAGTCCAATAAACAAGAAGTGGATGTTAAGGCATTGCAGGCTGATCTTCACGGATTGCAGAAAGAGTTCAGCGAATACAAGAAACTCCATGAGCATGGCCTGATAGATAAGCCAAGTGCAGATTTGAAGTCACCAAACACTGTCAACATTCTTTCAGCTCTGAATCAGAAACCGGAAGATGTGATCAGAGTCTTTATGATGAAGGAGTTTATGGGCAGGCAATTCTTTGATGATCTAATGGTTCCTCCTGTTGCACCTAGGAAGAAGTAGAAGGCAGTACCAGGTACCAGTGCATAAGATCATTGTTAATCATGATTTGACCTTGTTTAAAGCTTTGTGGTTAGGTCTTGACCTTGATTGCTCTGTGTAATTATTCTCTCGGGTGTATTAGGGAAGAAAGTGGTCTTTTGCATTGTCAAGACTCAAAACCATTGGCCTTGTTTGTAAATTGAGGGCTAAATGTAAAATGCCAAGTCTGGTTTAAGGACGGTTTTCATAAACTGAAGTTAACTGGTTTTGTATGGCTGTTATGTGCTGTTGGAAATTACTTGCGACGTGACTATTCCTATGGAAATGGAATGGAATGTAGATATCATATACCCAATGGCAAGCAATACTTTTGTACTTTCATAATCTGCTTATTCGGGGTTTAGGGAATGAAAGAATCTGGATTTCTGACCACATTCTCCATAGGGCCTCTCCACCAATTGTCAATTAACTTTGGCTTGGATAACCGCAGAGGATACTCTCAACCTCCCTAGTTGAATTTGGATCTGGAAGCGTGAAGAGGTAAGTTGCTCCACAAAAAAATTACAATTTAAAATTTTAAATAAATGGTATTTTTTTTAAAGGGAGATTTACTATAAAACCCAATATAGGAGCCTAAATTATAAAAAAGCCCCAAATTCATTAGGCCTCTTCTTTGGGCATATCCAAAACAGAATTTGATTCATAGGTATTAAAACCCCAACAGAAATACTCTATGTCTCAAATCCTAATTAGTAAAGATTGTCATGTTTAATACCTAATTTTTCTAAAATATTTCCCCTTAAACATATGACCCAACTCTTGTAATGATTTGTGCAATCTTGCATCTAAAAGTGGATCTTAGAGCATCCACAATGGGTTCCCTAAACCACCTCCTTAGACAAATTTTAGGGAGAAATTGTAAAAATACAACTCTAACCATGCTCCCTATCTACCTCCTAAAATAGGGAGACCTCTAGGAGCTCCTAAATCTGAGGAGAGAGAAAGGACTTCTAGTGACTCCCTATAATTTAATGCTGCTTTATTTAATGAGTATTTCAAGCCTTTATTTAATGGTAACTATTTTTTATTTTTATTTTTAATAGAGATGGACCAATTAAAAAAAAGTTATAGCATTTATGACTCCCTAAACTAGAGAGCATGATTGAAGTTTAAATTTTATAGAGGGCTCCTAAAATAACTTTTATATGTTTTTAGCTAAAATTTAACTAAAAAATAGAGAGCATGATTGTGAATGCTCTTATAGAGGTTAATTTGTTGTTATTTTTTTGTTTTGTGTAACTGAAAAAAAAACGTCTCAATAATTAATTCAGCATTTCTTTTCCAATGTTGCCGCTAATTTACCCACTTCAACTCTAAAGCGCTCATTGAACAATGGACCCTCTCACACCACTATTTTGAAGTTTGAACTAGATTTTTTTTAATTACCAAAGATTGAAAATATAATAATAATTGAACTAACTCTTCACCTGAGCTTTGATCTTCCGAGAAAAATGGGGATATGGGGTTTACTGAAACGCAACGCTCCGGATCTAACGGCTGCGAAGAACTTGTTCTCCACAGCTTACGGTTATGGGTCAGCCACCGTTACCCATATCGATAACGCCGTCGGGGGTAACTTGAAGCGCTACCTTCAGGACGAGGAAGCCCGTTCCAGGATCCTCCAATTGGGCACGAACATCATTAAACACACAACCATCGAGGGCCTCAAAGCCATCCCAGGTTTACTTCTCTCATTTTTTTAAATAAATAAGTTTTATTACTTTTAGTTTTCCAATAGTGTCGTGTTTTTTTTGTTTTGAAATTAGGACAAATTAAACTGAAATTTTCTTGCTTTTGGAAAATCCATTGTGCCAATTTAGTCTTTAACTTGTACATTGTTAGGACTCGAGATCCCACGTTGGAAAAATAGCATCTTTTAGGGTTATTTAAGAGCTATTGGGCAGTGTTTGTTACAAATCATTTTATAAGGGTACGTTCTACCCATAGAGCCCAAGTTTAACCATGCAACTCACAAAAGGGGTGACCTATTGGCTGGATTAAGATGAGAAGTATGAATGATGATGCATGGGTATAATATTGAGTTATTGAATACTGGTAGATGAGTGAAGCCACTCAAAGGAAGGAAAAGGCTACCACCGAGTGGGACGACAAGAGCGTTGGGTTCAAAAGCGTGGTGGAATGCTAGGACTTTAGATCCCACATTGGAAAAGAACATATCTTCGACCTTAGGATGGTTTATGAGCTCTTGGGCACCCTCCTTACAAGCCAATTTTCATTGACCCTTGCATGTATACTGGTTATGCAAGTCCCAAATTTGTGGATTTTCTTACATGTATAAGTTGGTGCTGTTGTTACGTTATAGTGTTAATTTTTGAACACACTCAATTTTTAGATTGTCTTGAACATGTTGGATGTAAATGTCTGTAGCCGTAATTCATTAGTTTGATTAACCTTTTTCATGCACAACTTTGTCTGGATAACGGTTCATAAAACTAATTGTGTCATTTTATTTATTTTTTCCTCCTAAAAGAATGAGATATGAATTTTATATAAATACGCTTTTGAACAAAGATTATTGTTGATCTAATCAATCTTCAAAGTGCTGGTATAATGCGTTGATACGGAATTCTTTACTAGTCTAGCTGCAGTTGTTTTCTACTAATTTTAAGGCAGACTTGTAGGTTACAAAATTTTTGCTAATTCAATCCGAGAGTTGGAGGAGTCCGATAAACAAGAAGTGGATGTGAAGGCATTGGAGGCTGATCTAAGCAGATTGAAGAAAGATTTCAGTGAATACAGGAAAGTGCATGAGCCAGAAGTGGATGTGAAGGCATTGCAGGCTGATGTAGTCAGATTGGAGAAAGAACTCAGTGAATACAGGAAACCTCGTAAGCAAGTCCAGATAGACAAGGCAAGTGCAGATTTGAAGTCAGCAAATGCCTCCAACATTCATTCAGTTGCAAAGCAGAAACCGAAGTTGTGATCAGAGTCTTTATGATGGATGAGTTTATGGGCAGGAAGTTCTTGGATGATCTAATGGTTCCTTTGGTAGTACCTAGGAAGAAGTAGAAGGCAGTGCCACTGCCAGGTACTAGTATAAGATAAGGTGGAGCAGTGATCATTGTTAATTATGATTTGACCTTGTTTAAAGCTTTGTGGTTAGGTCTTGATTGCTGTGTGTAATTATTCTCTATGGTGTATTTGGGATGAAAGTCGTAAGAAAGTGGTCTTTTACATTGTCAAGACTCAAATCCATTAGCCTTGTTTGTAATTTAAAGGCAATTTGGAGATGCCAAGTCTGGTTTTAAGGACGGGTTTTATTTGGCCAAAGTTAAGGGGGGAGGGGATTTTCTCACACATACTGCTAAGGTGTCTTGGAGATTCGAATATGAGGCAACTGATTTGCAAGACAATATCATTTTCTATTGTGCTAGACCTCGTTGGCTTTCAGGATGGTTTTTTTGAACTGAAGTCAACTGGTTTTATATGGCTGATTAGCGCTTTTGCAAAAGTACATTCCTATGGAAATAGAATGTCTAGATACCCAATGGCAAGCAATGCTTTTTAACTTTCATAATCTGCTAATCCGATGAATGTTTGAAAATCCACATTGACTGAAAATCTTCTGCTAGCCCAAGTAGTGAGAAGTAGCTCATGGGTTTGAATCCATCCATGTAACAAGTTTTACATCACTACGGACAGATTGTACAATATTGCATTCTAATAAAAAGTTAGGGAATTTTTTAGTACTTTTTTCTTTTTTCGTTTTTAGTTTTCATTTATTTATTTTTTGTAAGAGACAGATGAAAATGTATGGAGGGAAGTAAAGGGAGGGATGAAGCCAAAGGATGGTGGAGGAAGGGCTATTCTCCTTCTCCCACCACACTTCTCCACTCTATTTTCTGCCATATAATTCCTCTCTGTCTTTAAGAAAAATGTGAAAAATTATCAAACGGAGCATCACCAAGGGTATATGTAAATGAAGTAGGCAAAAGTGTACTATATAGACTAATGTGGCATGTTGCCTATTCAATTTGGAAAAAAACTAGTCACTCCAATGGACCAGGCAAATGAACTAGGCAATGCAATATTATATTTTTTATTTTCATCTTTTACATTTACCTCATTTCACCCACCACAAAAAGCAAAAGAAAATTGTACTTTATAATAATAAAAATATGTGAGGTCCAATATATCTCTTCATTTTGAAGTAGACAATATTGCCTTGTTGGGGAGTATGTATATTTTGCCTACCTATTTGTCTCTTCCATGAGCATGAAAATGCTGATGTGGCAAGGCAAATGAGGTTTGCCTACTCTTTTGCATCTTACCTTGGAGATGCTCCTATATGACAATTTCCAATAAACTAATAGGAGCAAATAGACCTTGAGTCGACTGCTTAGTTTTTATCAAAAATAGCCAAAATTTACCCTCCCCCTACTTTCATAAATGTTAGTTTTTATAAAAACTTTTAAAAATAGCCAAAAATTCATATTTAAACAAATATAAATGTCCTCGAAACTAAAACCCACATAAATAAATAAAAGAATGTCAGTCAGACAAAGAAAAAAAGAAAGAAAATATGAATGAAAGAAGAGAGGATCAATATGATAACATGATTACACTGTTGCTGACATATTTTGTGTTTCATGTAGCTCAATGGTGGGGTGGGAAATATGAGGCTGCACAGGAGAAAAGCCAGAAGTTCAAGGAAGGGAAATTTATCCTTGAGAGATTCCATATTCTTGGTCCTAATGGAAGCAACTACTCTATAACTCTAGAAACTCAGATTGGTGGAAGCGATGCTGATGATGCTTGATTGATCAAACATTCAGGAAATTGCACTTAGTTAAAATGTATATTCTTTGCTACCACGTTTTTCTTATTATCACATTTGGATTGAGTTTTCTTAGCCGATGATGTAATCTAGGGTCCTAGGTTCTTTCTATTGTCATCTTATGCAAATTGTTTAGAACCTTGCCATTTTTAAAGACCAATAAGTTCTTAAAGAAAAAAACGAAAAAAAAGTTGTCTACTTCTGATTTGCTATGTTTGGTGTTATCTTCTTCAGTTGATGCTTGAAAAGGTCGCAGGTGGAGAAGATGTCTATTTGGCATAGTAGTCGAATATCATGTGCTTGGATATGAAATCAAGTTTTCTTGGCATAGTCTTTTCTTTTTCTTTGTCTGACTGCCTTTTTTATTTATTTATTTATGTGGATTTTAGTTTTGAGGGCATTTATGTCCATTTAAGTGAGTTTTTGACTATTTTGGAAAGTTTTTATAAAAACTGACATTTATGAAAGTGGGGGGTAAATTTTGACTATTTTTTATAAAAACTCTCGGCTGCTGGCCTCATATTTTTAAATCTCTCAACAAACATTTTCTTCTCCGATCAATTTTTCTTAGGAATTTCTTTTCAAATTTGAAAACTGAAACAAAAACACTAAAAAATCATGGCCACTTGCCATGGCAGAGTCTTTGAGACAAACTATGTGACTATGTCCGTTCATAGAACATTTTGGGGAGCCAAGGTGTGGTTAAAAAACAGTACTCGTTATGAAATTGACCAATAACATTGCCAAAGTTCATCGGGACGTACTCGTGAAGGAAACGATATTTTCATGGAAATGAAAGAATCTTGAGTAGTTAATGAAAAAAATGTTGCAGAATAAAAATGGCTCTAGTCTCAGGCCAGATGAATGATTGCAAGGAGGTCGTATGAGAGTTGGGAGGGACATGGGACGTGAGACCTTAAAAGATGATGGGCCTCTTCACCAATTGTCAATTAACTTCGGCTTGGACGACCGCATTCTAATATGGTATCAGAGGATGCTATACAGAGCTGGAAGTGTAAAGAGGTAAGTTGTTCCTTTCCCTTTGCTGCGTTCTTATGCTCTGCATATGATTGTTAAGTGCATGGAATACTCTAACCTTATTTGTTCTTGCCCTTGTTTCAAGCAAGGGCATAGTATCACAAAATATTTTAAAATCATTTGAACCTCAGAAAACAGCTTGTCCAAGATCTCACATTCTTTACTTCCCTAATTTACCAAGCCCCCAGCAGATACTTTGCTTCAACAACTCTTAGTTTTCCAATTTCAGTTCTCTTATAAAGGGGCAAGCTTTTAAGGGCAATGGCTTAATTGGCATTGGCTGTCAGTTTGTTCCAAGGTTTTTACCATTCAGTGAAGCCAGGTACACTATCTTTTTTTTCTTTCTGAAAAGGATGTGATGCTAATTTCGTATATATTCCAAAGTTTTTCTCTATATTAATACCTTTGAACATCCTTATAGATAGTCTTTTTAGCATCCTTATAGTTGGTACAATTATTTGAAAACAGAATCAAGAAAAGAATGCTTTTAAGATCAGTTGATTTCATTAGGTCTGTTCTAATGGTTTCATATGCTGCAACTCTAAAATTTCTTGACAAGAATCTGGTGGAGTTTCACTAAAACAGAGATTAAAAACCAGTACATAAATAGACAAACATGTTGCTAGTGAATAGTGATTGTATATAATATGGTAGAAATTCTTCAACCACAGATGCTATAGCTGTTGGTGGATATGTGTGGCTAACAGTAATCCAGGGTTAAATAAAATTAACTTGAAAGCACAATAAAACATTACTTAATTTGAAGTTACTAGTCCAATTAAGCTTCAATTATACTACTAGTTTCGGATTTCTTATTACCAGATTAATGATCCTCTTTTCATCCAATTTATGTTGACAAATATGTTTAGGAAGTAGGAACTCGCCGATGGGATTTCTTGCGCCAATTTGTGAAAGAATAATGTTCATATGGGCTCTGATTACTAGATGGTTCAGATATCAGAGAAACCTTGAAGTTAATATGAATACTCTGAAAAGAATGTTAGAAGAGCTAGATAGCCAAACTGAAGATATAGGTAAAAAATTAGAGGCTGAGCCTCCCCTTCCGATTAGAAGACACGAAGATGAAGTCTATGAGTGGTTAGAGAATGCGGAAAGGATCAAAATTAGAATACAAACTATCGAACAACTTGGCGAAGGGAAATATCTCTCACGTGCACATCTTGCAAAGCTTGTTGATGAAAAAATTGGAGAAGTTAAGGAATTGCTTCAGAAAGGTAGTTTGTATAGTGAGATTTCGACGAAGAAGCAGTTCAAGTACGTGATCATTGGTGGTGGAGTTGCAGCTGGATATGCAGCAAGGGAGTTTGTTAAACAAGGGCTAAAACCAGGTGAGTTAGCAATCATATCAAAAGAAGCAGTGGCACCTTATGAACGGCCAGCACTTAGTAAGGCCTATCTGTTTCCTGAGGGAGCTGCCAGACTTCCAGGCTTCCATGTCTGTGTTGGAAGTGGAGGAGAGAGGCTGCTTCCTGAGTGGTATGTGACGAAAGGTATTGAGTTAATTCTCAGCACAGAAATAGCTGAAGCAGATCTTGATATGAAGATCCTCACTAGTTCCACCGGAAGAACCTTCGAATTTCAAACTTTAATAATTGCAACTGGCTCCAGAGTTATAAGGTTGACAGATTTTGGTGTACAAGGAGCTGATGCCAAAAACATTTTCTACTTGAGAGAAATCAGTGATGCTGATGAACTTGTAGAAGCAATTGGAGCTAAGAAAAAGGGAAAGGTAGTGATTGTTGGAGGAGGATACATTGGTCTTGAAGTCGGAGCAGCTATGAGAATCAACCAATTTGACGTTACTATGGTTTATCCGGAGCCATGGTGCATGTCTCGGCTTTTCACTCAAGAGATAGCTGCTTTCTATGAGGCTTACTATGCTAACAAAGGAATTAAAATTATCAAGGGTACAGTTGCAGTTGAGTTCGATGCTGATACGAATGGAGAGGTAAAGGCAGTGAAACTCCAGGATGGCAGGGTGCTGCAAGCTGATATTGTAGTTGTTGGTGTTGGGGCAAAGCCTCTCACTGAGTTATTCAATGGGCAAGTTGATGAAGAGAAAGGTGGCATCAGAACTGATGGAATGCTTGAAACAAATGTCCCGGATGTATATGCTGTAGGCGATGTGGCTACTTTCCCTCTGAAATTGTACAATGACATGAGAAGAATTGAGCATGTTGACCATGCTAGGAAATCAGCTGAGCAAGCTGTGAAAGCTATCAGGGCAAGTGAAGAAGGGAAATCCATTGAAGTGTATGACTACCTTCCATACTTCTATTCGCGTGCCTTTGATCTTTCGTGGAAGTTTTACGGAGACAATGTTGGTGATCCATTGATGTTTGGAGACAAAAACCCAGCATCCGGAAAACCAAAGTTTGGAACAGCATGGATCAAGAATGGGAAGATTGTGGGAGTGTTTTTAGAGGGAGGGACAGATGAAGAAAACAAGGCTATTGCCATAATGGCAAGGGTCCAGCCTCCAGCTGAGTATTTGGATCAACTGAAAAAGGAGGGTTATTTCCTTGCTTGACTGGAACTCTAGATACCATGTATAAAATTGAATTGATGGCTTGGGATTTCAATGAGTTGGTTTTGTTCCTGCACTTAAACAGATTGCTATGTGTGCCCTGGATTTTAATTCTGTTTCTTCACATTTTATTCTCTGTATTGATTTGATTGGAAAACAAAAAGATGCTTTCATTGCTCTTTCTTTCTCTTTCACTTAAGGTATACTTAAAAATTTGTACACCTCTAACTTGCATTATCATGAAAACCATTGAACAAATCTCATATAATTTGTTCACTCATCCTATTTAAATAATTTCCTCAGTTTGAAAGCACAAAAATAAAAAGGTTTAAAGTTACCCTGCACTCGAGGTCCTGGGTTCGAATCCCTCATCGGCTTATGTAAAAAAAAATAATTTAAAATTAAGGGACAAATGTGACTTGAGTCTATTACTTTGTTTATCTTAAGAGAATCTTTTATAGGTAATTGGAACGTTAAAAATATTTATTTTTTTCCAGAAAAAAATTACACGAGAAAAGTAGCACTCTTCTTTCAGATAATTAAACGAGAAAAGCACCGACTTAACGTTGTGAGTCTTCTTCCTAGACCATTATCTTCAGTTGACGAATACAAAGCTGGGGTATTTTGAGTTCCATTAAACCGAAACGCTAGCGATATTCACAGACGCGTATCGGGTACCAGAACGACACGTCGCTGCCGAAATGGCTGAAATTAGAATTGAGAGAGCCTCTGATAAGCTGAAAGAGCACAAACCAAACCCCAACCGCCGAGAAAACATTGGCGGGCTTCTGGGTCACATCGCCAAATTTGCTATTGACTCCACCATCAACTTCTCTCTCAAAGCCCTCCCTGGTTAGTTTCTTATCTATCTCACTATGTGAAGTATTAGATGATTTTTGGGTTTTTATTGTTTGATTGAAATTGGTAATCTGGGATCATTTTGTTAATTATGGATAGGATTTTTGGTTCGTCATCTTGCTCAGAAGTAGTGAGATTTTTGCAAGAACACATGATTCTTGTTGAACCCTGTTCATGTTGCATTCTGGAATCGTTTAATTCTCTCTCTTTATGCCCATGTTCTTAAATTTCAAGTGCACTTTCTGTGAAATGCTCAAATTTTGTACCTTTATCAATTTGTAAGTGAAGGGCTCACTGGAAATGCCTATGACGCTGTGGAAAATACAAAGAGGATTGGATTGTTGTTTTAGTATTATTTTTCAGGCCTTAAAGGCGAAGCTTTCCCTGGAGTGTTGTGTGCTATTATTTGAGCTATGGAAACTATCTGAGAGAAAAATGAGTTTCTGTAGATATAAAATATGGGAAGCTTTGAATGGTTGTGTCTTTGAACTGATTACTGGAAGACTTGTTGAAGCAGCAAACAAGGTACTAAATAGATCCTTGAAAATTTGTCAGAAAATTCAAGCTATGAAGACATAGGTAGAGAATGTCAAGTGGCCCACTAATGTTTGTTGAGGTAAACTTTGGCGCCGCTAGTAAATACTTAGAAATAATGAGTCAAATAATAACGGTGAATTGCGGAAAGTTGATGGATATCGAATGCAGGATTGATGGGGGCTTTGGCAAGCCAAGAAAGCTCACTAGTCGTGGAGGTAAAGCTTAAAGATGAATCTGGCTTTGCCTGGGCTATAAGTTCACTCCATTTTCAAAATGGTACCTAAGCAGCACATAGATTAGTCAGTGAAGTTATTGGTGTTGCTGCTAAGGAACAAGAGTTTTGGACGCAATTCCCACCTTTTTTTGGTCAATAGCAGAGCTGCCAATATTTTATTTTTTCGAAGTACGTTAAATTTATTTTATTTTGGGCTCAATTCCTAAATAATACAAGGGATGACGGTGGGGTTTTAGAATTTTGTTCCAGATATGCATTTGTCTCTGGATATTTTCTCTCTTTCAGGTGCAAAATTCTTCATCTCCAGGGTATTGTTTAATTTGTCACGAATTCCGACATTGTCATTGTCCTTTTGATCCTTTAACAGAATTTCTTTTGAAATCCTCAATCCTATAGAGATGATGGCTTATAGTATTTTCTCAGTGATAGTCATCATTTTGGCATCCCATTCACACAAATTATATCCTATGTCTTTGCAGCATAATAGCCCCTTTTTCCACAATTCTCAAAGCTATTTTTAAATAGCATTGCATTGTTAAGAACCTGGGTTTTGTTTAAACTCACTAATTGGACAGGCTGCACCTGGACCTCAACTTGTGATGCATTAAGCATCCCATCTCATGCCTGAAAGGTTGCATTTGCTATCATTTCTGCTTTATTTTTTATTTTTTATTATATTTATTTTAAATTTATTTAAAATCAATTGAGCCAGTGTATATAGAATAATGAGGACCTCAAATATACTCTTGAATTTATCGGACATCTTTTTGGGTCAGAACTATTTTTCTTTATCTCGTCCTTAAATAACAGAGTTGATTCTTTGTATTTAGCTACTTCCATACTTTCCAATTTGGTAAACTATAGATGCATCAGCCACCGTTTCTCTTTCCCCATATATTTTGAACTTTTTTTTTACTCCACCATTTTGACTACTGCAGGTAGGAAGCAGGTGTATCAGATTGTGCAGGAGGGATTAAAGGATCAACCCCCTTCAGTTTCTCCCAATGACAACAAGAAACCAGAAGATCTTAAGTTGGCAATGAAGGACATGCATGCAAAAATGGAGAATATGCAGGAAGACACGAACATTGTAAAGCAACAACATAACATATCAGCAGAACATGTCATGGGATCAGCGGATCCGAAGAAGATGCCAGACGAAAGAGGAATTCAGGGGTCGGATCTTCTGCAGAACAATAAGAAGAAGATCTTCATTCGATCGCGTCTATAAATTAGAAAATGAGGCTGGTGTAGATGACCATAACACCAAGTCAAAAAATAAACGACTGTAATCCCAGTAAAAAGAAAAACCAAATGTAATGGCATATAGTATTGGGGGTATAAATAATGTGTAATGTGTCAAAATTTACTATTTCATATAGAGTTGATATTTGATATGTATGATATGTATGTATTATGAACTTCACAAAAAGAGTAGAGATCATGACTTATGAGAGGATCATGTAAGTATTCTATATGTCCTTTAGGTGATGTCGTATTTCCACCCAAGTGGGCTGTTATTTTCAGTTTGGTATTGCCAGTCCAGCAGCCCAGCCTTTTCTTTTTCTTTCCTTTGTTTATGGGCCTTTTAGCTCTCATTATACCCAAGAAAAAAAAAAGAACAAGGGCGTTTCTGGAAATTAGAAAACCATTTTCCGTTTGTGCATGTTTTTCTCCTCGTGTAGCTTCTCGGTGTTTCCACATGGTCTCTCACTCTGTCTCAGACTCACTCTGTCACTCAGAACCGAACAATGGCGGTATGGACAGCGGCGGCTCGGCAAGCCGCGAATATGGCTCGGTTCTCTTCTCCCAAGTCTGCTTGTACAGCTCAAGCGGCTTCTCTTGTCCATCGGCGCGGTCTTGCCGGCGGTGGTGGTAATTCACTCACCCTTTAACGTTTTTCATTTAATCAATAGCTTCTCGTTTAATCTTTTTCCTTTATTTGTTCTGTTTGGTTGATCAGAAAGTGTGAGAAAATACTTATGAATTTCACTTATATCAACATGGGTGTAACACCTCTGGGATAGTGGTAGTGGCGGAGCTGGGCTTTTTTCTGTTTAATGAACTTTTCTTTTGTTTTTCTTTCCCCTACTTAACCAGAAGTCAAATGGGTTGTGGTCGATTTATATCTATATTTATTTTATTTTGTTCGTTTCTTGCTGTTTTACTTGCTTTGACTGTGTTGCAGATCATCATGGACCTCCAAAGGTGAACTTTTGGGAGGACCCAATGCACCCATTTAAGTGGAAGCAAGAACATGTGAGTTTTATTATAATTTGTTTTGGAAGACGTCTTTATAATGGTGTTGTTAGATCACTGCTGAGATTATTTTGATTGTCTTTTAACAATGCTAGAGAAATTTCCTGTTTTTACATGAAGACAAGTTCCATATTATGTCAAAGTTTATAGTGAATGGATACTTGGGCTATGTTTGCGGTTATAGGTTTTTTCTTGTCAAATAAAAAAGTTGTACCTCCAAGGTGAGATCGAAATCTGCAATTGACAGCTTTCAGTCTCATTGTGATGTTGAGGAACGTAGTAGTCGTGTTATGTTGTGGTGTGTGTGAGTGAGAGAAACGACCTTTTTCGCTTGTCCAAGCAGGCAAAGAAAGTTGATTTCAATGCTATTATTGTATAAGGTGTATATCGAGTCTCAGATGAGAATGTGGGAGAGAAGTAGATGTGTTTGTGGACGTCTTTAATTGCTGTTGAACTAAAGAGACAAAATGATCGTGTTGAGTGAAATCCTCATGCCAAAATACTTTTGGATTGCCTGCAATAGTGCTGCATGAGATATTCATATGGCTTTAGTGATTTAGAGTCAAGACTCTTATATCTCATGTGTTGCTTCACTTGGTACAGTTTGTGATTGTCTCTTTAGCTGGATGGGGGACACTCCTATATGGGGGTTATAAGTTCTTCACCAAAGACAAAAAGGACCAGAAGGACGAGGTATTTTGTTAAAGCTTTTGACTATGAGCTTTGTCTATTTTCATTCATCTCATGATCTCATGAAGCTAAATATGTTAAAGTACCTTCTCATACTCTGTTACATGACTGTATCTAATTTTTAGTGTGACATGATTAGACACAAATATCTCCTACATTTGTTACTATAAAAGAATAATTCAGTAGTGTTGGGGATGTATATATGGATTTCATAGTGAAATTCTTCTGTGTTCCTTTCCATTATCCATGTGTTTTCTGAACCATCAGTTCTTAACTCTTTCATTATAGTCTTCGATCAGATCTATCTGGAGCTGAGAACTTGGCCTCATAAAATGATTTGAGTTGTAAGAGTTGGGCTGATTGTTTATGCATGCGATGGCTTGAGGTAGTTTTCACCTGCTAGAGGTGTTTATGTATGATGATGCTTACATTTCCCATCTTCATGAACCTGAAGCATTCGAGTATTTGCCATTCTTGCTGGATGACCTACACATATTTCCAAACTTATGAAATCAATCTCCATTAGCTGAGCATTCTGTTGTCTTTGGTTGCAGAAAGTTGGAGAACCATCACACTAGCTTTTCGAGCTCCTGAATATATGTACAAATAAATAAATCAGTGTCCCGTCTTCAGAATATCTACAATGAGCATGATCTTCCATGATACAAGACACCACAGTTTTTAGGCAGTTCCAGTTTGTACATGACTCTTGTTTAACATGACTGGATTTATACATGGTGCCTTTTCTTTTTATGATCATTTTATCTAATGGTCATGGTTGTTTTAGCACTCGTGCATTCTAGCAAACCCTTTTCTTTTTACTACTAAACTAGTGGACCTGGAACATTCTTGGTTGATGATTTTAGAAATTCATCATTGCCAAGAAACCTGGATAGGTGGGAAGGTAGTTTAAAAGAAATCTGTTGCCTCAAGGTCAAAGCAAAAAGTAATTTGAGAACAACTTTGCAAATGGCTTTACTCAAAGCACCATATAAACAGTATCTACAAATAAATTGGCCAAAATTTATCTCTCAGCCTTGGCAGCAAGTTTAGTCACGTGACCGAGAAACACCTTACAACTCAACCCAAATTGCAAATGAACACTTTGCATCCATAAATAATATACAAAGTATGAAGCAAAGTCTTCATTGTCAAAAACATAATCTACACTTAGGATGCCACTTTGGTAACCATTTCCCTTGCTCACATGTTCAGTCTTTCTCTTTCACCATGTCACCAGTTTAACATCGGATTACCCTTTAAGACGACGCTGATTACAATGTTATTTCCAGATTTTCTAGGAAACTATTCTATATTACTATTTTCAATAATCTACGAGTAATATTAGATCATATTTCAAGCATAATAGTTTTCCACCATTTTCATCAACAGTGTGTCTCCCAAGCAGCCTCTCAGTCCGCATCTTTTACTTCTGCTTCAATATCAACAACTGCTTTAGAAGACTCCTTCCCTGAAACCAGTCTCAAGCTCAGAAAACAAATCGATAAATATTGGTATTTTGACCATGAAGAGAAAATGGCAACATGGCAAGAGGCTTTTCAGGGATAACCTCTTGTGGAACGGGTGTAGTCGTTGAATGCCTGTCCAAATGTTGTAGACTGATTGGAGTATTTCACAGAGTCCATTACAAATTTGTTGTCCACCACTGAAATTAACAAAAAATAAGTCTTAAAACATGAGGGACCGTGGACACTACTTTTCCATCAGATACTACAACTTATTCATAATTTGGAAATACACGTTTCAGTCTACTAACAGGAGAAAGCTGCTTGAGGAATTTTTGGAACTCATAAAAATATGAAATCCAAAATTTAACAGATACACAGACAATATGGGTTCACCAACATCTCATGTAATATAATTAGAGGTGGTAAAGCAGGTATAAAGGTCTGCAGACTGGTAAGAGGAAAAAAAAGCAGCAAGTAGAATTTGGAACTCAAAAAAGCAAGAAACGAAAATATTAGAATACCTGAGAAAGGTTGGGTGCAGAAGGGGCACTGCTGCAAATCATCATTTAAAGCAGATCTGCAAGAGGTTACATCCTCGCCCAAGTTACGCAAATTATCATAGATGACAATCCTTAATGAAACTAGAGAAGAAGAACCAATACAGGTCCCCATAAGTTAGCTTGAACTATAACAGAATTCAACTGGTCTTACTTGAAAATCTGAAAATCGTTTCCGCAGTTTGGGCACTGCAAGTACATAAAGAAAAAATCATTAAAGGCAGAAGACATCAGAGTAAGAAATATATAAACCTTCACAATTGAAAATGACTCTCAGGATGTTACTCCGAAATTACTTGATTACAAGATGTGGATAAAGCGTTTGTCAATTGTTACATGAAAGAGTATCACTTGCATACTCAACCTTTTTTCAAACATCCTATACATGTCATGCATTTATCTGATACATCTCACATGGAAAAGAATGAACACACTAGATTTCTACATGCCTATCCATGGAAACTATCCAACACCAATCCAGATGATCTGTTTATATAGCACATGTGATACAGTTTTTTGAAATCAAGAGCTTGCGACCAATGCAAACATTACTTAATTGTCAACTCCAAATAAAAGAAAATCACAGTGTTTTGGTACACCATCCACTAGCAGATCTGTAGATTGATAACTTAACTGTCCACACATGCCAAAACATCATGTAAGACCTAATCTATTGTTAAAAAATCATTAAAGCTGACATAAATAATTATAAAGGTTTTACTAGTCCTTGTAGGTGTCAAACTGGTAGCAACATCTTCACTAAGCAACAACAGATGTTTGATACCACAGTTGAAGAAAACTATGAGATTTAAGAAGTGAGCAAGAGAAAATAAAAAAAAATTAGTAGCCTTACACTGTCTTGAACCATATCCTGCCTTGCCCACCACAGAAAAGCACCCACACCAACAATTGGTACAAGCACTGCAAGGAGCTGGATGTGAAAAGGCATAAATTTCATTAGAGATATAATCCTACATGCTGATGTCAGAGTCAACAAAGCTACCAGTTTTCTTCAGAAATGTAAAGGAACTAAGATTTGTGAGAAGAACCCCAAATCAGTTGCTAAATGAGAGAGAGTACCCAAATGGAAACAATTGCATCCAAAATCCAACCAAGCTGCCCAGTAAATGAAAGATAAGTCAATCCAATAGCCAAGGCTAAATTACCCAGAACTCTAGCAGTGGCTCCATCATCTTTCCCACCACCACCTCCATCACCATTAAACCCAAACCCCTGATTGAACCTCACCACAACCTCTCTTTTCTTCTTCTTCTTCCATCCCTCATCTCTCCCCAACATCTCATCTTTAACACTACCCCCTCCCAAGGAAGACCACCTCTCCCAATAAGCCCTCACCTTGAACCTGTTCTGCTTCAAACAACCAATCTTTGTCCTCGACACAGAGTAATATTTGATGGGTTTCTTGTATATGTCATTATGCAAACTGCTCAGCCTGAAAGCTAAGGAATTGATAGAGATATGAACAACGGTTGTCATGGAAAAGATGGAAGTTTAAGCAGAAACGACCCAATATCTAAAACACTGGTTTTGCACTGTTCATAGGGGATTTCATGGTGGGCTTGGCTTAATAAGATGGGAAGAGAAGATGTATTATCTGCTTTCCCCAGCTTCGGCTTTTCTACCTTCTGTGATGGCGCTTAGTTTTTCTGTTCTCGGCATTACATACAGTATTTTATTGCAGATAAGATGCGTGGCCCAACAATCATGTTGTTTCTTACCAGATACGTGACCCATGTGTCCAAGATTAGTGTAATTTAAAATTTAAGGGGGCAGAAAATAAAATAATATTGACATGATTGTATGAGGTTATATGGATCACATCTTTATGTTTCTTTAATTTTGGTCCCCAAAATAAGGTCCAAGAAAGAAAGGGTGACAATTTAGTAAGTAAAAAAAGTGACAGTTTGTGTTAGACTGGATGTTCATGTTGTCATTCTGTGGTGAATAATATTCAAAATTGACACGCTTAAGTAATCGTGTCAAATGACTCAATAAAACAAAATGTCACATATATGTAAGGTGTGTATATATGAGCTTTTTTCAATTCAAGTTGCTAACAATTAAGTAAACATGTCATAAATACTCTTAGGATTTAGATCATCCCCAAATAAAAGGAGGAGAGGGAGTGGTCGATTTGTGAACATGGTCAACATAAAACCCTAAACTACCGGGTAGTAACTAGTGTGAACAGGCATTTTTGGTTACAATGAAAGACAAAAAGGTTTCCTCATAAATTAACCCATTTACATGAGGTCATAAAAAACACTAACCAAAGATTTGCTTTGAAGTATTTTGTAAAGGAAAACGCTAGATCATTATTCATTATCATATAAATAAATTACAAGAAGCACCATATCTGTATCTCTTCAGTATGATGGCTATATTTGCCAATGTCCTCGTAAAACAGCTAGAACAATTGAACACATATCATTACATAACCATTCTGAACCACACTCATGGCCCCCAAATCATTCTTTCTTATTTTCCCTTGGCTTACTTGGTATACCATCGTCTCTATATGGTTCAACACTGTACGCCTTCTTCTGAAAAACTGAAAATAAAACCATCTCCACACACACCAATATGTTTTGAAGAGCTTCCTCAATATGCTCCACGTCCAGCCAGATATGGTGAGATCGAATTATTTTCAATGCTGCAAGTATGTCAAGAACAACTCCCTGCAAAATCAATTGAACTGCTTTCTCAAAACGCACAACAAATTTCATTTTATAAAACAAGAAATAGGGATTAACCCTGCTCCAAACCGAACCAAATACAAATCTACTAATTGGAAATGTTCAAGAAAATACATTTTACAGAAGTTTTTTGCAAACCAATATGGAAATCTCAGTTTTGATATTTGAGCAAAAAAATGATTTCTTGTGTGCATTTTAAAGTAAGGCTACCGGACAGACATGGTTCTCAAAATTCAACGCAGAAACAAAGGTATTTGATATGGTTTTGGACATCTTGAAACTAGCATGAAACACAGTTTGAGACATGGACACTGGTGTTAGAACCAGCATGACCTGCCCAACAATCAAGATGGACAAGAAATAATACAGTGTCCTTAACTCATGACAATCTATATCTTGGAAGCATTAAAAATCGTTTTCCATAGGGTCTGACCACAAGCGCTATAACATCACGAATATGCTATATCTTGCAACTGTATGACATGAAACAGATCTAGAAGGAAGAATGCAATATGCATATTGCACATTTTGACTACTGCTCAAGGAGCTCTACCAGAGGTCCATCCTGCTCGTGATTTAGAATCAGCAAGACCAATACCTACACCACTATCCAGTGGTACGTCTAAAAGCTATGGAAGTTTACATTCCCTAGTCAGAGTTTATAATATTTACAAAATCCTTTATCCACAATGGCAATCTCTAACAATCCACATTTGACAGAACTATGAGCTTGTCGGTTTCTGGCTCACATGAAAGGGGAGATGGAATGATAATTACCTGCCAGAAGCAGAAGAAAACAATCCCTTTGACGCATAAGAACTTGGCAAGAGGTTTGTGTGGTGCCAGCTCTTTAGCAAACACATGGTAGAAAACAATAAGAGAATACAGAGCCAGTGTCACTGAAATATTCAGAATTATTGTGAATGTCCAGCTAACCCAACTGGGATATACTCCAAGGAGTTGAAGAGTTATCATCAAGATGGAGCACACGGGGCGAATCACAACAAATTGCCATGTCCAGTACTTGAGAAGCTTCAATGTATGATGGTTCAAATGAACAGTGCGAGGCTGCATTTTTTATAGATACAAGTCAATATACCTCAACATGTCACGGCTAACAAAAGTAGCTATTTCCAATAAATCCAACGAAAATTAGTTACACACATACATTTTCACACTCTACTGAGAAGGTGAAAAGACTAAGAATTCAGATAGCTAGAAGGTCCTTGTCATTGCAAGGAAAGGAATCTTTCTATTGTTCTCATCCCAAAGAGAAAATGCAATTTCTTGCCAATAATATGTGTTCTTTAAGCATAAAATTGAAGTGATATCAGGAAACATACACATTTTTCAGTCGTTAACTTAATTAACACAACAAGAATCGGAGATGAAAATTCATTTACCAGAAAAAGAGTCATGGGAAATGAATGGTGAATCTCCCGTCCCTTGATTTCATCTGGCACTATGTTTTTACTTATAGATATGTTCAAGTAGCTGTACAGCAAACCCAAAAACTTAGCTATCACCTGCACATAATGAATTTACAAACTCAAGCACTAACAAATTAAGGACTAATGGCAACAGAATATACATGAAAAGTTATATTGAAATCTTACCAAAGCCTCGTAGCACTCCTTGATCGAATCCAAAAAAGTAAAGAAAACATTGCTTCCCTTTAAATCTAACAAGCCCACAAAAGAATCTAGAGCATATAAGGGCGCCATAAGTATAATGATTATGATGGCTTTTTGCTCCTTTGGCTTCTTCCAGTAGAAAAAATGTTCTGAGAGAAGCTGTACTGAGAAATGCATTGTAAGCATCACGCAGAAAGTGGAAGCCAGAAGAGTAAATTGTGCTGGATTTCCCATCTTTTCTTTTGCGTTTTTAACCACAGAGATGGTGATTCAAGAACTTGGAACTGCAAAAAAGTGTCAATAGTTTTAGTTAGGATTCAACTGAAGTAGCACTATACCCAATAGTCTCAGATTTATAAGAGTCGTATATCGATGAAAAATAAAAACACAAATCATGAATTTGTGACAACCCAGATGACAAAAACACACATTTATGAAGTAAAAGTTGCAAAATTCATATGAAAAGTCAAAGATTTAGAAACACTATTCAAAAAGTCAAGCTGAAGTCAACTGTAAAGTAATGCTACAGGTAGAAGTCAAGTGAACCACTCATAAGCTAATAAGTTTAGAAAACGGACTAACTATCTCTTGGTTTGCAGAGAGAAACGCTTGCTTCTGCGTTTTCTGCGATATTTCCCTAGCTTTATCGAGAGTAAAGGAAGCTCAGAAAAGATGGCTAGTTTTTAATATCTGGTATGAAAAAATATGTGACTGCTTGGTTTGGTTTGTTGCTCAGAATGAGATTTATTTTACTCTTAAGGATAGATAGTAAGAGATGGTAGCGACTGAAGCTCCTCTGCCATGCTTTGAACTCCAATTTATTGCAGAAATCTGGCGGAACAGGAGATAGCACCTCTGTAAAATGATATATAAATATTTATATCATGTCTAATGTCCACAGCGGGGATAGCTCAGTTGGGAGAGCGTCAGACTGAAGATCTGAAGGTCGCGTGTTCGATCCACGCTCACCGCATTTTAGTGTTTTTCCCTTTTTTTTTAAATAATTTTTTATTATCCCACGGCTCGAAAACAACCCCATCATGAAGCATTTACTTTATTCGTTGTGCTCTTTACTTAATTTTAAAATAAATAAAAAACAATTTGTTATTTTAATTTTGTCGTTGATGGATCATGTGTTCATCAATATGCATACCACCAGCAATTGCAAAATCTCATTTATTTATGCTATAACAATGGTTGTAGTTTTGGTTTCCACCTAGTTATGATTCAATCATTCATCTTTTTCAATAATCTGTAGAGCATAAGTTTTGCTAACAACGTGTTTAATGACAAGCAAAATTCAGCAAACTATTCATCTCTTCCAAATATAAAATTTTCACTCTTATCAGCTCCAATCTGTTTCACCAATCGACGTAAGGAGTCAATGAGAAAAAATGCAAAATGAGTGGCACAAATCAATGTATAATATTAAGGCAAAAATTGTAAGATTCAACTCATTTCCAAGCTACACTTGAGTGACTGATTTTCTTGCATCACGCCCCAAATCAAAGAAAACCATATGGAGTAAAAACTTAATCAGACTGTATCCTCACTTGTCCCCTTGGGTTCGAGTAGTAGCTCTCCCGTTACAATAAACTGATCCGCCAAACTGATTAGAATGGTGGCATAAGTACCCAAAAGTTAGTCTGACAATAATAAACCAGGTAGTTAATGTATGTGTAAGGAACTCTCATATAAAACACAAAAACCCAGAACTTGGTAGCAGAAGAGTCCGTTGTACCTTGTATCAAAAAATTGTGGTGAGTTTGATGTCACTTCTGTTATACAGGCTACAGCAATCGGGGAAAGGGTATATCTTGAAGCTGCCATAACACGTAATTCTTGCACGATAAATAGACATTAATGGCATCCTGAAAATATTCCATTCTATGCAACCTTGCTGTCCTCTTTGCAAAAATTTGGTTATCCATCATATGGCTTTTAAAACCTCTCCAAGAACTAGTCCCCACTGAGTCCAATGGGAGCCGCCCTGCATTAGAAATCCAACAAAAACTGAAGTTCAGGATGCAATAACTGTCTTAAATTAAGTTAAATATATTTCCATTTCTAAAGCTTCAAACTTACCCTACTTCCTATAATTCCAGGATAGGGTCAAGTCTCAACTGGGACACTAAACGATATAAAACAAGCACTTACCTGGCAAAATACAGCAAATGGCTCTCTTAATGGTCCATCACATGAAAGCTCACTCGTACTCCCATCAATGAAGGTTCCATCAGCAAAGATCACCTGATACATGACAACTAAGAGTGATTGAAAGCCTTACTGCAAATTTACAACTAACACTGCGACCTGTTAATGCAAGATTGGCACCACTCTCGACAAAAGTTGTGCATAGTAACACCCAATTTCACTGATGATAAAGATCGCTTAGCTGTTTAAACTTTATATTGACAAAGATTTCAGTAATGCTATTATGGTGCTTAGCTGTCTAGATATAATGAAACTAGGAAGAACTAGAAATGACTTCTTGACCAGTTTTCACATAGAAAAAAACCTCTAAGTTGAAACTAAATTATAAGACCTAATATCCAGATAATTGCCACTAGAACCTGTCCTTCAATAACGCCTCAAGCATGGATTTCAATCTCCAAGAACACTACATTGCTTCCTTTATATGAATTGACATCAAAGGCATCTGAAGTCGGTGAAAGTTTGAATGAGCTAGTAGTTAATGTATGTGTAAAATTATTGGTTAAGTTAGCATCCAACCCAAATCAATCGGTAATAATAAGTGGAGAGGCCCCAAAAAAATTCTATTGAGATGCAAAGCATTCAATTGTGAATAAATAGTCTGTTTCATTACCATGTTAAGTTGAAGCATCCGATACAGAACCAGTTCAGTCCAGGAAAAAGAAACCCAGACCAATTAACAATGGATCAAGAGGCCCCAAAAATTTTATATTGAGATGTTAAGTTTAAAATGTCCAATGTGGGACTTTATATTCTCAACTATCCTGATGTGCACTTAAGATTTATGAGGCTTCTAACGCACACAATTACCACTTCATCAGAACCAGACTCATAGATTTGGTTAGGAACAGATCATATTAATAGAAGCTGCGGCTGCCTGCTTCCTTTGTTGTAAGAGATGACAAAATTCTAAAACATTAAATAACTAAGATGTAGAACTAAATGTGGCCAGACCTCTGATGCATATCCAGGAGTTGTACCAGCAATTGGTCTAGTAAATGAACCTACTGGGGAGCTTCTCTGTACAGCCTCACAGAAAGCAAGAAGACGCTCCCGGCTTCCAAGCTGTATGGCCTGAAAATAATTATTAAAACATTTGAGATTTTCTTCTGTCTGTAGCAGAGCATGTTTCTCAACTAACATTGTCAATCAGCTAACCAAAACTGCACAAGCAGAATAACATTATCATCTTACACTGATCAACAGAGATGCTATCTGTTTAAAAGGCTAAATTATACGGAATACTAACAATTAGAATGAATGAAATAAGCAGCTGCTTGCTGCATATAGATCTTTGTTAACTCCGGACCATGTGATTCAGACAGACCTAAATCTCTTAACCAACAATATAATGTTTTGGAGGTTCACTTGGGATTAGGAAAGAATATAAATAATAATAAAAAAGGGTAAATTACCTGTACTGTGTCATGACGAGGAACACGAGGAAGTGGCTGCACCTTATACCCTTTGGATGCCATAACTTCAGCAACTAGGAGTGTACCCTATTGTAGAGGAAACCCGGGAAAAAATGAGCTCCAAGTTGAATAACGGAAATTAAATGTAAACTAGGAAATGCATATTTCAATACCTTGATAGCTTCGCCTACCATTTGAGGTGAGAGGAACAAACCCTGGAAAAATGCTCGCATAATGTCACCAGGAGTTGAGCCGCAATCAACTCCAAGGCCAGGTGCAGATAAACGAGCTGCTGCTGCTTTTACCCATTTTTCTTTCCCTGCAACATATCCACCGCATGGTGCTATAGTTCCACCAGGATTTTTTATCAAACTGCCAGCAATCAAATCTGCACCCTGAACACCACCAACGACATTTTATTGCCTTTCTTCAGAAGAAATAAAAAGGGATACAAAATATGACACATACCACCATTGGAGGTTCAATGCTTTCCACAAATTCACCATAACAATTATCAACCATGACCAAGCAATTAGGATTCTGCGTCTGTTTAAATATAAGAGGAACAACAATAAATTTTCCAAGACAAAAGAATTCACAGGAAAAAATGAAGTGGCGAGAGTTAACAATAACAAGTCAGAATATATCAGCTTCAGGCTACTCCAGAATTAAAAAATAATAATTAGATTAATATATATTAACAACAGTCGCAGTGTGAAAGAAAATCTTCCCTGATGGGTACCCCAGTAATATGGCTACTCAAGGAGCAAAACAATTAACATAGAACATACCATTTGTTAAAACGTTATGCTATTTAATATTGAATGACACCACTTCAATGTTACAAAGATTCTGATTGGCACTCTTATTCTGGTTAGAAAGCCAGATCCATGTAATGATTCCAAAATGGACATTGAGAAAGTTACCTTAATGATCTTAATTGCTCGCCTTATCTCATCTACACTTAAACTCTGACGCCATGAATAACCACATGACCTCTGTATGAGTGCACATTTTGTTTCAGGTCTCAAAGCATGCATAAGCGCATCCCAGTCAAGGCCACCATTTTCAGCAAGCTAAAATGACATCAGATATGAGATAGTTCACAAAGCACAACAAGAAATCTATAAAAAAATAATAATAATCTTTTAGTATAACTAATAACATACTGGAACTTCACGGTATTTCACACCAAAATCTATCAAGGATCCCATCCCATGAGAGTCTCTCTTTCCAATAACTTCCTCTAGTGTGTCATAGGGAGGACCAGCAACTGCCAAAAGCTGACATTTCGATTAGTCGAAAGTCTAACCATATTCTAAGGACAAAGTGGAGGAAAAACTTTCAACACAAAGTGCACCCAAGATCAAAGTAATAGCTTACCTCATCCCCCGGCCTTAGAAAAGCAAATAAAGCACAGGTTATAGCATGAGTTCCTGAAAAAAACTGAATATAAAGAGGATTAACTAAGCATTGTAAATAACCCCATAAAGTAAACACAACACACTATATGACAAACCTGTGAGCGAACTATAGAAGATTCAGCCCCAACAATTTCTGCAAAAGCTTGGTCAAGCGCTTCACGTCCCCCGGCTTCATCATGACCATAGCCAGTGCATCCGGCGAAGTGCTGATTGAAGACAGAATCATGAGAACCATGTTGAAAACCATATACGATAAATTTAATGATCCCATAATTATCACTGAAAGGCGGCAATTTCATGACTTCAAAAGACCCAAAAAGGAGAATTATGGGCTTTTCTTACAGAATTAGTGCATTAGTGACATATAAAAAGAAAACAGTAAGGCATGCTTCTACAGAATCAGTGCATGTATTAGTTACTAAAATAATTGTTTCAATGCATGTATTATAACAACTAACATAACCAAATAAGAGGCCTTTGAACAAAGAACAAACGCATAGATATACAATGGAATGAGATTGCATAGATATCTGCTTCTAATAACTAGTAGAGGCAATCTATATACATTCTTCCTTCTGAAGGATTACATGAAAAGCATTAGAACTATGGTTGTCACAGTATCACCAAAAAAAATATTGGCATCCAAGTATATATACGATAACCATCTCGAACATTATATCCAAATAAAACCACCCAAAAAAAACTTACATGAGATCCAACTCGAGCATTCTGGAAAGCTTTGAGAACACGGGTTGTATTGTGTGCCACCAAATTATCCATGGCTCTGAACTCTGAATACAAGGAGTCCACTGCTTCCGCAACCTGCATTGCACAGAAATTGAACCACTTGGGGTATTATCATAATGAAACTTTTAGAGCTTAAAGCAAATATCCAGCTCCATATCAACTCCATCCAAATCCTGAATATATGTGCCCCAAACCCTATTAATAAATGGAAAGATGGGTCAGTCTGGTTGCTCTGAAACTCAAGGAAACATGATGTGCCTTGTGGCTTAAGCTGCCTCGTTTACCAACAAAAATAAAAGGGGGGATAACCCACCTATAATAAGCCACAATATGCTTGACCCATTATTTTATCTGATATAATTATAGATTGAAAGAAAAGAAATAATCTTTCTCTGCAATTCCCAAAATTTTCTAAGCAAGCAAATTGAAGAATGACTATTAAAATAACTGCGTTTTGGGAGAACATGAGCAGCGTTGAATTTAAAAGCTAAATACTTGCCCCCTATTTTACCAAAAAAAAAAGCTAAATACTTAGAAGTTCGATTTCGAGTAAATTTGTGCACTTTCCCAGCAACCAAACAGAAAACTAACCATTTTATTAACGTTCTAGATATTTTGAAAATAGCATGAACTTAAAGCGATTTACCTCTGGAACAAAAGGAGAGTCTTTCTGATGATAATGGTGATTGGTAGGGACTGAGACTGGAGAGCATGAACGAGTAGTAGCCATGGGTAAAGAAGCTCTGAGAGTGAGCATATGATAAGCAGACGTGGCGCAGGATAAGGCCCACATCATCGAGCAGTTTGAAGGAGACGACTGGGCCTGTGGGTGTGTGTTTCTGGTCTCGTATACTTTGAGCGCTTCATATGAGCATTTCACTCGTTAACATAGCACATAAAATTCTCCTCGGACAGCCAATTGCACACCAACGTTTCAGGTTCGCATCTCCAATTTTGGGCGTGTGAGAAATCCCGACGTAATATAATTTTTTTTTATTTACATAAAACCTATAATGATATTAACACTTTTCTTGTGATATTAAGTGCTACTTTCTTGTGGACTTCAAATTTGGTTGTTAGAGAAAGGTAAATGATGTGCGGGAGCTTATGCATAGTTTCGGTATATATGATCTTTAAGTGAGGACTTAGTTTTAATCGTTGAATTACTTTGATCTTGTCAAATTCTTTCACAATGAAATACATCTTTTCAGAAATATGTGGTCCACTTCTAAAGTCCGTATATAGAGGCCTCATTATAGAATTTCGCAGTTTCAATGACCATTCTATTATGCATGTTCCGAGGGAATGAAATAAGACAACTCATATGCTAGCTTGTTTTAGTTTGCGAGATATGTCTTTTCTCTAAAGGCTGGAGGCTGACCCTCCTTGGCTTATGGAAGACGAAGATAAGCTTAAAATTTTGGGTGGTGTTGTAAAATAAACGAAGCATGAGAATATCACTGAATATAGGAGTGGAATTGTATTTATTTACTTCAGAAAGTAAATGTTGCATCCATCTCGTAGGCTAAACACGAAGACCTGCATTACTCTTCTTTCTTTTCACCTTCACTTGTAGGTTCCAAATGCTTTGCAAGGTGCTTGTTATTTTTAGCTTCGAGATTTGTGCATTTAACTCTCACGTGCAATATGTAATAGAAGACATTTGTGTAGATCTTATGTTTACGTTTGTGCTTGTCCAAAGTTACTGAGTAACAGTAACAAATATTGTTACTGAGTGGCATTAACAAAATGAAAATTATATATGCACTACGAGAGAGGTTTTTTTTTCCCACTTGGTTAGTCTAGTCTACAGGTCTTAACCAACATAGTATATTAGAGCATCTCCAAGAGAAATGTCAAATACCAAATATCAAATTTAAATTTGATGACTGATGTGGCAATTTGACATATTGTAAAACTCTTTATCCAACTAAGATGTCAAATATACATTTTATTTTATTATTTTTAAAGGCAGGTGGGTTCGGTATTTAAGAGTAAAATATTAAATAGGATTAAGAACTGTACATGGAAGAGGAGAGAAGGAAGTGGGCTCAACATTAAAATAATAATACAAAACAAAAAGACATATCAACATGTTGGCGTCAATTTTGACAGCAAAAGTGAGGGACGTCAATCCAACTAGGATTTGGCATCACGGTTGGAAGGCTTAAAATTTCTTTTTCTTGGGTTAAAACTTGCCACGTTAGAATTGACATTTCGGTTAGAGATGCTCTTAGGCAATGTCATATGTTCTTTTGGTTTTCCAAGTTGGTCAATGACAAAAAAATTGTTTGATATTCTTTGTTGGCATTGATGACCAGTTTCTATTTTTTTATTCTTGAGAGAAGTAATAATTGTATTCATAAATTAGGCACAAAGACCATCAGCTACAAAGGTAAATACAAATGCCCACAAAGGGGTAATACAAATATGGAAACATAGTAACCACATAGGGTTAATCCAGATACAGGCCACAAAAGGCCAGAGAAATTTTGTCATAAAAGTCGCATGCCTGAACAAACCAGCCATAAATCACATCGCCCAAATCTATCTATACAACTACAACTTTTATCTCTTACAAGTACAAAATACAAGTAGAGACTAAAAAATAATCAAACATCCAACTCACCAGGAGTGGACCCAACTCACAAAGAGTTGATGCAATTATTACAAAATAAGAAAACTTCAAACAAACAACCAAAAACTAAAGAGCCACTACCGTCGTTGTTGCCACTGCCACCACAAACGTCGTCGCCGCCATGGAGACAAAGAACACACCAAGATTGCAGTCATTCACCTTACAACTAAGACACCAACCAGCGAAACCACAAATCCAAGCAGATCTAGACACAAGTAACTTCCCCACAATTAAAACCCCGAATCTAGTATATGGGAGATGAGAAAATAAGTGGGGAGGAAAGGAAAAGAGAGAGAGGGAAGAGGAGGAGGAGTGGCCTCCTCCCCCTTTCCCTGGAACACAGCAAAAGAGTTTGAGAAAAAGAAAGGAGGCTAGGGTTTTGATGACCAGGTTAAAAGTACTACTACTTACCTTATATTTCAATTTTGATTAGAAGTATTCAAGCACATGAACTATTATGTAAAACATTACACGTGATGAGAAATGATTGGGAGTTATTTAATTTTCATTTTTTCAAAATATTTCTCATTTTCTTGAGACTTATCTAACATATATAACTTGTCCACGTAGAGCGTGTATCGTATGGTGCGACACATATAAGCAATTCCTCTTTTTATTTGTCCATTTATGTACACTTAGAAAAGTGTGTAAATTTGTTGTACTATCCTGGCTATGAGAGCATATATTGGTCATCTCATAGATATGAAATTAATTGTTGTTATATACATGTGCAAGGGCTTCAATTCTTCTCTCCATTTGTGTATTTTGGCTCTTGAGGACCAGCCACTAAGCCAAGCATCGACAGTGACGGAAAAGAACAGCTTTACATAGGCTTTTTATACCCAAACAACCTTAGAGAGAATCATAGATAAGATGGCCTGAGGTAACTCTGATTTACAGTGACCAGACAACAGCTGAAATGGCTCCAGGTAACTCTCTGATCTATTCATGTTTTCATGTTTTCAAGTTTTCATTTTTGTGCTCTATCATTGTTGAAGATGAAATTTCATGCATGTATAATCATATGATCTATTGATCCATGGTGCAGTTTTGTTGCCTTTGGGTTGTGACCTGTTTTTTTTTTTTTTTTTTTTTTTGTTTTGTTTTTTTTTTTCGTAGTTAGATGATTATCTATATGTTGTTTTGTGATTATTTTACTGTTTGCCTTCCCACACACCTAGCTAGTACTTATTAACTGTTTCTTTCACTGCGATAATTGATCAATACACATACCCTAATTTTGCCCCGTCTTATTTTTTTAGCTAAATTAATATTTTTAGTTTATGATCTCGCATTATTTGCTATAATACTATTTCTTGATCTAATAAATTCAAGCTAGCATTTAATGTTTTGAGAGTTGATTACCTCGACGAATATTATGTGTGTCTATCTGAGATCGCATATGTTAAATAATAACTTAGTATATTTTTCTTTCTTTGATTCAACAATTATCATCTAATGATATTTAAACTCAAGATTATGCGCGATTTCAATAATTAATTAAGGATCAGTGTTGGAGTGTTCTTGACAGTGTAAAAGCACTTCAAGTTTAGTGAAAACACACTTTAATTTTGTAATGTTTGGATGGAACAATTTATTTATTTTTTAAATGTTTCCTTGGATGTTTTTACTAGGAGCACTTCAGCTTGGATATATATATATGCAAGAATACTCAAGTTTTTATTCAAAACTTTTATGCACATCCAAACAGGTCTTTATTTGGTTATTATTAAGCAAGCTCATTTTAAGTTTTAAGTTTTATTTTATATATTAACTCACCTGTTGAGTATGGTATTACAATTTATTATCACCTGTTGCAATGCACCATATTCACAGTCCTGAAATAATGCTATATATATGGTACTTGTTTCTCTCTTCTTTCTTCTTCCTTTCTCTTTCTCTCTCTCTCTTTTTCGGGTTTTGGTTTTAATAGAAAAAGGATGTGTGTATAGCGATGTGGATTTTCAGGTTCCATTAACCAAAACCAACAAAGGGATCATGGTGCAGTATCTGTCAACATGCACCTTAGCACCTCTCTCTCTCTTGATCTCCCATCATTAGCATTTGTGGAAAACCATTCTAATAAGCCTTACATATATAGCAAACCCTCATACATTTGTCAACATGCACCTTAGCCACCTCTCTCTCTCTCTCTCTCTCTCTCTCTCTCTCTCTCTCTCTCTCTCTCATACATCTTCTCTTCTCCACGTTTTTCTACCTCTGCATGGTTGTTTAGATGTCCTTGATGAGTGCATTTCGGCTTCATTACAATTTGACAAGGTTTTGAACACAAAACCCTGCCATAAAAAGTTTCCCAATAAATGCTGGTGCTAATTAATATTGCACAAAGATCTACATGCTATTTCTAATGAGTTTTTTGTTCTTTAATTTTTATACAAGTTTTTTTTTTTTTTTTTTGTATTTTTTTTGAGTAACAGGTGCAAGGAGATCTCGATCATCAGCTGCCAGACACAACATTGGGATTAAAGATGAGAGCAATGAAATAATGTTCAGAGATGAAGATATTAAGCAACTGGAAAACATACATGAGCTGGTGCGAGGGCCAAATTACGTTGAAGTGATTTGTGGTTGCACAAGCAAGAAATATGGAGATCAAGTCGGCAAGCTTAAGATTTCTTCTACCGGCCAATTCCAAATAAATTGTGAATGCTCTGCACCTTCAACCTGCGAGGAAGGTACTACTTGCTCTAAATACAATTTAATTCTATAGTTTTCATGTAAAAGGTATGGCTATTTTCTAATTTATGCTAACTTTATTTTTTATTTTTCTTGGCACTTTCTTCCTTTGAATGTGTTGCTTGTGCTTATCAGCTTATTTCCTAAAGCCATGGAAACTTATGAAGTTCTTTTTTCTAAAGCCATGGATCCATCCATGAACCCACTAAGCCCTTCAAATTTTATTCTGTAACATGGTATTAGAACTTTGGTTGCAGGATGTTCTATTTCGAATATCTCGAAATCTCGAATTAATTTGTATTTCCTACACTTATGGTTTTACGAGGCTGCATGTCATACGACTAACTTGATAAAGTTTACATTGTTGGTGTATTCTCTGAGAGCTAATTAAGCTATATACGAATTAATGCAGTGGGGGTGTTAGAAGAAATTGGCAAATTGACACCAGAGGAATTCGAGAAGCATTCAAGGGAGAAAGAGGGGGGACCTAGAAAGTGGAAGAGCAATATTTGGGTAACAATCAAGGGCAAGAAAGTCCCACTTTGGAAATCAGGGCTGATGAGATATTACAAGCATGCCTCCAATGAAGGCAAATTGGGTTCAAGCAGTCGGCGTAGAGGGACTTTTCACAGGGAGGAATTTCTATTTTGCTCCAAGTGTAAGAAAGAACGCAGGTTTCGCCTGCGAACGAAACAAGAGTGCAAAGCCTTCCATTATGCCTCCATGAATAAGAAGTGGAAATGCTCTGATCATCCATGCGACAAGTGAGTTCCTCTATCTCCTCATCTTCACTTTCAGTTTTATATGCACACGCTTTGATTTATTTTCATGTTTCTTTCTTTAATCAGAGGCGGAGTTTGAATAGCTTAATAGGCTATTACATAAATCTTTTCCAAATTCTTTCACGAAATGATAGAAATGTCTTTAAATTCACAAGGGAACCACACGTAGGTTGGATGGCATGACCACCATAGTCCTGCACGTGACTCCACCGTTGGACATATGTTAATATTTCTAGACATTATATTGCACTATAATTAAATGACTTTGTTTTTCCATGTTTCAGAATAAAATGCGGTGATGAAGAAGAAAGAGCAAGTCGAAAAAGCTCTAGGGGTTGTCCTCGTACATCAACATGCAAGGGTTGCACATGTTGTGTGTGTCTTGGGTGCCTCAGATGCCGCTACTTGGACTGCGACTGCCGCATCTGTGTTGATTTCATGCAGAATGCCCAACCATGAGCCCCTCTCAATCCCATCTCATCCCTCCTTGTTCCAGATTTTGTGAATTTTATTCGAGTAGTAATTTTGGATCTTCTAAAATTTCCTTGGATTTCAGAACAAGATGGCCTTTTATGCCAATGGTATGGTTTTTTCTTTTTTCTGATACTTATATTCATGCTGTTGAGTTTGTTTTTCCTATATTGCGTTTAATACTTTATTTTTAGAGGTGAAGAAAATAGGTGGATGCATAGAAAGTACTTGAAGTTTGAAGGGTGAGAATAGCATTCACTACTATTTTAGTTTTGATGAAGCTACTTACAGGCTCAAAGTCAGATGATTTACAACAAATGTTTTGCCATCATCATTTTGAGGGTTGAGTGAACCTCTCAAGCTCATCAATGCTTCGACACACATGCATATACAGGATGAAACGTATCGTCAGGCCAACCGGCCTACACGTACAACAAACCTTCTACAGCAGTGTTTATGAACAGATAGAGTATACATGGCATTCAAAAAGATTGGATTGACTTCAAATGCCTATGGATATTTTGCTCCCTATATTGATGTGGGATGCGTGTACAAGGTCTTCAACCTAATCAAAAATTTCACAGCCGCATGAATGGCTGACTTTGTAGTTAGCCACTACCCCGGGTCAAGATCAGCTAAGACATGTTCTACAGAAAGACACAAAATGGGCTTTCCCAGTTCAACTCCAAGGGATCAATTTCTCTTGAAGCTAATGAATTACCTACATAGCTCGATGATATACAAAAGGTGTGCAACTTAAAATAAAGACAACGTTTAGTCCCTTGGAACTGTAAGCAACCTACTGGCGTCCAGCAGACGTGCGATTCCTTCCCCTGCCTCTTCTAGCATTGGCAATGCTAACTGTCAAGGAGTTACCTACAGTTCCCAGGGCACTAGGTCCCATCAGCTTCAAGCCAAAATCTTTTACCAAGTATGATAACCTATTTTCATCTCCTCCCGGCACCAGTTCTAACCCACATGCTTGCTCACGAGATATGACTGTATAAAGCTGCAAGGGTATGGTTAAGGAATGTTGGAAGTTGTTTGGTAACTCTTGTTTATAACTGTCTTCACTACTCCCAACACTAACTCTCATTAGCCCTACTGATTTTGGATCTTCTGTTGAAGGATCAAATACAAACAAAAAATTCCCAAATGCTAAATCGGGCCTCTTGAATAAATCTTCCAGCATATCATTGCTTGGTCCAACATTCTTTTGCATGACTTTCCTCAGATTATTTTGGTTACGTCTTGTGGTGCGATATATGCACGAAGCCTCTCTCAGGCCACTCAGAAAGGCCCCATGCATAGTAGCAGGATGTTGCCTATTTGTAGCCTCACCTGCAAAGAACAGCCGGTTTCCAACATTTTCTGCTAGTAAATCGTAGTCATTGCCAGAGGACTGTACTCTAACATGAGAATATGAACCATAGGAAAGGGGATCACCACCCCATCTTGTACATATGGTTTGTATCGGCCGAGGCACATCAATCCCCTTAGGAGTATATATACCTGAAGGGGGGAAATACAAATAAAACAAATCTATAAGACAAGAAGGTAGACTAGACCCAGATGGAAGCTTTCTAAGGTCACCCCAAGCGTCAAGACACAAAGACATGAGAAGAAGGCAACCACAAATAATACATACCTCTGAGGACGCTTAAAACTCGATGGAGCAATATGGTCGGCTCTGTGCTTTCAAATGTTTGTGCAGCTTCTCCAGCCACCAGTGCAATGAGAACTGGACCTCCAGATACAGTATGGTATCCATAGAACAGAAAGAACTCTCCACGTTTATGGCCATGCTCATTTAGACATCCAAAAGTATCCAGGTCTTCTCCCCAGAAAACATGAGGAAAAACCATAGCTACTTTGTTCAGCAGCCCAAATCCCAACCTTTCAATTGCTGCAATCTTTTTTGGGGGCAACTGAGGTTCAAATCTGATAGCCCCCTTTTTTAGAACTCCAAGAGGTACAGTACATAGGACCATATCCCCTCGAAATACTTGGTCCCCGGCAATAACTTCAACCCCTTCATCTCCATAACTAATGGTATTGACAGTCTTTCCATAGAATATGGGAACCCCTTCACACAATGCTTTTATCAATCTCCAATTACCTCCAGCTAGAAAGCAGTGGTCCCCACCCATCTCATAAGGATCATCCTGATCCCAATAAGTAGCTGAGAGATTTGATAGACATCCAGCATTTGCATATTCCAAATTTGCCAGATGCCAATCAAGAAGTTGCCTCTCCTCAGTACTTCTAGCAACACCATACAACTGCCTCAGTGTCTCCAAAACTGAACCCAAAGATACATCATTTCCAAACCCACCCATAGTTTGTCTGAGTTCCATGACTTTGTCAAGCAACTTATTAAAGATGACTTCAATCTTAGAATCAATGTCCTTATCAACAGGTGTCCCATCAGGCTTGTACAGAGGACACTTATCTCTGACCTTATGAAGCGGAATGGAAAGTTGCCTGGCCAGAACTCCAAGAGGATTAGCATGGATGCCAGTAATGACACTACCGCCAAGATCCACTGCAGAAAATTTGTCATCCCGCCCCATCTTTTGGGTGTAAACTCTTCCACCAGGTCGACTCCTACCTTCTAAAACAGCCACCTTGAAACCCAATGACAGAAGCTGCCTTGCAGCAGCTAGCCCAGCAAGTCCCGCACCAACAATAATGACAGACCCTTCGGTTGCCTCCTCTGGCATACTAGCCACAAATGATGGTGCAACCCCAAAATTAATGTATCCATTATACAAAAGAAAGTCGTAAGCTGAAGATATCAAATGCTCATAATCACCACTCACAGTTTCTTTAATCTGTCCTTTTGAAAGCCACACTTGCACATTACCCCTCCACCTTGCTAAAATATGATTCCTCACAACAATATAATCATTCTGCTGCTTCCCGCCCAACTCACTGACCACCCCAGCTTTCTTTTCCTCCTCAAGCAGCTCATCAATGGGGAATCCAAGGGACAATGCTATCATGGCCTCAATTTCGGTCTCTTTCTCCAAATCCTCCTTGGTTCTATTCCTTTTCTTCAAAGTACCACCCAAATGCTTCTCTATGAAATCATCCATCAAATTCTCATCATAATTTCGCAAACCCGCTTTCTTCCTTAGAGACCGCTTAGTAACAGAACCAGCTGCACCTGGTGTCTCCATTACCCTATACCGTGTTCTCTCAGTGACAGCTTCTTAACCCAAATCAATAAGTCAGCTCAGAAACAAATCAAGAACACAAACCCGCATTTCTTGAACGCCACCCGTATATCATCTTAAGCAAAATATCAAACGGGTATATCATCTCAAACAATTACGTCACAACCCGTTATCAATACTTTTACGGATTCTCGTATCAATCATTGAGACATTGATCATCTTTACACACAAATTGAACATCAAATTCACATATATCAACACTTGCCACAAAACCCATGTTATTTCTAACTCCAATCTGTAATTTAGCCCAAGAAACTCACAGTTTCCATCACTCAGAGTGACAGCAGAAATTAAACTAAATCTAAATTTGTGGCCTAATTTCCGATTTTGCAGTCAGAATTTGAGTGGACAGCGTGTGTAAAATACACAAGAAGTTTGAGCAAAAGGCTCTTGCAGGATTGGGAGTGAAGGGCGACTCACCTGGCTGGACGGAGTTGAATCGCAAGCGGGTAATTTTCAGTAGGAGTTAGGGTTTTTCTGGTGCGAGCACGAAAGGTCTGGAGACGAGTTAACTGAATGGGATTGGAGGGAAATGAAGGGATGGTGGTGGGCCTTGGACGAGCAGTACCCGAAATGTCAAAAAAGTAAAGCTCCGCTAACGAGGTGTTTAGGGCCTGAAGTGGCCTACCAAGAGAGCTCCTGAAAGTAAATTTTTCTCACTTTTTTCTCAAGGAATTTTGTTGACACCAAATTTCTATCTCTCGATTCTCGACATCTATTAATTTTTTTTCCAAATAAAATGACAATGATCTTTGATTTTAACAAAGCGGTATTTTAAACTACTCTATTGTATGGGAAAGAAAATATAACTATGAGTGCAAGGAGCACACACTTCCTTAACCAACTGACTTAACTCACGTCTATAAATCTATTTTAAAAATTACTACAATGAACTAAGGAAGTTATTTTTATAGGAAAATATCAATTTCCTAGACAATCAAAGTATATTATTACATGCTACCATTTGTTTTTCATACAAGCGAAAGTCATAGTCTAAACTATAAGGAGAGAGGAGTTCTTCACACACACACTATCAATGTGTCATGGGGATTCAAACTTGAGACCATTAATCTACAAGTCAAGACTTTTTTCCACTAGTCTAGACCCCGTTGACTTATTACACGCCACTTTAACACACTCAGTTCACCTCTTTCTCGGACTTCCTAACCCTTTACTTAGCCAATTCATTCCTACGAATCCACCTACATTATGTGGAAAGATTGCAATGGAGGAACAAACCATCATCTAGGATAACTGTAAGAAGGATATTTAGACCACGTGTATAGCTCTTCAAGAGAATATTACTGTACAACTCAATTCTCTTGAGGATTGTCTAATTAAATTACTACTTCCCAAGAAAAACAAGGCTCAGGCACAATCGAAGAACTAACGAGGAGGCCATGCGTGAGGCAACCTTCTGTATGTACATGCAGATACTCATGGCTAATTTTAATTCCAAAAGTCCAATCCTTCATCATCTGCAAGCAAACCAGGAGGTGATCAAATTTGTATTTTGAAGGCATATCCCTCTTCTATATATGTGAACAAGTTGCACGTATCGTCAAAATAGGAAACTAACCAGCAAAGCCCATGTTCATACTTCTAATTCCAGTTACAGAGATTTGATTCTACCCCAAGCTTCGAAAATAAGCATCGAAACTGTAAAGCAGAATTAAATACAGAAGAAAAAACTTATAAAGAGCAAGGGGAACACCAGTTAAGTTGCTACATCTATCAGCTGCTTCATAAGGCCTTGTTTGGAATTCTTTTAACCTATTAAGAACTTTAGATGTCTTAAGAAGCAGTTCCACATTAATCATTGTCCTAGTATTTGTTGCAGGTGCAGCATTTCAAGCTAAAGCATACACTTCTCTCCACTGTACCAACCCAGCAAGCCGATACTATGTTGACTGTGATTCACCTATTTGCAAGGCCCAATGCAAACATAAGATCTCATTCTTTCCTTTATATCATTTTGTTCATTTTGTTTGTGTTAGTGTACTCAAAATTTATGTACTTATCACAAGAATGCCTCTTTCTCTTACATGTTCTCTTGTCACACAGTTTGACATGTTATATCATTAGATTATCAATTCAGATCATTAGTTATGAAGTAGCTTTTTTTTTACCCTTTAATATGTAGTCCAAGATATATGGCAAAAGAACGTTACTCAGAAATGAGTTTGTTTTATATACAGAGACGCGTTATTTGGCATTTTGTTTTAAAATGAAAGAGACATTTTTTGTATTTTTATCTACCCTATAGTTTCATATAGGACTGGGTGGTGAATCCATGGAAATCATGCTCTTTGATAATTCTTTCTGTTAATGAATACAAACTTAATGAAGTGTTTGATAGTTTGGACCGTAAGCCAAACTGCAATAGCCCTGGATCAGCATGCTATGATCCCCGCTTCATTGGTGGTGATGGCATTGTTTTCTATTTCCATGGCAAGAACAACCAACAGTTCAGCTTAGTCTCAGACAGAAACCTCCAGATCAATGGTCGCTTCAGTGGCCACAGGCCAGCGGATCGAACCCGCGACTACACTTGGATTCAAGCCCTGGGAATGCTTTTCAGCTCTCACAGTTTCTCTGTAGAAGCCACCAAAGTGGGTACTTGGGACAACCAAATTGACCACCTACAATGGCCTATCTCTCCACTTGGTACTTTCCAGAAAAAGATGTTAAAGTTGAGAGAATATCAAGCAGGAACAGTGTTATTGTGTCCCTTAAAATTTCCTTAATCATGGCTCCCAAATGTAACTTTTGAGAAAGGGATGAGAACTTTGGACTGATAAAACCAGGTCATAGATATGCAGATAGTATTTTGATTAGTGGAAAGAAAGCATCTTTTGCACACAAGGACACTGTCGGTGGCATGATAGATGCCTTTTGCTTTCACCAATAACTGATTACTGTGAGGATAGAAAGCGATTTGTTCCATGTTTACTAACATTGTATACTTGATTAGAAGTTTGATCTTTCTCAATGTGTTTTTTATTTATTTATAGAATTGCATCATCTAATCCAAAATTAATTGGCAATGTGTATCGTATTACGCAAGACTTTAATTTTCCGGCCTGGAATTCAATATAAGCTTCCTACTCTTTCCTTCTACCACTTGTGCTTGTCCATTATAAGATGATTACACTAGCAAGCATATAACTAGGGGCTTCTCCAGCTCAATAAAATGGCCCAAATTTGCTCATCAAAATGTAGAACAGAAACAGTGAAAGCCCATTTTGAGTTGACTAGGACTCATCTCATCTCATGGTGCATTCAAACAAAAACAATGTCAAAATTCTAGATAGCACCATTCAACAAATAACATTCTAAGTTCCTTATGAAAGCTAAAACAGACTTTGCTGTCTTTGATGGCATGCTACTATCTTCAACTTCAGACTCATATGTGACCTCAACACTGACCATGGTCTCCTCTTCCTGAATTGGAGTGAGTTGGAAGGTTGTTTTGTATGAAGAAAACCCAAAGTTCAAGTGTCCTCCTTCTATGACTTGCAGCCCAATTTTATGCACAGCATCATCAAGCTCCACAATCTTTTCCTTCTGATAACTCATCTTTGGTACATCTGAACAACATTGTTCACAAAAGAAAAGGAAAACATAAAATTCATTTTTGCATGTCATATGGTGGAGGAAGAAGCTTTTTATTTTTGTTGCCAAAGTTGGAAAAGGGGGAGGGGGATTTTCTCGAACCCGAAACCATGGGCTAGACCCTGTTGGCAGAGAAGTTCATATTCAAATATTGAAATTTTAAAGTGTCAAAAAGAGTTGGGGACTTACCGGAGCCAAAATTGAAGAGGAAGACTGTGCCAATGCCACCATCTCCTTCTGTCACTTCGGCATTCTTGACCAATTTGGGATGACTTTTGGTGTCACAAATGCCACATCTTTTGCCAAAGCTTTCCACAAGGTTTCAATCCCAACACTTACTTTTGCTTCAGTTTTAATTTCTTTAACCATGGCTCTCAAATGTCGTTTTTGAGAGAGAGAGAGATAATCGACTGATATAACCGAGGCCATAAATATACAAATGATTTTCAAGTGGAAACGCAGCATCTTTGACAAACTGGCATGCGAGATGCCGTTTTCTTTCACAATTGGTTAATTTCTGTAAGGACAGAAGCTCATTTACATATGGCATTCCTTATAAAGTATATGAAAGTTAGGTAATTCTCCTTTTTTCTTTTTTTATAAAAATGCGATAGAATTTTATTAGATCAAGAGGAATACATAGTACAAAGGATAGATTGTTTGGTGTGTTTGGATGAGGGAAATAAACTTGAGATTTTGACAAAAATCAGAATTTCTAAATTAACATAAACCAATTCTCATGTATGAATTAAAAAAACACAAAGAAATCTATAAATTATATCTAAATAATTGTCATTTCTAAAATTCCTAGATGATAAACATTAAATTTCGTGTTTAAACCATAGCTAAACAAGAAACTTCACAAATTTTAGAACATTATGATTTCAGTCATTTTAAATTTCATCATTTAATTACTTTTCAATTTTCTCATCCAAACGCACCGTAAAGAGAGTCATCCAAATAAATATGTGACATACATAGTCAAAACTCAGTGACCTTAGCTAGTCGAAAAGCTTAAACGATATGGAGAGAATCACTTCGGAAAATAACTTTTCTATAACCCCTTTCTAACTACCATAATTTCCCCGAATCTTATTGCACACATTTGATAATATCCATAACAAGATAGACTATATATGTTATGTTATGTTATGTTGGTTTCTTAATTTGAAGGTAAATTATGAATTCGGATTTTGACTATAAGCTTGTATGGGTTGGAAGAATCATAAAAATATCACATACAAAGTATCGGTATTGGATTTGAAATGACTAAACACAATGTAACATATAAATTTAATATTAATGATCAAGTACAGTGAATCTATTTGAATAGTAATCTTATCAACCAAAAGAAGTCTCATTCAATAAAAAGAAAGTAGGGAGGCTGCACAACACAACAATTCATGAAACTGCTACTGCCCACAACACTGCATCATCCAAATCAAGGAGATGCCAAATTTCTAATACCAGCAGCAACTTTGTGTCTGCTACCATTTATTCACAATAAAAACCTTATTTGCTAGCTCAAGGTAAGTCCACTCTTATTTAATCTGACAAGATGAACCTAACTCAGCTAGTTAGATTGAACTGATCAAACACATTTCAGTACTAGGATGATGCTAAGCTCTCCCACTATGATTCCAGTACATATTTCTCCAGGAACTGAATGTAAGAAATCGCAGGCTGCAATGCTATTTCTCCGGTATTAGCTTCCTCCTTTTCAGTCTCATACACCACTTTCATATCAACCAAGGTCTCCTGCTCTCCGATTTTGCTTAGTTGGAAAGAAGTTGTCAATGCAGAAAAATTGCGCAGTGTTAGCGCCGGCCCTTCCAATACTTTCAGTGCAAATCGATACTCAGAGTCGTCAAGTTCCACAATCTTTTCTGTCTGTTTTCTCTTGGACTCTACATGATCTGGCATTTTTGTTTCAGAAAAAAGAAAAGAAGAAGAAACTTCTATTAACATCATCTTATTGTTTAAAAACATGTAACAACTTGTTGGATCCCGAGCCTCTATATTTAGAGGTTGTGCATGTACCTGCATTTCGCAACATTTAGACCATCCTAATAATAAAAAATAATAAAAAACTAGTAACTTTTAAAAAATCTGAAAATCCAATTAAAAATTAAAAAATGAGGTTCACAAGATAACTTCCCCTCCCCACCCTTGTCCCCTGCCACCCATATTAGACATGTAAACGAGTCGGAGATGGAGCGCATAAAATTCGATTAGATCCGATTTCAAAATAATTTTAACTCGATCAGATCCAAAAATCTAACGGATCAGTCACAACTAGATCTATATCTGATTTGTTAAATTATCCGATAACCCGGTCCAAATTCTTTATGTCATATATACAAATAGTTGAAAATAGTTTTATTTATTTACAAAAGTTCACTGTATTTATGAACGAATTCGGAACATAATCATGTTATCGAATTATGCCACCAAATCTATTTCCTATTAATTATATCGGATCCGGATCAAAATATGATCCCATACCAACACTACACAAGCTGCCATACCGGCTACCATCTCTCTCTCTCTCTCTCTCCCCAAATCCATGTCCTATTAATTATATCGAATCCGAATCAAATTCAAATCCATTGACAGCCCATACCCTAGCACCACACACAAGCCGCCATACCGGCTACCATCTCTCTCTCTCTCTCTCAACCCATCAAGGGCTGTGATCATATATGTGAGTAGAAACATCAATAAACCCATTTGGCTTTCAAACCGACTACATATATCATACAAGCTTTGAAAAACCTAAAATTTACAACAATGATATCACTTTTTTTTTCTTTCTAAAAATCATAATGTGAGGATAATAATAGTATTTCACACATCATTCAAATTTTAAGCAAAATTAAAGTTGACTTTTTTTGGGTTTGTTTCTTCAATTTATAAATTTCAGTGTTTATATATAAATTCAATGCAAGAAATGAGTTTTATTATAAATTTATCTTAAAATTTTCCATATCTATATATATAAAGCAAAAGACAGAGAATGGTGAAACATTCAAAATACCATAAAATACCTTTGGTTAATTCAAACATAAATAATTGAAATTATTAATTAAATGAGGGTAATATGATATTCACATTTTTTTCATATTAAAAAAAATTAAAATTAAAAACAAAATCAGATAATAGGTTCTACTTTTATGGAACATAACTACCCATGTTATTTTTTCTTAATTCTTTTTTAAAAAAAATTATTATAAAAAATATAAAATAAAATAAAATAAAACCAATTGGCACATGCTCTATTAGAAATATAAGTTCTTTCCACGAACTAAAACTGAGATATTCTATCCTTGATTTAATCAAATTCCACCTTTCAATTGCAGAAAGAAAATTTCGGTACTCACGATCGCCCAGATTGAGGAGCAAAACAGAACCAAGGCCACCATCTCCCTCAATTACTTCAATACTGCGCACAATACTAGGCATTATCTTTGGTATAACAGTAACTGTATCCTTAGCCATAGCTCTCCACAGGGCTTCAACTCCAACACCAACGGTTTTTTTATCCTTTTTCTCTTTGACAGCCATGGCTAGCTCTCCGAACCTTGAAAATCTTTCAGGTATGGAGCTTTGGAAAATATAACTGGGATTTTATGTACATGGTGAGTGAGATTAGTAGTATTTATAAAAGTTCAGGAGCATCTTTTATCCACTAAATCCAACATCTGTTGTTCAATAAGTCCAGTGTGTGACATTGAGTTCATACCAAACTATATGGTGACGAAAATGGTCCCCCCTAATCCTATTGGTTTCACTAATATTAAACAATTGGAGGCAAAGATTATGATATTGTTAGACCAGAAAAATGCTATGATATTGTAATTATTGTACCACTCAGATGCTAAAACCAAAAGCTCTGATGCAATTACCGTACTACAGAAGTTTATTCTTGCAGAGAAATACATGAAGAAAATTTTGAAATCCATATGTCACATAATAATAATGCATAATGACCAAACTGCAAGCAATTGTGACATTTGACATGACCCCTTTGTTTTCTTTTTCTTTTTCTATAGTTGCTTTACGAAAGTTATTATAAAGAGCATTTATCACTGGACCGAGTTCTTGATCAATTTGAATTCCTCTTCCCCCAATATCACTTGTATCAAAGGAAAAATGTTTGAATCAAATTGTTTCAATCTAGTTAAGCTCATAGGGCTGTAGAGGATAGAACTTTCTCCGGAAGGGAGAGGTGCCCAAAAGCTCACTTGCTAGTCCAAGATGATCACTAATGGTTGAATGTGTGATATTAGGATCCTAACATTTCATCATATTTTTCCATCATATACCAGCCGTGGATCATGCCAACATTAATCCAATTGCTATACAAATATGATTAATCTAGTTGTTGATATATGGTAGTACAAATACAAGAGAAGGGACAGACCAAATATTCATTAGGTAAATATGATTCGTTTGCTTACACAATAAAATTCAGACTTTAGACACCCCAAACAAAATTTGTGTGAGCACAAACAACATGGTTTTTATCTAATACTGCATATCTCCAATTGCTGTATAAGTATGACCAATCTGGTTGTGGATATGCTCCAGCTTACATGTTACTGTGTTCCTAAAAATAGCATGATATTCTTTTTGTGGGAATTTATGTTGATATAACTAAATAAGCATGTATAGTATAATTTTATTGTCAACACTCAAAAAAATTTATTTGGGTTGGTGTCCCTTTTTTTAGTAGTGACGCACTCGTAGTCACCTCACTCTAGCGACATTAGCTCGATAACTCAATGGTATCTCTTTCGTTCCTTTGAGGCGGCTTTCATTAATCTACCACCTTTAATGACTCGACAATATGACCACACATAAAACTAACGTTCATTTTAATGCAACCTATAACCCGCCCTTCCATGAACTCAACCTCAGTTTCCTAGTGAAATCTGCTTTGGTATCATGATAGGAACTCATGGTTGGAACTTACCCTTTTAAAAATTGAGTCGCAAGAAAATGTTTCTCAAGAGTGATACAATACAGCAGTCCAATCAGATCTTTACTTGTACTCAAAGTCACCAATCTAGGAGTCCAGCTCACCAATTCAAGAACATTGACTGTGGTTAGGCAACTTCGCATTAGTTAGGCAGCAAGTCACTTAGTTGTAAATATTGCTCTAATCATGGTTAATTAAGTTAATTGTACTCAACCTATATATAAGATCTCTAATACTAATGAGCTTTGTTTGCTTCTCTCGAAAGCTCTCTCCTTTTAAACAACTCATGTACTTGCCTAAGAATATGTTCAAATTTTCCTAGTTATACCACTAAGAATTTGTCAACGAGTCTCTAATCAACGACTTGTTCTCCATTTGCTCTCATTTACTTAGCAACCACGGCAATACCATCAAAATAATATTGTCCTGTTTTAGAGTCTTTTATTCTGATTCTGGTTTTGTCAAATTTAGATATCTTGCCTGCAATTTTACCAGTTGTAGTTCTTTCCATCAAAACAAGGAAGAGTAAGGGTGCAAAATGTTCTTATTGTATGCCATTTCAATTTTCAAGAAAATGTCAACTCACAAAAGTTGGTGTTATTGCACACGCAAAAACAGCTTCAAACCCTCTAAAACTTTGGTGAACATCCAAACAATGCTAAGCACTTGTCTCATATTGGCCAGGACTAAAATACCTTCTTCTGATTTTTTGTCATTCGCTAGGGAGAGGGAGTATTATATTGAATTGCCTCAAGATTGTCTCCTACGAGAATCGAATCCGGGTGCACTTGTGTGACCAGGACTAAAATACCTTAAACTTTTGACCTAGAAAGTAGAAAGGAAGAAAAAAGTACGTAAAATTATCTGTTGGATTACCAGATTCAGCTTATGCCCAAATTTGGTCCAAACCCATAAGAAATGTTCATTGAATGAATGCATTTCTTTTGATTGATTTCCTGAACAAATGATATTATAGTGTACAATAATAATGGGCCAATTGGGCAAGTTGCAAGAAGGGTGAGAATATATAATTCTAGTTTCTGTTTATACCGTACAAGTTACAACAGAAAGCACAAGCAATTAAGAAAGAAAAAAATAAAGTAACAGCAGACAATGCAGGCATACAGAGCCATTTTATCGGGTGCAAAATATGGTATTGAGATTGTCAAATCAGCAGCAAACTCATATTCTGAATCAGATCCAAAGCAAAAACAAAGCGAAAAATATAAATAAATAAAATCATCAAATTGTCAACAAGAGCTATTTCTTCAATCACAATCACCAGCCCCAAAGCATTGACCAAGATTAACCATCCCGCAAAGCATTAAAGGGAACCACGTAGAGCCCATGTTCTTCATCTTACCAAACTTGGAATGTGTACATTCGAAAAAGATAATGCCATAAAACCCACTTGTTAGATTAGTTTAAAGGTGTGTGAGGTATATATATATCATCATTTCATTCCATTGAAGAGGGAAAAAAAGAAGCCATGGATTTCTCAGGCAACAAAAAGACACTGATCATTGTGCTACTCTTTGTATCTGCTGCTGTTCTAGCACAGAGTAAGGGAACTTCAGATATCAAAGTTTGCTACGGCCGGAAAAGCCCCTGCTTTCTCAAGCAGATACCCTGCCCAAAGGAATGTCCATTGGCTTCACCAACAAACAAGAACGCTAAAATTTGCTACCTCAACTGTGACTCGCCCATATGCAAAGCTGAGTGCAAAAGTAAGTTACTCCTACTGTTGTGTCTTTATAATGTGATCTCACTCTTTGTTTTCTTTTTTGTTTCGGAATGTATTAAATTCAACAAACCTGGGCTAAAATCATTGCTGACAAGGGTTTTTTTGTTGTTGTTGTTGTTGTTGGTGATAATCATAGAGCGCAAGCCTAATTGCGATGGCCCTGGATCAGCATGCATGGACCCTCGCTTCATTGGTGGAGATGGCATTGTCTTTTACTTCCACGGCAAGAAAAATGAGTACTTCAGCTTAGTTTCTGATCCCAACCTCCATATCAATGCCCGGTTCATTGGTCTCCGCCCTGAAGGACGAACCAGGGACTATACTTGGATTCAGGCCCTCGGACTCCTTTTTGACTCTAACAGCTTCTCCCTTGAGGCCACCAAAGCATCAGCATGGGATGATGAAATTGACCTCTTGAAATTCACTTACAATGGAGAGGAGCTAGTCATCCCAGAATCCCATCTCTCTATGTGGCAATCTCCAGGCAATGCCATTAGAGTGGAGCGAACATCAAGCAAGAACAGTGTCTTAATCACTCTCCCAGAAGTTGCTGAGATTTCAGTAAATGTGGTGCCTGTGACAAAGGAAGATGACTGGATCCACAATTATCAGATACCATCAGATGACTGTTTTGCTCACCTGGAAGTACAGTTCAGATTCTATGGCCTATCCTCAAATGTTGAAGGAGTGCTTGGAAGGACTTACCAGCCAGATTTCAAGAACCCAGCAAAGCCTGGAGTAGCTATGCCAGTGGTGGGAGGTGAACAAAAGTACAGAACAACATCACTTGTCTCTGCAGATTGCATAGCTTGTGTATTCACTCAATCCGGGAAGCTGTACCAAACAGATTCAAGGGTGCTGGATTACGGAAAGCTCGATTGTACTGGTAATTCCTTTGGTGGGAATGGAATAGTTTGTAGGAAATAACTGCTATTGTCACATTCTCAAGGAATAAGTGAAGGTTTCAACTTCTCAGATGATAATTAAAGTTGTGTGGTCAAGAGGTGCTTATTGATGATTTCATATAATAGTCAAGATTTAAATAAGTATTTCTCTTGTGTGTACTGTTAATTTCTACAATTCGTTTGTTCAGTAAGTTTGGCTGAGCCTTTTATGTTAAATTTTTGCATTCCCCAAATAAATGAAAGTGTGCAGTTGAGAAGAAATTTAAGTTTCATGCTTTCTAGCAGCATAGGAAATACCTTAAGAAAGAATGATAACTCACTTGTAAACTCATGTATGATAATTGGGATTCAACAATGCAGATATATGACATGTAAAATTTTAAATGCCAGAGAAGAATACCGTGGTTTTGGGAGATCCGGTCTATAACTTGAGTTTTGGGAAGGGAGAGGTACAAAAATAAATAAATAAAAATAAGGGTTAGGAGAAGTATCAGTTCTTAAGATGTTAAGAGAAACCAAAAGCCTACCAAAATTGGAAACTCCATTTCAAGACAATTCAGATACCTTTCTTTCAACCACTCATTTGGTTTATGAGAAAACAGAGGAAACAAAGGCAATATAGTATACGGGCCTGGTTAAGCAAGTGAATAGTGTTCATAGTTCCTAAAGTGGTACGGTTTAACTTTCTACCCAAGGCTGCTCTTACAGCACTCTAATTGTCTTTGCCAAAAACTCAAAGTCTAGAGGAAAAGGTACTTCATGGTTTAGGAGTTATAGTGCTCGTGGACCATCGGTGCATCAACTAGCTGGAGGTCTCAGGCAAAGAGGCATTTGATTCTTTAGGAACTCAAGGAGGCTTCAGGGACATTGAATTTTCAAACATGTCAAGGAATGAAGTCAGGCAGGCCTAAATATATGCTGAGAAAGACAGAAGCATTACCTGTGGGTGTGGCAACTTTTCAGCACTTAATCTGACCTATAATTGCATTCTTCATACCACTATCTAAGAAGTCCTACATATCAAGACCTAAAAACAATTTCAAATTGTTCTCTTCCCTTCTTAGATCAGCTCAGCTAGCCGACAAAGAAATTTTCGTCTATTACATAACTAGAAGAAATTGTTTCCTAGTAGTTATCTGAGAGCACGCCGAATTTGTAGCCATTTCTTAGATAATCCTTCAGGATATTTTTAGTGTTTCCCCCAGGAACAAGATTCTGGTAATAATAATGTGAAAATAGTTTAATATAATATCATAAATTTTGTATGAAGGAAATAATAACGAGTTCTGGAACTTGTAAGTATACAGAGGTCACATACTCTGCTTATTCTCTATATCTTATGAACAATAAAATATGTGAATACAATGACATCATTGACTTTTGTAAAAACATGGGAAGCTCTGAAACCCAAATGGATTTATATATGAAGACAAGAATAAAATCCTTTGGCACCTTACCTGCTGATGGATTAATTGGCACCCACCAAAACTATATTACAAAATAAATCGTGGACAGAAAATTGAGGCAACAACTAGAATAATGAACTAAGAAAGAACCTTGTTCTCTCACTGAGCACTCTCAAGGCCAAGATGACTAGTATCTTTTAATGGGACATTAGAGGCCAAGACTCAGACAGGCAAATGATCTGTCTTCTCATCTTCCGCGAGGATTAACAAGCTGAGAAAACACAGCACTTGTGGCAGCATCTTCTGCATCGTCATCTGTGCAAGAGTGCCCCCCATCAATCATGCTCACACTGTTATCAAATGGCTCAAGTGGGGTTAATTGGATACCAGGTATGTGGTTTGTGCTGTTATCTTCAGGTTCCATGAGTGCAGATGACGTTTCCTCAAGCTGAAGAGCATATTCAAGATTCCACAAGACATCTCCCATTGATGGCCTGTCAACACCATACTCAGCAAGGCACTTCTCAGCTGTCTCCCCAAACTTCTTAAGAGAAGATGGATTTACCTTCCCTACCAGATTTGGGTCCATGATTTGGTCTAGCATGCCCTTCTTTTGCCAGGTCATCGCCCATTCTGCTATGTTGACCTGCTCCCTGGGAAGAACAGGATTCAAAGCAGGTCTTGTGCACAGAACTTCCATTAGAACTACCCCAAATGAATACACATCTGATTTTTCCGTGAGCTGTTGCCTTCTAAAGTATTCAGGATCAAGGTAACCAAAACTACCCTTAACAGCTGTACTCACATGGGTCTGATCTAGAGCTGGACCTGTTTTTGAGAGGCCAAAATCAGCAACTTTGGCTACAAAGTTCTCATCCAAGAGAATATTGGTTGTCTTGACATCTCGGTGAATTATGCTTTGAGCTGCACCAGTGTGGAGATAATGGAGCCCCTTTGCAGCCCCAATGCAGATTTCGAGCCGTAGCTTCCATGATAGGGTTGGGAGATCTGTTCCATACAAATGGCTCCTGAGGGGTCCATTGGCCATGTACTCATAGACCAGAATCATTTCTGACCTTTCATCACAATAGCCAATCAGAGACACAAGGTGGCGATGGCGGAGCTTAGATAACATTTCAATTTCTGTTCGGAATTCAGCAAGACCTTGTTCAGATCTTGGGTTTCCTCTTTTAACAGCTACTTTTGTCCCGTCTTCAAGTGTTCCCTGGTAAACCCTACCAAAACCACCAACTCCAAGAAGTAGGCTCTCATCAAACTTGTTGGTTGCATCCAGAATTTCCTGGAACATGAAGAAGCGGCCAAGATTGGAGGAAGCTAATGAAATGCAGCTTGCTGTGTTACTCTTTTGTGAAGTTGTGGACATTTTTGTCATGGTCTGAGAATTTCCATACAAAGGCAAAGGCAGCCATGTCCCTTGGTTAGTACTCTTTGACTTGCGGAATGCCAAGCAGCAATAAAAGAGACCAATAATTGCCATAACAGATACAGCTCCTACAGCACAACCAACTATGATTCTTATATTATTCTTCTTCGAGGGTGAACTAGGAAGGATATTCCCCACTGATAGAGACCCATCCAAGCTCCCCAACTCATTGCTGATCTTCATGACCTCCAACCCATTCAGAATTGCATTAGTGATATCCGCCATTGAATCTGGACCAACACTGACAGTCAAAGTTCCTGCTGAGGAGTTGGACACAAAGTCTTTGTAATAAGGCACACCCAAGTCACCAGTAATGGAAGAGAGGTCAAGACTCGAGAGCACATTGTCAGAATTCACGAAAACATTGAAAACAAGACTATTCAGAGCCTTGCTGACAATATCACAGAAATGCACCCGAACAAGATACAAGAAATTTGGATCAACCGTAAGGACCCAAGTTATGTTGAAGTTCACATTGGGCACATTTGCATTTCCCATGGCTTCGGCAGTCGCATAGACCCAATTTGGTGCGATTTCGGCTGTGACAGCCTGTGGATATTTAATGCTCGCAGGGTTGACTGATACATTCACTGCAGAACTGTCCACATGAAGGTATTTCAGATCATTCTCCCAAGTTCTTCCAAGGGTATCGTTTTGAGCAGTGAGCAAAGGACCCCCCATGTTTAACCGGTAAACTGTTTGAAGGGCAAGGTCAGAAAGGCCACTAAAAGGAGCAGATGGATTCACAGCATATGCCTGGTCAGAGAGCAGTGCATCCGGGATAGATACAACTTCAATTGCATTAACAAAAGCAACTGAATTGTTTGAAGGAATGAGGGTGAGAGTCAAGGTATCTGAAGTTACATTGATTGCATACTCCTTGAACAGATAAGAACCATTATAGTTCTTGAAAGTGAAGTTGGTCAAGAGTACAAAATTATTAGTAACAACAGTTAATTGAGCAGACTCCAAGTTTTGGCCAGGACTTGTAAGAGGGTAAAAATAAAGGCGGACCCAATGCCGGCCTTCTTGCTGGATTTTGAATTTGTAAGATGCTGCTGCCTTGAAAACTCGAGCAGATTGGTAAATTGGAGAAGGGACAGTAGAATTGGAGCTAGCAACTACAGAATTTGCACTTTTTAGTACAAGGGAAGATTGTTGTGTATCAGGAACAAAGGTTCGACCTTGAAATGTGATGCTTTTCGAAGAACCGCAAGCAATTAAGTAGTTATCGATAGGAGTGAATGAAGCAGATGATCTAAGACTCATAAGCAATACAAAAGCAAGAACCAAAGGTACCAACTTTACTAGTTTCATCTTCACCATGTCAAATAAACCAGATCCTCAAAGGCATATGAAGGAAGAGAATGCCAACTTTCTCAAGCAGCAATTGAAAAGCTGCCACAATCAAACCCAATCAATCAACCAAGATCTAAAAACTCAAATCCTACAATACTCAATTCACCAAAAGCAAGTCCTCACAATCCCAAATGCCGAAAACCCAGTTCTCCAATGACTCAAACCCAAAACCCCAAAAACTGAGCTACCCCAGATCTATCCAACTCAATACACAAAAACCCAATTAAAAACCAAGTAGTAAAATCCTAGCATTACCAAAAAAGACATAAACAACAACATTGCTCAAGTGCAGAGCAAAGTTGAACTCGCCCCTCAAATTCTCCAACATAAACAGACAAAGATTTGAGCTTTCTGAGAGCTCTTACCTCAATGGGAGAGCAAAATGGAAACAATTTGCTGGAGAGTGAATTGGGTCTGTGCCAAAGAGAAACCCAGTTGAGAATACGTGAACCCCACCACAAAAACCCATCAAGCTCGAGCCTTTTAGTGCGGTTATAACCACCCTTTCCAGGCTGTTGATTAGGCTGTCAATTACAGTGCCAAAATATGGAGGAGGACCCCACAAAGAAGAAAAATGGATATGAAACTTCAAAAATTCATATCCCTCCCATGAAACCAGCTGTGTTAATAGATATTGTAGTTTGATTTTGATGCTCAGAATCTTTAGAAAGATTGGAATATAATATAACAGAAAACGCCATGAAAATTCTGTAACAGAGCCTTGGCACTGTTAACTTATTTCTCTTTCTTTTTCTTTTTCTATTTTTTCAAGGTTCATAAATATGCAAGAGATTTCTTTTGTCTGATAACCTAATATTTACTTTGAACAGAATGGTTGCTCTGCGGGGACCCGCATTAACGCGGCTTTGGGATGGAGAGGAGGCAGAGTTGATAAAAGTTCACTGGACCGTTTGGTGCGGCTGTATTCTTCTCTGACGGCTTTTTAACAGCGTGAGATCACGAAAATTGGATACTTTTTTAAAAAGAAAACTTTAAGCGCTTATATTGAAAAATGTTTTGTTTTTGGCCTATATATTTCAAAAATCAAATTAATATAATTATATATTAAAAAAAAACCATTTCGGTGAATATACACTCAACATTCAATAGAAATACTTTAAACTCATATTCAATACTCATAGCATCTTAATGCATGTGCGTGTGAAACTCTTTTTTATCTAAAAAACAATACACACAAAGGCTTCAAATTCAATAGCAACAAAAACTCTCGACTTTAGCTTTTCAACAAGTTCTAGGCTTTGCAGGTTATGTGATTTTCCATTACCAATCATGTGACACCTTATATGAACACAAATGTCTTATGCAAATTGTCATAGAGAAAATTAGGGTATGTTTGGGAGTGTTTTTCGAATGGCTAAAAGTGCTTCTAACAGCATTTGACATAAAAGTTTAGAAACGCTTCTAGGTCATAAAAAAGCTTTTTGGAGAAGCACTTGCTATGTGCTTCTTCAAGAAGCACTGTCAATTGTTTTTTGGGAGTTTCACTAAAACACCCAAAATTGGGTCTGGAATTATAAAAAAACCCAAGCACTATTTAAACATATAAACACACTCAAAACTCATCATTACATACACTCAAAACTCATTTATAAACACACCCAAAAAGTTGACTTTGGAGTTGATTTTGGGTGTATTTCTATGTTTAAATAGTGCTTGGGTTTTTCTATAAATACATGTCTAGAATTGGGTTTATTTATAAATTTGTATTGTTTTTTTAGAAACCACTTGGATTTCTTATGAAAATTGCAACATATTTGCAATAAAAGTACTTTTACTAGAATTGCTTACGAGCAGAAGTACTTCTTAGATAAGCAATCACAAACGAGCCCTTAATATCCTCTTATGTCAAGTATAAGAAAATGCCATGTAAGCCTCCAAAAAAAAAAAATCTTTTTTCAAATATGAATACACACTCAAGTGAAAATTCAAATTTTGAGAAAGAAGATTTCAATGGTTGAATTAAAGCTAGAGAACCCAAAATAATTATACTAATTTTTTTGAGAATGTTAGGATTAGGAAGAGTTTAGAAAACTTGGAGACTTGAAGCTGGGTTTTAAGCAATATTATCTTATACTTAAACTTGAGTTAGGATTTAACGAAATATTAGAGAAGCTTTTATATTCTTACATACGGCAAAGAGTTGGTATCTTAATTTTTGGAGAAGATTAGGCTTAGGATTAGAAAAGAGTTTAGACAACTTGGAGACTTGAAGCTAGGTTTTAAGCGATATTATCTTATAGTTAAACTTGAGTTAGAATTTAACGAAAGATTAGAGATGATTTATTTATAATTTGGTTTTATTCTTCGAAAGGACATATAAAAATCGCCAAATGACAAATAAAATAAATGCATGCGGTGTCATTGGCAAACCGTGTTATATAGAGGATTGTCAATCTTTTATTTGATTACCGTTTGTGTCTTATACAACTGTATCACATGCATAATGGGCCTCACCATTGAATCATAGTGAGAAGTACGAATTGAAATTAATCATAGGAAATTGACTTACCAAATTGTAAGATTCCACCTAATTTTCTATTTATGAAGGATTCCACCTAAAATTTTAATGAAATATTATAAATCAAGTGAAACTATATTTAGCTACCATACCCTATTTCCTTTAGGCAACGTTTGGTGGGTGAGACAGGACTACACTATTTCAATTAAAATGGACAAGAGTCTTGGCCGTTGTTTGGTGCGCTCGAACTGGACTTGTTAAAATAGATAACAGTTCAACATATTGTATCTTACAAATTCCACACCTAGAAAAATATGACTCCTAAAGACAAATTTAATAGACTCAACTCCAATCCAATCCAAATAGGCCATCTAATGAGGCCTTAGTACTTTTAGCTAATTGTTATTCACTCTCCTAATTATTCATCATATTGTAGTTCAAATTCAACATTTGTTTTCAACACTCTAAAGAAAATAAGTCTAAGAAGACAAACTACAAGTGGAAATTTATATGCTCTCTTTTGTTGAGTGAAAACTATGTTGTTGTTGGGTTGCTATCTATGTTTTGCTTTCGGCTACGTCTACATGGTGGAAAAGGCCAAAACTAACTAAGCAACTATCATTTTAGACCGAGACCTTCCAGCCTTATCGATCATCTTGCAAAACTAATTTAAGAGAACAGTAGTAGGAGTGTAGGAGTAGCGGTGGAGACCAAAATATGAAATACAAAGTTTAATTATATAATCATTTTCACTTACTGAGTAACCATTACCTACAGGAGGAGAAACACTTAATTAAAACGGGATAACGGAAGTTTATATTAGTAATCAATATTATAATTCTCAAATTATTGTATTTTTTTTTCATATGGGTCGCTCTCTCGCTATGTGAGGAGAGACGTTCGTCAAATATTAAGGTTTAGGTTTTTCACGTTTAGCCGACATCCCCTCTTTGGCCTAAGAACGCTCGTTTTCATCCATGTTCAGCCGTCGTCACCCTCCTTGACTTGACAACGTCGAGTCACTTTTCTTCTACGTCGAGTTGCTGCCGTCACTCCTCTCTTCGACTCTGGGGTGCTGACCTCGTTGTTGTCTCTCTCATATCCTGGGTGTTGGTTTGGCCGATCACTTTCTCTTCGGTGAGTCGACATTTTTGGTGGTCGCCTTAGTGTGATGGTTTCAGCAGGTCCATGTTTTTTGTAACTAGGGTTATTGGGTACCATCATTTAACCCATCTTTACGGGTTTGGCTGGTTAATCTGCAATGGGGACTGCGAATCCGAGTGATGTTGGTGTCCCTCCTAACAAACATATGGAGACTGGCCCAATAGCCGGGGTGTCTTCCTTAATGTGTTCTTGGAGCATTCATGGGCTTGACATCCGGCGAATGCTCTTGCGCCTGATCCCCGTGTTCAGGTTAAGTGGCTAGGCCAGTTTTGTTATTGTTGTGTGGTGTTTTCTTTGTTTTCCCCTTAGCTGATCTTTGACTCTCCGCATGTCTCAAGGACTATGTTTTCATAGGAGGTTTCTTTGTCAGTGTGAAGATGATATGGCGTGCTTGGGGGCTTTTTTATTTTATTTTCTTTCTTAGCATGTTTGCGGGGTTAGTCTCTTATTTGTGTTGTTCCTTGCAAATTTCTCTTCTTTCATCTCCAATTGCTATTGAAGGTGGCTAGAGATGGTGTGCTTAGTGGATGTTTTCTTTCTTCTTAACGTATTGTGTTTTCTGTCGGATGCTCTCAATGTCTTGTGGCTGTGCAAAGGACTATGATTTCATAACAGGACTTTTTTGACAGTTGGATTGTGTTGTAGTGTTCTTGTCAGAGGTCTATGCGTCGAAGGTCTATGTGTCAGTTTGCTGTTTTATTTTATCTTGCTATGGCATTGGCCATGCGTGACTGTTTCAGATTCTCTTATTAGTCAATGACATGTGTGGTACTACTGTTTCAAATTCTCTTATTAGTCAATAACATGTGTGGTACTTTTTCCTGTTATATATATATAGTACAAATTTACTGTTATATATTCATGTTGTTACAGAAATTTGGCAGCCATTTATATTAAAAGCAGGATTATGTCAATTTCCTTCCACAAAGAGACCTATAAAATATATCAATTTTCCTTCCATCTCTAGCCTAAATCTGGCTCCGCCCTTACGTTGAAAGCTTAACATACCTTTCAAAGTTGAAGAACAAAATTGAAATTAACATATCACAGTTCATCAACAAAATTTATCTCTCTCCAACTACATGGGTAAGAGAACATTACGTGCTTGAGAAACCCTCCTTTTTTGTACACAGAATTTAATTACAACTTTTAAGTGTGTGCACGTGTGAGGGATAAATCATGACTAAGATTTAATCCAGTTTTAAAATGTAGACGACATTAATACGTGCGCGTTTTACGTGGGTAATAGTTATATAGTTCATACAGCGGTGGTAAACGACATATATAATTAGAGTAGAAGTGCAGAATCCAGAGTTGACGTGAACAAGAACAAGCCAGCCCTCCATTTAAAATTCAAAGGGTGAGCTTTTCTGCTATAAAATTATATTGCGCCGCTTTCAAGCACATGGCCATCATCACCAACGTCCCTATCTCCTTTATTCTTTAACATAGCAACTTTAAACTTAAATTTAACAAATATTTTTTTTTTTTTTTTTTTTTTTTTTTTTTTTTTAATTTATTTGGATATAATTGTTATTTAATTTGCTTCATAAAAAAATATATATATACAGAGAGCTTTTATTAAGGGACACTTTTGTATGGCCCACTCTGTAATGTATTTCACTAATCCAAACTGTGTATTTTGTAGATACTCATTCAAAGATCATCTATACAAAAAAAAAACCACTTAAATTCGATATCATTTGACCACTCAATTGAATTATTGAAATTTTAGTACTTTCTAGAAGCACCGTGTTCATTGATTTCGTATGATACAATTGGATATTGAAACGGTTTTCGATTTGTCTAATTTTTTGTAAGGATGATCTATAAATATAGACTTAAAAAATAGATGATTTGGATCATTGAAAAAAATTCGTGAGAGACCCTAAAGAATGTCCTTCAATAGAAAGAGATTGTATATATATAATACAGTTTGTTTGTCACTCAAGAAAAGGACATATGCCAAAGACAAGATAGTCATGCTAATAATATCTTATCGACTCTTTTTCTAATCACAAAAGTTTTTCCCGATTTTTGTTTGTATAAGTTAAAATTGCAAAAATATCTATACTGCAATAAATTCTTTCATAATTGGATTTTGTTGCCATTGAAATATCAACATGCAGATGACGTGTAAATATAGATATTTAACGATGATGAAAGCCTCACAAACTCTAAACGACTAATGAAAGGAACTATAGCTCTCAATACAATACTATATTTCTCTTCTCACTACTCAATGTTAAAATATGTCTCATCTTCAAATCTTTGTGCATATATATGTGTCCGCATAGGGCATCATTGTAAAAAGAGAGGAAAGTAAGAACGGATAATAGAAAATACATAATGTCTGCATAGGAGAAACTTTGTATATAAGTTTGTGGGATATATTAATTTGAGTGTTATTATTGAATAAGAGTAATATTCATATTCAATCTTTGTTTCTCTTTTATGGTTTAGGGCGAAAGAAATGTTAGCTCACCCCATATATACACCCAGCAAGGAAAAAAAAAAATTCATTGACCCCACACTCAGCGAAAGAAATGAATTATATATATATATTTTTAAATAAACATACCAATTTCAACATATTTTCTTGTATTATATGGATTAGTGTTTTGACTAATTGTAAATTAACAGAAGAGTTCCTGCAAAGTGGTAACTAAACATCATTTTTCAAGTACAAGTTACTTTGGTGCATGTTGTTTTAAGTCAAAATTTGGTTTGGAGGGGGGAAGCTTAAAGCGAGTAATGATTAATGAACAGGCTTAAACATTGTTAATTAAAAGTTTGAAAAGACACCAGCAAAGCGTGACACCGGCATTCACGTTAAGGGGTCCCCGTGAATAGAGGCGAGAGGAGCGTCCTGTCCTGTCCCTTACCAGTTACCACTTCCCTTCCTTTGAAATACATCGAGAAGACATGATCAATCATCAAGCAAGCGACTCTGTCAACCTTCTAACTAGACCTGTCAAAGTCAATCCAACAACATCCTTCGATACCCTAGTGTACGCGGAAAGAAAATGACTCACGAGTCAGGACTCTTCTGGCAATGCTGTTGCCATGCAAGTTACAGCTTACAAGTTACAACAATTGATTTTTCTTGGTCTTCGCAAGGGCACTTTCGTCAATTTAATTTTGAGAGAATTTTGTGCGGTGCGGGGTGCATGTATGCATGCAAGCGGGGCAGCGCAGAGAGCAAGAAAGCGAAAGCAACGTGTGTGGGTGGGCTGCATGACTCTCTCCTCCAGTCTCCTCCACACTGTCATGCAAAGCCACATGGTTGACGTCAACTCTCATGTTTTCTAATTCAAATATCAGAGACACGTTGCCACTTCCTGTCAAATTCCCAATTTAGGTTTCTGTGGGGCCCATTTCAACTCTACCACAGACGTGACGTCACGCACCTATCACTGCCATGGCTAGTGGTAGGCTCGTCGACAAGGCTTTTTCTATTTGAAATAGGGTTTGGGCTGGCTTTAATTTTATATCTCCGGCCCAAAGTTTAATTAATTATCGCTGCCAATGTTGAAGGCCCATCCCAAATTCCCAAATTCCCAATCTTTTTCGTTATCATGTGGTAAATTCATTGGTCGAATCCAGTTAAAGAATAATATGTGTATAAATTTTAAATTTAAATAAAAATTTGTAAAATATTATGTGTTTAAATTAGAAAATGACGTGCATGAAAGTTTTTATGTCAAAACTTTGATGAGATTTTAGGGAAGGGTTAAGCCCAGTACAAACATGCCGAAGGTAGCAAAAAGGGAGACAAAACCAGAAACGAAGACGCCAGTGAATGCGATGAGAGAGATAGAAAGAAAGCGTATAGTCCCATTGCCCCTCTTTCTATCTCTAGAGTGACCTTTAATATAAATGCACTTTTAAGAATGAAAAAAAAAAAAAAAAAAAAAAAAAAAAACTTATGAGTTTGTGGTTGAGCCACGTTACTCTGCAAGGAGGAGCTATGGGCAAGGAAGAGAAGCATTATCCCAAAAAATATCAAAACCTGATCCACCAATAAAAAAACAAGTCATATAGAGTAGGAACCAGACAAGTAGGGTTTTTTTTTTCATGAATATGTGGACGACAAGATCATATGCTCGCAAACCTTAACAATTAGGTGGCTAATACTATATAACAGCTTGTTTTGTCAATTGACAACAGTACGTATAGTTGTCATGTTGAGTTGTTGTACATACCCCTCAGTTGGGTTAGCTCTCAAAGATATATATAGCTTGGTAATAATAATTAAATTCCACGACCAATGGCGGAACTAAAAAAAATTTTAATGGGTGGGCTAGCTAAAGTTATCAACTTAAAATCTAAGGACCCAATTTTGTTTGGGTACTTACTGTTTCTATAGTTTTTCTAGAATAAAGTATACATTGGGATAAGATAGTAAAAGGTTGAGAGTTAAAATCATGAGTGTTTATTAAGAGATTATGTTTCTTAATTGAGCAAACAAATTAAATATAAGATGACTATAGGCCTACAAAATTGAGTGGACAATGGGTTACAAGGCTACATTTGAGTGGGCTACTAAGTTTTTATGGGATGAATAACATTAAAACACATGTAATATATTTTAATTTTATAAAAAGGCTACCTAGGCTAGAACCCATGGTAGCTCTCTACCTAGTTCCGCCAGTGTCCTCGACATATAATTATCAATGTCTGTTTATGTGGAAAATATGTTACTTGTGTTGGGAGAGAAAAATGTTGCCGGTGTGAAAAGGAAAAAGCTTGGCTCCTTAAAACTGAGGAGGAGTTCGTCCTTATAACAAATGGAGTTTTAACACTTACCAATTTCATTTGATTTTTTTCTTTTTCTGAAATTCTTTTAACTTTCTTTGTTTTGGAATTTAACACACCGCTGAGTGTCAAAATTTCATTTGCTTTGAGGAGAAAGTCCTCCTTAGTTTTAAGGAGCCAAGCTCATGTGAAACGGAGTCTAGGTTGAGAAAATTGAAAATACTAAGAAGACCAATTCATTGCGGAATTCCCTTGCGTGAATTATTAGGTGTTATAGCGACAACAAGTTAACCCTAAAAAAGAGCTATAAATTAGGAGATGGGTTAGCTATAAAGTAGACAGTCTTTGTCTATCATTTATAGCTAGGTCAGAATAGAACTAGTACCTTAGGAAATGCTAAAGGAGTAGCATAGCAAATAATCAGAGAAGAGAAAGAAAAAAAAACTATTACATGGTTTTGGTTATGGATACGATAATATGAAAAAGAGAAATTTATAATAAAACCCATTTCTTGCATTGATTTTATAACAAAACCGACAACAACAACAACAACAACAACAACAACAACAAAAAACCCCGAAAAAACAGCACATCCCGGAGCGGTGGATATGGTTGAACAACTTGATATTTGGTCTAACACTGAACAGAGAAAATTTCCCTTCATTATCATCTCCTCCATGATTAACGATATCAGCAGCCTATATTTACAGCTCTATGCAGTCCTTTCCTCACACCAAAATATGAAAAAGAAAGGGAAAAAACCAAACAAAACCAAACAAACGAACCTGAAGTGTATAGTACTACTAAGCCTAACTTTCAGTTTCATCATCAAAACAGTCCCGAACTCAAACCTAACATACAGAAAAGTTAGAGAGAGAGAGAGAGACCAAAAGCAAAAACTATAATATAAATATCTATCTGCAAAATTCATCTGTAAGATTTAAGAATGGCTCCACAAAAAGTACACATGATTGCCTTCCAAGATTTCCAGTAAAATGGAACATAACAAAACCTAGTCGAAGTCTTTATGTCAGCCACGCTCGCTCCACGCCCACATCTCGAACATGTCCCAGCCACCGGCTTGCTCCGCCACACTTTCCTCCTCTGGTCTACCAGAAAACAAAAGCAAACCATTTCAAATATAAAAACACCTCTTTTCAAAACTTTCAGAGACGTCTTTGCCTTGGAGAATATTTAATTCCTGGTAGGCATGGTATTTATACGAGTGAAAATTAAGGTAAAAGGTCAAGAGGAAGGAGAAGTGAGATGAGCTAGCTGTACATGTATATCCATTATGCAAACACACAGGAAAAAAATTGGTCATGTAATTGTAGTTGAAAACCTGCTTGTTTTCTAGCTAGCAAATCATGTAATGATCGTGTGGGTTTCTGCCACGTGGAGGGGCAGTTGGGGTGTGTAATTGTGATAGTTATGGTGGTGGAGTAAAAAAAAATAGGGTTTCAGCTGTGAAACTGTACTTTTTGTTTGTCCATCTGGTTGCAAAATTAATGGTCATATATTGATGGCGGCCCACACTTGAAAGCGTTTATCAAAGGGACAAAATACAGTTTAACTCAATTTTCTTTGCAACTTCATTTCAAGACCTATCGTATTTTGTCATCCAAATGTATGATTCTACGTACAACTCATCCCATCAACATGGTTGTCCAATTAGGGATATAGGCATTTAACCAGTCTAGCCAATCGAACAAGATCTGTTAGGTTTGGTTTCGGTTTTGATGCACACAAGAAAATGTTGAGGTATTGCTTCACATTGTGGAAGCAAAGCCCTAATTATGGTAGGATTTACAAATATTAAGCCTCGTAATTCATTGTTAACTAGTTTTGAATTGGATGCTCTAATTCTCTCATGATATCATAGCAGATACAAGTTGTCTCGATTTAATTTAAAATGACGTAACACTTGAAAAAGTGTGTTAAAAGTATAATTCACATTAGAAAATAAAAACCTTATATTAATTAGTATATAGAATATTTTGGCTATCTTCAACTATTTACCAGTTCTGACGGTATAATCCTAGATTTTGATTGGTGAATTTAATCTTGGATGCCATGCCATGATCATGATGATCGTGGTATTGATCATAAGTCGGTGTTGAGACCGACACACATATACGCCATCGGTACAATTGACTAGTTCGTACGTACTGTCCCTTGATCAAGTAAGCTGTCAATGTAACTACTCTGTGCTGCTAATCCCATCTCATTGTCCACCAATCGGACGGTAAAATGTGTAAGCTCAATTTATTGTGCCCAACACTATATAGTACATATGCTTACATTACAAGTTCTACTTGAACACTTCTTCCTCGGATGGAAAGTTGACATTTCAATATATATATATATATATATATATATATATATCTCTCTCTCTTGCTAAAGTTTTTTTTGTTTTTTGTTACAAGTATGGTAACAGAGGAGATTAGAACTCTGACTTTTGGTTTTGATACTTTTAACGACTAGAGCTATAAATCATTTTGTATAAGTTGATATGTTCGACCACTAGAGCTACAAACCTTTAGTTGTATAAGTTTATACTTTCAATTACAAGAACTATAAACTTATTACAAACTCTTAATTAGTATGTGTTCTTTTTTCAGAAGTACTTCGAATCATATTACTTCATCTTGAGTACTTATAGTTTGGTGATGAAGTATGACAACATTGTATAATTAGTCCATATGTGCTATAACATAAATAAATATTCAATGATATTATTTTTTAAAAGGAGAAAATCTTAATTTTGTCGTCTACTTATATTATGGCACGTAGACGGGTTACATCACATAACCGTATTCCAATGTCATCCATTAATTTCTCATTCACATTAGTATATAGGTCCACTAATGGACTTTTTATAAAACTTTCCCGATAATTTGTGGACTTTTTAGACATACAATTAATGATAAGAAAATGGACTGATCGATGTGTATAGAATATGCAAGAAGTGACAATCAGCGCATGTGAAACAATGAATTGAAACTTTCAAAGAGTATTCGGACCGGAAAGAACTTTCAAACTGTCTTGGCTATGAATAGAAGGTCATGAGTGCGATTTAGAAATCTTAGGTGGCAGCACAAATGCATGCACATGCAAGCTGAAACCAGCAATTACATTTTTTGCAGGTAAAATAAGTTAAGGGAATGAGTGTATATTGTCCTTTTTGCCATAAATTTCGAGGTCCTAGTTGTACAACAATCTACCCTCCCCAAATGTTTTGAACACATATCACGTCTCTTGTGTTGTGTAGATGGGCAACTTGTAAGGGACCTAAATGAAAATGGTTTTAGATGCATCATTGTGAAGGTTGATTAGCAGTGATAATAAGGATAGATTCGACGGTCGAAAAGACCAAAGTGTACTGTTTAATTAGGATAAAATATAATCTGCTAGTTAAATTTTATGCGTTGAAATTGTACTTATGATCAAACGTGCGTTTTAGCATTTGAAGGTTAATTGTTAAAGTTTATGCTTTGGTACTTAGAGCATCTACAATCATGCTCTCTATTTTTTAGTTTAAATTTAGCTAAAAACACTATAAAGCTATTTTAGGAACTCTCTATAAAATTTCAACTCCAACCATACTCTTTAGTTTAAAGAGTCATAAATGTTTTTCATAAATTTTAATTCAATTTTTGAATAAAGTGCTGACACAAAAGCAATAGTAAAAAATAGTTGGCATTAAATAAATGCTTAAAATAATATTAAATATAGAAGCATTTAATTATAGAGAGTCACTATGAGTAATTTCTCTCTCCTCAGATTTAGGAGCTCATAGAGCTATCCCTATTTTAGGAGCTGGATAAGGAGCATGGTTGGAGGTGAGTTTTTTCAATTCCTCCCTAAATTTTAGCTGAGGTGGTGGTTTAGAAAGTCCATTGTAGATGCTCTTAGAGCATCCACAATGATGCTCTCTATTTCTTAGCTAAAATTTGACTAAGAATATAAGAAAGCTATTTTAGGAGCTCTTTAAAAAATTTCAACAAACCAAAAAACCAAAAAACCATAATCCAAGTTAAAATTGGTTAATTAAATATTTATGACGTGGCACATGCACATCATTTCATTTAATATTCAAATTTAGTGCACAGATTTAATGTCCCTAGCATTATTGTTCATTTCGTGCTCCACTGCAGTAGAACAAAAGTGTACTAAACGCCTTCCCCTTTTAACTTTGGCCAAAAAACAAAAAACAAAAAAGTTTCAAAATCATAAATCGTTGGGTTGAATTTTCATTGAATTTGATCACATACATTTGGGCTTGAATTTTACCGATGAAACATTTCAAGTAAAGATATTCCTTAAAAGTTGGTGGCCTTGTTCTCAACTATCACAGACAGACAGCCCAAGGTCTTCTATTTTTGTAGTTTTAAGGCCTGAAACCCCAAAAACATCCGAGAGCACTGAAACGTAAAGTAGCTTTTAGCTTTTATGGATCACAATCTCAGTCAAGTTCCAGAAGGTCAAAAAAGAAAAAAATCTCAGACCCCAAATACGTGGCAAATTCAGAGTGGCCATGGAACGAGCCCCATTTTGGCCTGCCCCTACAATTCTCCACAAACACACAGAGAGAGAAAAAAAGTGAACTTGTGACAGAGACACCTGTGGTCATATTAAGCCTCCAAAATGGACACTACACTACCGAACTTTTTGACACTCATCAGTTCCCATGCGCTTTTGTATACTTTCCTTCGAGCCAAACACCTCCCACGAATGCCACCAACCCAAACAAGCCCCAATTTGAGTCACTCAAAAATATACACGCATAAAGTTAATGCACCAGTGAATGCCATTGTGTAGGCAAACCTCAAAAATCAGCAACCCAAGAATGTAGGAACCTTAATTTTCACAAATCCCCAGGTGGGTATCTCAAAGATTGCTGCTTTCTTCTTGTTTTTCATTTTTCTCCATCTGGGTAGGTCCAAAATTGAAGTATGGAGGGTGAGAAATACGCTAAGGAGCTGGATGTGGCCGTCAGAGTCGTTCACATGGCGTGTTCTCTGTGTCAGAGACTGCAACAGGGGATTGTTTCAGCTGGCAGGGACCTGGTTAAGTCCAAGGAAGACGATTCTCCTGTGACTGTTGCCGGTATTTTGAATTAAAACTTTGCTCTATGATTATGTTTGAATCTGGGTTTTTCGTTTTGCATATTGGCGGGTGTGCTTTGGAATGAGGTTTTTGGTGGTGGGTTTGTTATGACATTTGGCTTTGAGAGAGATGGATTTGGGAAATATCACTGAAAACCGTCTTCTATGCTTTTGTTCCTTGTTTGGGTAGTGACAAAGTGAAGGGTACAAATATCAAATTTTATGTTGCGAGTGTATTCGGAACTTTAGTGAAAGAAAGCTCAACTTGTATATGCTTACAAATGCAGCTATCTGGCTGTGTTGGTTTATGTTGAATTTTTTGCTGTTTTGCTGTTTGGGCTTTCCTAATTTTTGTCAAACTTGTGCAATGTAGTACTTTTTCTAGATAATAGTAAGAATGTCCATGTCGGTCGGTTCTGCCATACAGGGTCATATGTTTAGTAATTCTTGAATTGATTACCTATTAGTTAAGGTGATGCTCTCTCTTTTTTTTTTTTTTTTTTTTTTTTTTTTTTTTATATTGTATATGTATTTGTATATGATATGATTACAAGTTATGACGGACACATATAAGTTTAATTTTTTAAACAGACAACAAATATTATATAGGCCCTTTATGAATTTAGTTACTTGATATTAGGTGCATTATCTTTGTAGGTTTTCCTACGTGACTATGGAGTAGTTTTCTCTAGTGTGGGATCAGAATCTTCTTATTCAAGTGCTATTTAAATAAGAGGGATTGAACGTTAGATGAACATTGTTGGGGAAAAGTCTGATGGTATGTGATTCTTATAAAATGATCTTTATGAAGAACATCTAATACATGGAGCATGCATTTTGTCTGCTAATTATCCATGCAAAGGTTCGGTGAGATTTGTCTTTAGAAGTGATTGTGGGGGTGGGAGTGGAGCACTTGCCAAGTAGAACTTATAGAATCTAAAAGAGCATTATGTGAAAGCCAAATTTAGTTGCTTTTTTGTCTTGCATAACTTTGAAATATGTTGTTTTATTGTTAAAAAAATGATTGCATTCTTCAAGTAGATGACAGTCCTAGTGTGCGTCCACCGTTTAGCTGCTACCCCTATCTAGGAAGTTAAATTCTACAACTGATTTTGTTGGTTGGCTAGAAGTTGCTCTATTGTTTTGAAGCTTGATATATGTACTTGCTAGCCACAGAAGTTTATGTTCTTCGTTATATATGATCTTGAAAGAAGAATGTGTAAGCTGCAGACATGAATTGATCTAGATTTATCTTACCCTTTTCAATATTAGGGTTTTTTCTTTTACTTTAAGTCGGTTTATTATCTTTATAAGAGCTCTTATATGCCACAAATTGCTTGTTCTCTTGTATAATTATAAATATTCAATAACATAACCAATCTCTGTAGAATCCTGTTTGTTTTTTTTTGCTTTAATAACGAGTTCACGTTTTAAAAATAAGAGTCTTTCCAACTCAAATCAATATCGTTTTGTATTTTGTATGGAGTTTCACTAATTGTATTGGCATTGTGCATCAACAGATTGGAGTGTGCAAGCTACTGTTAGCTGGATACTGTCTGAATTCTTTGGGAGTCAAAATGTATCCATTATTGCTGAAGAGGATGTACAAACTCTCTCTAAGGCTGACTCAGCAAGTTTGCTAGAAGCTGTTGTGAACACTGTGAATGAATGCCTAGCTGGAGCACCCAAGTATGGTCTTAAAAGTCCACCAGAAGCCCTCAACACGTCTCAAGTTCTTGAGGCTATCAGCCGATGCAACTCAGTAGGAGGCCCCAAAGGAAGACATTGGGTACTTGATCCTGTTGATGGAACATTAGGGTTTGTTCGTGGGGATCAATATGCTGTAGCTCTAGCCTTGGTTGAGGATGGAAAAGTTGTTATTGGAGTACTAGGGTGCCCTAATTATCCAATGAAGAAGGAATTGCTCAGTTATCATTATCAGTACCATGAAACCATGTCAAGGCTATCTCCACCTTCTGATGATATGTGGGAAAGAGGTTGTGTCATGTATGCGAAAAGAGGCAGTGGTGAGGCATGGATGCAGCCACCAATCCCTGGAGATAAGAAGTTTGTGTGGCCAAATTCTGCAAGACTTGTTCGGGTTTCTTCCATCGATGACCCCAAACTGGCTACTTGTTGTGAACCTGTGGAGAAAGCAAACTCAGACCACTCCTTCACAGCAGGACTTGCTCACAGCGTAGGGCTTAGGTACATTTATTTACTTAATTATTTCTATAAATCCATCCATTAGGATAGTTTTCAGACTAGAGAATGAAACCAGGACTTAATGAAAATGGTGTTAACAGTGATGGGAGGAGAAAACTTAAAATAAAATAAATAAAATGAGTTATTAAGTAGAGGAGCACTTCCCTTACTAGTTTCTTCTTTAGTATATATAAAATCTGTATAATCAAACTTTTGCTTTTCCAGTTGGATGACATTTCTTTATAAATACGTAGTGTACTGCTTATTGATATGAGTGGTTTTTCATCACAAGTATGGCATAGGTTGTTGTCTTACCGTTGTTTGTTTCTTCTTTTTCATGGTCCTATTTTGCAGTTCTTTGAAATAATATCTATAAAGAGGAATATAAATTATTATAACAGCAAGTATGTTCCCTTGGCTTGGAATTGCTAGTACTGCTTTTCTTCAAGGCAATTTCTTGATGAAATGTTTGTTGAAGTACTACACAATGTGATCGATAGTCATCTAAGGTTAAAATGAGTTTACTGGAAGTATCCTAGTTTTACTTCCTTTTCATTGCAATCGTTTGTACCTTCATTAATTTGAGTTTCTTTTTCTTTCTCTGATTGGAAATATGATATGAAGCTTAGGCACCTTGTTGTTTTGCATGCCTTTTTAACTGTGGTTGGAAGATATTGGCAACTATATAGTTTTGCTTGTGTTCTAATTTAATATTTTCCTTTCATATGACATGGTAGAAATCAGCCCCTGCGTGTGTATAGCATGGTGAAATATGCAGCCATAGCTCGAGGAGATGCTGAGCTATTCATGAAGTTTGCAAGGACTGGGTACAAAGAGAAGATATGGGATCATGCTGCTGGTGTTGTCATTGTAGAAGAGGCTGGAGGTGTCGTAACTGATGCTGGAGGCCGCCCCCTGGACTTTTCAAAGGGACCGTACTTAGAAGGACTTGACAGAGGCATAGTTGTTTGTTCTGGGGCCACACTGCATGAGAAAATCGTTGATGCAGTGTATGCCAGCTGGGATTCTTCTAATTTATGAGGCTTTCTGTACCATGCCAATAGACTGTTGTGGCAGTAAATTTTACATTTTTGGTGAGGTAAGGCTTTCTGTACCATGCCCATCCATTTTTTTTAATTTCTAAGTCTTTGGCTTATGTGAGTGAGTTAGTTGTCCCATATGACTCGATGTTGTACAAGCCATATTTTCAGTTGATTCAAAGCCTTCTTTCAGTTATTATCCGATGAAGTTCTTCTATCCTGTTTGCTTCATGGATGGAAACAGAAGGGGAAGTAAATAATTTCAGATCCCTTTTTGTCAAAATCTGTCTTCCTAGACCTTCAGTAACAAATGTAGGAGTTTTTTGAAACCTCAAGAGAATTGAGTACTCCTTGTTTATACTAGCATCATATTCGTGAAATCTTGCCAAATTAGGTTCATTGTACATCACCTTACTATCTCTCATGTATTTGAGCACCCTCTGTCAGCTTTGCCAGCATTTCAATCTTTTAGTAATTTTAGACTAAAATCTCCTGCTTCCTATTTCCTCTATCATTTTGGACCCAGTGGGACTGTTGTTTGACAGGGCTGACTTCAATAAATAGTTAATTGTAAATGCTGAAAATTCAAATTAAATCTGAAATTATGTCGTTTGATATGGTAAACTTGGTTGCAATGCACACACTCACGAACCTGGTTGATCATAACCTGGTTGCTCATGTGTATCAATTATTGAGATTTGTGCAAAGAAATACTTACATCTCTTTGAAATATTTCAGGGCAAGCGAATTGCTGAGAAGGATTCCCCATGACAGCGTTGATTTAGTTTGAATCATAAAGTCTCGGGTGGGATGCGATCCATGCTAACGCCAAGACTAAGTTTGCAGAAGGAAGTATTTTGTTCGTTGAAGTGCTCAACTAATTCGAGAAAATCGGCATTGTTGTAGTGCTGCCCAATAGTCAATATTTAAGTAAGTTCTTCAAAATGAAAATTTTGCAATTGCAATTGCATTTCAAGATATTGCTGTTGCTTACAGATCACTGTTCACTGGATAGTTGCGCTCAGTTGATGGGTGCTAGGGGTGGCATGGCAGCATTTAGGTTTACATTTTTTTAAACCATCTACCAATCACAGTATACAGCATCAGGTGATGAACACTTTGTTGAACCCAAAAAGAAATAGAAGTAATTTTAACTCGACACGAATTGCCTTCTCTTATGGGAACAAAAAGGAATTGGGAATATAAGTAGATCGAAGATGACGAGTTAGTCCCCATTTGGCGGGACTAGGGACTGGACATAACCAATTGAAATGGGTTAACTATCCTGTCATATGTTGATGAATTTAATAATGGTGAGCCTTGATTGATTAAATTGAACAATTGTCCCATTTATTAGAGATTTAAAGTCCCCATTCAAGTGAGAAATTCTTTGGTCCGGCTGGTGGATCACATTACTCGTCTAGTCACACACAAACAAAGAGGACTCCTCTGCATTGGGGTGGGACCAATGTGAGGCTGTGGGATCTAAATATAGAGAATCCTTCCAATTGTGTGTGGACGAACGGGTGACGCGGTCCACTATCAAACCAAAGAATCAAGAATTCTATAGTGAGGGTCTTAGATATGGCCTTTAGTTGAGGCTCTTATCTCTTAACCGTTTGATCAAATTGGTTAGCTTGAATCAATGGTTAAAAGATAGGACCTCATCTAAGAACTGTATATAAGACCCTCACTATAGAATGGAGTGACTCACCAAATAATTTATCCTTTTCAAGTGCGAAACTCTGTAAAATGGGAGTGGACTCTATACAGAGACATGGAGTAACTAATCTAAGGGTGAGCATCTGACCCCAAAAAAAATCTAAGGGTGAGCATAGAATGAAGTATAACTCAAATATCATAAGTTTGAACTCTAAATCTCATGGATTACAAACAAAACCAAAACAAAAAACAAAAAACAAAAAAAATTTACTAAGATGACACGTATAATTTCTGAGTCTCCTCTGTCATCAAAAAATTCAAACTGAAGGAAGAAAAAAAAACAGTTATTTTTTTCCTAGCAGAAAAAAACAAAGGGAAAGTTCCTACTTTAACCATAGAAAGAGGGAAGAAAGTGGCCTACGCAAATACGAAAATTATTTATATTACCAGCGGCCGCAGGCTTCGAGTGCAGCTGGAAGGCACACTCAAAACTCCATGGATGCCTTTCTGCCGGAATTGACTTTTCCATACCAAATACACGAATTGACTTTGCCATCACACATTGTTTTACAATAATCTAAACCGTCTAATTTTTAAATATTCACTCGAAGATTATTTATGTAAAAAATCATTTAAATCTGAAATTATTTGACTAATCAATTAAATAGTTGTTATTATAGTCTTTTCTTGAATCACCGCATTCGTCTATTTTGTTGATCTCAATTAGACGCTTTAATGATTAATATAATCTTCAAACCATGTTCAAAAGTGGGGTGCATATAGCATATCTTCGTTACTATATTTTTAGTATTTTCTTTGCCTTCATATGTTCAAATAATACATATTGTTTGTTGACAAATTCGTTCACATATTAAATTCAATTAATACAAAAATTCAATTTGAAATTTGAAAACTGGGATAAAATTAATAAATTAATTAACACAAGTCAATGTTAGGTCTGATCTCATGAGTCTAATTGGGTTAGGTAGCTACTCATAGTCATAGTAAAAAAAAAAAAAAAACAAACAAAAAAAAAAAAAAAAAAAAAAAACATGCTCAATCGTCAGTCGTACATCGTTCCTCATTTCTCTAGTTTAGGGTTTTTGACTATTGGTTTAGCTGTGGACAAAAATCATACTAAGAGCCTCGTCATCATCTTCATCTCTTGAAGGAGAGAGTTGAACAAAAGTACAATATGGTATTCTTCCATTGCGACTCTCTTAATAATAATAACAAAATAAATAAATCGTTGTCTTTAAATTTTGTTTGACTATTGGTTGCACTGAAACGAAGTACGATTTGGAAATGTTTCACTGTGAATTATTTATTTGCTGAAAACAAACTTACTTAGCGTGTGCGTCGCACGATTACAGATACGAGATTTAAACATACAAACTATCTTTTCATAGTCAAAACATAAATAACAAACTTCATTTACCATAATCTCATCACTAAGCACGTGAAAAGTCACTTTCCATTCCTCTTCACAAGTGACGAATGGCTAGAGTACGGAAAAAATTGATTAATCCAGCTATTTTTCAGAAATGAAAAGATGTTCGAGTTCTAGAACAATTTGATGGCCTAATTCCATTATTTGATTGAAAAATGTGAGATAATGTATAATTTTATTACATAAACATTGATTGATTGAACAGATTTATAAAACTACGGACTTGTTCCAAAGAACCCCCTTCCAACACGGAAAAAAAAAGAAGACGGAATCTCTAATCTCCAAACCATGTCTAGTTTCTTTAAGCAAAAACTACAAAATGTCTAGCTGTTTACAACTTTACCATGCACAGATAACAAACAGTGACACCCAAAAAAAAAACAGTGATGGAAAGACGGCAGAGAGAGAGAGAGAGAGAGAGAGAGAGATATTAATTAATTACTGTAGTTTGAACAATTGAAGATCTGTAGACTTTAATTAATCTCTAAAATAAAAGTAATTAATTAATTACACATAATTTATAAGTACTAAAACGCGTCAAGATAATTTTATTCTATCTGGTGCTTCACGCTTTAGAATATATACTATGGTTTTCAAACCAAGGAAAAAAAAAAACGAACTATGGTCTTTTGATGTAATCTTCGTGGATTTGGGAGATGTCATGTGTCCCCCATCTAGGAAAGGGCATAACTCTCTCATGTGGGTTGGCGGATTAGAAGGCCAATCTCAACTCCTCCATATGAAATTTAATTAATTTCAATCTCAAACTCGATCATCAACTATTTGTTTTATAATGAAGCAATCGCAACCGTTGAATACGATCATGTAAAAACAAATTATAAAAGTTTTTCCTTTAAAATAATTACGTTACATATTAATCGATAGAATAATTAATTAAATTTATAGTATAGACATCCGTGGCATCAAAGAAACTCCACCATGTTTATGATAGGAATTGCACATGATTTGTAATAAATATCCCATGTTATTTTCCATTAATTATGATTAGTATTATTATTACTTCACTCCCTACTGAGCTTTGGCCACCTGGTTATGTTACATTGGTAATATTATTATAGTATTATTACTCCACTCCCTACTGACCTTTGTGTGTTAAAGAGCTATTGGTCCCTTCCAAGCTCCATTATTTTTAAGAGTGTCCCATTTCCCTTAAGTATGGAATTGTGCAGTTGAGCCAGTTGAGATGGATGGGAGAAATTTTTTAGTGAGATTGTCTTATGCGGTAACTTTCTCACGATATGGTGATCTTTGTACGTGTGTATTGTGAGACTAGCTCTCTTACATTGGAATGTCACTTGCATATGAGACTTACACTAAGTCTTATTTTACTATGAGAGAGCTACTGCATACGACAACTATACACAAGACTTTCTCAATAGTACATACAAGTGTCTTCCCTACAAATAATATTTCGTCAAACTAAATTGTATGTTTAAGATCAAATGGCCCAAATTTTTTTTCATTCCATTATTTAAAATACTCAGAAACACATATCTCATTAAAAATTAGTATTTTATTATTTATTTTTTGGATTGTTTTAGAATAAGTTTGAGTCGGTGCCAACATTTAGTCCAATTCGTTATCGGTCTGAGTCAGTTCTTCGTGCCTTCCTTACGTATTGCAATGCCTACGACGCAGTCGCTTTCTGTCATTCCCGCGTTCCCAGCGTCTGGAGGGGCCAACTACTTTTCTCAAAGATAAAGAGGGAGATGCAAATGGGACCCACTTGTATTTAATTTGCAATGACTTTCTTCTTTACTATTATTTTTTCAACTAATTGCAATGACTTTTAACAATTTGTCTTCAAGCTTCTTAAGGACTGTCCTTGATGGAAAATGACGATACTAGGAGTGGAAGTGGTGTGCCATCTTTTGACAATTGTGTCTTCCTCCCCCTCCCCCCCCCCCCCCCCCAAAACTTGTGTAACAAATTAGATCACCAAATCAAATGTGTTTGTATCTCTATCTCGTATAAGATACAAAGAAATAATCTTCAAAGTAAGTTCGAATTTGAATAAACGAAACACTTGTGCATTATTTGATTAAGAGTACGTAAACAATACTCTCCAGTCCTAACAGATTATTTCACTTTATTGTGCTGCAAATAACACATTAGGGAGCCCCAGATGACCCTCTTGAATTCAAACATAAAATTGAAACACAAGAAGAGTGCATGCTCAGCTAGAGGATGCGCTGTCTAATCACACCGATACATATATATATATATATATATATATCAACACGAAAATGAATGCGCATTAAGGTGTGAATTGTGAGTTAAGGAAGAATGATTCCTCCATAGAAAACCAAGGTTTTCTTTTTCTGAATATTAAAAAAGAAACAAGAAAAGCAGGTTTGGAGGCAAAGGGCTTGAGGAAGGACATTGTTTGTCTCATTACATACAAGGATATACTCATCTTTCATACGAATCACAGTTTGACATATATGCAAAAATAATTCATCAAAAACACAAAAAGAAATACTTACACACACATATTACGTTACTATTGATAGGAATACAGGAGCTCCGAGCTCCTACTTACAAGATAAAATAAAGAAGGGGGGTCCAATGTGACAACGTCCACCATGCAGTGACGAATTGGGCAAATATGAACGAGGCATAAGACTTTACGCTATGGCCTGGCCTGCTGCTATCTAGGGAAGGGACAGAAAGCGGCAAGGTGGTATTGGTGGTGTGAGTCATGGATGGCTGGTGTGAAGTGCGTTTTTGGTCAATTTTCTAATAAATAAAGCCACCTTCAATTTACATCAATCTCAATAAGACCTCCAGATGTACGGTCAAGATATTCCATTCCCATGATTTGCGGATCCCTAATTAAGTAACTATCAAATTTGCCCAACTTTTAACGGCAGAGAAATTCTTTTGTGTTAGTAGGACGCACACTTTGCCCCCGATTTAAATGAGAGCCATTAGGCATCATTGGATTTGGCTCCAACGGTCCAAGGAATACAATGTAAAAATTTAATCAACGGTTCCAGGCAGTTGCCGTTTGTTTTGCACCAAAGAAAAAGAAAAAAGAAAGAAAAGAAAGACAAATTCAATTCGGTCGCCGGAGTTGAAAGAAACAATTTGCCGGATTCAATTACCAAAGAGCATATTTCCGGGGCTCATAAATGTAGTGTATGTGGTGGCTCGTAAATAAAAGTCATCATTGTAAAAATAGAGCTAGTAATTATAGGCCTGCAAGTTTTAACATAAGTCGAGCTAAACATGAAATGAAGTGTAGTAGTAATTTCTTATTTTATGAACATTTATGTGGTTCATAATAAATCATATTTATAAACAACGGTATTCGTCAAAATAAAGCAAAATAATTTCCTACGAGATAACTGATTACTAGGAAACGAGTCTTCCTTTTGTTGGGTGATAACTGATTATAAGCTACGTTAGAAAAAGTATCATTCATTTGCTTATAATAACGTTTAAATGTCGATTTGTAAAAACGAAAACACAACCATAAAAGTAGAGACCGGTGTTGTTTTGATTATAAGCACAATATCAAAACCAAAACCCAAAAACATTAGTAAAATAGAAGATCCTGTTTATGAAAACAAAAAAACAAGCAACGTTTAGATTTGTTATTGCCCCTCCTCAAGAAACCTGGTGAGCCGGTTTCCCGGCAACAAATTATCCTATATCTACTTTCTTTCCTCCCACTTTTATTATTAGCCCAAATTCGTCACCTTGCCCCTCTTCCTCTCTCACTATCTCGCTTTTAAAATATCCGTACTAGTTCCACATCCACACCCACTCAGCTCTGAGAGAGAGAGAGACTAGGAATTTTCAGTAAAGCTAAGCTCGGCCCTCCCAACCCAATTTCTAACTTTTCCTTCTTTTCCTTCTTTAAAATTTGAAAAACACAGGCAGCAGAAGCCTGACGAATCAAAGCGCGTTACAACCGTCATCCTCATTATGATCCTCTTTGTTCGTTCTCCAACTACACCTCTCTCTCACACTCCCCAGATTTACAGCTATGACTGACGTCTTCCTTCTTTAATTGTCTTCACTGTTTCTTCCTCTCTCATCTCAGCCTTTTTAGTTTCCGTGTTGGGATCGTCGCAAAATCTCTTTGCGCCCAGTCGATCTGAACAATTTTGAGCAGAGGCTTGTGTGCAGAAGACGATAACCTTCGTCACTGTAAGTTTGCACCACCACCCAAATCTCTCTCTGCTACTCTTGGGTAGCTCCATTATTTGGTTTGTGAGAAAGCTGAGAACAACCCACTAAAGAGAAAGCAAAACTTTCAATACTTCGGACTACTCGGCTCGAAATCAATCCCCTGTTCTGGGTTTTTCCCCTTTTTTTGATTTACTACTTTCTCAGCAACCAAACGCGAAAGCTACTGCAATTTCTGAACTTCTCTCACAGATTTGAAGCCTTTTCAAAGCATGTTCAGAGAGAGGAAAATGGGGAAATCATCAGGTGCGGCTCCAGGCAGCAGAGACTGGACCCAGATCTACGCCATCTATGGCCTCGACCAGTGGCAGACCATTCTCTTCCTTCTCTTCCACGCTGTGCTATTTACCATTTTGTCTCTCCTCTACCTCACTTACTTCGACTTCATCACTCTCTTCTTCCACCGCCTCCTCCCCATCGGCTCGGCCCGGTTCGCCGCCGGCTTCACCGGCTCTGTCACGGCCCTCTCCGCCCTCTGCCTCTTCTTCGCCTCCGCTCACTTCCTCCACTCCTCCCTCCCCCTCCACTACGACGTCGTCCAGCGCATGGTCAACTCGGTCAACGACTGGTCAACGGTCAAGCACGCCCTCGACCTCGGCTGCGGCCGCGGCATACTGTTAAACGCGGTGGCGACCCAGATGAAAAAAGAAGGTAGTTCAGGTCGGGTCGTGGGCCTGGACCGGTCCAAGATGACGAGTCTTTCGTCGACTTTACGGACGGCAAAGATCGAAGGGGTTGGGGAGTACGTGACTTGCCGTGAGGGCGACCCCAGGAGATTGCCGTTTGGGGATGGGTACTTCGACGTGGTGGTATCGGCTGTGTTCGTGCACACCGTAGGTAAGGAGTACGGCCATCGGACGGTGGAGGCGTCGGCGGAGCGGATGAGGGTGGTCGGTGAGATGGTGAGGGTTCTGAAGCCCGGTGGGGTCGGGGTGGTGTGGGACATACTGCACGTGCCGGAGTACGTGAGGAGGCTCCAGGAGCTGAAGATGGAGGACATTCGCGTCTCGGAGCGGGTCACGGCGTTTATGGTGAGCAGCCACATCGTGTCGTTTCGCAAGCCCAGTCAGCACGTAGTCGGACCGGGCGAGGTCCGGCTTGACTGGAGATGCTGATGTGGAGGCCGGACCCGGTCCATATACACAGAAAAAATAGTCAGTCAAATAGCATGATATGAATACATAACAACTTTTAAGACTTATTGAGTAATTATATTAATTAAACAAAAAAAAAGGATTAATGGGTTCTATTTCTAAGTAGTTTTTTTTTGTGTTTGAACTTTGAAGTAATCTATAGATGTATAAATATATGTATCTGGAGAGGCAAAGCTGACCCAGATGGAGAGATGGTTTGGTGAAAGTTTCAACTATACATGTAATAATCTAGTTTTATATCATGATATTTTGTTGATCTATATATGATCCTCTATGGGTGACAATGGGATTTAATTGTTTTTGAATTAGATTGTACTAAGTTTGGTGGATGATTTGTATAAATTTTAATAAAATTAAAATTATTATCAAATAAGTAATTTCTCGCACCTACACAATTATGATGCAGCGGGAATTCAAACATGAGACTTGGTTTGCAAGTCAAGGCTCTTTTCTACTAGCTAGATTCCGTTGATGCCAATTTATTTTTTAAAATTCAAGTTCATTTGAACCAGATTCTAAAGTTCTGACATATATTTATGATGACTATAAATCTCTATGTAGTGTCTATTTGCACACCAAAAAAAAAGAAGAGATTAGCCAAGCCAACAAGTAGGTTCTTCATGATTTGGGTGAGGCTAATGATGTTGTAGTCGCCATGCGAGCAATGATGAAAAAAGGGGTTTTCTTTGTTTTGTTTTGTTATAGCCAATAAGTTTAAGATAGGGTTTTGCTTTTATTGTGGCACATAAACATGTGTTTAGATTAGATTTAATAATAATGAGAGGTGGACTTTTGTGGGTTTCAAAAAGTTTTGAGTGGTGGTGTTTAGCTTGAATTTGGAAGTTAGTTTGATAGGGACTCTACCTAATTTTTTTTTTTCTTCTACATTTCCTAAGTAAGACCAATCAGCTCTTGAGAAGTGATGGAAATGAAAAAGATGGTGATATTTTTGGTGGGATGCAATGCAAATGTGTTGTGGAGGTTGTGAATGGCGATGTAGGGTTTGGGTTGGGGGGCTGTTGTGAAGTCTCAATCGTGGATCTCTTTGATGGTGAAAGTGAAGCATTCAAGCATGCAATGTAATGCAATGTTGTTGGGAGGGAATGAGTTTGGTTTGGGAATTAAATCCAATTTCCTCCAACATCTTCTTCTCAAAACTACACATCCGTGTACGAGTATGTCAAATTTCATTCAACAATCCCGTGAAGTCCATAAAGATAGCAAGGACACCTCCTCCTCCTTCAACTCTGGTGTTAATGTTATTCATTACGATGCAAAATAAATTTACATCACATTTTACTTAACGGAATGAATTAAATTTGTCGAGAATCTCACACTAGAGAACGGAAGCACTATTATTTATTTTTGGGTTCGATGTCTCATATTTTAACGTGATATCATAACGTTGAATGCTAATTTGATTGAGAAGTCCACATTACATTAGATATTTAGATGAGGTACATAATTAATATACCCGACTCCATATATTTCAGCAGGTTGTGAATTTAATTGTCAATTTCTCAAACATCTTAATTGCAGCATGTGTCCATCGTGGGTTCTTGTCCTCTCTATAAAGCATAAATAATGCCACGTGTGTTGCCCAATTATTTTGGGGCAACCTCTTGCCTTTATTAAACTTCAATGCCAACGCCACCATCTTTTTGCCTCTATTTTTTTGTTGGTTGGTTTCTGGGACCATAACTTTAATGCTCCCCTCCCTATCCATCCTCCGCTTGCAATTGCGTACGCTCACCCTTTTGGACTGTTCCATTTCATAGGGATTTATTTGTTTCATGGCAAAATGAAATATAAAATAATAAAATAATAAAATAATAAAAAATAAAAAAGTGAGAGATTTGGTGTATGAACTTCCCTTGTCTGAAACGGGAATAATAATATTTTGTTATTTTCATCCAATCACGATATGCTACGTGTGATAATTTTTTCACGTGACATTTTGTGATTGGTTGGGGAGAACAAAACAATACTATCGTCATTTCATATAAGTTTTTTTGCTGAAGTGGATGCTTGATGAGGAATTATTAATTAACTATCCTGATTTGATTGATTAAATTATGAATTTTGGATTTAAAAAAATCAAGTCGACATACCGTAATAATATTAAATTAAGAGAACTATTATTAACACTCTATATCCGAATTTTCAAGAATGATTATAAGTTGAAGATAATAATATGTTAGTTGAAAGTGGGGTGGCTAGACATACCACTTGGACCCTGAACAAATTTCAAAAAATTTCGTCCTATTTGGAGAAGTTTTGCTAACTATGGACGTAATTACAAACAAAAGAAATTAGAAAATTTTAAAACAGATCTGCGATTGGCATCTTCTTTATATTTTCTAGATTCCTTTTAGTTAATAAGTATGATATAGAATATTTGTGATGGCCAAGTTGATTAAAAGTAGATTACTGACATCCGTTGTCTGGTCACCATCGCAGGGCAAATGACAGGGAAACAAAATGGGAAACGAGTTAGTTGGGAACAAGACTGGATAAGAACATGCAACTTTCTGGGGTCTCTGATTTTGCATATAGCTCTGTCTGTCTCACACATCATTTTATAGTTCATGTTTACCTTATATTTTCCTTTTCATTTAATAAAGGTAAATCCCCTTGTTGGAAATCTCAAGTCAAGGAAGTAAATTATTGAGTTACATAACTTTTTTTTTTCTTCAAAAAATGTATAAATTTAATATTGTTTGCTTACACAACTATCACATAACAAATTTGTTGTCTGGTCACTGGTTACCAAATAGCAAATTAATTACTTAAGATGCCATGGGTTGGAAAAGTTGAAATCTATATGGCTCCTCAAATTTAATTGACTATATCATGTCTAGGAGTGGATACGGTTTGGATTGGATCGGTTTTATTTCAAAATTGCGGTAGAATCAATGACAATAGAACGATTTATTTTGATTCGGTTATGACAAAAATCGAGGAAACCGAACCAAATTAAACTAATTTAAGACGATTTGATTCAGTTTAGTTTGGCCAGTTTGCCTAAGCCCAATTTCTTTTTTCTTTTGTATTTTTTCAACATTGGTGGCCTAATTACAACAACAAAAAATTCATACCTTGCTTCATATTTTTCTTTTCATTTTCTAGCATATCAAACTATCCTAAAATTCAACATGTCATAAAACTTCAAAGCTCAATAACTAATATGGTTACAAACAACTCAAATATTAATAACTTGAAAGCTCCATCAAACTTCTAATTCAATATTCATGTCTAGTTATTACAATGAGAGGACTACATGTGTACAATAAAATAAAATAAATATAAATATAAATATAAATATACAAGTAGACAATCAAGTTTGGTTTAGGCCAGTTTGCAAAACCTCAAAACCGAAACCAAACCAAACCATTACAATTTGGTTCGGTTTTTAAACCGTTTGATTTTTTCCTTGGTCAAAACCAAATAAAACCGATCATTACAATTCATATATGTCAGTTTAACCGGTATGCCAATTTAGCCGGTTTGGCCGAATTGATGCTCACCCCTAACCACGTGGGTTGGAAATTCCACTTATATATCTTATTCAGTTTCATTTCTTGCACATCGAATATTCAATATGTAAGAGCTATTTGTCACAATCTTAATGAATTTAGTGAATGTTCAAGACCATGAAATCCCACATTGGAAGTTTAACAAAGCAAAATAAAATACAATATTTAAATTACTAGTAACATCGAGACTTTTTGTGATAAAACCCCATATCGAGACCTCTTGTCAAAGATATCGTCAACTATGGAAGTTGGGGTGTGGTTAATTTGGGTCAGACCGTCTGGGTTGAAGCTGACCAATGGATGAAGAAGGCAATTTCGTTGGTTTGGAGTGTGGTCAATTTGGGTCGGACCATCTGAGTTGGAGCTAGTCGGTGGGTGAATGAGGCAATTTTGTTGGTGTGGGTTGTGAGGCGGTTCTGATCGTAGATTCATATATTCAAGATGAAAAGGGGTGTCATCGTAATTTCACATTAAAAAAAGGCTCAAAATAACCTAAAATGAAGAAAGGAGTTCCAAAAAAATAAATTTGGCTTTTTTGTCAGGGTTATTGTATGGACCTGCCGAAGAATTTTCCTTTGGTGCAAAAGTTAGTGTAGAGTCTATAGCCTATGGACGAGTATCTTATTGCAAACTTTGTCGTAGTAATAAATACCGAATGATGTAAACATTGAACGAAACGGTCCCATGGTCTAGTGGTTAGGACATTGGACTCTGAATCCAGTAACCCGAGTTCAAATCTCGGTGGGACCTTTTTTTCTTCTTTTTACTGCCTTTTTTTTTTGTCATTCCACTTCTATTGTTGTTTGGCTGCTTTCGGAACCAGAAACCTTTTACTCGCTTCTTTCTGGTTGAGACAACTCGAGGATAAATTGATAATAATATTTTGGAAATTGGAACTCCTACATGCAGCTTGAAAATGGGTTACACTCAACAATTCTTTTTTCTTTAAATAGAGTTTTTTTGTTTGTTTTTTGCATTTGAATAAAAATTCGAAATTGTTGAACCCATACAAGCAAGAGGTAAAAGAAGAAATTTCATAGTTTCGTTTTGGCTGTGCAGGCGTTTCAATATTCTCACACATGTTTTTAAGCAAACCTCCAAGAGAAAAACCGCCCAAGACCATTTTGGTTATGTATTATTTGTCAAAACTCAAGGTGCATCAAAAAATTTGCCTTACAATCAATCAAGAAGTGTTCCAAATGAGTTCGCTGCTCGGATTGGTCGAGGGTTCAATTCCCTCTATTGTAAATTTTTTTTTATAAATAAAGACAAACATTCAAGACTCTCAAAAGCAAACATGTCCATCCTGTTTTACCCATAAATGAAGTGAAATGACAGCACAGGCTTCAACCATACGAACTTTATGCACTCGAAGAAACCATATAACTTTACCAATATAACCAGTACACTTCTGAATTCAATATTCTATCAAAAGTTCAAAACAATGAATTTTACAAGGAACAAAAAAATGGATGTCCTTTGTGGATCTCTAGGCTGAATTGTACAAGAAAAATACAAATTCCGCTGTACACAAGGCAGGATGTCAAATAACATACGACACGGTGAATACTCAGAAAACCTACCAACGCAAACTAATCTCAACTAAGCTGATTTTTTAACTATCTGATAAAAGAAAGATACAGATTTACAAATTCCCAGGATATCAAAAAGGGAAACCTAAATGTTATCTCTATAACTGTATCAGGAAGCATATAGAGTGGAAAGTCTAATGACCTGTGACAACTTGCATCCAGGTGAAGAAACTGGGCTCGGAGCAATCATGCTGGAATGCAAAAAGAGGAGCTCAGAATCGGAGGCAAGACACAAACCAGATGAGGCCCAGCCGGATTGCAACTTATATTCGATTCATCAACATCTGGCAGACCAAGTTGAGGGGGACGAACGTAACCCGCCACTAGAGGCACACATAATATTGAGATTTCTATCCTTGAACCTGCCATGGTAAGAATTTAAAAAATTTAATGAAGATGCCATAACAAGGAGACAAGTAAAACCATTTTTCAGAGCTATGAACCACAATGTATTTTCCTTGAAGAAAACAGATGTGAGGTTTAGTTCCAGAAACCTTGCTTTGCAGAGAGAGAAACATGCCCTCTTTTCCTCCCAGCAATCATCCAATTCTCAGTATTTGCACTGACTTCATATAACACCTCATCCTATACAAGCACAAAAGATTAGAAATATGACTTTCATCTTTTGTTTTTATTTTTGAGAATTGCAGTCCATTATGCTTGAGCCATAATCACCTAAAGTACTCAGATTGTAACAAATGACAGTTGTACCACAACCCTCATTCTGCATCTATTAAAGGTAGCGGGATAGAACTTAAAAATACACTAAACATACAGATGGTCTCACTCTACTCCACTTCATGCAGTAAAAAATGAGTAAGACAAAGTACAACACCTCGTTCTAATTATGAAATTTTACCTTCCTAAACTGAAAAGCTGAATTCAACCTAGCCAAAATAGTTCAGACTCAGTTGGATGGAATTTTGGTCGTATTGTAAGGTCTAAACAACTTTTTACTATTTCCCTTCCTTTAAAGCAACAAATACGAAGCATAAGAATAAGCTTCACATCAAGGGGGTATTGAAAACAGAAAAAAGACACACACCATACCATACCATACCACCTCATGTTTTAGGTGAAACAACTCAATGAAGTACATGGCAAGTACATGAATTTCCAGCTGACTTAAAAATGGTTAAACACCGATGTTAATGCTCATTCAGAAATGAAAGTGAAAATCAGAGGGTAAATTATCATTAGCCTAAGATTTAACCATCACTTCTTAATTGTTCAATGGAATCAGACTGTGACTTACATTGTTAGGGGATACTTCATTCTCCTCAAAATCCTTTAATCTTTCAACCCTCCATTTCATGGTAACTAGCTGGCCAACCCTAAGCCCACTAGAAGGGAGAGGAAGAAAACCAACAGCCAGGACCGGATCAAGCACAGGCCTTTGCAAAGCAAGAGCACACCTGAAAATTAAGTCCTGTCTATCATCCTCAGACCCAGAAGATTCTGCAGCCACAGGTGGGTGCGCTCCAATGGTTCTATCACCAGAAATTCCATATCTAATATTCAGTATACTATCTGATTGCAGAGCCTTAGCTTCATCTGCAGGAAAAATACAACAAAAGATGCATTGGTTCTGTCAATTGCACGAAAATGATAAATATAGAACAGATTCACAACTAAATCCATCTTGACAGCGATGACAATGAAGACATGGCAGTGGCCTTTTTTTGGTGCTTGATATAGGCATAACATTTTAAAGGATTCCATCAGAAAAAGTCCCAACCTTAACAGATTGCTGGAGATAAACAAGTGAATTGCTTAGATGACTGTAATCCTAAATTCACAAAGAAGCCAGCCTTCACCATAATCAGATCACAATAAGCTCCCACAAATTTATAAGGAAACAAAATAAAAAAAACAATTAACTAATCAGCTCATCTACAATAACAGGTTGATGAGGCTGAATGATGAAGTTTAAGACTTCATAGTATCCTAAGGTCTTTTGGATGCTGCATCTCATATGCAGTTCTTCATACTAACCCATTAGCCATTACTTCTTTCACCCCCCTAGTCCTTACAAGTTCACAGTAAGTGTTACAACCTAAAATGATTGAGCTTATTGGCTCTCCTTAACCCCAGATATCATATACATGATATCACTGCAAATTAATTATAAATACACTCTTGAACAAGCATCAATTTGTTTGTGTTTAAAAAATGGAAGCTTAGAAACATGAAAACATTTCTAACATAAGTGAACAGTACCTTCAACATTTGTCTTCCCTAAGCATATACTGAATAACATTCCTGCTCTAGAATTTGGAGAAACGACAAGTGGAAAGTAGCCTGAAGTTGGTCTCCCATCACCTTGTCCAGTATTAACAAATCCATCTTGAAGATCAAGCCAAGCATCATAGATGGTCAATGTGGCTTTCACTTCAGAGTGTAGTATTACCTGGAAGTAGTCAACCAATGTGGAAATCAGAGAGGAACTAAATACTACTAAAGATATTGATAATTATCATGACTCATGACTCATGAGCACACAAAACATATGAACTGCCAATCTTCAAGGACTCCACAAATACCGTATTCAAATAACCTCTCCTGTTTCATGGATTTATAAGCACTTATCTTGGTAATTGCAAGAGAAGTCTTAGTCTAACATGGTAGAGCGCAACCTTAAATCATATCCAGGCTATGTACAAAAGCATCATTCATGCTAAGGTAATTGGCTACAATGACATCTTATGGAGACTGACACAATTCCCATGTTTCAACACATACATAGGACGCCGCTCATGTCATGTTTTAATTATCTCACCACCAAGCTAGGACACAAAAATATGTTCTGTTTCAACTTTAGGTAGTTAACTATAATCATAATGGTAAAGTACCAATGAAAATAATAACTATTATATGATGTCCAGCGTATCAAGACAGTATTCAGACAAATAAACAACTGTTAAAACAATAAAAGAAAGATGAGATAACAGAATATGGAGTGAAATCTGCAAGGATGATATGAAAAAGAAAATAACTCTTACATATCTGGTTGTGATTTTTGAGGGATATCCCACAATCTTTACAGTACAGAAAACTGATTCGTTAAAATGTGGTATTGGTTCTACATTATTAATATTACAAATAGAAGAGTGCTTCTGAACACTAAATCACAAATACCTGCAGAAGCAAAGTACCATCATTGCATTTATCTGCAACTCGTGTGCTCACATGAAACGGATCAGTAAAATGCACAGCGAGGGTCCTGCAAATCAGGCCATATATATGTATATATTCAGACAACTTATAATCAATAAAAGGCAACTTTGAAAAGCTAAAAACAACAAATAGAACATAATCCAAATAAAGATATGCGAGGATGATGTAAACTGAGAAATGCCTCTCAAATATCTGATTGTGAGATGCTCCAAATTCAAGTTTGAGTGCTATCGTCCTCATTCCATCCACAATGCTGTGTCTCTGGGGAGCCACTGCAATAAGAGATGATGCATCATATACAGGTAAGCAGTTGGATGCAACAAAGAGCATTTACAACATATAAAATATAAAAACACAAACAAAAGAATTGCATCATGTTCACAACCTAAAGATGATCCTCTTGCAAGGTTTTCGCTGTTAGCACGAAGTGGAATCCATAAAATAGATGTCAAGTTGCTTGCCCAATGTGGAAACTCTACTCTATCATCACAGAAAGTCAACTTCTCAAATATTTTATCAACAGCCAAAGAACCATCTTTTGGAGTACCATTACAGTCTGCCACGCCCACTGAACTCTTTGATGTATCAGCATAACTTTCCATCTCAATGAAATTTGAGTCTTCAATTTTAAGACCAGGTCCAGTATCAACATACAAGACAGCACCTTTGAGGGAGTAGTTAATGGGCCTTGCAATAATCCCAACCCACTGAGGTTCATTTATAAGCAAAGCAGATGAAACAGCTGCAACAAGATCAACCAGAGGTCTTGGTTTGAAAACCTAAAATAGAGGTCAATTAGATGGTACAATACCACATGGACATCTTAAATGAAATGAAACCAAGCTTAATCTCAAAGTTATGTACTGCTTCTGGATACAATTTTATTTACAGGTATAGATAAAAGAACAATGGTAAACCAGTATTTCGGGATATAATGGGTAGCAACACAGCTACAGTTCAGAAACGGCACCTTCAAGATAGGTCTAGGAGGCTTTTCATAACTCATAAAATCCTCAGTGTCTTCAGGGCCACCCTTGGAAAAGCTATGAGATCTGAATCTTAACTGCCCAATTTGCCCAGTAAGAACCCCCAAAACATATGAACCTGGTTTTTGGGGGGGTAAATCCAGGGTAATGGTATTCCGACCGGGCTTTAATACAATTGCAGTAGAGCTCACTAACGCCTGAAATATCAGATGAATAATTCATTAGTATCATATATAATGCTCATACAACCTATAACCTCAAATGGTGTGCTAAAAATGCATTGCAAGTCCAAGAAAGCTTACCTTAGCAACCTCATCAGTATTAAATAATGCATTCAATGTGAGACTTAGTGAATCAAGAGTTATATCATCAGGAAAGCCACTCCAGAATGTTACAGATAGAGTACCAGGATCCCCATCGCATAATTCTAATGGAGGCCCAGGATTACCAGAAAATGTAATTAATGATGACACATCTAGTGGCACAGGTTGCTCCATTTCACCATGTGCAAGACGAACAACCTCTGACTGAAAAGCCTGGCGTTCCTTGGTAAAAAACAAGCCTTTATCTAAAGAAAGCAGTCTCACGCAAGATGAAAGATAGCCAGCTTGATCATTGAGTATTTTCTGACACTCTGCTAAATTGGGTAGAACTTCTGCCAATAAATCCTGCCATCCTTCACCTGCGTAAAGTGCACAAACCTTTTCATATGACTTTGCAGCCAGATCAAAGTTTCCATGCTTAAAACAGACGGCTGCTATTTCCCCATCAAGAACAACTCCATGCCTTTTCCACCAGGATCGATGATAATTGTCAGCAGCACCTTTAGTTAGCTCCAGATATTTTTGCTGTCAACGCCAGAATTTGTAATTTAGAAAACTGAGTGAATGCATGTGGACAATTTGACTGATATGCAGAGAGAGAGAGAGAGAGAACAACAAATTCCACAACTAAAACACTGAATCTTAATCACAAATCCAGGTTCTCTATGTAATACTGCTAAAAAAGGAAAGAAATCTAACTTTTTATGTGGTAAGAAAAACAAAATCTAAGGTACGTCATATTTTTGTTTTCTGAAAGTAGAAGGAATATCATCTTAGAAGTGTTTATATACAGCTAAAATATTTTAACCAGAATGGATTTATCATTGACAAGAGAGATGTCAACAAGAAAAACATATTAACTAAAAATTATACAGCATGTATAGAGGAATTAATCATTTGAAGATCCCGCATGAACAGTAAACCAAAAATAAGCAAGTGCATGCTTCATTTGTGCTTGTACCTCAAACTCCTCTGTAGATGACAAAGACTTCCATAGATCAGGATTAGAAACTGTGTTGTGCAGAGTATTTTCAGCAGCAACATAAATTTCAGCAAGTCTCATGGGCTTATCAATTGAGCTCTCGGAAATTCCTGGTGAAGAGTTGGTGCGTGACATAACACTTGCTTGTACTTTTTGTAATGAGGGCATCTTTAATGATGCATCCGAACCTGAACTGCCATCATACATCGTGACTACATTACAACTCAAAAAAGGAGGTTTAGAAACATAAAAATACTACTTGAGGTGAAAATATTTAGTAAAACTCAAAGAGCACTGCATTCACTTCAATTCTTGAATTTCTATTACCCATCACTAAAATTTTGGCGACCATCAAACATTTCAACCATATTTCCAGCAGAAAGGGAAGCCCTCCTCCGATTAGCCTCACGTAGTAGTAGGGAAGGTTCGAGAGGCAATGGTTTTCTCTGAATACCAAAGTGCTTGATTGATGGAGTTGCCTGGAGAATAATCTGCAGTAGATAGAAGAATAATTTAAGGGGAGAAAAATGATTTTGCAAGAAACTCTAAAAAAATCAAGTGAACAATACTAACAACAATAACAGCAACTTTAGAAGATAAAAAGTTGTAAAATTGGCATTATAAAAAAACCAAAGGTTCAACTATTCAATTTTTTATTTTTTATTTTTTTGAATAGAAACAATTTGTACTCAAAGAAGAAAGGAAACAAAAGAAAGAACAAATAAAACATACAGAAAGAAAGAAACAAAAGCCAGTGAAGCAAAACACACGGCCACCCAAACAGAAAACAAACAGCCAAACAAGAAGACAACCCCTAAGACACTACAGCCTGAAAATTGCGCATAATTGTAGGATAGGGAATATCCTTTAAAGCAGGTGAAGTTGATGCCCAAAGGGCGGCCCAGAACTTCACTCTGTCTCATAATCCTCGAATATTCTCCTCTTGCGTTCCAGCCAAAGGTTCCAGATCACTGCCTGCATCAGACTTCCCCATGATTTAGCACCTTTATCAAGTCTTCCCTCAATCAACTTTATAGGACACTAATAACCATGTGTTGATTTGATAAAGGTGCTAAATCATGAAATCCGCTTAACTATTGAATTAAATTCACAATTATAAACTCACATGATTAATTTGTCTGCGGTAGCATATGGGTGAATTGAGTGTTTAGGTACTTTAGCGGAAGTGAAAACAATGGAAAAAAGAAAATAGAACGAACAAGGATAGGTCTGGAATCACTCCAGGGGTTTGGCTGCACACCAAGAAGTCTCCAATCTCTGGAAAATAAACTTTACTCAATATCTCAAATCTCAACTCCAATAATGAATTACATAGAAGGGGTATTATGATAATCTACCCTTAGAGTGAAAAGGAAAATTAAACTTATTCTAGGAAAGAAATCCTAATCCAAATAAAACAGGAAACTTAGAAATCCTACTGAAATCTGGAAAAACTTAGAGAACCTAGGAACTAACAAATAAATTAGGAAACTAATTAATAATTCCCTCTTCCATCTCTTTCGTTAGTAAACCCTAACGGGTTTGACAAAGATGTCCTCATCGTTGTCTAAATCATTCCAAATTTGAGAAATTTGAGGGTTAGAAGATCTATTCTGAAATTTTCGTAGGAATGGGTCAAATCTTCTGCTTTTTAAAATGTGAGATAATCATAATTTGAAAAGCAAGGATGGTTTTTGGTTAATTAGCACCTCAACCTAATGGAAAAGCTAAGGGATATGAGTAACAAGGAGTACTTGTAAATGCCTTGTAACATGCCCACAACTTCATACTACATTATTGACAGGCCAAACAGTCAGAAAATGCAAGAACAATAAACAATAAACCTTCTAATACTAGAATTTTCTGGTTTCATACAAATGGCATGCTGGACAGACATAAATTGATGTAATCTCTATCAGAGAAAAATTACATCTACATGCATCCCCTGGGATTTAGTGAAAATATTAACCTAACTTTGATAGTCCAATGTTGCATGTGCCATACTAAGAATTTACCTTTTCTTTTGCCAGCACCTCAGAGGAAGCATCAGGTGGTACTGAGGGCCAAACCGCTGGCTTGGGCCAAGGCAGCATGCTGAGTGAAGCACTGTCCAATTGATTTGAAAGGTAAAGCACAAAAATAAATTGAGAAAAACATCTGCAACTTTCTGGTGCATTAAAGCTAATTGTTATGATTACATGTCGAAGCTTGTTTCTAGAATGCTAAAAGTGGTTTTCATCTTCAAAGATTCAATCTGTACCTGTTGCCAGGACTCCTTTCTATATTTGTTCCATATCCAATTAAATATGCAAGCCTCATGAACTGCATAAACATACCTTACATCATTGAGCATTTTATGACAGATAACTTGAAATTAAGAATAAAATATAAATAAAATATCATGACTGTCCTGTGCAGCCACTTAGAATGATATACAACACTGGTGCCAATGCATTCAGTAAAGTGCGAGCATCTCCAAAACAAAGTCGCTAATTAATCTTGATTGTCAGCTGAACAATGGATTTCATTTCACTTGTATCAATACACTCCAAAATGGTGTATTTAAGGTCATCTTGCTTAAAAAATACAAAGAACTTTTACCTTAACCCTGCATAGTGAATAAAGGTCGCCTTGAAGGCGGTAGAACTCCTTTTCTATATCAGGTGCTGCAAGTCCTTCCTTATAATGTGAAGCAGTTGCATTAACTACGGATATGCAAGCCGTTATTACCCAAACTTCACGCATGCAAAAAGGTAGAATATTCTGAAAACAACTCCAAAAGGAGAAAACAGGAAAGGTGGGAAAAAGAAAAGAAAAGAGAAAAGTCAGAAGTGATCATCATGCTAAAGCTCAAGATATGTATGATGTTATGGTGAAAAACACTTCAAGAAAATGAATACCAGATACCTCATGTACTGCCAGAGACTTTGAGAAGCTTATAATGAATGAGTATCCCCTGGCTGCAACTTCAAATGGGCGATTGAGCTTGAATAAAAGCTACATTTAACCATGTATCAGAAGGTGCAGTTCAAATTTATTGTTTCAGCAAAATAGAAAGCCACTGTATGCGTAAACTAGATTTTGAAGGCTCAAATTTTCAACTAATAAAATGACTGCAATGACATGATTGAAATTTGAAATTTGAAAAAGGAAATCCAGTACAAAACATCCCCAAAGGCATCAAGACTTTTTTTTCTTTAGAAAAGCAACCCTCTCTCTCTCTCCCCCACCTAACTTTTGATTTAAATATGCTCCTATAGCGATAGTGCAGAACATTTGCCAAAATTTTGGTCATAGTAACATGTGAACCATCAATCCAATCAATTCATATCTGCTCCCCAAGAGTGCAAAGTTAAATCTAGGGTCAGGGCTATCATGAACTGCTTCAGTTGTTCCTAGGCCATTCATTGCAAGTCATTTCAGACCCTTGAAATGCATTTGGGAAGTGGCAAAACCAGAAGGCAAGCCACCCTGCTTTGGCAACAGCCTGAGCCATGCAGTGCAATTTATGTCAAGTCTTTGAAATGCATCCATGATGCAGCACAGCCAGAAGGCTGGCCACCTGAAAGATTGTTTTTTTTTCTGAATGGTCAGATTATTTTTCTTATATTGAGTAAATAATCACTGATGTTTCTTTTATGCCCTTGGTAAAACTTTTATTCATCACTTGCACCATTTAGTTTACATAACATACTTGAGAGAGAGAGAGAGAGAGAGAGAGAGAGAGAGAGACATGTTGAATGACCTTATTAAGCATCTATCAACACATTTACAAAGCGCTAATTATAGAAATACAGTTGGAATTAGATGGAATGGAGCAACAGTTTACTACAGCATGCTAAATGAAATTTAAACTAATGGATTCCAGCAACCAATAAGCAGAACATTCAAAAGTAAGCCACAGTATTCCATGCCGTATAACATTAGGCTGTAAACAAAGAAAACAGACAGAATCATTTTAAGTGACATCTCTTAGTTCACCAACTCAATTTCACATACCTTTGATTGACAGGCAAACAGATACTGTCTGAATTCAAATTCCCTAAATGAGTCATCTTGAACGATTTGTGTCAATGGTTTGTTTCCAGAATTAATCAATGCTGCCTGATCATCCCCATGGTCAACTCCCCCAAAGTCTTTCCTCTTTCCAGTCATTTCAACTGCGTCAGATGAAACAGAATCACTAGTGGTTTCTTATCCAAAGGAAAAAGAAAGAAATAGAAGAATCCATTGTTGTCCAGAATCTCACCATTCAAAAGCATTAATCTTATGTTAGAATGATGAATTTCCAAGTTTTAATTTCTTTTGGAGTAGCGTGCACACACACACACACACGATCTCGTAGTGACTGATGAGCACACACATTCATGCTCACCAATCACTGGATCATAATCAAATCAAACTTTTCACATTTATAAAATACAAAAGAGTACTTTATTAAGATTTGAAAATTTGCGGATGGATTTTGAGAAAACACACACACGATCTCATAGTGACTGATGAGCACACACATTCATGCTCACCAATCACTGGATCAAAATCAAATCAAACTTTTCACATTTATAAAATACAAAAGAGTACTTTATTAAGATTTGAATATTAGCCGATGGATTTTGAGAAAACACAATTATGAGCATGACTCCCCAGAAAATAGGGATCAAAATTGTGTTCTATGAAAATCATGAATTGATAGAATGAAAATTATGAATGAATCTCAATATCACGAGTAAAATGATATTTACAGCAGTCAATGGTTGCTCATTTTTACAAAACAAGGGCACCCAACTCATGAAGACCGCTACACCTTCATAAAGTAACGTAACATTGACTACACTTGCATGGTCAATTATTTAGAACTTATAAAATGTAGATAAAGTAAAGCTGAAAAGATCCCAAATACATGCATTTGAAGGTGGCATTTGCAGTTCCATGTGAAGATACTATTTTCATTAGGAAACATATATAGAAATCATGACATGTATTACAATGTATTACAACACCAAAAATGCTAAATAAGATATATGCATTACGCACCTGTTTCCAAATAACAAATTTCTAGTTCATCATATTCACGTAATGAATCTTCATGAAGATGAGCAATCTCAAACATAAAAGCCAAGCTTTCCTGAGAAGAGAAGCAACTATAGTAAGAATCCAGAAAGCAGAATCTGATTAATAGCTTAAGTTATATGGATTTGAAGACACAAAGGTTTGTGGGACTTGCGCCTAATAATTGCCTGAAGTAGGATTCAAAATGTACTTTTATAACATAAGTCAAACGCAAGAAAAGTTCTTCCATAAGATTTTAAATACAAGTGATTTATGCATGAAATCCACAACTGATCAAACAATCAGTTAAATCCTATTTTCCCAAAGCAACCTTAATCAAATTCTTCTAGTCCAAAAATTGAGAAAAATGGGAAACCTTTAAAATGAAAAAATTGCAGAAGTTCCAAACTGGCATGAAGCGTTGTTCACTGAGTTTGCGTATCTCATCCTCGTAAAACTGTACACGCCTATCCAATGTATTTCTGATGCACTCCATGATCTTGGATTCCAAGTCTTCCCAAAAGTTTGCTTCAGGGGAATATAGATCGAACTTGCAACACCTAAGCAGAGAATACGTTTGTAAAAATAGAATGATATTAGGTCAAATAAATTCAAACTCAAACAAACTTCTTGTTTTTTTTTCAATACAAGCGATAGTCTAAACTAGGGGAGGGGGATTTCTCACATACACACACTACCAAGGTGCCATGGGGGTTCGAACTTGAGACTAACTTCTTTAATTTTATATTTATCCTTTTGTGATAGTTGGCATCATATTTTATGGTATATAATGAAGATAGTGTAGAGATATCTACTTTCAGACAAAAATCAAAGATTACTATAACTAATACGATTAAAAACTCTGAGCGGAAAATTAGAAAATCACTAGGAGGAAAGGCTTTCACGACTAATCTACTCACATTATACAATATGCAAGTTACTGAAAAGAAATGAAAAGAAAATTTCCACACATACAGGTATTATTAAAACCCAACCCAACCCAATTGTAATTATGCTGGTGAGATGGTCAATATACAATACACGATAAAAATAAATAATAAATAATAAATAAAAAAATCCCCAAGTTCATCTTATAAACAATAATCAAGACATGAAACTAATATCAACAGTCTATACCTTTCTCCGCCTTTTGGCTAAGATAAAGTATAGAATGATCTGTTCCTATCAGTATAATAACAATGTTCTTGTCAAATTTATAGTTACAACCAAAATTCCTCCATATCACATGTTGACTTAGTTAACTACAAAGAAGTTGTGTAACAGTTGAGTATTGTAAAAAATAATGATCTACAGGGGATTTAAATTATACTAATTTATTCCACAAAACAATTGATACACTTCGAGTAGCTCCTGTACAGGCTAGCTAACAATGTAGCATGGGAATTCTGGAACAGAATGAGGTATTACATTTAATATGAACCCAGCATCAAGCTAACTTCTGCAGGCTTCTCACACAATATCATTATAATAAATAAGTTCAGCCAGCCTCTTGTTGGAAATTTTAGAGCCATTTTGAAAACACACACTCTGGAACACCTTTGAATAGAGGGTAAAGAAAACTAGGAAAAGCCTAATGTGCACTAATATTTTCGCACTAACGTTTCTTTTTCTTTTGAATTTATAAAGTTTCTATTAAAAAAAATCATTTATAAAAGTGATCATATGTATATGAAACAATCACAACACCTATTTCTCAATGCTACTCAATCCAACCATTTAAACAAGGAAACATATTTGATTACAAAAGCAGTAAGCTTACCTTTCTCTCTTCTTGGTACTGAAATCAACTTCAAGCTTGGCATATACCTTATTTGCCATTTTGGTGGCTTGATCATTATTCGGGTGAGCCTTGGATACAAAAACAATAAACCATTCCCGTTCATCATTTTGCACAATTAACTTCAGGCGCGGTTTAAGGATGGTCTTGAACTCATCAAGATCCTAATGAATTAAAAGAAAAAAACATAAGTGTTACTGAACAGAAAATTTTGGAAAATTTCCGTCCACAAATGAAATACCAGTACATCAAATTTGCAGAAGACCGTCACCATGAAATAGATCCATGGGGAATTGAACAAGAGACCTACACTTCCTAAGGTGCTTATCTCGGCCCCAAATCCTAACACTGGTCTAACCTCTAGTGTTTATAGATATAAACACTATCTATTGGTTATGAAATAACTACATTAAGATAAATGAGGTGAATGAGATCGAATCTTACCTCACAAGTGACAAGGACTGCAGTTGCATATGGCTCCCGAAACCAAAATAATGATTGCTCTTGAGGGAACCGGCTACGAAGTCTCGAATCGGTGGTTAATATGAACTCAGCAGGAAAATTCTCCACAAACACAGGATTACGGGTCTTGTTATTTAAGCAAGCTCTTTTAAATGGCAAGTGCTCCTCAAATCCATTCTTGACAGTAGGCCACAAGTCGCTCACATCTTCAACTGAAAAAGTGCTCATGGTCAAACTGTTAGGTGAGAAAATGAAGCAAGGCTAATAACACATACCATTACTGCATAAACGCGAGTAGCTATCTGTTTCACTTCTTGCAAATTCAATACGAACTAAGGGCATGATAACAATATTAGAAGAAATTGTTAAGGGATCAACATCCCTTAGGTTATCTATAGGTTTCCATGTCGTGCATTCCGAACATCATAACCATAACTATACAGCTTGTCACTAAACAAATGACTAATGCAGCTCCTCAAACAAATACCAAAATTTAAAACACTTTTTATGTTCTGAAACACCAAACAACAAATTTTGCGCATTGTTCCCATTTGGGGTAGGAATGGATGCCTTTTTCACTGCATTCGGAAACAAAATTACAGAAAAATTGTTCCTGAAAACTCTCCAAATCTGACCCATTACAGGCATCATTCTACAAACACTCAACCAAATGTGCATTTGCTGCACCACTTTAATTGCTTTCCCCATGCTCAGACAAATACGCATTTTTACTTCTACTCTCAGATAGAACTAACACCTTTAATCACTCATAGAGCACCAAATCTCAATTCAAACCTAAAAGTGAGGGAGGTCACTAACGATCACAAAGATCAGTAGCTTCAAATGCGGAAAATGCTTAACAAAAAATAAAGCTCAACAATAAATTTAAGCTCAAATTTGAAATTACAAAAAGAAGGAAAAAAAAACAACCCAGAAAATTGAATGAGATTGCAAAATTGTGAGATTTACCTGCAATCACGAGATGATCAAGGGAATTTTTGATCGTCTGGAACTGAGCAAGATAGTTCGCCATGTTCGACCTCGATCTATACCAAACATGTGCAATTATTCATCACCAACATAGAGAGAGAAAGAGAGAGCTTGAGTGAGGTGGTGGTTGTAAGTGTGATTGCTCTCACTGTCTTATGGGATCGAGTAATGTCGTGTAAATTTCGTTGATTTTGGAGTTTGAAGGTTACGATTTGTTTTGGTGCGGGATGCACCATACTTCATGATTCGCACATTGAATCTGAACCGTTAAATGATCCTACCCTTATCCTCTTTATAATTGACTAAGATGATGGCTTGCATTTTGAGTCTAATTTTGTAAAATTTATATTTGGAATCAATTAAAGTTTACTCAAACAATGTCTTGACTTGATGGTCTTTTGTATGGTATGCTTTATACAAGTGTTTCAAGCTTGTATTAGTAACATTAGTCTTCACTTTATTGAGTATGTTTTAAGTTCAAATCTTGTAGTGAGATTTGAATAGTTGTTTTGTGGTTTATTATTGGAAAATTATTTATCGTATATACTTGTGTGACATCTGTGATTATCGTGTAATTAATAAAAAGCAATTTTGAATTAAAGGAAATAAATACCAAATGAACTTAACATTTTTATTCACATATAACCAATAATTATATTTGTGTGACATCCGTGCATTAATAATTTTTTAGATGATAAGCATTTTTATTGGTGATGAGAACATGGGACGAGGGGATTAGCTAAATGAGACAGGTAATGGGGTTGCTGGTGGTGATGTTGGTTAGGGATCATCATTTGACATGTGGCAAGCGAGTCGAAGTGGGTAACACGAGACTCGATGGGTCAAAGTCCGACCCAACCCTATGGTTAGGCTCGCTCTAAGGTTGAGTATGACTTGGACTTAGGATTTGAAACCCTTAGCCCGACTAGGCTTGCTCGTCTATGCTCTTCCTTTTTTAAGATTTAGTTGATGCACTCTGTAACCTCATTTTATACTTAATCAAAATAATGTAATATGTATGATAAACTAATAAACTTCTTATTTTGTTTGCACATGTTATGAATTAAGTTCATTTTTTTAATGTTGTCTTAAATTTTGTAACAAACAAACAATATATACAGTATATTTTTAGAATTTAATGGTTCAATAAAGAATTTGAAAGTTCATTTTGTTTTCATTAATTATAATTTTCATGATGTCAATACTAGTTTGGGATAGAAGTAACACATTTTCATAAGATTTATTTTTAGGTCTAATTTTGTTATTAAAAAAATATATTGGCTATTGTTCTACGTTTAGTAAAAGAGTTTGACTATTATATTTATGTTTTCTTTAGTTACTAGACTCTTCGCATGCGCTTCCGCGTTTGCAAGAGGCCTTTTTTATAAATTTATAAAAAAAATTTAGAATTAAAAATGATAATGGGTAGTTGTGTTCCATAAAAATATGATTAATTATCTAATTTTTCTTTTAATTTTAATTTTTTAATATGAAAATATGTGAATTTTACCATGTTATCATCATTTAATTACTAATTTTAATTCTTAATGTTTGCATTAACCAATAACATTTTTTGGTATTTTGAATGTTTTACCATTATCTACCTTTTGCTTTATATACATAGAGGTAGTAATCTATACTATTGTTCTGGTAAAAAAAAATATATATATATATATATATATATATATATATATATATATACTATTGTTCAATTTACAGATTTGCCCAATATTTCGCACCCCACCCCTTACGCCTTTGCCTTATCTTCGGGGCATTGTAGAAACTCCACATCCACAACCATACAAACCCCGTCAAAAAAATTCCAGATAGGCTTTAGCGGATGAGGCGCGCCAAAACCTCTCTGCAACTACCAACTTCCATCTCCAGTGAGTCGGTGACCAGTCATGGCATTCCCTTTATCCTCCGCCATCATCTCTCACAAGCTCTCCTTCAATGTCTCCATTGCTCCCTCTACCCGAAGGTCAAGTCTCAAACGAACCCATTTCATATTTTGCTTCAATGGGAAAGACCAAGAAAGATCAGGCCGCTGCAGAGTTCATTGCCTGCCCAAAAATAATAATCTAAAGGTTGGTTTTGATCTTATTCATATACTTGATCACTGGAAATTATGGTTTTTGGGTTGTAGGAATGTATGAAATTATTGCCCTTTGCTGGGTCTTTCTTTTTTTCTTTTGACATGGGTTTTCAGTCATTCAGGAACTCAAAGACCAGCATGGTACTCTTACCAATTCCTACATATCAACTAGTGGAAATACAAACAAACTTCAAAGTCTAATTGCTGTGATCCTTGTGTTTGTCCAAATATCTTCTCCACTTCCTTTGGTTGGTTGGGACGTTTTGCCTATATCACCTGCAAATGCAGTTCTTTATTCTCCAGACACCAAGGTTCCCAGAACAGGAGAACTAGCTTTAAGGAGGGCAATCCCTGCATACACAAACATGAAGACCATACAGGTTATTGATTATTGATTTTAATACATGCTCTCTTAACTTTCACATTAATCAGTTTTGAAACCATATTACTTCCATTCTAGGATTCCCTGGAGGAGATTTTGTATTTGCTAAGAATTCCACAGAGAAAGCCTTATGGAACCATGGAGGGAAATGTGAAGAAAGCTTTAAAGGTATCTGTTGCTTTTTTTTTTGTTGGTTAAGAAGAAATTTGTATGGCATTCATATAACGCTTTTCGAATGGAAGCAACTTTGAATCAAAGGTTGGTTACATAGATTGACACAATTAGGATTTTGTGAGATGTCAATTTAAACTTATTAATTTAAGAGAGTTTCCCCGGATTTTTAGCTGTCATGGGATTTCTCTCTTTTATTTTACAAAATCTTTATGTCTTGAGATGTCAGGTCCCCCAAGGGCCTCAGGCATGGTAGTACCTGGCAGAAAATTATGTACTAATTACACAACTTTTGCTTTATATTGATTGTAATTGTGGTACCATTAAAATATAGAAACCATATTCTCTTTTCATTTATACATCAATCACATTCTTACATTTATATATTACATGGATGCTAGCAGTTAGATTTTACACTTTCTTAGTTCTATTTCCTTACCTTAGATAGCAACAGATGAAAAGGATTCAATTCTGGCAAGCATACCAACAGACTTGAGGGAGAAGGGCTCCACATTATATGCATCTCTTATTGATGGAAAGGTATGTGAAGCTCCCCTAGAAGAACGACAAAGATCATGACAAGGATATTATCATACTATCCTCTTCTTTTATGCCTCATGGCACATGTATGATATCCAACTAAAATAAGAGAAGAAGAAAAGCAATGAAATTATTGTTCACTCTTCCACTTTTTTTTTCCCTTACTCCGGATGGAGGTTTCATTTTTACACATTTTCTGTTTATTCTTTCAGGAAAAATTTCAGTTGACAATTTTTTTCCGGACATTTTTAGGGAATTGGCTAGATGTCAAATTCTATAATAGGAGTAGAAGTTCTGTTTTCTGAAAAAACCCTTGTTTACATTGCTCAAAATATACTATAAATTTATACACTTTCTATAGCCTAGATGCCCATAAGAAACTATGGAGAAGAAAAGAAACAGGAGAATAGATGTATGGCTCTGCATGTTACTTGACATAGTTATGACAAATAGGTTATTATGGTACACTGCAGCAACTGTAAGAATGTTGTTTAATTTCTCCTAGTTTTCAGAATGGATTGCAAGCTCTTCTTGCATGTATAAAGGATAAAGACCCAGATAAAGTATCAGTAGGCCTCGCATCTTCACTGGATACCATTGCTGAGCTGGAGTTATTACAGGTAATACAACCAATCTATACCATTGGATTACTCTTTTATACAAATAACTATTTTATAACGGAATCAACATATGGAAGCCTCATCAAAAGCATAGTATGATTCTATATATAATTCCTAGAAAATTACTGCTGCAGTCATGCTATATGGAAACACGCATTTTTAATATCTTTTGCCTGTGGGAGTTAATTATATTATTAGGACAATGTGACATGTCTAAAATCTCAACTTGATATTTGATTCTTCTCAACAGGCTCCAGGCTTGTCATTTTTGTTACCCGAGCAATACAATAGATACCCGAGGTCAGTTCTGTCTCAATAGGTTTTTTTTTCCTAAATGATATCTTTTTCTCTTTCTGGGTGATGATATTTCATTCCACTGAAATACCAAAATTAAACCTTTTTTAGTCCTGGTCAATTCAAACAGTTCTCTAACAAACATATCTAGATATATAATTCAAATTTTGATACATTAGCCATCGTAAAAATCATTTTGAATGTTGTTAATGTAGCTGATTATGATCTTTTTGTTAGCTAGATATTCATTCTCGGTCCAATCCCTAATAGTTTAAGTTGGGGTCCAGTGGTTGTCTAAGACTAACACGATATCAGATCTCTGATTGCAGAAGATCCTAGGTTTGAAACCTGTAATCCCCATTCCCCACTTCTTTGCTGATTTGCATGGTGCAGGATGGAGATGCACCTACGTTTCTGTCTGTATTTCTCTGTCTCTCCACGTCCAGGATGGGTTGTGCGTAAAGGAGGGTGTTAGCTTGATATATATTGTTGGCCCATCCATCCCTAAGGTCCCAGTGGTTGTCTAAAACTTTTGAAGTGGGTTCTTTGGAGCTGGTTGTTTATATGTAGCATGGATCCCTAGACTAAGGAGTATAATGATGCAAAGGGAAAAACTTGAAATATATATGAGTTTTCTGGATGTCCAAGGGAAACTGTATTGGTCTGTTTTACAAGGGTTAAAATGTGACTCCATCTGTCTTTCACATCAGTCTTGTATAATTTGTTTAGACTTGGGTATATGTTTGAGATTGAAGTTTGGTCTCCATGTTCCGCTCTCTCTTTGACATACAACTGACTTACCAAACCTATGTTTGAATGACCTCTACATGTGCAATAAATAGGCTTTGCAATGACATCATCTGTGCTGTAAGTAGAATATCAATATTTTCTTTTAATACTTGTAGGCTTACAGGGAGAGGAATTGTTGAATTGACCATAGAGAAAGGTGATGGTTCAACATTTTCTCCTGAAGCCGGTGGTGAACCAAGAAAGACTGCCAAAATTCAGGTATAAATTTTATAGAAGAATGATGATCTTAAGTTCCATCGTGTTCAGATTCTTAATGAATGAGTCAGTATTTTTATTAATAGTGTTATTTGAAAAATATTTTCACCCTATCAAGACTCGAGAGACCTAATATACCTGCTACAGTATTTGATTTCTGGGTGCGGAGCATGGCAATGAATAGACCAGTATCTAGTATCCAAAATGGATGCCTGGGCTGGGCACCCACAGGCGACTATTGGAAGCAACATTCAATTGTGTGAAAATACGTACTTAATGTTGATCATTATAGAAAAAAATGAATGTTGATTGCCAGTATTATTAATTTGATGTAAACTGATCGTTAACTTTTGCTCAGGTTGTTATAGATGGATATTCAGCACCATTAACAGCAGGGAATTTCGCAAAACTGGTAAGGTAGTTGAACCTCACATTGGCCTCATGAAATTTTCTATGTTCTGTGCATGAATGTTGCTTATTCTTGTATTTTGGCTTCATCGCCGCTGTTGTTCATCCAAACATCAACTAGAAGTGGCCAGAAAAAGAGGCTGAGCAGTGTGACTTTATCTTCCAATTTTCTCATAACGATGCTATCTAAATTTGAGTCTTTGGTTCTAATAGTGCTTGTGACTTTCATATGAATTTACCTTGGTGAAGTGTGCTTAAACAATCTAAATTTGCATTTCTTCAGGTAATTGATGAGGCATACAATGGGGCAAAGCTCCGCTCTACTGACCAAGCTGTTCTTTCAGACAACGGTCCTGACAAGAGCAATGGTTATAGTGTTCCTCTAGAGATAAAGCCATCTGGGCAATTTGAGCCCTTGTACAGAACAAAATTAGATGTGCAGGTATCTTTATGCTTTCATACTATTACAACTCCATCAATTGTGATCAACAAAATGATTTCCCTGTACGTAATTATTTTGAATAGTTGATTCACATTTACTCTTTTTTTTTTTGTTCTTCTCCTCATGGAAGGATGGGGAATTGCCAACTCTTCCACTATCTGTTTATGGAGCTGTTGCTATGGCGCATAGTGAAGTCAATGAGGAGTACTCATCGCCGTATCAGTTTTTCTTCTATCTTTATGATAAAAGAAATGTAAGTTTAAGTTAATCAAAGAACTGGGGTTCTGAAAAGCTTCAGAGTAACCATTAAATTTTAGAAGTTCAAATCCATCAGATGTTTCATGATTCTTCCATCTTACAGTGACATTGTTGTTTTCTTCTTCCTTTTTGTGTCATCTGATGTACATGTACCTTTATCTTATAGGCTGGCTTGGGAGGGTTATCTTTTGATGAAGGAGAATTCTCAGTTTTTGGGTACGTGCTTTTTTATTCCCGAACTGTTCTTGTAGTTAACCAAACTCAGGGTTTGGATAAAAATATGCAGGGTTTTTCCTTTTTGCTATGTAGTGATTATACATGCATAAATATGCAGATATGCAACTGCTGGGAGAGATATTCTCTCACAGATAAAAACAGGAGATGTGATTCGATCTGCAAAGCTGATCGAAGGTCAAGATCGTCTTGTATTGCCAGATGAGAAGTGATTTGCTCTCGTCAACCAGGACTCCCCTTCATTCTTTGTATTTGTTGTATTTTAGAAGGAAGCAGCCTGATTTTCTTGGTGCAGGTTGTGCTGTCAAGTTTCTGCATCTTTTTTTTTCTTCTTTCTGGTTTCATGTGTCACTTGAATTATGCTGTTTCCATTTGAAGTTCGAGTTTCTCCTGTGAAAATTGAAAACTGTTATTGTTGTCCTATCTAGTAAGTTTCCATTTTCTTCCGTCTTCAAAGATTTGGTAGAGCATTAATTTTGGTTCTTGTTTTTACCATTGTTGGCTTGACAATGCTCTAATTTCGTCTCAAACTTTTTATCCTATTCTTCCAGAAAAACTGAGTTTTGGAAGTCCATGCTAGCGACGCAACACTAGGTATTTCAATATTGTATCTTAGGTTTTCCTTGACATTGTGTGGCTTGCTTTGCTTTGCCTTGCCGCATGACGTGGCTTCCCTTGCCTTCTCTTGACATGGCGTGCGGCTTGACTTGCTGACCTAATTTAGGTTCTAATTTTTACTCTTCCGTCGACCACATCAACATACAACAAATGAGAAATATTTTGAATTCGACCAAAAAAATAAGAAGACAAATATTCGAACTAATTGAAAGTGAGCTTCTTTTTAGATCAACCACACAAAAGTGGAAAAGTCATGTACCATGAATTATATAGCAAATAATTCAAAAGGAAACAAACAAGAACATGTATTTGTATTAAGCATGACCATGTAAACTCGATTGGCATACAAAATTGCAGCCAAAATAATGTGTTTGCAAAATTATCTAGATTACGAAAGATTTATCTGGAATCATTGGTATGAGATTTTTTCAGATGTGTAGCTTTCATTTCCAGAGTGTTTCGTGGGCCCAAGTGAATAATTAATGGATTGAAAATGGTTGATGGATCAGAGGGGACCCACACAGTGATTCTAGGGCTTGGTATCTGGGTGACTCGTGTTGTTGAAGAATCTCGTAGAAAATAATAAAATGTCTGCTGAATTTTTCTCCATAGTGAATTCGAGCTTACGACATCTTTCAATATTTGCAAAAGCTAATCTACACAAATTTGAATGTATAATTTTTCCATTCCTTAACTAGATTGCAATGCCGACTCTGGATAACTTAACTTGCATTATGGACCGACTGTATAACTTTATTTTTATTTTTATTTTGGCAACCAGGCCGACGTTGTATAACTTGCTTGCATAACATCCTACGACACCGTTTCCCTTGGAAATGCGAAGGTCAACTTCCACATGTTCCTGTTCGTATTTGTTAATTATTAATTTATCGAATTGTTTTATTATCAAACAATCACCTTTCTTATGTGGACTGCATTTCATCACGATTCACCCACAAAATCAAGATCGTCAACATCACACCTCACAATAATGTTCTACACCCCATTACTTGTACCACTGATCAGACTCAAAACCCCTAATCACTGTTCATCTCAAAGCACCGTTCAAATCAGACGGTGATATGAAAGTAAAATCATACACTCCAAAACACATGATCATAACCCCCACCACAAATGGGCAACTACCATATTAAAACCAATCGTCTTCACCGTTCCAACGCGGAGAAACAAAGAGGCAGATACGAAGCTTTAGACTCAACTCGGTCTCTCCCAACTCAGTCTCAGCAACGGCCATGGCTTCCATCCACTCCATAGCTCCCCAGAGCTTCCTCCCTCTCCCAAACTCCAAACCCAGAAACCCCACTAATGCTCACCCAAAACCCATCTTAAGCTCCAATCTTTGCAGCTCCAAACTCTCAAAGAACCAAACTTTCCTGAGAAACAAACGGAAAGACAGGTGGATTTTGAAGTCTCTGGTTGATCAAGAAGAGTGTGATGTGATCCCACTTCAGAGCACTGACTGTACGGACCAGCAGGAAGGGATGGCTGTGTGCAGGGTGGAGTGTGAAGGTGTGGAGGGCGAGTTGGCGAGTCAGGTAGGTGGGTTTGGAGCAAGTGAGGGAAGGCTTTCCTTTGAAGGGGCTGGTGGGTTTGGGTCTTCTGGGGTTGGAAATGAGAGGGAGAGTGAGGAATTTGAGAGGCTCGTAGATAGGACTATCAATGCCACTATTGTTCTCGCAGCTGGTACTTTTGCTATCACAAAGTTGCTCACTATTGATCAGGATTACTGGCATGTGAGTCAAGCTCTTTAGTATTTAATTGAATTTTTATTTATTTCCATGTGATTTGGTTTTGTTCAATGTGTGATTCTAGTATTCTGTGGCTTGCTGTGTGAGAATTTGAGGTGAAGTTGGTTCTTAGTTAGTTTGTTTTTTTTTTTTTTTTTTTTTTTTTTTTTTTTTTTTTTTTTTTTTTTTCTTCATGATTGTTTGTTTTTTCTTTTAGGTTGCTATTCTTTCGGGTTAATTAACATTAGCCGCTTTGATGGTGAGCTTTTATCAATTGCCTGCATTGCTTTTTTCTTTGAGTTTGTGCTCTCGGAAGTTGGAGTGCGAAGGTCAAGCATTTTCAATTTATTTGGTGGAAGTTGGGCAGGTCGCCTGTCTTATGATAAATGTGTGAAAATGTTCTAATTATAGGGGAATCCTTTGTCGTGGATTGATGCTGTATAGTCAAATTTTGAAGTGATGCTGTTGCTGTCTTTATATGATCATTCACGAGGAAGCAAGAGTGAAGAGAAATTCTATAACTTACATGGAAATAATGAAGTGGATATTGCTTTTGAAGGATTGTGATTATTCAAACTTGTTAAATCCGATAGGAAACATGATCTGGAAATGTTGTGTCAAATCAGGGATGGTTTTGCACTATAGAATAACAATCACGGGGAGCAATAAGGACATATAATTGCAAGGGATGGAAGATGAGATTAGTTAGTTGCTTGTGAGGCTGAAAGAAAAAAAAAAGACAATAAGAGAATTTGGTGGGGGACTAGGAGATTGCTGCATTTTCTTAAGTTGAATTTAGTGAAGAGAACTTGTCACTTATGGTTAGAGTGGTATGAAGCAATATGTTTGGTCTGGTCCAATTAGTTCGTAGTTATATTTAGAAAATTTCATTATAGGTTGCGATTTGTGATTTGAATGTCTTGATTTTATGATTTTCTATGTCCATGTGCACTGCCCTTGTATCAATTTGTCTGCGGGGATTTATGTGTTGGTACTCTTTTCAGGGTTGGACTCTGTTTGAGATCCTAAGATATGCACCTCAACACAACTGGAGTGCTTATGAGGAAGCTCTCAAGACTAACCCAGTTTTAGCCAAAATGATGATTAGTGGTGTGGTGTATTCTATAGGGGATTGGATTGCACAGGTGTGTTGGTGTTGTGAATTAAAACTATTTGAGTCTTCCAGTTGGTGAAGGTTGTCCTTGACAGTGCATAATGCTTGTCTTATGATTTTTGTAGTGCTTTGAAGGAAAACCTCTATTTGAGTTCGATCGTACACGAATGCTCAGGTCAGGTCTTGTTGGATTTACTCTCCATGGTTCCCTCTCTCACTACTATTACCAGTTTTGCGAGGTAAATTTCTTGTGCAGTTGTTTATTTTTAGAATTTAACATTTAAAAAAAATATTCCTGGGGTTCCTTAACCAACTTAAACTTGTTTCAGGAGCTTATTCCATTCCAAGACTGGTGGGTGGTTCCTGCCAAAGTAGCCTTCGACCAAACTGTATGGGCAGCAATTTGGAACAGCATTTACTTTACCGTTTTGGGATTTTTGCGTTTCGAATCACCCATCGATATTTTTAGTGAACTGAAAGCGACATTCTGGCCCATGCTGACCGTAAGAGAACCCTCTGCCTTTTTATAAGAAAAAGTACCACCTTTCATGCTCTGTTGACTGTTTACAGTAAAATTACTTGCAATCTAATTCATTCTCATTTCATGCCCTCTAGCTTGTGGGCAATTGAAAAGCCAGGATCATCTGGTGTCTTTTATCAATTAGAACTTGAATTGCTAGTTTTTTCGATTTTTGGAGCATGGTTCTGTCACTTTTCAATCAAATAATGTTTGCGCATTCGACTATGTATTGGCATTTATATTGTGTCAGCTGTTTCCTGTCCATGTAGTTTTGAACTTTGTTTTTTCTTGCTGCAATGTAGTATTAACCTTGACAACCAGTTTTAGACAATAATGTTTGCTTTGCAACTGTTCTTGGCTCAGCAATCAGTGCATATATGGTCCAGCTGAGAAAATTTTTGTCAACACTAAACTCTGAAATGTCTTTTCCTTCCTGAACTCCCAAACATCACCTTCCTAAAGTCTAAAAGACACTGTAAGGAAAAGCAGGGCTATTTAGAGAAATAAAAAGTGCTTATTTTTTATGGTCCGGGTCATGTGTCAAAAGTGCTGCTAGCTTTAGCAGTTATATATTCCTTGTTTAAAGTTTGGGTTAGAAGAACATGTAATTGTTTGACCATTGAAATCTTTCTGGAATGTAATTTCTTATGCAGGCTGGGTGGAAACTTTGGCCATTTGCGCATCTTATTACCTATGGTGTGATCCCTGTCGAACAAAGGCTCTTATGGGTGGACTGTGTAGAGTTGATCTGGGTGACTATACTATCAACGTAAGTATTTAATATTGATTATTTGTATTTTTCACTAATAAGCAGAAAAGATTGAAGATCATGACTTTCTTTCCTCCTAAAAGCCAGAGCTAAATAATTACCCTCACAAAAATTATTCATGTTTTTCTTTCGTATTTGGTGCGTATAAAAAAGGGTTTTGTCTGGCAGAACTAAATTGTGCACTGTGGTTGATGTTTTCTTCATATAAAAGTTGGTTTCAGAAGTTTAGTTTAAAAAATCTTACAAATTTGAGGTATATATGATGTCCAAATATGTGGCAGATAAAAGCGTCTACTATATATATTGCTGCTTTTTCTATAGAGTGAATCTGGTTTGGAAGGGTCTGGTCACTTTTTTTGGCCACATTTTGTTTTGCTCTCAATTTCTATAGGAAAAGATTCCACCATGAAATATTTTGGGAAAACTTAAACTTAGGTATTTGTCGGGCTGCAGCATCTTTTTATCATTTCTTGCGTAGGTTTCATGTCTAACATGGCTCAAAATTTCTGTTTGCCAGCTATTCAAATGAAAAATCAGAGGCAAGGATTTCTGAGGCACCAGTTGAAGCAAATTCCAGTTCTTCAAACACAAGTCCTCTTGAGGTATATACAAACCCTTTTACACTGATTTTATTGAGTATGTAAGAGCTGCAGATTACAATTTCTGATATGCTACAATTTGTCTTCTTCCCCTTCATCAGGAGTAAACAAATCAAGAACAACCAAAAGATCAAAGAGGAATTCTTACATGAAAGAAATGGGCAAGTTAAGGTGTAGAAGAAGATCCACTTCGCAACGTACCGTGACATAAAAGATGAAGTGCCTGGCAATGTGGATATATCCCTGGGCTGTCTGATTATGGTATATATATATATACATACTGCATCAATCTCAGAAACATGCTTGTGCACGTTAAGCGATACCGTTCCGCCCCATATTTATGCATCAAGACCCTGGTATATGATCATTTAACTAAGTAATTCAACGACCTTAAAACAGAAAAAAGAAAAACTAATTAATGTAAAGGTAACAAGATTTGTATAGCTTGACAAAAGTTGGATACAAATCTTTCTGATTCGGATATGCTGTCACGTTTTAGAGGCGTCTTCTGGCTTAGTGGTATTTGTTCTCTGTCACTAGAGTATCAACTGGCGCTTAATAATACAACAGGTGATTGTTTAAGCAAAATCATTTTAGTTCCTCTGTTCTATTAACAAATTCTAACAAATTAAGAAACTGTTGGAAAAGAAATGCAACCATGCATTCCCAAGTTAATATCTCCTTAGAAGGCATTTTCAATCGTTTGGTGATCTGATCTTGTCATCAATCATATTCAAGATTCACCTCACTGGCAAGATTTGTGACTGCTTTTAGAATGACTAAAAACGCTTATAGGTTGTAAAAGTGCTTTCTAGAGAAGCACATTCCACATGCTTCTTCAGTGAAACAGTTTGGTTTTTAATAAAAAATTAATTGCGCTTCTAATAAAAGGGATTATGGACATATGTGCTTCCTACGCCCTTAGTGAGAAATCACTAGTAAAACTACCAACCATGTCAAACTGTTGCCCAATCATATACAACATTGAGCAAACTGGTCTTGTCCTTTGCCTCTGTTCCGCAAATTTTCCCAACGATGTCACCTACCAAGACAGTTGAAAGTCTCCTGATGAAGACCGTTCGATTTCTTGAGTGTCTCTGGACTCCATCTTTGGTAAAAGTTGGTTTTCTTACCTCGACCCATAAAAGCGTAAAGGATATTGAACAGTACTGGTAGCATGAGGTGTTGAAGAATCAAGCCAAGCCCAGGACCCAAGCATTTTCAAGGCCGTAGTCGATGAGGTACAGTTGAAACGTGAACTTCTTATAAGATTGTAAAGAGTTTGTGGCGTAAGTAATTAAGAGCGTTACGAGCAAGTTAATGTCTCAACTAATCCTCAATATAGCAACGTGTTGATTATAGAGCATCTTTATTTAGGGAGGGTACACTAAATGATGGGTTGAAATAGTATAATTAGTTAAACTGTCAAGTCGTACTAGGCAAAACAAAGCAAATTATGATATGTGCAGAGAGGAGATGGATAGACAAGAGTCTTTCACGGCCAAAATCACAGATTGGTGAATAATATCCTCTAAAGAATAACAACAGAAATAAATTACAAGCCCAATCTTTTTTATGTACGTACAAAAACATGAATTTTTTTGCAGCTAGCTCCTCCTTTAAGCCATAGACATGTTAGAGAGCCGACTAGGCGTTGGTTGGAAATTCCACCACCGAAGACTTAAGCTTCGGTTTGGTGTAGATCTCAACGCCCTCCTTAACACCTCCTTGTTTGCATTGTTCCTCCTCCACTTCTCAGCCCCCGGCACTGCATACCCGTGCGGGCTACAGCGATTCAGCCTGGGACGATTCGTGCAGGTGCATGCCTGCACTCGAGGCCTAGGGGATGATGAGGAGACCATACAACTGCGCCTAAGACCACGATTTGTTCCCTCTGTCTTGCTTTGTACACTGAGAGTCTGTAGCCTTTCTCCAATGTTATGTTTGTAGTGGTGAGAGCTCCTTTGCATTTTGTAAAGCCAGGAAGAGAAACAAGTATTGTGCTTTGAATTGAATGTGTTGTGATGATACCAAATGACCAAGATGCTTAGCTTTGGAGTGTTCGATGCTCATAAGTTTATATGCTTGCAAATGAGAGCCTATATTTAATGGAAGACTTTTTCTCAGTTCAAAACGGTTGGGCTCTCCGAGTGTTTGACCAGTTGAGATATTATATTTCTCTTCGGCTTGGTGACCAATTTGAAGACTTGGTCTAGAAGATGAGACTTTTATTCATTTTTAAAAATTTTATATTTGCACGCATAGGAGCCGTGACATTTGAATAGAAGTCTTGGCAAACTTGATGAATGTTCATCGAGACATGTCAAACACCTTTACATGTTTGATTATGACATATTTGGTCCTTGTAAGTTGGGCCTGCCTGGTATGACCAACCTATACTGCCAGCTTAGTACTGTAGGTTATGTGGTTCTTATTTCTCCAAACTCTTTTCGCTAAAATAATATTAGCTCCAATCTTTCCACAAAAGAAAACAATATGGAGCTCCAATATTTTTCTTCCCTTTTTGGGCATCATTACTTTTTCCATTGCCATTATAATCAACGGTACTAATACGTTCACGCTCTAATGAGTGATTGTTAGTTAATGCAAGTGAGTCTCACAATACATTAATCATTGCTATTATAAAAAAGGATTTTTTTATAGAAATGTCACGTAAACTTATACCTTAATTTCAATTTGTCACTTAAAAAAAAATTTAAGAGAAATATCATCTTAATTTTTTAGAATCCATGATTTGTCATCTGACTTTAACACTATTCAATTTTAAAGATATTTTAGTCTTTCCATATTATCAAGGAAAACAAAAACCTCTCCCCCTTTCTCCCCTACCCCAAACCCACCCGCCCCCAAAACACATCGCACAAGATCCCGCCCTCCTCTCTCTCTCTCTCTCTCTCTCTCTCTCTCTCTCTCTCTCTCTCTCTCTCTCTCTCTCTCTCTCTCTCTCAACAAAGCCAAGAATGAGCTTGTTTGGTTTCTAATTTCTCTAGACCAATTGAAGAATCTATTATAATATTGGCAAAGCTAGAGAAAAAAATAAATTTAGCCTAGCCCTATATAAATTCATGATTCCACCCTTGTTTGGTGGGCTGAGGGAATTTGTTTGTGGAGGGTAGGTGTTCCATGGTAGAGAGAGAAAGAGGGAAGGGGGAATGGATTTCAAGGTGGACAGGGTTGGTTGGAGCCGCCGGTGGTGCGCAAGGGATGATGGAATGTGAGAATTTGTTTTTTTAATTTTAAATGTTTAAAAGATATACAATTTTTTTTAATAATGAATTTTCCATTTTTAAAATACCATTGAAAATGGAAAAACTAAAATACCCTTAAAAATGGATGGAAAATTGAATTGTGTTAAAGTCAGATGACAAATCATGAATTTTGAAAAATTAAGGTAACATTTCTCTTAAATTTTCTTTAAGGTAACAAATTAAAACTGAGGTATAAATTCAAGTGATATTTCTTTAAAAATTTCTTATAAAAAAAATTGTATGCATGACATAACTTCATACTTGCCAACAATTTCTGTACCATGCATTAAATATAGGGGATTGGGTAACATGGGATTGAATTATTACTTCAGAATCATTGTCAAATTTTGGGCGATTGCCAAGTTAGACTTTTAGGCCACTTTATGTATGTTTACTATCCAAAGAGAATAATGCATAAAGAAAATGGTTTTATTGTGTGGCTTATGATATTTCCACTAATCTGTCTTATTTTCTTACTCACTTTAATTTTGAAATTTTAAAGATAAATTTATCCCTTTATAAAATGACTACACGCACGCACACCCATATTTTTTTTTGGTTCAAAATCCACACCCATCTTCATACCCAACCCACCAAACAAAACGAAATCAACATCTTTCTCTCCATGTGTTCTTCATAAATTAGGACCCCGAAGAAAACCTAAGCTTACAAACTCCAGTTGCACATAATCCAATCATTTTTCTTTCTTCTCTAACTCTAAAGCTCAAGCCGTCCCATAATTGGTTTCTTTCCCCATTCAACATATAAATTTGAATAAACACAAACTTATCCTTCCACCCACCATTATTCCTAAAATACCCTTTAATTATATTTTCATATTTGCTATTACAACAACAACAAAAAAATTCAATCATGCTCTAAATGTGGTATAGAATTAATTATAGTTAGCCGATCGAGCACCAACTTCATTAATTTGAAGCGCCATTCGTTGGTTGTGAGAGGGAAGGCCCTAATCTGGTGACCTTTTTAGCAGGGATGTAGCTTCATTTATCGAGTGATCAAGATTTGGACCAAATGATCATTTTGGGTTGGTTTGGTCTGAGTTTCTGAGGTCTCTTAATTTGGTTATGGCGTTCTTAAATTTTGGTTTTGGCGTTTTAGGGTTTGAGTTACTCCACTAAACCCAATCCGAATGCTAAAACATGTAAACAAAACAAAGTACATATCATATTCTGAGTCATTAGGTCGATGAAATCCAACAGTTAAATAACAAACATCTTATATGAAAAATGGAGACTAAGTAAACTATAACATTATGCCATTTTCATAAAGTCATTAGATAAGGATATGATACATTTTCTCTATAAACAACATGTTGATTCTGTTTATAATTAAATATATGATCTGGATTGACAGACGAGACGATATAACATGTTATATTGTAAAATAAGATAATAGTATCTATATTTTTTTAACCAAGTTTAAGTTGGTTTCATGCAGATAAACTACAGTAGCATGCTAAGTTGCAACTGAAAATGAAAATCTGAATTAGGTCATTTCGGTTACCATCAACAACCTCTACGAACCAAACCAAATAAATTCAGATTGCAAACCTACCTTTTGGCATCAACAGGATCTTCTTTTTGGTAGATAGAGAGGGCCTAGGAAATGTGAGATCAATCAAGAACTGTCCCACACATTAAATTCAACCACAACTGTTTTTCTCTCTTTATCTATCTGATTGATTTATCCAACTTCAATTTATTTTTTGTCTTCTATCACGGAAAAAGTCATGAAAATGAAGGCCAATAATTAATTTTAATCATACAACTAATCTTTATAGCGACGATATAAGTATTTGCAATACTAAAACGTAGCAATAGGCTTGTAGTTTATTAGGTAGTCAAAAACTGTTTATCCTTACAACTGATGTCTTGTGTTCGATTCTTATTTGTTTCACTATGACTTATATTTGTGTTTGGGCCTATTTTTAGGTAAACAATTTGTATAAAAAAGAAAAATGTAATGTAATGTAATGTATGTAGCCAGATTTATTTATGGTGGGTTTCTAGGCTTTGGAAAAGCATCTTCCACAAAAGGGATCAAAGAAGAAGATAATAGCGCATTTTCATGATCGCAATATCTATACCAAAATTAAGCAGCCATGATGCGAAATTTAATAAAGTTATTTTGTACTCTTTCCTCAGTGAGGAATGTAATTAAAGGGTATTTAATTTGTGTGGTTTAAAGATAATGATTCCTTTAGATGATTGCAAGAAATGGTCCCATGTGTGCATAGTCAGCAAAAAAGAAAAGCCATTTGTGAGGGTGAGATGAGGTAGCCTCTTGTCAATTTCTGTGACATCAAGGTCATGGAATATACTTGTAACGTCTTATCAGTCTAATGAAAGAAAATGACACTCACACTCTCAAATATCTGCAAAATCTTTTTGGGGATAAAAAAAATCAACTTGTAGATTAATTCAAGGTTTTGTCATGCTTGTAGATTAATTCAAGGTTCAGTTAATTTCTGAGAAAGTCATGCTTTTATCAAAAGCTAAGTTCATGCAAAATTCCATCAACTTCTCCTCCCACAAAAAGAACTTCAACTTTCTACGACCAAACTTTTGTTTCTTTAATTATATTATCTTATTTTTCTGATGGGTTCTTTTTTATTTTATATATTATTATTTTCAAATGAGTGATATCATGTCGGTAAGTTTCATATGTTACAAGGGATTGAGTAAAATGACAACTTCAATTTGATTGGAGATGAAGCATCTTTTGGAGCCTGGATAATGAGAGAAATCGATGAATCAAAGGTTAATAGTGATACTTAATTAGTATTTGATTTTTCTCTCAGGACCAATAGTGGAATGACAGATCACCTAGTCTAATCATCACTCCTAAAATACTTCTTGGAATAAAAAGTACATAGAAGGTTAATCGTGAAGTGACTCGCTGTCTCACAAAGGAATTAACACTAATAATCTTATAGATACTGCTTGCCTCATTCACGGTAAGGAGATATTTCTCCTTCATGCGAATTACAAAAGTAGTTCATTAAAAACATAAATAAAAAAATAAAAAATTTATGCACACATATCACACTATTATTGACAGGTATGTATGAACTCTTACTTATATGGTAAGGAGGGAAGTATTTTCCTAATCTTATTATCAACAGTGACAATTGATAAAACTTATCTGAAGAATGAAGATAAGTATAAAAACAATAATGTGTGATCAAAAAGTGACGGGACCCCAGTTTGTTCGTACTTCAAATTAATGACATGTTTATATTCTCTTCCAACTAATTATTGACTAAGAATCATTTCTTGTAATACTAATTTCCTTTTGATCATTTTGTGTACATATCACTTTAAAATTTAACTTGGAAAATTTGAAAATATATGCACATATATTCAAGTTCTACAAATCTCGGATTGCTTCCTACTTGAAACATGGGAAAATAATTAAATATATAGAAATATATTTAATTATATATATAGAAATGATTCTACACACACATATATATATATATATATAAATGCTCCTATGCGGACATCTGGACGTTATTATCATACGAACACTAAGTATTTTGTATTATCCCTCCCTGATTTCCTACCTATTTATAATAGTATATGCACGATAATAACATGAGGACATCCGGATAAGAGAATAGCTGATATACAGAAATGCTCTATATGGACATCCATATATTATTATCATGTGGGACACCATGTATTTTATACTACCTTCTCTGATTTCCTGCCTGTTTACAATAGCATCTGCAAGATAATAACGTGAAGACATCCGGATAAAAAAAATAACTGTGTGTGTAAATATATATATATATATATAATATGTGTATAGAAAAAAATTTGAAAATATGGAAAATTGAAATGATAAAATATAGATAATTTGGAGTTGCCTTTCAGATTACATGTTTTTCTTTTAACAATTTACTCAGACAGATGAGGAAAGGCAGATAATGATGTATATTTGGGAGGAAAAAGAAAAGAAATCCTTACCTTCTAGGGGTTCATGGTGTTCAATGTGAGAGAAAGCCAAAAACCAAGTAATAGCAAACTAGTTCCTAGCTAGCATATAGTTTATCTGATCACAATAAATTGATCATGGAGTAATTCAAATACATGATAACAAAAATTTAAAAGAAGATTACAATTATTGTATGCTTTAATTTATATAATATAATTGTGAAGAATTCATGTTGTTCTACAAGATGTTCTAATAATATACAAGGTCGGAATAAATCCTACATAAAAATATAAATATAATCAAACTCTTTTATTTTTTCTACAACAAAAGCACCTCATCACCTTTTTTACCCTGTTCTTCTCCTATATATATATATATATATATATATATATATATATAAAGAGCAAAATATATGTATAGAGTTATATATTTGCTATCATGGCCTCACCTGAACTTATAGCACAGCTACCCATTTATGCTGAAAGGAAACTTGAGGCCACTCTCATCTTCATCATCTAGATTCTAGACTGTTTAATCAATTTCCTAACAAACAAAATCTCAATCCCCCAATATTCCAAAATCTATACAAACTAATTAATAACAAGAGTATATCCTTAAATATAACATCATTAGCCTCATGAGCCAATTGATACCTACAAATTCCGATCACATAACGCATCCGTCGATCGATCGATAAATCTCCGGTGCTAGCTAGCAAGAAAGCTTTGCTTAGCCATAAATAATCACCATACACCAACCAAACCATCTATCCCAAATTGGACTCAGAAAACCAATTCATCCCAGGAAGCTGATACGGCGTTCGAAATAGGCCATCACCAAGGGATCCTAGCATTGCATGCTGGTGCAATGGAGGTGTCTGTGGAAGCTGAGAGAGCAAGTTGGCAATAGAAGTAGAATTGTTATTAGGAGCACCATTAATCCCATCGCTGGCAGAATTATTAGTACCACTGTCCAATTGGTGCAGTTGTACCACCCTCTTGCTTGATGAAGCCCCAGCCGTTTGATCATCCTCCTGATCATTCCAGTACAAGGATGGGACTATAGACCGCTTTAGAGGCAGCTGACTAGTCCCGTTGGACAAAGAGGCCGATCCGTTGGTGCTGCTCATTATCCCATCAAAAAAGATTTGGTCATTTTCTATGAACGGCGGTCCATAATTTGTGTCAGATTTTGGAAGGTGCAGGTTCATATTCTGGTGATGGCCCACATGACTTATGGATGGTGGCATTAATGGCCCCATCATGTCCTCCATAGAGTCTTCTCTTTCAAGATCCATAGGCCTATGCGAATTGTTCTTCTTGTAAATTCTACACAGCACCCAATCATCAAGCTACACACAGATCCACCATATCAAGTCATTTCCAAATCAGATCAGAATAATTTAAACCAACATCCGTAAACCAAACCAAAAGCAAAAAACCAGATTTATTAATTTCACTCAATTGCTTAATTACACACTAACTTACCCTCAATGAGTTCTTCTTGTTGCCCAAGTCACACCCCGGTGGCTTGTTGCTGGTCTTGTTATCAGCCAGCCTATACTCGTGCATAATCCAATTGGTTTTAATTCCTTTTGGGGGCTTCCCTCCGTAGAACACAAGTGCTTTTTTCACACCAACTTTCTGTGTACCACCACAAGTCAACACCGGCTTATCAGTCCCTGTTGCCTTCCAATACCCTGACGTCGCTGCTCTGTTGGGTCTCGCTCCGTTCGGGTACTTCCGGTCTCTCGGACTGAAAAAAAACCATTCTTGCTCTCCAAACGTAGCCTTAGCTGCACCCAACAAAAAAGAAGAAAGAATAAAAAAACCAAGCATAATTTAATATTATTAGTATTAGTCTTTGTCACAAACTGTAATAATATTATATACACCCGTTATATGTAATAATTTTGATTTCAAGTACCTGGGAGCTCCCAAGGGTCGAACTTATAAAGTTCGACCTCTGCGATGATGGCAACGGGAAGGGGTGCGGAGGTGACCTTTTTCTTGAGATAGTGGACCACTAGCTCTTCGTCGGTCGGGTGGAAGCGAAACCCCGGTGGTAGGTTTGGCTGAGGCGGGGGCTGGGGTTGCTGCTGCTGCTGTGAGCCTGTGGAGGAGTCGGTGCTCTCCATTTTTTGGTTATTGAGAGTTGAGGGTTTTTTGCAGCCAAGTGCATATTACAAATCACACCACAAACATATAGAGCTCAAAATTGTTATGGAGGTGGCAGGGGCCTACTTTTATGTATGTGAAGGGCAACGTTCGGCTACAAGTGCCTCCACGAAGATTTAAACTACACGACAAATGGCAGGGAGCGGCCAAATGGTATTCAGGGGCAGATTAGTCATTTCGATACTGTTTAACCATGGTTTTTCGAAGGGGCCTAATTTTGTGCATGGGATGAGAGCGACCTTGTGGTGGTTAGAGATGGGGGTGATGGGTACCTCATGACGACGTAAACTGGATTGTGGGCCGTTGATGGATTGACACGTGGAATTCCCAATGTGGGAGAGGGCGACACGTATTGCGAGAAGGTGGTGGGACCCACAGACCACACAAAGCAACAAAAAATATATAGGCGGATAAGTCTAGGGGTGGGAATAAGCTTTACGCTTCAGATGTCATGCTTTTGTTGCGCAGAAACCACCAGGTTTGCGAAGGACCCCACTTCACCAAGAAACCATTCGAGACTAAATATTAATTGGGGGATCCTGCCCCTGCTCTTCAATTCAATCTTTTCATCATTTAGGGTTGATTTTTATTTAGCAAGTCATGTTCTCTTGATTTATAAGTTGTATAATTTTTCATTGTCACGATCACTAAGGATGGCAAAAATCCCCTCAGAGGTGAGTCGCCGATCTTAACGGGAGGAGATTTCGGGCCCAAACGAGTATCGGGTACGGGGATTCCAGAACTTGAAAAATCCTTCACAAGTATGGGGAGGGGATGGTATTGACATCCCCATCCCCGAACCCAACCCGAAAATATATATGTTTATATTTAAATAAATAAATAAATATAATATTTATGTTTACCCCTAAATTAACCTTCATTTCCTAATTCTTCCTAATATTCCATGGAATTTTATATTGATGTGATTTTGAATAGTTGAGTTAAACTTTATAGTTAATTTGGATGTGATGAATGATAATTTAATATGAAACTTAATGTTAAAATATATGATAAAAAAAAAAATAAAAAAAAAAAAAAAAATTCGAGGTGAGGTATGAGGGATAGTCCTAAGACGGGGATTCTCCGAAACCTATTAAACGGGGATGGATTCAGGGACGGGTGCAGGGATAGAGAGCGGGATGGGGATGGTATTGTCATGCCCAGCCCCTATCCGACCTGTTGTCATCCCTAACGATCACACCATTACGTGGTGTTATCAATTGATTTATATTATATAACACGTTTATGAAATAGCAATCCTGTCGTTCACCCATATTATATATAACTCATATGAATTAGTGTATCTCGTCACATAAAAATATTTCTTCCATAACCCATCATATGTGCTTATAGCATGACGACAGTTAATGTATATAACCAATAAGGGTCTGTTTGGTTTAGGGGAATGGATTTGAGGGGAAATCATTTGGGAAATGGAATATTTTTTTTCCCATGTTTGGTAATGCTAGGAAAGTAACAAGAAGATATCACTTTATTTCATTTCCCATGTTTGTTTAGGAATGGAAAACAAAGTTTGTATAATTTTCCAATAATACCCATATTAAATCAAATAAAAAAAGAAGGCATTGAATGCATAGTCTAAAATATGGATAATATTGACGAAATATCGAGGATATTATTGTTTTTTCGGGTCACAGATATTTTGAAACGTATCTATACACATATTGTATAAATATTGATAATATCGAAAAATATCGATGTCGATAATTACGCTCACACTTCAACAATATTTTGTCAAAATATCGCTATAATATCGAAAATATTGATGTAATGGAAAAAAGAAAAGGAAAAGAAAACACAAAGCACACACGCAAAGGGGATTCGAACCCCTACCATTTCACTCGTCCAATACCTTAACCACCATGTTGCTTATATTTTTGTGATAATACGCAGAGGGGAAGTCTATGTGGTACTAAGTCACTCATGTAATATCTTAAAATGCAATGCATTAAGTGTGAAATATTGTAGTAAATCATTATATATAAGTTATTATAATGTGTTTAATCTTCTTTTATTAATTAGTACATATTTTCTACACTCACAATGTTAGTCAACTTGTTATATAATCAACTTAAATCAATTAAACCCATCATGCAATGCATGTCCTTCCAATTTTTTATGATAAACTAATAGATAATTGACTAAATAAACATCCTCCAAAGTTTCAATAAAAATTTCCAAGTTTTTCTTATAATTTACGTGGGTTTAATTCAATTTTTATTGATATCGATAATATCCAAATATTTCCATCGAAATTTCCGTGTTTTTGGATTGCTCATATTTCCGATACTATCGATATTTTAGACCTTGATTGATATATGTTGTAATTCTAAATTGTTAATGGGGACAAAATATTCATGAAAAATATGCATTTAATGTTAGCTCATTTTCTCAAACTTTCAACGAGGAGGGAAAACAAAACCCAATAGGGGGAGGAGGGTTTCACTTTCCCCCCTACTTTCCTATGTGCCAAGCAACCAATTTTCATGCTTGGACTAGGAAAGCAATTGATTTCCCATCCTCAATGCTCCCTTCTCATGAAGCAAATGAGGCCTAAGAGATAAGTAAGTTAAAATTAGTAGGATGGTGTAATTACTATTAAAAAAAATTTGGTTTCATTTGAAAATGTTTAATATAATAGGATATCCATGGATGAACAGATTTCGTTAAGATGACATGGATTGCTATGTTTATGCATAAGTGTATATTTGTATAATAATAATTTGCAATATTCTTGTAAATTTTAGGGATATTATTTGTGTTCTTATCGGTAAAGAGATACTCCTCCTTCCTGCAAATCACAATTTGACACATATGCAAAAATAATTCATAAAAAACATAAAAAGGAAAACTTCTGCACACATGTCACACTGCTATTGACAGGAATGTAGGAACTCCTACTTGCCTGATAAAGAGGGAAGTATTTTCCAAATTTTAATCAATAAATTCCAAGAATGTGCCCACGTGCTAATGACATGAATGCGGAATGAAAAATTGTACCAAATTGGTGTCATGTAAACAATTGTAGTCTTGTGATGTGCACATGAGGGCATGTCAATCCAAAATCTGCAATAATAATAGTATGTATCATGGGCTCAGATCGTGTTAAGATATCATAAATCACACCCTACGAGTCTCTTTTCCAATTGATGTGTTTTCTGGAAGAAAAAGATTAGTAAATTATAACCTTTCATAGTATTAATTGGAATATTATGAATTTGGTACTACCAATTAAGCCCTTGGCTTTGTGGTATGGTATAAGCCTTTTTATGAGTTAGATTAATATTTGAAAGCAGTGATTAATTTGGGATCCTCCATGTAATTCTTTGATGTTGGATTTACACTCTCAATAACCCTCACGTATACAACATCTATCAGGTAACAGGAGAGTATGTGTGACGCTGATACCATGTTAAAATATGAACATCTAATCCAAAATCAATTGACAATGAATAGAAAAACCGAAAATCATTTCCAATATGTTTTGGGTTCTGACCTGCTGGGTGAGCCATAGCTCGAGCTTAAAGTAGTCTTTGACTACCAACCAAACCAAGCAGTGATCTGGCTCAAGAACTCCATGGTTGTGGTGTGGGCCAAAATAATGAGGGGTGAGTATGCTTGGTAGGGTCGCAATGCCGGTTCCATGAACAACCCAAGGGTCCCAATGGATGTCACTTCTTGGGCTATCCATTTACTTATATCACCTCAGGTCAGGTGGAGCAAATCTTAACATCACACAATCACATCTTGCATCTTAAAATTAATTCTCACACCTCCACTCACTCATTCACGCTCACACAAAGTATAAAATGCAGACACAAGGTCCCCACTTTTTCTTTTCCTTTTTGTTTTTTCTTTGGGTCGAAAAAGTCTCACACTTTGAAAGAGAAGTACTAGTGAATCACACTAGTGGCATGTACTGTGACTCAGCTACACCCTCTTCATTTTGATCATCTTAATCAGTCTTAATTAATCACACCGACTAGATTCTCTGTTGATGTGAAATAACTAAATTTAAGTGGGTCCTTGAGGAACATACATTGTGCTCCTTCTTTTTTGTTTGCTTTTGTATTCTTGTTTTTTATTTTTGGGAGGGTGTTTAGAAAGCGAGATGGAGAGGACGAACCAACTGAAACTCAACAGATCGGCTACTTTGAGATATTTGTAACTAATAATTATATAAGAATGTTTAATTTGATGATCTTTGGGTTGTAACTATATTAGTTATGATGTTGAACTTTATGATGTTTTGATGTGTTGAAAAATGAAAAATACCTAGGTGGTTATAAAAAAAATTATATTGTAACGAGGCTAATATAGTTGAAAAAATGCAAAGATAAACATAGTAGGCTTAGGCTTAAACTACATGAAAAGAACTGTGAAACATTGGTTTGGTTTGATTTAATTTAATTTGGTTTCTTTAATAAATTTTGTTAAAATCGAACCAAACCAAACCATAATATTATAATTGGTTATGTTGCGATGTTTGGTAAAAACGATCCAATATATATATCCAAACTCCTAACCCACATTATTGAATTGAACATAATATAAGCTTGTCATGTATAAACCCACATTTTGGTTAATTAGATTTATGTTTATCATTCACTCTTTAAACTCAACATTATAATAATCTTGTTTTACGCATGTGGTGTACGTAGTTTAAGCTAGATTTCTACGTACGCACCTAGATTTCTTCTTGATTGATGTTGATCTCCTCTGTTTTATATGTCGAATTAAACGCACCTAGATTTCTATGTGTGTATATATGTATATAGTCTCTTTCCATTGAGAGATTCCTCAAATAATTTTATTTGAGGGACACCCTTTAGGGTCCCCTACGAATTTTTTTTTCAACGATCCAAAGTATCTATTTTTTAAGTCTAAATTCATATATCATCCTTGCAAAAAATTAGACAAATCGGAAATAGTTTTGACATCCAATTGTGTTCTACAAAATTAATGAACACGATGCTTTAAGAAAGTACTAAAATTTCAATAATTCAATTGAGTGGTCAAATGATATCGGATTCAAATGATATTTTTTAGAGATGATCTTTGAATGATTATCTAAAAAATAGATAGCTTAGATTAGTGAAATACAATGCGGTGTTAGCCCTATAAGGATATTCCTCAAATTATAGAAGCTCTATATATATATATATAACTGTAGAAGAGAGTGAAATATGAAAATATTCTCGCTTGGTGTCACAAATCAGTGACAAGAAAAGATTCCCCTTGCTTAATACCATAAGAAATGATTACTTGTTTAACAAATTAATACATAGTTAACCATCACTACCAACAGCTAAAATCAATCCCTTCTAGCCACACACGTACAATAAATAATAATTTATTAATAATAATAAAATCTAAAATCAATCACCTTGTCATATGAAAGTACAAATGAGACCCCACTAGCAAAAAGATATCAATTTTATGTTTATATTTGTAAGTACAATACAAGTGACAAGCCTAAAGTTGCTTGAACAGTTGTCGTACAGAACAGCCCAACAAAATTTCTCAACAGTGAAGCATAGGGTTTGCCATACAAGGCAAATATTTCCCGCCGGCACCATATTTCTGTCTAAAACAGCTATGAAAGTTGAGCAAACCTTGTCACTACCCAAAACATCATGCCCTAAGTATCTCACTCTCCAGTCTTGCTTGTGGATCGATCCCTCTGGTTAAATTTCAGCCACACCACATACTCTTTAATTTCTTGAAACACAAAAAGCCATTCATGTATTAGTTTTCAATGTATTAATTAATTAAGAAGTTAATAATATTGAAAGGAACTCAGAAATATATACAATTTTTTTCCTATGTGGACGTCTCGACATTATTATTTTGTGGACACCATATCATGTATTTCTATTATCCTTCCATACTTTTCTCCATGTTTATAATAGCGTACACTCAATAATTAAGTTTGGACCTCCACGTAAGAGAAGAACTGTATATATAAAATACGAAAGCTTTAGAACATGGTGGGTAGGTTGTTATTATTGTTGTCCATGTGAACTTTATGAGGTCGATAGGGTTTAAGTCAATGCTGCCATGCATGTACACATATATCAAATAATTGTGTTACCAGGTCAATTTTTTCCTCTCTCGGTCAGGGTAAGCCTAACTTGACCTTTATCTTTAAGCAGTGGAAAAAGAGTAAATGTACATGTGCACAAAGTGCTTTCATGTATGACCCGTGATCACTTTCAATGCTCTTATTATGATACAAATGACTTGTGCAAGATGCTTAAACAAAATAAGCTATAATCATCTTTCAACAACACCTAGCTGGCTAACAGGTCTACTTTGTTGGGATGTAGTATGATTGAATCAATTATTGTATAAATTAGCAAGTGTTTAATGAAAGAGAAAAGGATCATTAATTAATTGCAATTTAAAATTTTGTAATTAGACGTTGTTGTTGCCGTTGATTTACTTAATGGATTGATGTAGTTATCACATAATACTTATGTTTTGACACTTAGGAAAAGTATTACACTTGCCACACATTTCACTCAGATTCAGTCAATCTAGAAACATCACACAGGTTATGAATGTGCACATGTAAATAAGCTTGAGAACACTGTTCTGCAAATCAAGGTCCTTTTTTATTGGACTAGACAATGTGATGGAAATTACAATATATAGGTAAAGAAGAAAAAAAAATTTGTAGGGTGTGGGAGAGAGAAAGTGAATGTAAAAACTATACTAGCCCTAGTTTTTTTTTAATAAGAGAGAGAATATCTAAATTTATTCTGTCTAGTGGAAGTTTTGATCACTAGGAACATAACATACCAAACCATACATGATATCTTGTCCATCTATTAAGGAAGATGATGCATGATTGATGAAGATATTAAGCTCCCAAAGGAGATTATTACAAATTGTGAGGATGAGGGCTGCTTGTGCCAAACATGTTTATTATATGATAAGGTCGGGCAATATTCCACATAACAGGCCTAATTTCCTCCTCCTCCTCCTCCTCCTCCTCCTCTTCTAACAGACTTGGGCAAAGTCACAATTGCATGACCTCTGACATGTGAAGGAAAACTGGCTAGCCTCTCTGTAAGTTAGCATATATTATTATTCAAACCACACGTAATCGCATAAGTTGGGTGGAGCAAACCAAATTTTGCGAAGTGCATGTGTGAGGGCTTCAAAGTAAACGTGCAAAAACAATGGCCCTTAAAATTTTATCTTAAATCTCATTTGCTTTTTGTAACCCATCATTTTCACACTGTAAAATCAAAGCCAGGGCTTATCTATCTAGCTTGTGGGTTTGCGTTTCCAAGTTGCTCACATACGAAAGCATGGATGGATTTAGCTTTCTTTGGCAACAAGATTCTTCTGTGCGTTGCATGCATCACCTTTTAACTGGCCTAAACGACTTGCAGCGACCAACTTTCGACCACCTTTCAGAAAATCCTTCTAAAAACTCGCATGGTTTTAAATTTGCAGTAACCATGTGGTGGAATTATTTCTTGGTTGATTTGTGACTTGCACTTTGTCATCACTAATGCTTGTCACACTCACACACAAATATATACATGTATTTGTGTGTGTGTATATATATATGTGCAAGCAAGCTAGATGGTGTAATTTTGATTGCACATCCAGTAGTCAAATATATGCATGGTTGATGTCAGTAAAACGATATACCAAAAGTATCATGGGTGTTATCGGATTGGTATATATTTTCTGCCAAAAAATTATTGCCGCAACATGATGCTTACGCAAGAGATCATTATCACAGATAGAGATGTAAATGCCGCATATACTATGAATCCAAATATTAAGGGCAAACAATGAGCTGACAGCATAACATATAGATTTTTGGTCGGTACCGTGTATATGTTTAGGGGGGGAAAGGGCTCGTGCTTAGTTGAGTCACTTTCTTTATTGTCAATTGATTTTGAGTTGGATGCTCAAATTCTATTATAGTACCATATTTAGGTTCGCTGACGTGTGAAGTCCAACAGCCAAACGTGCTCTATGTCACTTAGTTAAATTGTACGCTTGAAATTTCGTCTCACATGAAGGGGCTTGTGAGGATGTGAAGAATTATCTCACATTGGAAAGTTAAGAACATTGCAAGGACTTATAAAGAGTTAGGACGTTCCTCCTTTTGCTAATTGATTTTGGATTGGATGTTCACATAATAGTTATTTCTATTACGAATCATATATATTTTTGCAGTTGATGTTTAATTATAGGAGCTGATTTTCCCACTTCTCTTTTATCCACTTACACTCGCTTTGTTAGAAATTGTATGTTTCCACTCCTCTTTTGTCCACTTACACTCCTTTTTTTGTTATAGTAAAAACTATTTTAAAAAAAAACAAAAGGGAGTGTAAGTGGAGAAAAGGGGAGTGACAAAATCATCACCCTTAACTAATCTATTTAATGAGTGCCTTCTTGAATTTGTTAATTTCTTAAGTTCGATGAATTAACTAGCTAGCAACATATATAGCATGCACATGCATCATGCCTGATGTATGTGAGGGTTCAACATGCTAGCTAATTAATAAAGAGTGTTGTTAAATGAATTCTAAAATCAATTAAGTATATCCTAATATTTTAATTAAAATACAAAATTAACTAAGTACACTCTATTTAACTACCACAGATACCCCTGGTAGACCTTCATACACTCTATCACACAACATCCGAATACCAATTCTAAACCAAATTTCTCTTCTCCCTACACAACCCCACTCCATAAGCCAGGAGAAAAGAATAACGTCTACTAGATTGAAGCAACTACTCAACCATCACTAACTTCGCTATGACCAAGATATAGGAAAAATGCATCAATCCATTTAGTCATAAAATTCATAGGAGCTCAAACACATAAAAACTAGAATAAATAAACCAAATTACTTAAAGATATATTTAGTCATATATCAATTCTTAGCATTAATAATATAGATAAATCTTACACAATTTAATTTCTATAAACAAATCCAAAAAAAACTAAAAAAATGACAGTTGGCCCTATTGAATTTAATTTTGATTATTAAATTACTTTGATGCCCTATGGAGTGTTTTGGGGTTTTTTTTTATGAGGTTTTGGGGTTGAGTTTGTATTAAGAAATCAATGGCAGTTTTGTAATTTAAAAAAAGTTAAAAGCCTTTTTGTTATATGTTGTAAATGGATTTTGGGTGTGTTTCTAAAGTCCTTTTCTTATAGGTTTTTAAAGTTTAAAATTTGGGCTCCTATATTGGGTATAATAGTGAATCTCCCTTAATTAAAACAAAGAGTGAATGAACGCGCAGTAAATAAAAGGAGGGTTGCATAACATGCACTAAAGTACTGGATGCCATCACTCCACAATTTGGAATAAGTGCCCCTTTAACAAAACTGGATTTACAAGTTAGTACCAAACCAAATCGAAACTACTTGGTTTGCTTTTTTTTCTTTTTGAAACCATCCCGAGTTTACACATTGAAAACACAAAACGGATTCAACCAAAATACAAAATACAAGTACAAACCTTTTGAAACTTGGAAAAAAACAAGCCTTAAGAAAATAAAGGTGCGAAAAGAAAATAATACAAAGAGCAACACTAAAAACATTGACAGTTACATTGACAACACAAGATGCATATATTCAACATATGGAAAATAATACAGAGACGGCTTCTTTTAATGGCAACCACTTTAGCAGGACTGTGGACATTTTGAACTGTGTCTGGCTCTTTTAAAAGAGCGCATGCGTTGTTCGATGTGGACACCAAGCAATACGAAATTTTCTCTACGTTTGATATGGTGAGTATGGTGTACTTATTAAAGTTATATTTATTTCACAATTCCATATATCCTTTTTGGTTATTTTATATTAGGGTAAATTAGTAATGTAATAAATACTTTGGTAATAAGGTGTACTAAGTTAATTTTAGGATTTGTTTAACAGAACTCTTAATAAACACCCCAGTTCTCTCAAAATTATCCATAAGTATTCACCATGCAACGATACAAATTATAAGTGCCCTAATTTTTATTTTTTAAAAAAAATTCTTTGTTGGAAGGAAACGATATTATTTCGATCAATCAAATCACTTCCAGAATTGTGATCTTAAAATAGAAGGATTAGTCTCACAAACTCTTGTGTATTTTCTCTTTTTCTCCATATAAAATCTTTTATCCAATCAACAATGTGTCATCTTCCTGATAAAAATCCTACGATCTCTTAGCATGTCATATCACGTTAATCTTAAGAAATCACAGCCTATTATAATGACAGTTGGGTCTGATTAATTTGGACAATAATTCATTTCTGTGATTTGGCTTTCAGTATTTGGAGAGAGACAGCTCGATCGAAATCCCATTGTCATGACAGCTAATTTCCATGTATAAATTGTATTTATGTTGATATGTCACACTTTCATACATGTATAAACAAGAGACATTATACTATATATGCAGTATGCATACATATATAAATATAAATATTTGTGAATTACATTTTACATTCATGTTGTTTGAGTGAAATTTTATTTGACCCCTGATGTTTAAATTTGATGTACATTTAAAAGTGCTTCTTCAGCTACGTGTATTTGGTTTCGAAATTTTCCAATGAATGTTTTACATATATAGAGTAGATTGTGATTTATATGGTGTAAATATCCCTCGAGGATCTTCTTTGTAATGTTTGTTTCTTGACTCAAAAATTCAAAAATGCTGGCCCTCCATCTGGTTTTGTTTACGGATTAGCATTAATCAAGTGGTCACCACCATTAAGTCAACATAAGTACACAAACAATGAAAAATATGTTCTCCCATAAATTGTAACATACAAAAAATTGTTGAGTATATCCCTCATTGGAGAAGGATTACATTAGTGCTTTAAGATATCTTTCGTGTGTCGATAAGTCAAGGAAGAGAGCTTAACAAAGCCAATCAAGGAGGTGTTGGTGGCCAAATCTTGCTTAGCCTTATACAGAGAACGAGACAGATTGTGAGTTGGGGGTTGCTTTCACTAATTGTCGTTTTAAAGCCAAATTGGAAATATTAATTTCTTGTCAAGTACAATCACTTGCCAAATTTTGAATGAGGACAAATAATTGGCCACTTTTTAGAGCAAAGATACATGGTATCAAATAGATGAGAAGAATCAACGCCATGGATGCACCTTTCAAGCTGGCCATAAATAAATTAAAGTTAGCTTCTTTTGTATAAAGATTTTGTCAGCTTTCCCTCCTTCTTTCTATGAATGTGATACTTTTTTAAATTTCTTGAGGTTTAGCATGACTGACTTCGATTGGAGACCTATCTGCTTCCTCGGTATGAAAAAGTATATCTACATCATTTCATCTAACGAAATAGAGGATTAATCTTCATTAATTAATTCTTCATCTAACGAAAACCATAAATAAATAAATATATTATTTATAATTTTAGAATCAAGATTTCATTCAAAAACTCGACTGCAACCATGTAGGTGCTTCCTCAATCCAAGAAACAAAATCATTAAAGCTAATTGCAAATTGAGCCAAGGTGTGTGCCACCTTATTGCAGCTCCTTAGGGACCATTGACATAAAGCTACTCTAAATTTACTTAATATGCATTTTGCTTCTTGAAGTAAAAGACTATATGTTCCATTGCATTACTCCACCAAAAAAATACCAGTTATGCATTCTTTTGCGTCCATCTCTAGAATGGCACAAGTCAAATACGTCCATGTCAAGAGCAAAACGCAATCCTTCAATTGTAGCCATAAGCTCTGTTTGCTTGGCCCCATAACTGGCTTGGATTGGCTTAACGCGTGCACCGATAAATAGATCTGGCATTCGTGTCGTGTTTGCAGTGTTTGTGCCGTGTTCGTGTCAACCTGCTTTTCGTAACAAGTTGACACGACACGTCACAATAAGAAAACAGGTGAGAAATGTCAAACACGAACACGACCCGTTACAATTCGTGAATCACACGCTGAGAGAAAGATAGTGGGAGAGTCGGGGGAATGGGGGAGGAAGAGAAGAAAGAGAAGAAAGAGAAGGAGAAAAAAGAAAAGAAAAAATATAAATTTACAAAAATCCCCCTGAGCTTAACGAGTTAATGGGCATTCACGAATTTACACGACACGACCTGTTAATGGGCATTCACGAATTGAGCCAAGGTGTGTGCCACCTTATTGCAGCTCCTTAGGGACCATTGACATAAAGCTACTCTAAATTTACTTAATATGCATTTTGCTTCTTGAAGTAAAAGACTATATGTTCCATTGCATTACTCCGCCAAAAAAATACCATTTATGCATTCTTTTGCGTCCATCTCTAGAATGGCACAAGTCAAATACGTCCATGTCAAGAGCAAAACGCAATCCTTCAATTGTAGCCATAAGCTCTGTTTGCTTGGCCCCATAACTGGCTTGGATTGGCTTAACGCGTGCACCGATAAATAGATCTGGCATTCGTGTCTTGTTTGCAGTGTTTGTGCCGTGTTCGTGTCAACCTGCTTTTCGTAACAAGTTGACACGACACGTCACAATAAGAAAACAGGTGAGAAATGTCAAACACGAACACGACCCGTTACAATTCGTGAATCACACGCTGAGAGAAAGATAGTGGGAGAGTCGGGGGAATGGGGGAGGAAGAGAAGAAAGAGAAGAAAGAGAAGGAGAAAAAAGAAAAGAAAAAATATAAATTTACAAAAATCCCCCTGAGCTTAACGAGTTAATGGGCATTCACGAATTTACACGACACGACCTGTTAGCTTAACATGTGACTAACAGGTCAACGCGACATCAACACGACACAATAACTCGGACCCGAATACTGAAATTTTAGTGCGAATTCGTGTTGTGTTAACAGGTCATCTACAATATTGAATCCCCATTTTTGAGTGCTCCAGCTACATTATTTTATAGAGAATTACTGGTGGAGGCCTCCAAACTTCATATGGAGCTTGAGAGATATAAGTGTGATCCTGGATTGTGTGATAGAAGTGATTTGCTTCAGAAAATTCTTTCGCAAAGAGTCATAATATGTGTTGCATATATATATTCATGCAACACATATTAATACACATTAATCATTTTCCCCATATAATACAAATTAGACGGATTCCGAGTCTCTCCATCTAGCATCAACGCATCTACACGTATTTAAAAAAAAACCTTAACTATTAAATTAATCTAATGAGTTTTGATAAGTCTACGTCCTTATAATTGTATTAGACTAAAACTTAACCATTGCACCTTATTCTTTAGGCAAACACCAGATCTGCGTCTTTTCCCCTCCCTTGTTAACTAATGATGGAAGTATTTGACTTGAAGTTACAGACATTTCACCAATACAAAACTCAAATATGAATTGGCAGACCAAAGAATGAGATTTGAATTGGATTGATGGGCAATTCCTTATTTCTTTCTTCACTGCCCAATTAAATTAGAAGATATGTTCAATTTTGGGAGAATTGAAGAAATTGGGTTTCTGGGCTAATTCCTTAATCATTTCTTCACTGCCAGTTAAATTAGAAAATGCATGCGTTGAATTTTTTGCACAATTTCTTCATCCATCGCAGCTTTGGGTTGATTCTTGGTCCTTTGGGTTCATCTTCACCCTCATTGTAGCATCTCCCCACTTCAATTTTAGTCATATTAGTTTCTTTTGGCAATAATACTAGGTACACCAAATTTGGACCCCAAATGATGTAGTGTATGACTCATCATCACTTTTAAATGGAAATATTTTTGCTCACCACTTTAATCCAAGGTGTACTCTCACCACCCTTCTCAACATTTGACACGTGTCCATTGGCATAACCACAATTAACTTTTTACTTTGTATTTGTGGAACCATGGTTATGTCAATAGACAAGTGTCAAGTGTTGAGGAGGGTAGTGAGGTGAGGGTACACCTTGAGTTAAAGTGGTGAGCAAAAATACTTCCCTTTTAAATAAACACAATTTCAAACGTGTAGTTAGGAGTCATTAATTTCTTCTAGAAAAGGAAATAAATTATTATTATTTTAATTAATCAAAGGTCCCAAACAATTAGTACTGATGTATCCCACCACCACCTAACCTCCCTTGCTCCGCTGCACCACTATAGAGCTCCAACTCCAACGCGGACACAATCATAAGTCATATTTCCCCATACTTTTGCAGCATCCTCTGCATATTACCTTCCCTATAGTACTGATCTTATCTGCTTGGGTTATAGAATGGTGGTGGAGCAATTGTTAGGCAGTGGTGGGATATTTTGGTTTTGATTTGGGCTTTGGTTAAATTAATATTACTATTTTATTTTTAAAAAAAAATTAACTACTTTAAAGTACATGTTGGAAATTTTGTTAAATTTGAAGTAATGATGTTGGATATGCCACCTCATTTGTGATGCAAATTTGGTATACAAATTTGGTGTCCTTAGCAACTCCCTTCTTTTGATTACGCTATTAGGTTTAAGCCCAAACCATAATGTTATACTAGTTCGGTGTGCAATTTGAGACCTAAGTCGAATTAACCCGTATCGTGTCAACTTTTGCATTTGTATTTTTTTTGGGGGTACATATTTGTGCTATGTTTGTAATAAGGCCCAAGTCTAGTCGACCAGCACTGGGTAGGTTTGGGAATGGGCTACAGGGCCTGGTCTTGATCACCAGACAATATTATTTTGGGCTTCCATAGAAATTAGAAAAGCATACATCATTTTAAGCTTTAGTCTTTTGAAAAAGTTTAAAGAGGGCAAAGAGCAGTCAACCTCAGCTTTGCGAATGGTGCTTTGGGAAAAGCTTGGCCGAGAAAGAGAGTGAAAGAGTAGACAAGCATAAGTGATACTTCCACCATTATCTGATAGAGACCTAGTACAATAAGAACAAGGTGCAAACACATTCATGGAAGATAAATAATACTTTCTAATTAAAAGGTGAAAAGAAATCAAAGTAAGTCTTTACAGAGTGTATAAAAACCCTCTCTCCCAATCGGAAAAGGGGAGGCTATATGTGCGATTTTATAAAATCTCCCTGTGAGAGTTTGTAGTTTGAAGTCTGCTTTTGCTTGGTTTAACCAAGCCTATTGGTTGTGGTTGTTTTGAGTTCCATCCTCTCTGCATCATTTCAACTTTGCGTTGAAATACGAGTCACCTAATTTTAACACGTTTAATTAATTTGCATTTAGCATCAACGCATTTTTTTAAAAAAAATTAACCATTGGATTAATCTAATGAGTTTCAATAAGTCCACGTCATTATAATTGTATTAGACTAAACTCAACCATTGCACCTTATCGTTATCACTTATTCATCAGTCTCCCCTCCTTTCTCTCATGGTCTTTCGTTCTCCCTTAAACTATGTTCATGAAAATCAAATTTTTGTATATAAAAAGAAAATTTAAGAAAAGAACCCTTCCCACAACCCCCTCATTATAGCATTTCCAAATTGAGGCTAACAATTGAAGTATTTCAATTTTCTTTTGGCCCAAAACATGGTACTTAATTAAAATGGGATTTTAAATCTCATTGTACCTTGAATTTGATGTGGAACTCTCTTAATCCAATGCACACATATCTAACTGCATGGCGTTTGATTGGGGAAATATAAAAAGCATAAAAGCATTCAAAAGTAATAGAACTTGTAAAGTTTCTTGTTTGACTAACTTAGAATTCCTGTAAAAATGTGTTCTTTTTTTCCGTTTGGATGGTAACATGTTGACTTTTATGAATGCTTCTAGGACTTAGCATCGAATCAATACCCTCCTCAAACCATCCATCCTTCCATACTTCAATCTAAGATTCTATCGCATATTGGCATCGAATGAGTTTAAATCACAGCTTTAATTCAAGTTTCTTGTTTTATTTGTTTTTAGTAAGAGGTCGCAACCAAATACAAGTCGTTTTTTCCAGGGCAAACAAACAAACAACACGGCATCAATTCAAGTTCCTATACGTTGTAAAAACTTGCACGACTAAAATTACTCCAATATCTTTGAATCAAAAGCTTTGAAGGAAAAAGAAAACGAAAGGAAGATATCAAAGTCATGAGTGTCACGTTGACCACACGTGCAAGCAAAAGAATCAACGGTCAATACATATCTGAAGACTGCAGGACGACAGCTTTAATATGTGGATGAAGAAGTGGTTGGTTGGTTGGCATCCGATTGGCATCTGACGGGGATGATCCTAAAGTAACTAATGTCAAATCCTTCAAAGTGAGGACCTACCTAAGGTAAGATCCGTACATTTACTTGGTGAGGCCTAAAACTTATAATCTTTTTTTTTCCTTTAATTTAATGCAGATGATTAAAAGTTGCATTCAACCCTATACTTGGGTTTGGATTTAGGATAAAGTCAAATTTGAGTGCATCCTTTCGTTTCTTGCTTCAAGAAACAACCCTTTTTTTTAAATATATAAATATCTTATAGGTGTGATTACATTTTAGTCAAAAGTGTCGTTGAATGGCTAGTTTTGTTTTTTGTTTTTTTTTGTTTTTTGTTTTGGCAAGATATGAACTTGTTAATCATTTGACCAAGAAATGCAAAGGATCCATTGTGACTGACAATTTTCCTTCGTAAATATCATTTGAATATTTAATGAATTAATATAACTTAATTAGTAAATAATTAAATTTTTATTTAGTAGAAACTTGGGTTTCAATTAGTATTGCAAACTGATCGATTGTGTTGGTAATTTTGTTAGGTAGTTATTAGTGAGCTAGTCAAGATTATCTCTAGCTTGATTGTGGATTGTATTGGTTTATTTTTAATAATAAAGTTCATTCTCTCCATATATGAGTTTTATCATTGCTAATGATAGAAAGTTCTGCTTATTTCAACAGTATTTTTAAGTATGAGCATACTCTTTTTTTGTTGATACAAAGTTTTGTAATATTATGTTATTCTTTATACTGATAATTGAGGTATACCGTAATATGTCGGTCAATTCATAATTTGTCTTTTTTATCATATCACAATATGTTGGTCGATTTACAATTTCATTGAAAAGTTGCGATGACCAAACCACAACCATCCCTAGTGTAGATGGGCGTTGCATATATGTCGTGTAATTAATCACGCCGAAGAGCCAGTTGGTTAGTAGCATGTGGCAATGACAGCTGGTACTACAGACTAATAATAATTTGACATTTGACATGGCAGTTTCAAAGGAGGGAGAAATTTTTCTTTACTGACAGACGTTAGCTCCTTTTAGTGCCGTTAGTTTACTAACCCAAATTCCCTCTCTCTCTTTTTTATTTTTTTATTTTTAATCTTCTCATAAAGAAACCCTAGGTTTCTGTAAGTGGTCCATTAAAGTCTGCACTTCATGACTCGCAGCAAGTCTAAACTCTATGCACACGGGAGGTAACATGCTATTGATATTGTACTACACAGGCAATACACCATGTACTCATATTTTATTGGCTGTTTTGCATAAAAGATCAATATTGTTGTGTGTTTTAATGATTATTGTGTAAGTTAGCGGATCTCAAAATGTTGGTTTTATAAAAAAAGATTACTACAATATCGTGAATAAGGAGAAATGCTTATGCTTGAAGCAAGGGATGCTCAAATTTCAATTAACTTTTTCAAGCCCGAACAAGTTGAAAATCGTATGTTCTACCATACAATGCAAGTGCATTAAGAAAACCGAATGACAAACTAATTTTTGAAAAGATAAAAGGACAATAGTTGATTGTGAGTGTTTCGGAGTTGTGGTAATATTCGATACCATCTTTCGAACCAATAGGCATAACATAATATGAGGATAGCATGGTTGTCAATTTCTATACAAATAGACGACAAAAAGTCAATTTCTAAGGTCTAACGTGACATGAGGATAGCATGGCCCCTCCTCTTTAGGCCTTCAGTTCCAGACAAATTTGAGTGACGTTCATTCAGTTGCTGCCGCACAAAACTGATTAAATAGTTTGTCAGATGAGGAAACCTGCAGGGAATGCTAAGAAAAACAAACCTAAATCAAACCCCATCCATACAAACATATAACTCAGAAAACTGAAAAAATATAATAAAATCTTACGAAATCGAAGGAAGCCTTGATTTTCAAACTTGGAGAAGAGGATCCATGCTCTAATATCGATCGTCCAAAGGATTACTGGAGGCTTTGCTCTTCCTGACCCTAGAATGAAAAGAAAGGGGGTTTTATTTTTTATTTTTTGGGGTCTGAAAAACAGAAGTTGGAATTAACGTGGAGATAACGCGGCCATAACGTCTGCCGGTAAAGAAAAGTTTCTCTTCCCTTTAAAACTGCTACGCCAAGTGTCAATTTATCATTAGTCCGTAGTATCAGCTGTCAATGCCACATGGTACTACTGTACTGTATAATTTCTCAGCGAGCTGAGCTCTTCCACCTTCACAGTCCACCTATGCGGGAAGAGGTTCGAAAACCCCACGCTTATTTGTGTGTAAACCCCCTCTCTCAATCTATTGTACCAAAAACAAATCACGCATGAAAAAAAAACCTCTTAAAAAAAACGAAATTTGCCTTGTGAATATGTTATTTTTTAAAGAACAAAAATCTTGTACAAAAAAGACAACCGAATTAAAAAAAAACAAAGAAAAACAAAAGTAGAAAAAGACGACTCCACAAAAGGGTTGAACCTAACCATGCCGAATTAACTTGACCGAATAAAAGTTTTTTTTAACTTTTTATTTATTCATTATCACCTTCATACTATTTTTCATTAATCACAAACCCAATAAAGTACGACCTTGATTTTGACAGTCCCTCATCTTAATCAAGAGATATTTATTATACAAAAGATCCACTAGTATAGTAGTGTGGGTAATTGTTTCTCCGAGCAAGATTCTGGATTTGAGTTTTAATATTCGTGTAGTGTATGTGAGTTTAGTATACTATCATTCATCTCAATAAAAAAAGTCCTCAAAAAAACTATCCATTATCAAGACACATTATTGGGGAGCTTCTGCGTCATTTTACTAGTTGGTCCATCTTTGTTCATATACCTCAGTGGTGTGCATAATTTTCGATATGTGTTAATTGAAGGGAACGATCGGAGATATTTGTTTGTTAAATTTATTTTATTTTGGTTGAAGATATTTATTTGATTGATTCATACATTATTTAATTTATTTTTCTTAATCACAAGTGAGCGACTAGCGAACAAGCCACTAGTAATACTAGGTCAAAAGATTTCAGTCCAAAAGGGTTTCTCATGAATCAGCAATGCTTGTTCTACAAGTTTCCCCACTAGCCTTGACGTGGCCCATTAGAGTAGTGCCAAGCCAACTAGAGGGCTACCTTGGCTTCCTCATGGTCCATACACGTGTATGTAACGTACACGTATGCTTTGAGCATAAATGAAGATTATGACACACTACAAGAGTTATGAAGCTTTATTTGTCTTATTTTTTTGGCAGAAATTTGTCAGGAATAATTGTGCAATGTATTATATTCGCCAAATTATGATATAGTTAACATTTATACGTCAATGTTGACATATTCTAATTGGAAAACAGACGCAAGCGTAGCAGTAAGCCTCGAGGTGCAACTACACTATACCAAGAGAGTTTAAGGCAATGTTTACTAACTCGAAATCGGAATGAGAAGGAGCTAGAGTAAGAAATAGTCGGATTGAGAAAAGTGTTACCCATTGACAAACACTTGCTAAATCAAGGTGTTTGCTGCGGTCTACCTTTTACCAAGATGTTAATGGGAACCTAATCGGGATTAGGTCCAATCAAACATTTATTCTCTCACTTCAGATTTTGGAAGGTCTTAGTTTCCCGCAGAGAAGATAAGGCCATCCCTCATTTAGTCTCAATGGATAAGTCGACAGTTTTCCTGACTGGTGGAAGTTACTTTGTAATTCAACTTCTCAGATTGTACAAAGATTCTTTCTTGAGACATTGAATCTGCGGCAAAAACCAGCAAAAGGGAAGGGACAAGTCTCCTCCATTCACCCTTTTGATGCTATCCATTTACATTGAACTTATTTGAAGTACACATTTTTCTCCCCACCCGAGTACCACCACGATAATTGTCGTTAGATGAAAAACAAGGACACCCGAGTTGCCTGTTAGCATTACCACCACGTTAATTGTCATTAGATGAAAAACGTTAGATGAAAAACAAGGACACCCGAGTTGCCGGTTAGCATTACCACCACGTTAATTGTCGTTAGATGGAAAACAAGCACACGACATGACACACAGTCATGTTATACAAATCAGTGGGAAAACCAAATCTAATTAGCAATTACCAAATAGTCATAATAACATATTCATATGGTTTTAAAATGTGGTGCTCTAAATGAGCTTATTTCAATGATACTATTCAAATTTTGACTTGAACATGTCCCATAAAAATGGAGCCGGCCAATATTGACTTTTTGTTTGTTTTTTTTTTTTTTTTTTTTTTTTTTCTTGTTGTGAAATTACATTCTAATTCAAACTGCATTAAATTGTACAAAGATTCCTTCCTTTCCTGCTCCTGAGTACACTGAATCTTGGCCTAAACCATCAAAAAAGAAGGGGCAAATTTCCATTCACCCTTTTTTTTAATCCTAACCTCCACCCAAACTCTTTTCTTTTCACCACCTAAACCGAAAATGTTAGCCCAAAGAATCCCAAGTATTTACAGAAATGCACCCCTACTCGATTTCTCTACCGACATGCACTCCCTTTCTACTTTCACTTTTCCCCACCGCCAAACCCCAAACCCGACCGGCCGAATCGGGTACCGTACCCGTACGGGTCGGTCGGGTTGCCAAAGTTCTGAGTCATAACGTTCGAGTTCTGAAAGAACCCTGAGTTATCAACCCGCTGAGTTCTGAACCCGCTCTGCACCTCCTCGTCCACCGTCTTCGCGAGCCTCTCCGGCGGCGATTCCACGTGGCAGAGCGGCGGGATCGAAGGGACATACATGTCATTGTTGTTGCTATAGTTCACATTCATTTGCCCTTGGCCTTGTTGGGGCTGGTTATTGGGACACAGTTCAGGCACCACGTTGAACCCGGCGAGACTCGCCCAGTCGAAATTTCCAGAACCCGTCTGAAACCCGAGCTTGCTGTCCTCCTGCTGCTGCTGCAGCGTTTTGAGCGAGTTTATGCGCGGCAGAGAGAAGGAGCGGTCGTCAATCTCCGGCAGCCACTCGAGCACGTCGTCCAGCTGAGACGAGCAGGAAGACGACGAGCCGTTGCTGTGCTCTATGCTCGAAACACTCGTCGTCATGGGCTTCTGCGCAGCTGAGCTCGAGCTCTTCTTGTAAATACGACACAAAACCCATTCATCCAACTGCAACAACAGAAAAACCCAAAGATTAAACCATTATCACACAATCAATTTAAATAAATAAAAAAACAGGGGAGAATATAAATTCGATAAAATTAAGTACCTTGGAGCTGCCATTTTTGCGTGAAGGTTCGATTAGACGATACTCGTGCATAATCCAATTGGTCTTGGTGCCTTTGGGGGCTTTGCCGACATAGAAAACCAGAGCTTTTTTTATCCCAACTTTTCGACCTTCAGTGGTGATGATCTTATCAGTGCCGGTGGCTTTCCAGTACCCAGACCCGGCTACCCTGTTAGGTCGTGACCCATTTGGGTATTTCCGGTCCCTCGGACTGAAAAAGTACCATTCTTTTTCACCAAATATTGCTTTGCCTGCAAAACCCAAGTGAAAAATTGTTCAATATAGTTCGAATTGAGCCATATCAAAAAATGGGTAGGGATAAAATAGTCAAATAAGAAATGGGTTTTGGCTCTTACTTGGTAGAACCCATGGATCGAACTTGTAGAGATCAATTTCAGCTATAATTTGCAGACTGAATTGGTACCCAGCAACCTTGCGGCACAGATACTGAACCAGAAGCTCTTCGTCTGTGGGATAGAATCGAAACCCCGGTGGCAAGCTTAGCTGAGAAAGTGGGTCGGTTTCTGGCACACCCATTTTTTCTGATAAAAATTTCAGAGCTTGAAATGTGAATTCAGGAATTTTCAGAGAGAGGAGAAGATGAAACACAGAGAGAGAGAGAGAGAGAGGGATTTTGAAATAATTTCTAAAATCCCAAATATTATTTCTTTTTTTTCAGTTTCCGAGATACGGCGGTTATTTAAATAGAGCAAGCAGGGGGGGGATAAGTACGGTCGTTTTGTCGTGCTGTGGGCTGGCTGGGGCCCACTTGAGTTATGCACCGTTTAAAATCTGCCACGCGATGCTTTTAAAGTTCGACGTTATCGTGCGGCCGACCTTATCCGATAGCGAGTACGGTTGCTAGGCTTTGGTGCATGAACCGTCACGAATATAACAGTGGTGACTCACCCCGTTACGGGACGCGTGTCGATCGTCCGCAAAAGGGTCCAGAAGCTTTTCTTGGCGCGAAAGGGGGGGCCTCGATCTTTTTGAGGCTTTGCGAGGCGTTTTCCACGCGTGGTTTAACCCACGTCGGTACACAAGGCATGGGACACGTGCCAACACGTGGACAGATGAGAGGGGAGTTAGGCTGGAATTTTGTCAAAAGATGGGAGGCTTGAAAGGGAAAGAAAAGAAACAAAAAGTGGTGCGACGGTGGCACATTGGTAATGAGAGTTTGTATAAAAATACTTATTTATTCTCGTTTCAACGTATCTCTATTTATCTTCTCATGTTATCTATGAAACGATAAGAGATACATAAAAAAAATAGCAATAAAACGGAAATAAGGAAGCGTCTCTCGAGTTCATGAGAGTGTGTGTGCACTCTTATTTTTTTGTCTCAATTCTTCAATTAGTGATCAATTATTTTATTGGTGTTTTTTTGGATGTGAGTGTGTGTAGGTGAGAACTTAGGGTTTCTTTCACTCATCAACTACTATGGGCTAGGCCTACAAGCATGCTGATTTGACTTGATTGGATTGGATTTTAATACAAGGGTTTTGGAGTTTTTAAATTTTGTATTATTTGGGATTCGATAAAAATGATGAGGTGCGTTGGTCAAGGTTTAAGAGGTGGAACCGGAGTGTTCTTGATTGATTTGGGTTTTTCTAGCATTTTGCAAACGTGGCCAAAAAGGAACAATTTTTGTAGGTCAAATGGGCACGTAGAACGGTTTTGAGGTTTATGTTATGACATGTGGTTTCTGTGAGGATCAAGTTTCGACAAGTAGAAGCGGTCTTTTTTTTTTTTTTTTTTTTTTCTGTCCCTTTTTTTTTTTTTTGAAGTTTTGGAGACTTTGGTTTGTTGCCCACGTTTGCAGCATTGTATAGTGCTAGATGGCGGCAGGTGGACTGGTTTTCTGTGGCATTTGGACGGCTTTCGCCTTTGAAAAAAGGCAGAATACTTGTCATGGGAAACAGAGATTCGGGGTACCTACTTTTTAGTTTTTGCTTCAAGACTTGAACTTCAACTTTGAACACTGAATCACGGAATAAATAATTGTTTGTTTCAGTATTGTGCTGTGTGGTTCGGATATGTTGAAAGAAAAAAGAGCTTTGATGAATTTTCCAAGCTTTTTCTATGTGCACTTTCTGGTTTTGTCACTTTTACTTTCTTTTTAAGAAAATAATATTTTATTAAAATATCATATAATGGATAATTAGAATAGCCAATCTACAACCCAAACGTAACAATTAGAAACAAGAGCAAAATCTTAATTAAAAGATTTGCTGTTTGAATACAATCGTATGGTATAAAAAGAGCAAAACTACAGAAACAAATACACAACAGTAAGCGATCCTATCCTCAGCAACGACCACAATAGGTCTCCCAAATATTTATATTGCGTATGAAGTGCAGATGATTAAGAACAATTATATTGCTCAACATCAAAATTATTGAAAGAGGCTTAAAGTTCAAGTAATTAAGAACAATTATTATCTTGCGTCTGATGTGCGTTCAAATTTAGTTGAGCTCACTAATACAATAGGTCTTCCTAATATTTTTCTTTATTTTGACCTTTGTGATTAATTAATCTAATCACATTAGTTGTGGTTTGACTAGTGCATCAATTATTGGCTGCATAGCTTGGTGCGCCTAAATGCATGGGATGGTGGGTTCATTGCACCTAAATCTATATTTTATGCTTTATTCCCGACGGCATTTAGAATGTTGTCATAAAAAGTTTCGCTTATTAAACCTATAGTTTCACATGTTCATTGACATTCAAAGTTCATACCCGGAATTTTACCAACAAAAAGAAATCTCAAACCCACGAGACCAGACCGGAGAGCCCATTTCGGCGTTCAACATGTCGCCAGTAAATGTTGGACTTTTGAACCAGCCTAGTCAAATTTTCTAGCTGTGCATCCTTCAAAACCAATGCAGCCAACATATATATCGACCACCTAATTCAACTCTGATCAACATGTTTAAAAATTCAAGAAAAATTTATGATGTGTGATTAAGAAAGCAAAAAAAAAAACTCTCGCACGTGCAGAACGAAGGGATATTTTAATTTAAAGTGTAATATTCTATAAGTGGGCGCTGCATCTGTGGTTCAACTTTCAACTTGACTATCGATGGGGAATGATGATTACATCATTGCTTAACTGTAAAGTCTCATGATGTGACTTAATATTTTCAACGTGGCAATTATCCTCACGTTTTCTTTTTCGTAAATGTGCTTCACTTCATTTTGTTGCTAACATAGATACCGAAAGAATATCCCATTTTTTCACCCAAAAATTAAAATAAAATAATATCCCATTTTCCCATTTGGCATCAGCACTTGCATTTGCCTTTTTTATTTTTTATTTTTTCATGGTGTAGGGAATATTGAAAGAATTATGAGTACGACTGAGATATGTTTTATCTAGCTTATGTATAAATTCAAAATTTCGAAAGACAAAAAAGGTTTCATAGCTTAGAAAGTCGATTTGTCAAAGGCTTATGACAGGCTCAATTGGTACTTCATTGAGCAAGTGTTTGGTGAGGTGGGGTTACCTCACATGCTTCCTCAATTGGTAATGAGCTGTGTCAAGTCTGTCTACTATCAAATTTGTCTTAATGGAGAGCTCACTAAGACTTTGTGCCAAAGAATGGGATCCTATTTTACCCTACTTGTTTGTATTGTATATTGAGAAATTATCCCACATTATATTTGATATTGTTAACAGAGGTGTATGGAAGCCTGTAAAATTTTCTTAGTTTGGGCCAGTTATTTCCCATCTCTTTTTCGCCGACGACCTTGTACTATTTGTTAAAGCTAGCCCCTAACAAGCCAAGATCATGAAAGATTGTCTGGAGGTTTTTTGCCAAGCGTCGGGACAAGCTGTTGACTTTGATAAATCTGCTATTTTTTGCTATCCTAATACCTGCAAGAGACCGCTCAGGAAATCAGTAATATTTGTGGTTCTCCTTTGACTGATAATCTGGGCAAATATCTGGACATGCCTCTATTACACTCTAGGCCTAATAAAGCTACTTTTAATGGGCTTCTTGACAAAGTATACAGAAGACTTGCTGGATGGAAAAGGAAACTTCTTTCTCTAGCTGGGCGAGCCACTCTTATTAAGGCGGTTGCTGCTTCTATCTCAATTTATACTATGCAAACGACTAAATTGCTTGCAAGTATTTGTGAGGAGCTTGATAAGCTTAATCGTAACTTCTTCTGGGGAGGAAGTGAAAAGAAAAACAAAACTCATTTATGCCAATGGAATTTGGCCTGTAGACCCAAGAGCAAAGGTGGTTTAGGTCTTAAGTGAACAACTCATATGAATTAGAGCTTGTTGGCCAAGATCGGGTGAAGGCTTCATAATAAAGACATCGGATTGTGGGCTAAAATTTATGAGGCTAAGTATCTGCAAGGTAAGGACATCCTGAATCCCTCGCTTATTTCAAGGCCTAACTCTTCTTCTACATGGAAAGGTATCTTCCATGGTGCTTATTTGTTACTGAAGGGTATTGGGTGGAGAATTGGCAATAGAGATCAAGTGAAGTTTTGGCAAGATAAATGGTTGAATGATGAGCCTCTGCTTAAGCACCATGGTAATGCTTTTGTCTCTGATTTGAATTGTCATGTATCTCACTTCATTAAGGGAGGTTGGTGGGATATTGACAAACTCAGAATGGTGCTTGTTGAAGAGGTTATGCAGCAAATTATTAGTGTTCTTCTTGATTTTTTTGGCACTACTCCGACGCTCAGATATAGAATCCTACTACTAATGAGGTCTTCTTAGTGAAGTTGCTTATAGTCTATTTTTTAAATCATCTGAGTGGTCTGATAGTCCTTGGAACTCGTAGTGTCTCTGTCATTTAGTTTTTGTGTGTTTAGGGTTAATCCCCCCCATTTCACCAAAAAAAAAGAAAAAAAAGAATTATGAGCACCATCAACAACTGTTTTTCAATTTTTAATGGAGCCCCGTTTGAGATTGTTTTTTTTCGCCAAAAATCCGCTTCACTTTAAAGTTAAGCAGTTTAAGGTGTTTAGAAAAAATAAAATATCCCGATTATTTTAAAAGCAGTGGCCTTTTGACAGAAGCTTTTAAAAGTAGGCGGGTTGCTTTGCAAAGCTATTTTCAAAAGAAGCAGAGATGAGTCTTTAATAGATTTTTTAATTCCCAAAATACCATCATTAATTTTTAAAAATGACACCACCTCCATATCCAACTCTACCATCGCCACTGCCACCACCACCACATCCTCATTTGAAACCACCACCAACAAGACGCCGCCACCGCGACCACCACCTCCTCCTCAACCTCCACCACCAACACCAACACCACCACCACTACCACAACCACCATATCCACCACCACCTTTTTCACCACCACCTCCACCTCCATCTCGTTCACCATCACCACCACATGATTAGTGCATAACACTTTCATCATTATGCCTATTTTAGTAAGTTATAACAGTTTTATATTAAAATTTGTCAAACGGTTTTGACATTGTCTTTTGTACTAACCACACTTTAACAATATTGTTTACCAAATATGAAACTACTTTACTTTATATCTAATTATTTTCAAAGCACAGCAGAAGCAACTTTAAAAAACTAATAAAAAATAATAGCAATCCTAAACTGTCCCTCAATTTTGGAATCTCATCCTCTAAACGAGTTCTTAAGCAGACCTTTACTTTTTACTTGTTAATAATTTACAGTGTGGGATAATATCCATACACGAAACACCATTGGTTTAAAATTGAGCTTTGGGAGCTGCTTATTATGACCCCCTTTTCATTGTGGATATAATAGGGTGAGATTCCCTAGAATGGCTAACTGATCTATTTTTTAATACTTAAACACCACAACAGGATTGAAATACTGTAACAATCCTGTAAGCAAAAATTTCAGAATACGCAGCAGAATAAATTCATATAAAAACGCAAACAATTGTCCAAGGGACACACGATATGTTGACACAGTAAACCTCAAGATGAGGAAAACAACTGCGGGTACTATGCCGGAGAACAAATCACTACGAGAAAGAATACAAAAAGGTCTTACAAGTCTCAACTCACAAGACTAATGCTCACAAGGCAGACTTGCCTACTCGCCTTTGCTACTCAACCCAACCAATGATCTTGTCTTCTTCCTTCGTCAACAAGAGATGGCACAACTCTTGGTCTCGGCTGCTCACACCTCAAGGCACGATTGTTGATCACCAACATGCATAATGCTCATGAACTCATACATATATGAAAAGAAGATTATTTAATCACTCATGGAGGCTAACAAGGAACAGCCACATGAGTTTTCAATATGAACTCTCAAAAACCACTCTCCAAATATTTTGTCGTTCTTTCTCTTTTCAACGTTGCAGACACACAAATCAAAATGGCTAAGTTCTTTCTTGTATTACACGCTTAAAACTAGGTCAGAGACGAAAAAAGGCTTTTTGCAAAAATGGGCTTTTTAACAAATAAATTATTTCTTTAAAACAAATAAAGCCACTTAATTAAAAACCCCGCTGTAAAGACAAAAGAACCCTTTTGCTTAAATAAGCACCAAACTAAAGAATATAAAACCATAGTTAAAAACTCACTGATGTTTGGCGCTGGATTATGTAAGGCTGAAATCATATATCAGTCTTATAATATGACAACCACTTTTTATGATCTTGCAAATATGCAAATATGAATGAATGGATGCAAAACATACCTTGGCATTGTCTTTGAGCCACACTGATCCAGGATAGCAGAATGCCACTTGAAAACTGTAGGTTACACTCAAAGACTTACTCTATGTTTTTGTAACAGGAAATTGCCAATATACCAAAAACTGGTCCTAACATAGGGGCTTGTGGTTTTTCATTGACATTGAGGGAGCTATTGTATATCTTGATGCCGTCACTTTTCTGGAGTCTACTTGATTAATATATCTACTGTTTTGTCTGTTATAGTCGCACATGTGCGAAGAAAAAAATGTCGATATGGTATTACAAGTTCACTAGAATTATAAAATGTCTAATGAATTTAGAATGTTTAACGAAAAAGAAAAAAAAAAAAAAAAAAAAAAAAAAAAAAAAAAAAAAAAAGAAATTTTTATTTTTAGAAACAACTGTTCTCCATCCAAAATACCATAGACCACATATATATTATCATATATGCCATCTCAGCTTACTCCACCAATTGTCTACCTGCTCCCTACCTACCTTGTTAATCAAAACTCTCACAAACTTTATGCCTCCCATATATTGTCTGTATTTAGAACACAAACCAAACTGGAAAATCAACTTGGGAAGCAACATATCTATATCCAAAATAAGAACTGCATCTGCATCTATACTAATCATATGGGCATCCTCTGACTTTCCATAAACCAAACATTTTCCTGTGTGTTTTTTACCTTCACCGTGACGGGTCAAATGTTTTTCTTGAAGATATTCTCTAACGTCTTGGGAAAGAGAAGAGAAATTAATTAAGAAATTCAAGTCATACGAGAGGGATGAGATATAACAAATGAGTCAAACGAGGCCCTTTTTGATGGGTTTTGCTTCAAATTCTGTTCTGGTTTTTATATTCACAGCTAAAGCACTCTCTTATTTTCTGTCACTAAACAATCCCACAATAACTCTACTTCTTAAAAAAATTATTTACAATGTGGGTGGGATAATATTAATTTTTTAAAGTTTAGAGTACACTTAGTGAGTTGCTTATTATAACCCCATTTTCATAGTGGACATAGGTGCTTGTGGTTTTTCCATTCACACATCGAAGAGCTCATCACTTTTCTGGTTGACCACTCGATTAATATCTAATGTTTTCTCTATTGTAATCAAAGCACGCATGGAAAGAAGAGATGTCTATATGGTGTTACGAATTTACTAAAATTATAAAATGTCTAATGAATTTAGAATGGAGAGATGATCATCATTATAAAAATACTAGACACAATATATTACTTATATATGCCATCTCAGATTACTCCACCAAGTGTCTACATGTTCACTACCTTGCTAATCAAAACTCCCATAAACTTTATGCCTCTCAGATACTGTCTGTATTTAGAACACAAGCCAAAACTGGAAAATTAACTTGGGAAGCAAAATATCTAATCCAAAAAAAGAACTGCATCCGCGTCTATACTAATCATATAGGCCTCCTATGACTTTCCCATATACTAAGCATACTTTTTATACAAATTTATAAATAAACTCAATCCTAGACATGTATTTATAAAAAAACCCAAGCACTATTTAAACATAGAAACACACCCAAAATCAATCCCAAAATCAACAATTGTATATTTTTTGGGTGTGTTTATAAATGGGTTTTGAGTGTGTAATGATGGGTTTTGGGTGTGTTTATAAAGTGTTTTGGGTGTTGGGTTTTTTTTATAATTTCAGTCCCCATTTTGGGTGTTTTAGTGAAACTCCCTACTTTTTATTGGGGACTCCTACGACTTGCTAATCGAAGTCTCATGACGTGACTTAATATTCAACGTGGCAATTATCCACCTTCTCTTTTTCGTAAATATGCTTCACTTCATTTTGTTGCTAACATAGATACCGAAAGAATATCCCATTTTTTCACCAAAAAATTAAAATAAAATAATATCCCATTTTCCCATTTGGCATTAGCACTTGCATTTGCCTTAATTATTTTTCATTTTTTCATGGTATAGGGAATATCGAAAGAATTATGAGCACGACTGAGATCTGTTTTATCTAGCCTCATTAGTCCCAGCCAAGTTAGTTTTGTCTTAGGTAGACACATCACCGATAATATTCTAATTGCCCAAGAGCTTATGTATAAATTCAAAATTTCCAAAGCAAAAAAAGGTTTCATTGCTTGGGAAGTCAATTTGTCAAAGGCATATGATAGGCTTAATTGGGACTTCATTGAGCAAGTATTTGGTAAGGTGGGGTTACCTTGCTTGCTTCGTTAATTGGTAATGAGCTGTGTCAAGTTTGTCCACTATTAGCTTTGTATTAATAGGGGAGCTCACTGAGACTTTTGTGTCAAGAATGGTATAAGGCAAGGGGATCTTATTTCACCATACTTGTTTGTACTGTGTATTGAGAAATTATCCCACATTATATTTGATATTGTTACAGGGGTGTATGAAAGCCTATGAAATCTTCTCAGTATGGGCCAGTTGTTTCTCATCTCTTTTTCGCTGACGATCTTGTGCTTTTTGTTGAAGTTAGCCCCCAACAAGCCAAGATCATGAAATATTGTTTGGAGGTTTTTGGCCAAGCGTCGGGACAAGCTGTTAACTTTGATAAATTTGCTATTTTCTGCTATCCTAATACATGCAAGGAGACTGCTTAGGAAATTAGTAATATTTGTGGTTCCCCTTTGACTGGTAATCTGGGCAAATATCTGAGCATGCCTTTGTTACACTCTAGACCTAATAAAGCTATTTTTAATGGGCTTCTTGACAAAGAACATAGAAGACTTGCTAGATGGAAAATGAAACTTCTTTCTCTAGCTAGGCGAGCCACTCTTATTAAGGCGGTTACTGCTTCTATCCCAACTTATACTATGCAAACGATTAAATTGCTTGCAAGTATTTGTGAGGAGCTTGATAAGCTTAATCGTAACTTCTTATAGGGAGGCAGTGAAAAGAAAAACAAAATCCATTTACTCCAATGGAATTTGGCCTGTAGACCCAAGAGCAAAGGTGTTTTAGGTCTTAAGCGAACAACTCATATGAATTAGAGCTTGCTGGTCAAGATTGGGTGGAGGCTTCATAATAAAGACAACGGATTGTGAGCTAAAATTTATGAGACTAAGTATCTGCAAGGTAAGGACATCCTGGATCCCTCACTTATTTCAAGGCCTAACTCTTCTTCTACATGGAAAGGTATCCTCCATGGTGCTGATTTGTTAGTGAAAGGTATGGGGTGGAGAATTGGCAATAGAGATCAAGTGAAGTTTTGGCAAGATAAATGGTTGAATGATGAGCCTCTGCTTAAGCACCATGGTAGTGCTTTTGTCATGTATCTCACTTCTTTAAGGGAGGTTGGTGGGATATTGACAAACTTAGAATAATGCTTGCTGAAGAGCTTATGCAACAAATGTGCATATAGAGTCATTGGTGCTGGGGGAGTAATCCATGATGATAGAGGGAATTGGATTGGTGGTTTTGTGGCCAATCTGGGGAACAGTGACATCCTAGTAGCTGAAATATGGGGGTTATTCTTTGGTTTAAAACTTGCTATCCAAAGGGGCATTCAAATTTGCGTATTGAAATGGACTCTGCGATTGGAGTCCTACTTCTCCAAAAATCTTCTCTCCTTGTTCTACATCCGATGGCATCTTTGTTGTCTAGTTGATACGCTACGACAAGTGGGTAATTGTGTGATTAACCACATATACTGGGAGAAAAATAGGGTGGCTGACTGTTTAGGAAGAGGAGCTATAATTTTTATTTGAAGTTTATTATGCTTGATGAGATTCGTAGCTAGGTTGAGGCTACCTTTGATGATGATTTGTTAAGAGTTTCTAGAACTCGTACTATCTTTGTCATTTAGTTTTTGTGTGTTTAAGGGTTAATCCCCCCCATCAAAAAAACAACAAAAAAAGAAAAAATTATTTATCACACCACAATAGACTTTTTCAATTTTCAATTTTTAATTTGGAGTCCCATTTGGGGATTCTTTTTTTGGCCAAAAACCCGCTTCACTTTAAAGTTAAGTAGTTTAAGGTGTTTGGCAAAAATAAAATATCCTGATTATTTTAAAAGCATTGGCATTTTGACAGAAGCTTTTAAAAGTAGGCGGGTGCTTTTCAAAGTTGCTTTCAAAAGAAGCAGAGATGAGCCTTTAATGGATTTTTTAATTCCTAGAATACCATCATTAATTTTTAAAAATGACTCCACCTCCACCTCCACATCCAACTCCACCACCACAACCACCACATACACTGCCACCACCACCACATCCTCCTTTGCGACCACCACCAACAAGATGCAACCGCCGCCACCACGACCACTACCTTCTCCTCAACCTCCACCACCAACACCACCACAACTACCACTACCACAACCACCACATCCACATCCACCACCTCAACCTTCACCTCCATCTCGTTCAACACCACCACATGATTAGCGCATAACACTTTCAACATTATGTCTATTTTAGTAATTATTCACAGTTACAACAGTTTTATATTAAAATTTGCCAAACGGTTTTGACATTGTCTTTTGTACTAACAACACTTTAAAAATATTATTTACCAAGCATGGAATTGCTTTACTTTACAACTAATTATTTTCAAAGCACAGCAAAAGCAAGTTTTTTTTTAGAAGTAACAACAATCCTAAACTTGCCCTCAATTTTGGAATCTCATCCTGTAAATGAGTTCTTAAGAAGACCTGTACTTTTTATTTGTTAATAATTTACAATGTGGGATAGTATCCATACACGAAACACCATTAGTTTAAAGTTGAGCTTTGGGAGCTGCTTATTATGACCTCCTTTTCATTGTGGATATAATAGGGGCTTGTGGTTTTTCATTCACATTGAGGGAGCTGTTGTATATCTTGATGCCGTCACTTTTCTGGAGTCTACTTGATTAATATATCTACTGTTTTGTCTGTTATAGTCGCACACGTGCGAAGAAAAAAATGTCGATATGGTATTACAAGTTCACTAAAATTATAAAATGTCATGACTTTAGAATGTTTAACGTAGAAAAAGGACAAAAAAAAAAGCATTTTAGAAACAGTGTGCAACTGTTTCCAAAAATACCGTAGACACAATATATTATCATATATGCCATCTCAGATTACTCCACCAATTGTCTACCTGCTCCCTACCTACCTTGTTAATCAAAACTCTCACAAACCTTATGCCTCCCATATATTGTCTGTATTTAGAACACAGACCAAACTGGAAAATCAACTTGGGAAGCAACATATCTATATCCAAAATAAGAACTGCATCTGCATCTATACGAATCATATGGGCATCCTCTGACTTTCCATAAACCAAACATTTTCCTGTGTGTTTTTTACCTTCACCGTGACGGGTCGAATGTTTTTCTTGAAGATATTCTTTAAGGTCTTGGGAAAGACAAGAGAAATTAATTAAGAAATTCAAGTCATGCGAGAGGGATGAGATATAACAAATGAGTCAGACGAGGCCCTTTTTGATGGGTTTTGCTTCAAATTCTGTTCTGGTTTCTATATTCACAGCTAAAGCACTCTCTTATTTTCTGTCACTAAACAATCCCACAACTCTACTTCTTAAAAAACTTATTTACAATGTGGGTGGGTTAATATTAATTTTTTAAAGTTGAGAGTTTAGAGTCCTCTTAGTGAGTTGCTTATTATAACCCCATTTTCATAGTGGACATAGGTGCTTGTGGTTTTTCCATTCACACATTGAAGAGCTCATCACTTTTCTGGTTGACTACTCGATTAATATCTAATGTTTTCTCTATTTTAGTCGAAGCACGCGCTTGAAGAAGAGATGTCAACATGGTATTACGAGTTCACTAAAATTATAAAATGTCTAATGAATTTAGAATGGAGAGATGATAATCATTATAAAAATACTAGACACAATATATTACTTATATATGCCATCTCAGATTACTCCACCAAATGTCTACATGTTCACTACCTTGCTAATCAAAACTCCCGCAAACTTTATGCCTCTCAGAGATTGTCTGTAATTAGAACACAAGCCAAACTGGAAAATTAACTTGGGAAGCAAAATATCTAATCCGAAAAAATAACTGCATCTGCATCTATACAAATCATATAGGCCTCCTGTGACTTTCCCATAAACTAAGCATACTTTTTCTTTGTGACTCCAATCCTCATGAGAGCCAAATACCCAATTAGCCTATAGCCCACAAGCATTGTCGCCAAAGCAACAGCACCACTTATTTGGCCATCAAGCCCAACATGTTTTATATTTGGGAATTCTCTAACCAAGCAAACCCCACTATCACATGGGTAAGTGTCAGATTTACTGTACAGAGATCCCAGCAAGAGCTTGTATGAGTAGTTGCTGATGGAGATGTATTTTATCCAACCAATGAAAGCGGGAACATGTTGAACATAGTAACCTCCAGCTAGAAGAAATGACAGCATGAGGACTGATGCAAGAACAGTGGCCTTTTTTTGGTCCATTACCAGAGCCCCAAGAGCAAGCCCCATGCCTTGAGCTACTAACACACTGAGTAGCAGAACAAGCAAGGTGTGGAAGAAGTGTCCTGCTGTTGGTTTCAGCCCTGCCATCCAATATGTTATGGTCACAAATACGGCTGGAAGGACAAGCTCCATGGGAAGATCAGCAACAATCCTTGATATGAAGTAGGAGGAGAGTCTGTATGTTCCTGAAGATCTCTCCTTTTCAAGCATCTTGCGCTCTTGGGGGAAGGTGAAGATTGCTTGGAACAGAGGGAAAAAACCCCAGAATCCAGACATAAAGAAGAGAAGCCCAGTCTGCATACATAACCAACAAAAAAGATTCTCAAGTTGTTAAAAATGGGTTATGTTAGAGAAGCTATGATGTCTTTGCAAATTGTTATCTAGAAAAAAAATTCTTTTGCATACTGAAACTTAGGCATTCCATGAAGTGATACATTATGCCATGCTTGTTGGCATAATTTTCAAAGTTACCAATATATCTATAATTTGAACTTGCTAGAAGAGATCAAGTGCATTTTCTATGGGTTTAACTTGTAGCCTATAACTTCAACTATTGTGCCAAACCCAGAAACAAACATCCTCTGAATAGTACCAATCATAGTGAAACACTTTTTTTTTATACCCCCATTGACAAACCAGATCATACATGTGACAAGTGAAGTATCAATCAGCAATTGGTCATAATTGATATTAGCACTAATTAGAATAGAATTTTTGTGGAATATGTCCCATGAAAATGCATATTGAAATTCCCCAAGTAACCAAAAAAAGAAGAAAATATGCATATTGCATATACTAGAAAATGGGGGAGGAAGGAAGTGTGTTTTTACCTGATCCTGCAAGTGGGAAACATCTGACTGCCACCATAGTAGCCCAGAAAGAAGAGCCACCGCCACAACCTGACCAATCTTGAGACCGGAGAAGGACTCATGCCTCCTCTCTTTCAATCCTCTCCTAAGCAACACAGAGAATTGCTGCCACCAAGTTGTGGGCCATTTCCCGAAGCTCTTGTTTTCTGATCCATCTTGAAAATGGCTGGAGTTGGTTTCTTGAATCTCAGCTTTCAGATTATCTAAACGGTTGTGCTTGTAGGCCAAGGCCAGGCTCTGCTTCACCTTGCTCTTGTTTTCATGCGATCCATCAGGCGCCAGACCTACATATATAAAATGTAACAAAATATTTACTCACACAGACAATTTCACAAACATCTAATATACACTTGTAGTCAAACAACTTGCAATGAAATCCTATATCAAACATAGCATTAAGAATAATACAAAACTGAATTGAATAAGAAGAACAAATTCCCCAGGCATTTGAATAAGAAGAACATGGCATTAAGAATAATAAAAAACTTGCAATAAAAAACTGATGATAACGAATGCATTTTCTCATGAATTTGAATAAGAACAAATTCCCCAGGCATATCTGACAATGTTACAAACATTTCCAAGCCCCAAGCATAAGAATAAATTCTCACTGGTCCTAATTGGATTTCCCCAGAATTTATTCAAACCCAATTTGGAAGTTCGAACAGTAATTAACTATGCACCACAGTCAAGGTAGTCATTGAACGAAGAGATGGACCTAAGTTACATGCAATTACTGAACCCACGATCCATCAAACCAAAAAACCATGCATGCAGAATTTCAAACTAAAATATATGCGCATTTATAATGATTTTGACAGCTGAAATCAAGAATTAAGCTAGTAATTATTAAAAAAACAAGAACAACATACCATTGGCAAGGTCCAAAAGAAAATCCGCAGGATTCATAGCTACCAATGGAACATAGCCAATGCCCGAAAAATAGTCCATGACCTCCGATACTTTTCCGAAATACAAACAATTCCCTTCCGATAACAACATCACCTTATGAAACATGTAGAAAAGCCTACTTGAAGGTTGATGGATTGTCATCACAATAGTTCTTCCTCCACTAGCCAAATCCCACAATGCCGAAACAATCCGCTGCGCCGTGGTCGAATCGAGCCCGGATGTGGGCTCATCCAAGAAGAGCAAGCTAGGGTTTACGAGTAATTCTTGGCCTATGCTAACCCTTCTTCTCTCCCCACCTGAAACACCCCTCAAGAACTCATCCCCAACGACACTGTTCTTGCACTTGGTTAACTCCAGTTGTATAATCACAGCCTCGGCTTGCATGGTCTTCTCGGCTTTGGATAGCGTGTTGGGCAAGCGAAGAAGGGCTGTGTAGACTAGGGTTTCGGTGACCGTCAAATGGGGGTAGAGAAAGTCGTCTTGGGTTACAAAGCCGATGTTTCTTTTCATTGCGTTTGAGAATGATTTATTGTTGTAGGTTATGGCTCCGCCTAGTCGACCCCCGAGCCGGCCTCCAAGTGCGGTTAGGAGAGTTGTTTTGCCGCTCCCGGAGGGGCCTAGCATGGCAAGGATCTCCCCGGGTTGAACAAGGCCCGAGACACCGTTTAAGATCACTCTCTCTTCGTTCGTGGTACTCTTCTTGGGTTTGATCTTGTAAACCACGTCCTCAAACTGCATAAATGTGATTAGTTGGTAAAAATAAAATAAAAACAAATCAAGACCAATGTGTGAAAGTGTGACAAGAGTTTTTCAAGAAAGCAAAAGAAAGAGGATCTTGATGAGTACCTTCAATGTGACGGGTCGAATGGCTTTCTTGAAGATAGCTGGGGCTTCAACAGTGTCGGATGTTGTATTAGTTTGACTTTGAATCTCTAAATCCACCATTTCTTGTTCCATGCTTGTGTGATCTTGAGATATCAAAGAGCTCTCTCTCTCTCTGTAGAGCTAAAACCCTCACTCACAATCAAACCCACTCTCCCTTTTGTTTGGATATTGAAAGAGAAGATCAGATGTAATAGCTGATCTCTCTCTCTCTCTCTCTCTCTCTCTCTCTGGAACTATTAAATTCTGGGCAAGCAATAAAAGTATTGGGAAGGAGAAGTGAAATTAATTAGAGAAAGTCAAGTCACGCGAGAGAAATGAGATATAACAGATGAGCCAGACACGGCCTTTTTGATGGGTTTCGCTTCAAAGTCTGGTACGCCCTTCTGTTCTGTTACACTTCCTTCAAGCCAGCACATGTTTATATATATATATACACACACACATATCACTTGATTGAACAATCCCACTACAACTCTACTTCTTATTAAACCCTTTTTCCCAAAACATATGGTCGATAATTTACGAACGAGGACTGTACACTAATGCCAAATTTAACCAAAATATGTGACAGATTAATTACCCATTTTCTTATTATGTGTAAATATTCTTCCTCCATGGTGATTAAGTGCCTAAGCACAAAGATTATACAGGGACATCTGTTGAAACCAAAAGGCTAGCTAGGCTAAAAGAATGGTGCGTAATTTATATAGCTGGTTCCATGGTGGGTATAATTGTAGACGTTTTCTTCATTTGCTTGGTTGCATCAACAAGTGGATCATTTGCTATTGTTGTTCACTGAGTATGTAACCATTTCCCCACTCAAATTAATGCATCAAAAGAGTACTTTCACTACTGAACTTTTATCAAACTTTCTAGTCAGATTATTCACTTTTCTTTTTTTTAAAGAAAAGGTACATGGCAGTGAGAGATTTTTGGTATATACTTAACAAAAGCACACTTTTTCAATCTGTATAGTAATTAACTTGAACCCATTAATATAAAGCTAAGTTGTTACCCATTAATATAAAGCTAAGTTGTTATCTAGCTTATTAATTTGAATTAATTAATGAGACTCAATGATATTACGGTAGTATAGTCACGTGACACCTCTCGTACACGTGTTATAATATAAGTGAATATTTATTGATAGTATTACCCAAAAGGAGGGAAAATAAACTCTGTCACTCCACCTATATTATAACACGTGTGTGTATAAGATGTACAACATGAACATATACTATTGTAATATCCTATAATTTCTTATATAAATAGATGACAATTAATGGTCTTTGGGGCAGGATATTAATTTGCTTTCTCAAGTTGCCCTCGTCACAGTTTCATATTTTTATTTAAAAGCTTGGGCTCATACCTCCGACTACGCAAAATTGGCCCAATGGTCTGAAATTGTTCAGACCTGATGCATTCTGGGCGGGCGTTTAATTCTAAAATTAAACTAGCTTGGATAAAGAATTGAAGCCCATCCAGAACATCAGTTATCTTTTTAGCTCTCTTCGTGTCATTTTTATTTGAGTAAATTGCTGAAATATCCCTTGAATTCGGACCCCCCATTGAACTTAACCCCGTAAATTAAAAAATCAGTTAATTTAACACTTAAACTTATCAAAATAACTCATTTAACCATTGTCGTTAAGGCTTTGGAATTTCATCCAAATTTTCGTCAATAATAAGAGTAAATTTGTAATTTTGACTAAAATTAAAGTCAAATATCAAGGTCTAAAATATCATGGTATCGGAAATATCAGTAGTCCAAAAACACAGAATTTTTTATGGAAATATTGGGATATTATCGATATCGATAAAAATGGAATAAAAACTTGGAAATTTTTATTGAAACTTTGGAGGATGTTTATTTAGTCAATTATCTATTAGTTTATCACAAAAAAATGGGAAGGAAATGCATTGCATAATGAGTTTAATTGATTTAAGTTGATTATATAAAGAGCTGACAAACACTATAAGTGTATAAAATATGCAGTAATTAATGAAATAAGATTAAACACACCATAATCATTTATATATAATGATTTACTATAATAATTTACAATTTATACATTGCATGATGAGATATATAAGTGACTTAGTACCACATAGAGTTCCCATTTGCATATTATTACAAAAACATAAGCAACATGATGGTTAAGGAGTTGGAGGACTGAAATGGCAGGGGTTCGAATCCCTTTTGTGTTTCAATTACATCAATATTTTCAATATTATCGATATTATAACGATATTTTGATAAAATATTGCTGAAGCATGAGCAAAATTATCAATATCGATATTTTCGGATATTTATACGATATATGTATGGATATGTTCCGAAATATCCGTGATTCAAAAAAAGAATAATATCCTTGATATTTCACTAATATTATCGATATTTTAAACTATACTCTGACCTATAACAAGAAGTGATGAGATCTATGAACAGTCATGGAACTCACAAACAAACGGATAAACAATAAAAACACTAAATCCAAGTGGATAATCAAGAATATAAGCTCCGTCACACAATAAGAAATAAAAAAGGACAGGAAATTGAAGAAAAAGAAAAAGCATGTGGCAGATTATGAAGGATAAAAGGCAGATCTTTAAGGTCATCAAGAAAGTCAAACCAGAATTACAAGAATAAATCGTTAAAAGTTAAACGGATCTTGGGGGAGCGGTTGGGGAATTCTGTGGTGGTGGAAGATGTTGCTGGGGCTGGTCATAGGAGTTTTGTGGGGTGCGTTGGAGTTGAGTGGTGGGTGTGTGTCCTGGGAATCGAGGCTTTGAGGTGTGGGTAAGATTCGATGGCGGTGTCTTATTTTCTGATTTTTTACAGTTCTTATTTATTTATTTATAAATTCAATTCAATTGTTATATTAGTTTTTTATTAAAAACTTTTTAACACCAAATTAACAAATTAGGACACAACGACTAAACTGGTCAAATTAAAAACACATTTGTCAACACTCTAAAACACAAGTACCATTTGGGTTCAGCTCGAGTGAGTTTACTTTACTTTATAGCTAATTATTTTCAAAGCACGGTAAAAACAACTGTTTTTTAAAGTGACAGCGATCTCAAACTGATCTTTAGTTTATATATCCAAGTTAGAGTGAAAATATCACAAAAATAGGTACTCAACAAAATGAAGTTCACAGGACGAGGCATGCTCTCTTTCTTTTGGTACTCTTTTGTTCTTGTTTCCTCTATTTTTTCGGCTCAAAGCTTCAAAGAAAATGAAGAAATCCGAAGGTCTCAGTTCCCAGATGGCTTCTTGTTCGGAGCCAGCACTTCATCTTACCAGGCATTTGTCTCTTCTTCTTCTTCCTCTTCTTGAATTCTTCCTCTGCTGATCTGCAACTATCTCAACTTTGAATTTGCTACCTCTTTTGATTTTATAAGGTTGAAGGTGCTTATCTTGAAGATGGCAAGAGCCTAAGCAACTGGGATGTTTTCTGTCACACTCCAGGTAAACAAAGAACTAACAATGACTAATCTTGACATTATATATTTTTATTCTTAATATTTTCATGGATTTTCGGCAAATTAATGTCTATATCTTAAAAATACTTCAGGAACAATAGAAAGTAATGAGAATGGGGATGTTGCAGACGACCATTACCATCGCTACTTGGTAAGTCTTGAGAACAATTAAAAGAGAAAACAAACACATAAAATATAGTGAGCAAATTAATTAACTTTTTGAGATGAACTTTGTATGTGTATGCATTTATATAGGAAGACATTGAGCTGATGCATTCCCTGGGAATGAATTCATATCGCTTCTCTATTTCATGGGCTAGAATTCTACCTGGTATGTTGTTTCATATTATCTTAATTAATTAGTTTTTTTGCAACTCAATTAAAATGATCTTCTTGAGCCAATAACAGATGGGATGCTCGGCAAAACCAATCCAAGTGGGATCACCTTTTATAACAAACTTATAGACCATCTGTTGCTCAAAGGTGCATAATCTGATCTTAAATTCAAGACCAATTAAATTTTTCTAAATTAAAATATATTTATATGCATGATTTGGATTTTGGATGCATAATGCAGGGATAGAGCCATTTGTGACAGTTCACCACAATGACATGCCCCAAGTTCTAGAACAAAGAGATGGGGGTTGGCTTAGTCCGCTATTACGGTACGTTTTTTTATTTTTATTTTTGAAACAACACCATCTTTGGAACTCTTGGCAATTAGGCTTTTACTGATTTTGCAAGATTTTATTGAATTCTTTGTTGTTGAAGGGAAGAATTTGCACATTTTGCTTCCATATGCTTCAAGAGTTTTGGGGACAGGGTGAAGTATTGGATTACCTTCAATGAGCCCAATCTCATGATTGAGTTTGCCTATATAAGGGGATGGTACCCACCAGCTCGTTGTTCAACCCCTTTTGGGAACTGTTCAAGTGGCAATTCTGATACTGAGCCTCTCATTGCAATGCACAACATTTTAATAGCTCACGCCACGGCGGTTGACACATATCGTAGGGTTTTTTGGGTACGTAATTCGGTAATTGCATGTAAACATTGTTTGACATCTTTTGGTGTGACATATAAGCATGAATAATATCTCAAAAGCACGAAAAGACACATATCAAACTGTGATTTGTCTATAGGGAATTTGAACTTGTATTTTCCATTGCAATTCGAATATGAACTTGTTCTTAGCTGAAGTTGGAAACGTTACCACTTTTTGGGTTTAAATTTGAGGGTGCATATATGTGATAACTTTTATGTTGACACAGCCAAAACAGCATGGGTTTATTGGAATTGTTGCAAATGCACACATGTATGAACCGCTGAGAGATGATGAAAGGGATCGGCATGCTGTTGATAGAGCTTTGGCTTTCAATGTCGCATGTTAAGTGTTTATTTTTCTGATCTGTGTTTCTACCAATTTGCTTATAATATTATAAGATCTGATCGCAGCACAATAGAAGTGTAGAAATTAAGAGTACACAAAGCATGACTAAACTTTTTTTTTCTTTTTCTTAACAGGATGTTTGATCCTTTAGTGCATGGAGATTACCCTTCTGAAATGCGCGAATGCCCAGGCTTGGAATTGCCAAGGTTTTCCCACAACGAAAAACAGCTCTTAAGAGGCAGCATAGATTTTATAGGCTTCAACCACTATTCAACTCTATACGTCAAGGACTGTATCCACTCTGCTTGCCCCTTAGGCGGTGACCATGCCATCAAAGGCTTTCTCAACACAACCGGGTATCGAGATGGCGTACCAATTGGAGAACCGGTATATCGAACATTACTCTTAATATAATCAGTGTGACATGTTACGTTATCAGACTATAATGCATGACATGCCTGTGCCTTGCAAACAAAATCATTGGGCAACATAATTTTGGCATAGCTATTGTACCCTTGCATCATCAGCCTTGTTATTTCCCCCTTCTTTTCTTGGATAAATTTTCATAATTTATTTCTTCTTCCATGGCTATTGGATTTTGGTTCCTTCATGTATTAGTTAACAAGGTGCTCTCAACTTGTGCTGTGTTTCATAGACTGGAATGCCTAGGTTTTTTGTGGTTCCGAGAGGCATGGAGAAGATGCTTGATTATCTAAAGCAAAGATACAATAACAAGCCCATGTTTATTACTGAAAACGGTAAAGCCAATATCGCAACTTGTGATTGAAAACCTGTTCATATATCCAACAATTTTCTCAACTATGTGGCAGGATACTCTTTACCAACCCCACAGACTGAACTGCAAGATTGGAACAGGATCAAGTTTCACAAAGCTTACATGGCCTCTGTGGCCAGAGCAATAAGGTATCATCAATGAATTAGTTCTTCGATAATCCTCAAAGCAGTGATATACATTTGCAATATTAATTGTGAAATTCTAATTGACAGGAATGGGGCTGATGTTCGTGGATATTTCATTTGGTCCTTGATGGATAATTTTGAGTGGCTCAGTGGATACACCACAAGATTTGGTTTATATTATGTTGATCGAAAAACGCTGCACCGAACTCCAAAGCTTTCTGCAGGATGGTTTGCTAGTTTCCTCAGAAAGAGTAGTCACAACGACAGGGAAGAAATTAGGGCAGCTTCAGGTCATAACAATAATATTATATTTAGCCTACTGGAAGCTAAAGTTGCTGAAATGTAGAAAAAGTCCTTGTTAATGATAATGATGAGACTTGTAATACTTTTTGGCCAAAATTATTGTGGCTTGCCATATTATATTAAAGAGCCTTTTAGCTAGCTGCTTCATTTGGCCACACTAAAATCAATTTTGGGCATAAGAGAAATGGAAACAACCTGTTTGTCTCCATATGCAAAACTCTAAATAATTGGCAAATGAAAAGACCCTTCAAACGAGTAATGGAAAATTTTCTTTTTTTATTCACTTCTGTATTTTCATATGGTTTGTTCGTTGTCCCAGAAATAGAATGCAGTGAATTATAGATGGCCCCTCACCTTGTGTATGAAATATTCTTGCCAAGGGAATCTAGCTCACTGGAGAAGTGCCTTAATTTGTAGATTAATGGTTCTAGGTTCGTAACCCCATGAAACATTGGGAGCACAGGCGGATCTAAGTGTGTGCTGGAGTTTTTAGAATATACAACTTAGGCTAAGTTGTCCAAGCCCAAACTAAGTAAATCAAATATTAGCCTACACCTCTATGTAGAAATAAGCCCACCTATGTATAATCTCAATCGTTAGATTGATTGAAATCCATGTGATGCATTTTTATAATAAAGATAAATACTTTTTAATATAATATTTTAGGGGCTGTTCTTATTTTACCCGAGGGGTTTGAATTAATTTTTAAAGAGCTTAGACTATCTCCAACCCTTGGGGTGGAAACTCAAATTTTGAGTTTAGTCTCCAAAAACCATCTCCAACCCATGTATTTTGGGGGGTGGAAATTTGAGAAATCTCAAATCTTAGGTGGAATTCCAGTCCCATTTTTGCCTGGACTGATAATTTTGTGGGCCCAAAATCTGCTTTTTTTATTATTTTTTTTCTGACTGAAGCCCATGTGCTGCACAATGTTTGCTGGGCCCAGTTTTGGTTACACTGTTTGGGCAGCAACTTTGTGCCAAAAATCTGATATTGCTGGTTTGTTTGTTTGTTTGTACAAACACAACAGTGAGCAAACCATTTAACTTTCTGAAATTATCTTGTGTGTATATGAATCTATATATATATATATATATATATAGATATATATATATATATATAGGAAGACATTGAGCTGATGCATTCCTTAGGAACAAATGCATACCGGTTCTCCATTTCCTGGGCTAGAATTCTACCTGGTACGGTGCCCACTTCGTGTTATCTTAATTTGGTTTATTGTTTAATCTTGTTTTTTGTTTGCTTTGTTCTGTTGTTAATCTGGGCTTTTACAACTTAGTTTAAATTGGAAATGATCTTCTTGAGCCATTCACAGATGGGATGCTCGGCTCAGTCAATCCAAGAGGGGTCATCTTTTATAACAAACTTATAGACAATCTTCTAAGCAAAGGTACCTGTGCATGAGCACTCGATTTACTAAGTAAGTAGCAAGTTACTAGCCAAATTAAACAATGTTTAGTCATCTAACTCTGCTGCCATGCAGGAATAGAGCCATTTGTGACAATTCACCACAGTGACCTGCCCCAAGTACTAGAACAAAGAGACGGGGGTTGGCTCAGTCCGCTATTAAGGTAGAAGTAAAACTATTTGCATAACGTCTACTAATCAGATTCATATATCAGTGATCCGTAAGTGTGGTTGAAATAGCAATATTCATTACGGCTTTCTCTGCTACGATAAGTGATATAACTATGTCAAGCTTTTAGGAGTTCTCAAGAGTTCATTCTTTCACTGTTGGTGCAGGGAAGAGTTTGTACATTTTGCCTCCATATGCTTTGAGAGTTTTGGAGATGGGGTAAAGTACTGGGTTACCATAAATGAGCCCAATATGGTGGCTGATTTTGCCTATCTCAGAGGACTATATCCACCGGCTAGTTGTTCTCCACCATTTGGCAATTGTTCCACTGGAAATTCTGACACTGAGCCTCTTATTGGAATGCACAACATGTTAATTGCACATGCTATGGCTGTTGAAATTTATCGTACTTTTTTCTGGGTACGTATTCTTTTCTTTATCAAACTCTTTACTACTTGATTTTTAATAATACAAGCGATAATCTAGTTTAAATTAATCCTCTTTATCCAACTTGGCTAAGTCTATATCTGCTCAACTACTTGCATTAATATTACAGCGGAAACAAAATGGGTTTATTGGAATTGTTGCGCATGCATTCATGTATGAACCGCTTAGGGATGAAGAAAGGGATCGGGATAGAGCCTTGGCTTTCAATGTGGCCTGGTAAGTGCTTCTTCAATTTGTTTAGCCATAATTTATTACGCAAAACAGTAAAGTAATTAAGAACATGGAAATATGATGCTAGCAACCTTCTCTCCAATATTCTCTTTTGAGCATTCTCCCTTTTCCTCATGACATGTGTCACTTTTTTTACACTAAAAACAATATAATTAATGCATCAAATAAGATCACATTTGTTTCCAAATTTACCCTTATTTTTTGTATTGATTTTAATGAAATAATGAAAGAGCGGAAATTTCATACATTATTTCATTGACTAATTTGTCTTCTTCTAGAATTTTCTAAGTCATTTAATATGAAAATTACATAACGAAAGAGCGGAAATTCTATACATTATTTCATTGACTAATCTGTCTTTTTTTAGAATTTTCTTCGTCGTTTAATAAGAAAATTACATAAAGAAAAAGCGGAAATTTCATACATTATTTCATTGACTAATCTGTCTTCATTTAGAATTTTCTTTGTCATTTAATATGAAAATTACATAAAGAAAGAACGAAAATTCCATACGTTATTTCATTGACTAATCTGTCTTCCTCTAGAATTTTCTTCATCATTTAATATGAAAATTACATAGAGAAAGAAGGGAAATTCCATACATTATTTCATTGACTAATCCGTCTTTCTCTTTGTTTGTTCCCCCAATACACGATAGGAACTCATACACATCAATAAGTTCAGACATAATAGAAAATTGACAAACCAGTTAAGGAAAAACAGTGTGCATGTGAAGAAGTGATAAATGTAAAAATTTCCACATAAGAAAGAACTAACTGTTAGCGTTTGTTTCATTGAATGATAGGGAATGCTAGTAACTTTCTCTCCAACCTGCTCTTTGGACATTCTCCCTTTTCTCATGACATGTGTCACTTTTCTTACATTAAAAAACAATGTAATTACTGCATCAAACAAGATAACATTTGTTTCCAAATTTACCCTTATTTTTTGTATTGATTTTAATGAAATAATGAAAAAATGGAAATTTCATACATTATTTCATTGACTAATATGTGTTCTTCTAGAAATTTCTGAGTCATTTAATATGCAAATTACATAAAGAAAGAGCGGAAATTCCATACATTATTTCATTGACTAATCTGTCTTTTTTCTAAAATTTTCTTCGTCGTTTAATATGAAAATTACATAAAGAAGGAGCGGAAATTCCATACATTATTTCATTGACTAATCTATCTTCCTCTAGAATTTTCTTCGTCGTTTAATTCACTTCCCACACCAAAACTCTATACAAATTGCTCTCCTCATATCTCATGTGAATAGTGATTGTCCTTGGGTTGCCATAGCAATGGGTGGAAACACAAGAAGTTTTTTTTGCAAGGCCTGGCACTATTCCCATGAATAGTAACAGCCCTTGCCCCTTGCCATGGCAAATGGGTGGAAATGCCCTAAATGATGAAGCTTGAACCTATCAAAAGTGTTATAAATTGTGTGAATTTCTATTACTTCAAGACACTAATTTCTCGAGAATAGAAGTGTACAAAGAGTACACAAATCGTACTATAGGTCTTTAGTTTTGTATATTCTATTTACTGTTTATACAATAGAAGTGTACAAAGAGTACACAAATCGTATGCAAAAAGTACGTACGTGACTTTTTTTTTCCTTGTCTAAACAGGACATTTGATCCTGTAGTGTATGGAGATTACCCGCTGAAATGCGTCATTGCCATGGTTTGGAGTTACCAAGGTTTTCCGCCAAAGAGAAACAGCTTTTGAGAGGAAGCATAGATTTTATCGGTGTCAACCACTATTCAACTCTATATGTCAAGGACTGTATTCACTCTCCTTGCCCCTCTGGGGGTGACCGTCCCATCATGGGATTTCTCAACACAACTGGCTATCGAGATGGGGTTCCAATTGGAGAACCGGTATATCAAACATACTATATTTTTATATCGTAAAACAGTATGACATAATATGTTATCGGACTATCAACTTATACGATCTATAGTTTAGATCGATAGTCTGAGAACATGATCTTCTTTGTTGCCTAATTGGTTTTTGGTTTCCTTTCTACATTAGCTAACAAGGTCAACTCGTGTGCTGTCTTTCACATATAGACTGGACTGGCTGATTTCTTCGTTGTTCCAAGAGGCATGGAGAAGATCATTGACTATGTTAAGCAAAGATACAATAACATGCCCTTGTTTGTGACTGAAAATGGTTAGTGGATGGCACAACTTGTTTATTTCATGATTGTAAACAGATTCATATATCGAACAATTTTTTTTGTTTCAACTATGTGGCAGGATGCACTTTACAAACACAAGAGAATGAACTAGAAGACAGGGATCGGATCAACTTTCACAAATCTTACCTTGCCTCTTTAGCCAGAGCAATAAGGCTTTTGACAAACAATTAATTTGAGTCTCTTCGATATTCCTCAAAGCAATGATATATATAATATAAACGTGGAATATTAATTTTCTCATTTTAATTGACAGAAGTGGTGCTGATGTACGTGGATACTTCGTTTGGTCCGTGATGGATAATTTTGAATGGCTCAATGGATGCACCAAAAGATTTGGCTTATATTATGTTGATCGGGAAACACTTGAGCGAACTCCAAAGCTTTCTGTAGGATGGTTTGCTAGTTTCCTCAGAAACAATAGTCACAACGACAGGGAAGAAATTATGGCAGCTTCAGGTCATAACAAGACTATTATATTTAGTCAACTGGAAGCTAAAGTTGCTGAAATGTAATTTATATCACACATTCACTTCCATTTGTTGCATGTTTCTCTCTTTTATCTGGAGGCATATATGCATATAGTCATCATTTTTAATAAGGAAATGCTGTGATTAAGAGTGTTTCTGTATACTCGAAATTTCTATATATTTCCTTCTTTTCTACTGAGGTGGCCGACATAAGGAATTTTTGGTCCTTCTTCTCTTGGATTGCATAGGAGTGCCACCACCAAGCCACTAGTTGGCTCGAATGGAAAAAGTCGGATATTTGTGTTCGTGCTTCTAACTTCTAACCAGCCGATTGATAAGCCAAACAAGGAACCTCTTCTTGGCCTAGGTTTTCACTTCCTGGGGGTCGAGAATGGGGGTTTCGTATGGATATTTTTAGTATTTTTTGGGATTTAATGATAATGGCGTAAATTAAATTAATAGGCGATTAAATTAAATAACAAGAAAGTAAATGTAAAAATAATATCGAAGCAACAATAAACGTAACTTTAAGTAAGAATGAAACAAGAATGATATGCATGACAAAGGTGATAAAATAAAGCAATATGAAATTAAATTAAACTTAAAGCAAATTCGATAATAAAAAGTAAACAATAGACTTGAATCTTAAAACAATGTAATGAAAAAGGCAAGAAATTAAACGTACACTAACGAAAGCGAAGAACTGATCTAGTCTACTTGCTTGAAAAATAAAAACCTAGTCAGGGATAGAAAAGTGAAAGACAAAAAGTAGGTTTTTGTGTCTGACGTCCAAGTTCTTCCCTCCTTCATCTGATGAGGTTTATATAGGGTCATTCGTCAGCCCATGGGCTGGCCATTAAGTGGTCAAAGGTCAACTTCGTTCAAAATCTTTCCTTGTGTGGCTTCTAAATCCGCATAATTGATTTGAATGAGATCATCGGATTCTAAATCTGATCACTTGATTCTCTCCTCCTTAGGAATGTTCCGGATTGACATCACTTTCTTTGGATGGATCTCATCATGTGCATGAAAACATCGGAGGTTTTGGGCCTACTTCCGCGGGTTGGCTTAAACCTTCGAGGACTTGGCTTGATATATGGTGAGACATTGTAGCTTTCCGGAGTCCTAGTCTTGATTGAAAATAATCCACCGATGTTGGGGAGGCATGAGAGCCCAATGAATGTGTGTGAGCTTCCTTGACGTATGACTAACTCGTGACAAGCCCACAATATTTTTTTTTAGAAAATATTTAATATACCAATTTTGATAAAACTGCATATATAATAATTAAGAATTATATATGTAAGCCAAGAAAGGCTTATTAAAACGCATAGGCCATAAGATTTCTTCTTTACTTAATATAGATATATATGTTCTTGATATGATAATCATCCAAATTTGGCCATTGGTTTTGGTTGGAGCGAGTGACTAGGCTACAAAGAGCTTTTGAATTATTCTCATAAGGTGGGTCGGTCCTAGACACTACTTCTATCATTTTGAACTTAGAGCATTCTCAGCAGGGACGGATCCAGGAATTGCAAATCGGGTGGGCTAAATTTTACCTTAAGTACAAATGTATTAAGAAAATTGGTGAGTTTTGTGGATTTTGGTTGGTTTTTGTAGATTTAGGTTTGGACAATAGATTTTTAGGAACTAAAAACTAGAGGTACCCATAGGGTTTGGCTAAATTTTTTTGGGGTAAATATAAGCCTCTAGTTGGTTATATTTTTATTTTTTATAAGCTTTATTTCTTTAGGGAATTTCACCTAAAACACCCAAAATGGGGGGAAATTATTAAAAACCCAACATCCAAAACACTTTATAAACACACCCAAAACTCATCATTACACATATCTCAAAACTCATTTATAAACACACCCAAAAAATATACAATTGTTGATTTTGTGATTTTTGGGTGTGTTTCTATGTTTAAATAGTGTTTGGTTTTTTTTTATAATACATGTCTAGGATTGAGTTTATTTATAATATTTGTATTTTTTTTATAGTATATTTGTTTCATCGTATTTAGAACTTTTTGTCATTATACGACATTTGAAATAGAGAAAATGTTGCAATTATTGATAATATTGTTGAAATATTTTGGAAAGGATTGAAGGGAAACAAAGAAAGAAAAAAGAAGAAGAAGATATTATAAGGAATTGAAGTTTAAAAAGAAAGTAATAATAAAATAAAAACATCCCATTTTGTTGGGCAGTGCACCTAACACAAAATAAAAACACATCTCATCCCAACACATATCTCTCCCCCCCTCTCTTTTATTATATTTTCTCTTCTCTCTCCCTTTTTTTTCTTTTTTCCTCTCTTTCTCTCTCTCCCTCTCCCTCTTTCTTTATTCTTTTTCCTTCTCCTCTCTTCTTCTTTTCTTTCTTCTCTCTCCGTCTGCTCCCATCTCTCTGTTCTTTCTTCTTGCAGCTTTGGGATAGGCTATCTCCGTTAAGTTTTTTAAAAAATAAAATCTAAGAATACTATATGGTATTACAAATACAAAAAAATATTAGTATAGGCTGTAGCCCAGACAGCCCACTATGTAGATCCGTGCCTGATTCTCAGGTCCACAAAACCATTACCCAAAGCCAAGGGACATCTTTGGCTTCCAAACTCTTGCCCACCTTGAAATTATCAAAGTGACCTACGTGGTGTCTTACCTCAACAAACTTCTGACTTCTTCCAGGCAACTCCTTGGCCATTCTCCCAGCCAAGTCCTTGACTTGTTCTCCATATCCCAGCCAACTCAAAAGGCCATTCTTTTGGCCATTGTGTTTATACTAATATATAATATATATATATAGAAATAAGCAAATCTTACTTCTATGTAATACTTTTATTGTCTTCAAACCTTTTTCAACAAACTCCTCTCACACTTTCAAAAGCTTCAGCTGCCACGCCATTCTAATCCAGCCACAGATTTGTGTAATTTCAGTACCCAAGAGAGGGTTGTGTCCCAACCACAACATATTGAAGGTGGAGTTCAACAATGGCTTCTCCTATCTCAACCCCAATTTTCTCCTATTTCTTTATTCCACTCTTATCTCTTTGTCAATTATTTATATGTCATTTCTTGCAGATGACCTTGATTCTTGACTAGATGTAGAAATCCAAGAAGACCAAAAGACTTGGTTGCTTTTCTCCACAAGATGGATGGTGAGAATCCTACGTCCTTTTGACCCTTTAGCTGACCCCAAGCCAAGCTTGTAGGTTTTGTCATTCAATTATTTATTATTTGGTTATTGCTATTATAAATGACAATATCGGGTGTTTTGGCTAGACCTTTGGGTTTCCACTTGACTTGGTTTGGGATTGGACCACTTGATTTGGTTTGAGGTTCAAATTTTTAGTATCTTCATCATCTCTATGTGTAGAGTAAGTGTATTGTGAGTAGTCATCAAATGATAAATCCCCAAAATAGTTTTCAATGTAATTGTTAACATGCCACCCATATGGATCCGAGATTGGTTGGACGTGTCAATAAGCAAATCATTGAAGATTGGGTCTTAGATTCTTTCCATGAGCCGCGCGATTCCATCCCAAAAGGAAAGGTCAAAGACTCACAAACTCATGTGAAAATCTAATTCTTGGAAAAACATTTCAAAACAAAACAATAAGTATACATATTTTAGCATATTATCACAAAAACATAAGCAACAAGATGGTTAAGGCATTGGAGGAGTGAAATGGCAAGGGTTTGAATCTCCTTTGCGTGTGCTTTGTGTGTTTTTTTTTTTTTTTTTTTTTCCATTATACATCAATATTTTCGATATTTTCAATATCATAGCGATATTATAGTGATATTTTGACAAAATATACTGAAGTGTGAGCGAAATTATCGACATTGATATTATTGATATTATATGATATGTGTATGGATACGTTCCGAAATATCTGTGACCCAAAAAAGGATAATATCCTCGATATTTTGTCGATATTATCGATATTTTAGACTATGATCCGACCACAAATAGATATTCTGCCACATTTATGATTTTGGACTTTTTACCGACCTTATTGATTAGGCCCACTGAATATACTTGGGCTCATTATTAGTTTAATTGTCGAATCTTGGGCCTGACCCGGTCAAATTTCAACTAGACCCAAACAATATGGTGGGACTTTCTTTAAGGTTCTCTTTTGGGACTTTAATTTTAAACCAGAAAAAAGACATTCAGTTAAAGTCATTTTTAAAATCATTTATTTCTGTACCGTAACATCACCTATCTGTCATACGACAGGGAAGAGAACTAGGCCAACTGGAAGCTAAAGTTGCTGAAATGTAGTGTGAATAGATAAAACTGTAATACTTTTGGCCAAAATAATTCTTAAAGACTTAGCTAGCTACTTCATGTGGCCACGTAAAAAATTTTGGGCTCCACCACTACTTGGGGGCACAAAAGAAATGGAAACAATGTTATGGACTAACCATCCCACAAAAAATTACTCAAATAGTGGAAGAAGTTCGTCAAAGATTTACGTTGTCGGTGCTAGAGATTTATGTGGCTGATGGTCGAAAGTTTACGTCGTCGGTATCAGAGTTAGGTGGTGTCAAAGAAAAGGTCTCTTAGAGAAAGATAGTGACTGAGTTAAAACCAGGACTTGGGTTAAAAAGTATAAGAAAAAAGAAAAACATGTGTCTTTTCTATTAGAGGCCACGTCGTATGTGGAGGAGGAACTCAAGAGCCAACTGGTCAT